CCCCCCGTTTTTTCTTCCCCCCCCCCCTTTTTAAACCCTTCTTTCCCCCGGGGGGGGGGGCGGGGGGGATGCTGGTTCCTGGGTTGTGGAGGGGGAGGCTGGCGACGTCGTGGATCCAGGAGAGGAGGCAAGAGAGAGGGGCATGATGGGGCGGGAGGGGGGAAGGGCGAGGGAGGTGCAGTACCAGAGGCCGTGAGGCTTTTTCTTGTCTTCTTTGGAGAAGTCCTGGAAAATGAAGGCGAGGCTTTGGTCTTGGAGAGATTTGAAGTGTTGGGTGAGGTGGGGTTGTGGATTGCAAGCTGGATCCATTGTGATGGTAAGGTAGTGTTCAAGAAAATAGGGAGAGTGTAGGCCATGGGAGACAGGTGGACGAGTAAGTGTCTAAGGGTAGGCTGTCTTTATACCTGAGAGGTTGAAGAATTTTGCTATGACTTGAGTTACTATACCAGACATGGCGAAACCTGTTGGCAACTGCTAGTGTCGTGACTACATAGGAGAAAAAGAGACCCAACGAAGATTGAACTCCTGGTGGTCCGTGATTGAGAACACATGCGTGTATACAAGAGACGAAGCAGGCATCAAGGTACTTCGTCAACCGCCTTACCCCTTGAAACAATGTTAACTCAGTCATTGTTGACGATGTGAAACTATCACCACCGTCGGTGTGGCCGAGATGGTTCAACTTTGAGTGGCAATTCGACTCGCTAAAACATATTGTTCTAGATCACCTCGCCACCGTTGTTGTATTCGTCCCAATTGCTTGCTAGATACCCAGACACATATACTCTGGCTACTTAGGTAGTAAAAAAGCTGCTACCATTTGCTTGCTTGTATACCAACGTTACGAGACTCTGACATGCAACTTTTGCTGCAGGCTAAGTGGAATCGCTAAATACCTATCCAGAATATCAGCTACCTACCCTACCCATATATTGTTGGTAAAGCTCACCTTGACCACCAATTTCCAGAGATGTAGATACCTAAAAGCTGTCTTGCCTACCAACACTACACGTTATAGCTCTCTACCCAATACCCCTCCCTCCATCTCACCTCCTCCTCTCTACTCCTCCTCCTTCTCATTGCCTCTTCTCTCATCCTCCTCCTTCGCGCCTCCTCCTCCCTCTTTCTCTTCCACCACCGTCTTCTAGCCTCCTCCTCCCTTCTCCTTCTTTTCCTATTCTCATGCTCCGGTTGACCGCCCAGACTAACAACATCAGACATCCAGTTCAACATCTGCCCCAACGCAGGCTGTCGTTCCTCAGCATCACTCCCTTGATTGAAACAGAGCGAAAAAGGCGCATTCACCCAAACCCACTCCCCTCATCAATCGGCCGTCTATACCCCGCTGTTGAATCCCGGGTTCTATCTTGCAGCACTGCAAGACCCTCTGACAGTAGGTGGAGCCGGGTGCGGGCTCTGCCGTCGTCAACGTAGTCGGAATTGGTAAAGTACCCGGGGATGGTGTGCTCAAAGGGGGTATCCTCCCTATCCCAGTAGGTAGTCAGGTGGTCAATTAGATTGATACCCCTGATCCTTCCCCTTTCCGGCGGCAACGACGGCGTTTGTTGAAGGTGTGGGAGATGACTTCTTTGCTTTCGGTCTTGGAGGGGGTGGGGTGGTCGGCTAGCCATTAGAAGCAGATTGCTGCGAGGAGGGTCCCGGAGGAGGGAGAGGAGGGTTTTGACTCGACAACGAGGTAGAGGGAGGTGCAGTCCGAGATGCAGTGGCTTTGTGTACTGGCTTAGGAGGTTTCGGAACGTGCGGTAGTCTAGGTGGAGGCGGCGGTCGTGGGAGAGGTCCGGGAAGATGTGGTTCCATATGGGGAGGTCGAGGTTGGCGGGGAGGGAGAGGCTGAGGAGGGCGGGCAGGCCGGATTGTTGGGCGAAGCGGACGTGGATGTTTGTTTGTGATGTCAGGGTTGGCAAGACGGTTGTTGGTGACGGTGTGAGCAGGGATGTAGGTGTCAGGTTTGGGTCTTCTGTGGTGGGTGCGGGACATGCTGGCGGTTGGTTGGATGGTGTGATGGGAATGTGTTGGTGATCAAAATGAGAGAAGTTCGTCTTCAACGAAAATTCAAGTACAGCTTAGACACAACATAAATATCGGGGTAAACAAGAATGGACTGGAATGATGATTGGTAGGTGATCAAATGGGAACAGATGTGAACCAACTCCAAGCTGAAGATATATGCTGGCTGTTAACAAAGAGGCCAGTCACTGGGCTACATGTGAAATATCACCAGATAAAAGTTACAGGTGCCACAGGCCCAACAACGTAGTAGACTCAGAGAGCGATATGACAACTGCAGAGCAGTCCACAATTTTGAAGAGCAGGTGTCGGGCAAACAAACCAAAGGCAAACACTCAGGCAACAACAAACACCCATTTCACAACAAGAACAAGCTGTATTCACTCCCCGTCAATCACAATGAATTCAAAACTTCCCAACTATCTCCAATCCAAAGCATCTTCACAGCCGGCCCCTTAACCAATCACTCATAAACATAGCAGAAAGGCCCATCGACAATACTGTTCAGGTCCCTGATCTTGTAAACCTTGTCGCCCACAATCCCCAAATCAACATTATCATCCAAGCTCTGCTGCCTGCCACCACCACCAAAGCTCATCATCGACGTCCCGCCAGCAATGGTCTGGATGCGGGTGTTGGTGTCCTGACTCTGCCAAATGGTCCAAGTGCGATCAATCATTCCATGATGAACCCAGAAGGCGGGATCATTAGGGCTGGTGTAGAAATCACCACCAGGGTCACCAGCGATGGTGAAATGGCCAGCAGCGTGGACACCAATACCAGCACCGGCACCGCCGAAGCCACCACCAGCGCCTTGCATCACGTTCTGGAAGGTAAGAACGTCACGGCTGTTGGTGATGAGGGCGGCAATGTCCTGGGTGCGGGCGTAGCGGGAGGTGAGGTAGTTGGAGATGTCACGGCGAAGGCAACGGGTGTTCAGACCGTAGCCATCGGAGCGGGGGTTGCGAGGAGGGGCAGGGTCGACGGCAGGGGAGACGGGGCCAAGGCGGACAGTCATGCTGCAGTGATAACGTTGTCAGCTTCCCGTGATCTCACTAGCATCGGACAAGTGGGAAAACAAACTTCTTGAACGGTCCGGTCTCGACGCAGCCGCCACCGTTGCCGGCAGGAGCAATACCGGAAGATCTATGATCGATCTTCTTGCCGTTTCCACTGAGAGAAGTGTCGCTACCATCAAAGATAGGAGACTTCTCGGGGTCCTGAGCCCAACGGCCCCAGTCCCAATACTATATTTTCTTGTCAGCTTGGAAATCAAAGATCCCAACTCCTATGAGCGACGTACCGGGTGGCTCCCATTGTAGTTGCACTCCTTGACAAGGGCTTGCTCAAAGGCCCACAGGTAGTATCTGTGCCATGAAAGGAAGCTGCCGGTGTTGTGGATGGACATGGTCTGCTGCATGTGAACGACGACAAAGTCTTCATATCTGGTCTTGGCTCCAGGGAACTGTGTAGGGTTGAGCTTGGATGGCTTCTCCATCAGGCACAACAAGGCGGCGATGTAAGACTTCTTCTCTGCGGCAGAGATGTCACCCCTGGTTTCAAACTCATGTTAGATTTTGTCTCTTTGAAGATTCATGAAATGATCAGACTCACCACTCTCGGCGAACCTTCAAGTTGGCCTTGGTACATGTCTTTGACTTGGCCAACATGGCATCGATAGCCGGACGTCCCTTCTTCTCAAGGTCTGAGACTGCGTCACCCGAGACGAGGCCGGCGAGGAGGAGCCATGGCACTGCCAGGAGTGCAAAGACAGAGAAACGCGCCATGATGGAGCCGCGTTCTGAGCAGGAGCTTGAACTGACAGAAAGATCTCATGAACTCAGGAAAGTCGGGCACCGGGCTGGTGTTTATAGTCCCTGTCCCGCACGGGATCTTCCATAGTCCCACTCGTTGTTTCCTTCCTCGAATCGTCCGTTTCTTGCCTGCCAGGAGCCACAACACCCCCGGGTAGCGTGGTCGGCAAATATCGTCCGCTCTAGACTCCCCAACCTGTTTGTACCAACTCCAGATGATGACCCAGAGAACAGGGGGCAGTATAAACAAGGATCTTCGCTCACAGCGGCTGCAACGTTGGGTAGTCCTGTATGGCTGGCACCTTCGGATCACGGCAGATGGTCAGCGAGGCTTTGAATATGGAGAAATTGCAGAGGGCTCATCTAAACGAGGCGTGTCCGTCCGGCTTTCGACTTCGGTTGACCCGGGCGAAAATAGTCATTGGGCATACGATGTAGAGAAAGAGGTAGGGTGGGTGCGGGTTCATTACCGGCGTAAGCAAGGGTTGGTGAAACAACATAGACCTCGTGGGCCATCATGAAAGTATCCAGCCCTCTGGGAGCATGAACAGGACGGCCGCAATGCTGCCGACTGGTCCAAAATGCTTTTGCCTCAATATACTCTGTGGGTTTTCGTCAGCTGGCAAATCTGGGGTAATTAGCCTGAGTAGACGGAATGGTTGCGCCCCGCGATATGGTATTCCGCCTTTGGGTTGCCCCCGGATTCTTGACAAAGTTTGCAGCTTCGGTTGCGTGGCTTGCATTTTCTGCGTTGCTACATGGTAACATGCAGAATTGTGCGTGGCCCGAGTGCTAAATGAAATTGCTGGTCGTCACGTTGATTGATGCCCATGTTTTCGGTTGGACTAGGAGAAGGCGCTTCTGAATATTGCTATCGTCAGTTACTAACTGCTTGTGGGTCGCATAGTAGTATTTTCTATCTATCTGTTGTTTACGTGAGCTTGGCAAAACGTAGTGTCGGCTGTTGGTTGGACTGCTTCCAATCTTTGATATTCCCTCATGGCCCAGACAAGAAAGCACAACGCAGCAATGCCACAGCTCCCTTGTGCAATTCCGTCCCGGCAGCCGAGTCCAATGAAACACCAGCACTGGTCAGAACGTATTTTTCCCGGAAGGTTGAGATGTCGGGGGTGTCTGAATCAAGGCACCCAACGTGGGTCTCCCACACGGGCTCGGAACACTTCCGTGGGATAGTGTTGCTGGAAGCGGGAAGCCAATGAAAAGGAGGGGGTTATAAGCCAAAATGGCAGGAATTACGCAGTCGCCATATATTGAACCTGCTTGGCCGCTGGAGTTTGGTCAGGAAAAAGGACACTCGCCTTGGTATCGTTCATCCTGGAACATGATCTACGCACCAAGGCGTCCTGGGGTGCCCTCAGGCTTCAATGTGAAATCGGCAGATATCTTGGTTCGGATGGCGTGCCGAATCTGAAAGTGACACTGAAGCTTTGCCTATGCGGCTTGGTGTGGTTGGCGTTGGATGCCCAGAATGCTGAAGCAGGGCGTTGTATTCATCCACAAGAGACTGCGATGAAAAAACTGACGCGCTGTGACTTTCTGGTAGCTCAGAATTGAAATAAAATACAAAAAGGCATTTGGTTGAATACCAATACCAAGTGAATCAAGTCTGTGGGGCTAGTTGATAACTTCGACTTGCATTCGGATGAGACGATAATGTGATGCTTGACATGATAACAGTGGGCCGCAAAAATGCTGACAGATTTGCAAGGTGCCAGTCATGAAGCAGAGACTTCTTGACAGCCTGCTGAAATGACAGCTGAGGTTTAGAGTGGTTTGATGGACGGCAGGAGCGACTGCCTCTCCTCTTTGGATCAATATCAGTGGAGCCAACTGCGGGCAGGCAAGAGAGAAATCCTTCATCTTGATAGATCCGAGTGACCTACGCGTCTGTCAATTAGTCAGTTATCTCTTTTGTTTCTGTAGCATCTATCATGAGGTGGCTACCGCTCCAAGTCAGCTTTGAGAGACTGAGATCACTCCACCTAGGTATTCTAGGCAGCAAGAGTTCCCGGGAAGATAACTGGCCGATAAGGGAAATGAACTGAAAGAACCACTGGAATTTTAGAAGGAGCAGCACAGTCACGTAAGTGATGCGAAACCGATGTGTGGCTGATGCTCCGGATATCGGGGGACCTGGAGCACTCAAAAGTAGGTCACCTGCCATGGATTTGACAGACCGCTTGACGTTCGTCTGATATCTGTGTGATATTGTTGAATTTCTTGTTGAAAGTACGAAATCAACAATCCTGGTAGTAATTGTTATCTACACAATAAGTTACCCCAAAGCGTGTTTCCTTGCCATTCTTTCATCGCTTCTCCATAACAATAAAGAGTTGTCTCATCTGCTACGATAGAAAACCCAAGTAAGAACAACAGTGATGAGCTGCTATACGCATGGAGCTGTGATAAATCAAGCATGTAGTCCCATTACCAGTCTCTGTAGTTGTCAAGGTGCGTTTTTTAAGGTGAATGATGCCCATCACAGGTCAATGGCTTACATAATCATTTCATCTGAATAGGGGTAAAAGGGGTAACTACCTTGTTACACAGGCATTTCACAAGCTCCTTGAGCACACTTCACAAAATCACAGTAAATCTCCAGCCATTTATAATGAGCCTCATCATGCTGTGAATGTCCTGCTTCATCTTGTCGTTTATCTTTTGACAATGAATCAATGCCCTGTACCTTAATGGGTATTTTGATGCCTACAGGCGTCTCGTTTCTCATAGTTTGGCTACGTTACATACGGCAGTCACGCATCAATAACAATATTTATGGAGCCGAGAGAATAGCGCCGCTGTATTTCCTGCTCTCGGTTCAGTTTCATTGATGTCGGAGACTCATCACTTCTTCGTCCGAAGTGAATGAGAACAACTGATCCCCGCCCCCGTGGTACAAAGGCCCCAAGAATGCGACATCTGGCCCCAAGTTCAAACCCACTGACCTAATTTGTGGGTCGAAACCTGCCTGGGATGTGCATATATTATTTTCTCGCGGATTGCTCTTTCTCAAACTCTCCCTACTACTCACCCAGCACCCATTCGCTACTTCTCAGGCATTCCTAACGCCCACCATAAGCAGCCAACCTTCGTCCCTAGACGATTTTCTCCTCGAATCCATTTCATTGGCGGCCGCTTGCCCTGCCATTTTTACTCCGCATCCTTGTTGGCGGTCGCTTTGTCGTCGACCATTCTCGACAGCAAGACAATCGTGAGTTTCGCATCTCTTTATCCTACGAGGCATCTACCTCAGGTTCTTGATCAATTCACTGACAATTCAATCTCACCAGATCCACAAACTCGACAAAATGGGCCCACCGACTCCAATATCTCAAGCAGCCAGAAAAGTCTACAATGGCATTGAATATTTCTATGGATTTCCAAACTCGGAGCAAGTTTTTGTCCTCAACCTCAACACCAAGTTGAGAATGTTTACAAAAACGAATGCCTGGGGCACTGTGTCAAGGTCCGAATTCAAAGAATACATAAGTCTTTACCCAAGACTCTACCAGGTTGCCAACACGTCGAGAGATCGAATCCAACAGTGGCTTAATGTTGGCTACAACCGAGCGAACTTTGAGTCCTGGGGTCCAGACTTTCGCGCCTTCCTCCGTACTGAGGCTGAGGATCAAAGTACGAATACCCGGGTGAGAAAACCGGGGATTCCACCCCAAGCCAAGTGGCTGAACGAGGAGCACAAAGAGCGAGGGGCAGCGTTCGACATACGAATGGGGAGACAAGTTCAGGAAGAGGAGGGAGATGATTCTGTGATGGGGCCAGAGGACGAGGAGGAGGTCACGTACCAGCCGGATGATGACCAAAACGGCGGCGAAGAAGATGTGGAACAGGCAAGCATCTATTCAGAGCTTCCACACCTGCCCATCCTTGTTGAGTGTATCAGCTGACATCCATCCAGGCCCGTAGTCATGTGAATAGCTCGCAAAATGGTACCCACGCCACCCAGCAACCCAGAAAAAGAAGGCGCGAAGAGCAGTCAACCTCAACCCTAGTAGGTACGCCGTTTCCAGAATCAATGGCGCATCATTATCAGCTGGCCAATTCGTCGCAGCAGCAATTTGCACTGAGAGAACTACGGAATGCTGCGACCGGGTTCAGGACCCTTCATTCAGAGGTTCTGCGAGTGGCTCAAAGGCTGGAGCCCGGTGATTTCCTCCGTCCCTTGCTGTCGCACATTGCCAATTCCACGACCTTGGAGGTGGGTGCTGCAGAGAAAGCCGCGAGAATTTCGTCGGAGCTTATGGATCATGTGGCCAAATCTCAGGCCGAGGAGGGAAGAAGCGGTGATGACGAGGACCGAATCAAGCGCGCGCGGTCGAGAGCTGCCTATGAGATGCTCCCCACCGCAGCGCCGGCAAACAGACTCCCTCACCGCCGGAGCCAGCAGCAGCAAGCGAATCATCCAAGCCTCATCCGCGAAGACAGTCAAGCCCCCGAGGCTGACGATAATGTCCGCAGCCTAACTGTCCCGCGTGAGAGGTCACCGTCCCTTGGCTACGAACTGCCAGATCACCTGGCGGAAGGATACCAGCCCCTCTTTGAACCGGGTAGCCCGATTTACTTTGGCCCCTTGAACAGCCTTGCTGGGGAAGCCAGTTCTCGTCCTAACACCGCCAAAGGTGCTCAAAGTAACCACCACCACAACCGTGGGACTCCGGCTCCCGTCCCCGGCGCAAGTTCATACCACCGCGAGGCATCCATAGAGGAGTTCAGACCGGCCATTACAGCGAGAAACACGGGCACCTTGAACGGCCCTCATGGTCACCCTTCCCAGGCGCAAACAGCAGCCCCTCACTCCCATCACATGCCGGTCAACTCCATCGAAGTGCCTGGGTACCTTCCCTACCACGCCAACAACAAGTATCGGCCTCCTTCCCAGACCCCTTCAACAGTTTCTTACGCTTCCGGAACTGGAGCATCATCGTTGCACAGACACCCAGCAGTAGTCGAACCAGCCGCACCCCCTCCCGCGTTCTCCCCCCCGAACTTCGGTCCCGCTAATCGCAGGAGCACAAGACAAGCAAGCAGAGAACTCTGGACAGCTCAGCGGCCAAACCGGGAACTCCCACCCCCAGCCACCACCATCTCAACCCGCCAAACGAGACAGTCCAGCCAGCAGCCCATGTTGTCATCCTCCTCCGCTTCCCACGCCCCCCTCCGCGCTACAGCAGGGCACCAAAGACAAGCAACCCGTGGCAATCAAAAGGGAAAAACAAGGCGCAGAGTAGAGGTAGAAGACGAGGACGAGGACGAGAAGGGGCAGGGGAACGGTGTTGAGTAATCTACACCCTTTCCTGTTGCCAGCAGCTGTTGGTGTCTTCATGACTACTTAGCAGCACCACAGAAAAAGGACGGATCAAAGACCCAGGGGCTGACAAACCGGGGCATTGAATGTTTACTCTTGTTTGTTTCTGTTAAGAGGGGGGGTGGAGGGGGGAGGAGTTGTCTTGGTATTATCTTTCCCCATGGCGATGGATTGATTCATCTTGTTCTGTCTTGTTCGGATATATGCTTTTTTGTTGCTTTTATTGAGGACAACACAAGACGGGGTGTTTTTTGTCCTATTTTGCACACACACAAAAAAAAAAAGGGAGGGCGTAATACTGCGGTGGTTTTATTGAGGGGATGATGGGGGTCGATGAGGGCGCCAAAGTGGAGAGTTTTTTTTTCTTTTCTTCTGGCCGAGGAACCCTGTCATCATTGTTGAGGTAGGTACCGTTATCACCATCTTAGATAGGGATTATACCAAGTGTAGGAAAATCGACTGCAGCACAAGAATACGACGAGCAGTTCTATACCTTGGTTGTTTTTGGGAATTTATTGTCGTGGACCTGTTGCTGTTGACATGATTGATGTCAAGTGTTGCTGTCTCCAAGTCAACAAAGAGACAGAAAACACAGCGATCGCCTCACACCTGTAAGCAATGGCTCATATCACAGTATCGACCCCCCTGCCCAACCGAGTCGACCAAAATGTCACCATCAGAAACGGTCCCAGCCCTGTCAGCTGCTTGTCAAAATCCCCTCTGTATTCCCATTATCTATTTCCCACACATTACAATAATATCCTAGATTTTCCCCATGTCGTACACAACATAAATACCCCCTTGAAATAAACACAAAAGTAAAATGCCCTAGTTGATATCCCACTATTAAATGTCAATATATATCCCACTTATCATACCCTATCTTTATGCCTAGCCTTAGCCAGCATCTCATACATGGCCCTATCCTGCTTTTTGTTGCTCGTGATCGACGATATGGTGGTGCCTTGGTCGGAATCGCTCTTCTCGCAGCTCCCTCCGAGCGTACGCGTGCTCCTCTCCGGCGGCCCCTGTTGGGCTGGGAGAGCGAGAATGCTCCTATCGTTACGGTTATCATCCGAAAGGTCCATGTGACGTCTTCTCTGTTCAGCCACTGGCGACGGCTGCCGGTCAGGAGAAGAGTGATGGAGGTTGGTACCCACCCTCGCGCTGTCATCAAGATCGCTGGCGTGGCGGAAGTTTTTGAACAAATGCCTCAGCATTGGGATCGAGGCTGCCATGATGGTGCAGGCAGGCTCGATGAAGCCCCAGAGGACGAGTGGAAGGGAGTTGTCTGCGGGATGTGGGTTAGTCGATGTTGTTGTTATTGGGGGGGAGGGGAAAGCAACGCGGTCTCACAGCTAAAATCGCCTTCCTCCAGAACCTTTACGGTTGTTAATCTGAGAAAGATGTTAGTCTCTCGGTGGGAGATAAGAGCAGTATGTGACGAAATAGACTTACTTGACAATGCAAGTGATGCCGGCGAAGATACCCATCGACATGGCAATGGCGACCCCAATCTTCTCTCTGTTGTACATATTATATCGCAAAAGAAGTCTCCAGGGGAGTAGGGCAAGCGCAAAATCACAAAACGCCGAACATGCTGGAAACACAAACATGTTAGGTCGCTGGCTGAACAATAAGACTGGGGTTCTGTGGGAGTGGTGGCCTACATCCGACAAAAATGCTAAAGTTGATGGTAAACTTGACCGGCCAGCATTCCCCCGCTATCTCCGGGCGGTATGTCTTCTCCACGGGGTCACACGAAACCCAAAAGAAGATGGCGCTCAAGTAGTGGGTGATGTTGAGAAGGGCGAGTAGCCCGTAGATGGTCCATCGCATCCAGGTGTTCGGGCCACACAGCCGCAACAGTGTAATGGCAAAAGAGGTTTTGCTGCAGGCCACTGAGATAACTGATGAAAAACCGGATATATTGCTAATGATCCAGAAGACGGAAAAGTTCTCTGGCGGGATCTGGGGAGCCCGCAGACCGAAGCCCAGGAGGACATTGGTGGAAGTAGTACAGCAACTCAACAAGAGCATAATCTTCACAAACACAAATCAGCTCATGGAACGGCGGTGTGACGGGCAAAGAAAAATATTTTCATACCCATGAGAAGATGATGAAATAGTCATCCCACCATAGTGCTCTTCGTCGAAAGGTTTTGCTGTATATCCGTAGGGCGAGGAATATTCCGGCGACTCCCGTGAGCGGCCATAGTACTGCGTAAATCGTGATACCCTTTGGGTTCTCTGACAGAGGGACCTTGGTGACCATGGCGGGTGTGTACTGCGAAGCCGGCAGCCAGGCGCAGTCCAGAGGTTTAGCCGGGCCGGAGCCAAACCCGGCGGCGAGAGGGCGTGGATGGGACGATTATGGACTGTGGTCTCTCTGTATCGCCCGGATCATGTCGTCTCTCCTGTCTAGTACCGCGTATCTATGTGGTGGTCTGGTAGTCGTGATTCGTTCCTCATTGGCAGCTCATCGCAGTCCCAACTCGGTGGCTGTGTGATCCCTCCAGAAAGTTGCAATTGCGACTTTGCAGAATGACGAGCGGATGGTTCATGGAGGACCCTGGATCTGGGGGAAGCAAGCGGGGACCGCCAGATTTAGTACCTGCCAGGGGTGGGTGGTGTCTCCGAGGGAAACGCGATCGAGTTGCCCAGGCTCGCCAGCACTTGCAGGTCCACTGGAGGTCTGGCAGCTGCAGAAGACAAACCTGGGCTAGAGCGGCTCACCGGCTCACACGACCTACACGCGACATGCCAAATCGGAAGCAGCCGCGGTCCATCTTGTGTGCTTGGGGCGCTGGGTTGGTGACAGTTTGAACACCCCACATCCGTGGCTGACGTGCATTGCCAACCAGCAGAAGGGACAATTGCAATTGCTGCGCGGTGCGGGTTGTCGTCAGGGTCTGGCGTAGCATTTGCGATTTCGATTTCGTCGGCCCGACAGTCTGGGTCGCAAGCGATCAACATGGGAACACCGAGCAAGGCTTCAAAACCACATGGGGCGCCAAGGACGCCCCCCGTCCAGTGCCTCTTAGTGCACCCTCCATACCACCACTGCGTGCTGCGTATGGTGAGCACTGCGTAACCTCAGGAATATCTGTGGTTCCTGGGGGGAGATGGGCGAGGTGGTCGATTGACTGGTAGGCAGTTGGTAATACGGCGCAAGATACCGATAGACACATCACAAAGCGGCCAGTCAGGTGATGGTGGAAATTGGAGAATGCACCTGCAGCTTGTTCGTGGTTGAGGCGTCCACCGAACAGCCCTCATCAGCATCAAGAGGTCAAAGCGCGCAACTCGTCACAACCAACAGCACGTTTTTGATCTGACGAGTCCAGGAACTCTACTCTGTAGGTACATGGTCTTCATTCGGGTAACGACCTCGCGAGTTTCCGGTTGACCGGTCTTAACAAGCTACCTATTCTAGAGGCCGCACGGAACAACGGTCCTTAGCCCGGATGCAGTACAGGGCTCGGACAACGTTCATCATCTCAAGATGCCCAGGCTTTGGAAATGATAGCTGATCTATTCTTGTCGTGCAAGGTTGAATCACACCGGAAGGGTGATGAGGTTCAAAACAATAGGTGACCCAAGCGAAATGGCACCTCCACAAAAAGCTAGAAGCGATCGATCTTGCAGCACTATCTTCAGATTTATTCATGCAACTCGCTACCAGGCAATCATAGGACACCATCTCTGGATTCCAAGAGAGCCTTACCGGAAATCCTAAGACATATTGACGAGCTAGCTGTAACCGAAGGGTTTGTGAGATTCTATAGGGGGCTTTTAAGAGCAGCCAAGCGACGAGATTCCCAAGCCTGGAAGCCAAGTCAATTTAAGCTTCATGGGCCAATCGTGGCCCCATGCTTCGAACAACACAATGGGTCTGGAGAAGGGCAAAAGGCTTCTCTGACATCTTTTTGCTGGGTAGAGGCAGTCATGGAACTGCCACCTCAAGACTTCGAAAATGAGTAGAACTTTGTACAACAGTGGCTGGTTGGTGGTTGGCTGGTGGCTGGTTTCCCTGAAGAGATCATCAATCACTAGCAAACCTTTCACTGGGGAATTGAGGGTAGCGCCTGACCAACCTTCTGCACAATGATTATGATTGTGCATTAGTCTCATCACTTCTCACTTGATCCGCCACCACACCAATACACACACGAAGAGACATGAAGAATCCAGGTAGGTATCTATCCTTCCAATATCGCTGCTCCAATATACAGCGAGACACTCACTCGGCCACTCTAGTTTTTCCGGCATCAAAGACAATTACAAACCGAAGTGCCAAGGACTCTTCCGACATCTGGCGAGCCACTCAGGAAATGGACAAGTGATGTGACGATATGGATTGTCCATGTACTGGTTTGGAAGAGTTGGATCGTCTTGGTGTAACTGTACCTGCACATAATCGAGCCTTGGCAAGGGGTAGCAGCATACATATACCTCAGACGGATAAATGGTGTCGTTTGGCTGCACAAACACTTCGTTCTTGAAGATGGCGAACACCACATAGGTGTTTTCGTACAGTCGTTTGATCTGGACCGAGAAACTGACGAGATAAGAAAACTCGCTGCAAACTCACCTCTTGGATGGCCGACATCAACTGCCACGAGCTTCTCCACTATCTGCAACCCCTGTTCAGGCACAAGCCTGGCTATGATGTCAAAGAAGGCAAGGTTCCCATCGATAAGAACTCCAAACTGTTATTCAAAAAGTCTCCAGTTGCGCAGTTGGCCGATATTATGATAATTAACGTGACCTGTGTCAAAAGTGAGAGTTGCTTAGGAGCTGTAAAAGGGTGTGCGAAGGTATCACGTTGCCGGAACAACTGGCCCAGAAGGAAAGTTTCAAGTTGGCGGCAGTGAGCTCGTGCCAAGTTTTCTCAATCGCACCGATCGCAAGTTCGCATCCAGTTGCCAGACGCAATCGAGGGGTTTCCAGGTCTGTCAGCCTCCTAAGATTCCTCGGTCAAGGGGTGCTTCCAGTTTCCATTCCCTACCCGAAACACCTCAGCTCAAAGATTCGCTTCATGTTGCTCTTGTTTGCTCAACTCTGCTCTCAAGAATCGTCATCCAAAGTAACTCATTCTGAGCACCAACCATTTATTCATTTGCTCCAGGGACTGCTCCACCATCTACCCGACTGTCAGGGCCACCACTAACTGGACTCTTATTGAGTTTTCTGGGCCAGCCATCACATCAGGGCATCTTCCATCGCAAACCTACATCACAGTGCAGCAGCGCGCGCACGGCATACAACCCGAGGCGCCGTTTTCCCGTCGATGACGTCCTAATCAGGATTTTTACCACACACTGGAGCCCATCCTTTCGTCTACAGTAGGTTTCCATCAATTTCTTATGCCTGCACCCTGAGCCTTGAAAAAAGGTATGCCCAACAGCCCCGAATTGCCCCTCATTCCAAGCCTCCCCTCCCCCGACGACCCATTGCCCTGTCAGCCCGCCTCAATCCAACCCGGCTCAATCCAACCCGGCCCCGCGCCCGAAACCAGCCCGCCGCCATCGACAATCATACAGACACGCAACAAACACCTCGACTAGAGCTGTCGCGTTCCAGCCGCAAAACCGCACTAATCTATCGACTAGGTGCTGGTCTTGTGCTGATGAGGTTGGTTCACCCTCGATTTGCGCTGGGATTGGGACACTGCTGCGCTGCTGCTGCTGCTGGTGCTGGGAGGGGTTGCATTTTTCCGTGCTGTGAGGCATATGGTCGCTTGCTCCGCCGATGAGCATCCACCATCTTTCCCCCATCGCCAGCCAGCCGACCGGCGAGAGACCAGTCAGAAGCGCATCCAGTTTTCTGCCGCGACCTAGCCACCTGAGCTGCTCTCTCCCTACCGGACGACCCGCTCGCTGATGTTGGATCACTTTTCATACATATTAACCTCTCATGACCCAATCTTCTGGGCAGCAAAGAGCTAACTAGAGGGCATTCTTAGACAGACATTCGACATCCTTTCTGTATTGAAATCATCGAGGCCCTCTTCAACTCCCGAATACCCTCTGAATCTCCCAAGGCAATAGCATTGCCGTGCCAACCAACCGCCAGCCCAACGACCGACCCTCTTGCCTACTATTTGGCTTGGCTATCGAGTGGGAGCTTCGCGATTCCACACAATGAACGGATCATCACAACAACCGAAGGACGCTACGGCGCAAAGGCCATCATCAGCTGCGACTGCTGCGAATGTTGCGGCCGCTAACGGCAGCTCTGCGCTCAACAAGAAGAGGAAGAAGGACGGACTGAAGCCCATCATCACCACTGAAGGACCCGGGTACGTGCATTTTATTTTCTCCCAGGCTGTTGCTTTCCGCTTGTTCTTGTTTTTCATCCCGACCGGGAGATGATGCCGGCGCCCTGCTGGGAACTGGATGATGGCGGGGACGATGGCCCGAGGATGGGGTGCTGTCGATGTTCAGGCTGCTGCGCCCAGCGAGTCTAGAGATGGCGGGGTGCGGGCAAGGCGGGTCGCAGAGGGGAAAGCGCAGCAGTAACAGCGTCCATGCGTTGGGCGCTGCGACATCACGCAGAACAAGCGGGCGGCGCATGGTGAGTGGGCGGGAGCTCCCAGGGTAGGTAGGCGACGAGGGATGGACTGGACCCGCGAATATTTTGTTGTGCTGTGTGTGGCTCTAGTGAGCTGCAAACAGGTCTTGCATCGTCGCACCATCCTCCGACCCCCCTCTTACCGCCTTCCGACTCCCTTTCCCACCCGCCCGCCAGAAGAACTGCTGCCGTTGTCGTCAATCTGTATCAACACCAACCAGCACGCCTCCGATATTTTGACAGTCTCCACTAGCGCTCGCCTTGCCCAACGCTCCTCGATATGAAAACGATGCTAAAGACAAGGTCCCCGCTTTTTCCTTTTGTAACAAAGCCCGCCTTCCCCATTATCGGGCCGCCGAAAGTTCGGCACCTGTGCACAAACAGACCCGCGCCCAGCCAGCGTGCCCGCCCGACCCCGCCACCTGCCTTTGCTGCTCTGCTGCGCTGCGCAACCCTTCTTTGAGATTGCGCGATTGCTTCTTGCCGTTCATGTTGATGCTGTCATGGCATGTAGACCCTCTGCTTACACGTCTCTCACTACAGGGCTGCTCATTTAGCTTCAGCAATGTCGGGTTCGCCCACGTCAGTCTCCTCCCCGGAGGACCCCGCCGAGAACACGGCGGATGAAGAAGACTCCGAAGATTACTGCAAAGGAGGCTACCATCCCGTCACGGTTGGGGAGTCGTTCAAGGATGGGAAATACATTGTGGTGCGCAAGTTAGGATGGGGTCACTTCTCGACCGTATGGCTATCAAGAGACACCACTACCGGCAAACACGTCGCTCTCAAAGTCGTCAGATCTGCCGCCCACTACACCGAGACAGCCATCGACGAGATCAAGCTTCTCAACAAGATCGTCCAAGCGAACCCAAACCACCCAGGTCGCAAACATGTCGTTAGTCTGCTGGACTCGTTCGAGCACAAGGGGCCAAACGGTACCCATGTGTGCATGGTGTTCGAGGTGCTGGGCGAAAACTTGCTTGGTTTGATCAAGAAGTGGAATCACCGGGGCATCCCAATGCCACTCGTCAAGCAGATCACTAAACAAGTTCTCTTGGGACTCGACTACCTGCACCGGGAATGCGGCATCATCCATACCGACTTGAAGCCCGAAAATGTCTTGATTGAGATTGGGGACGTGGAGAAGATTGTTCAAAAGGTGGTCAGCTCCGACGCCGGCGAGAAGGAGAACAACAGGAATGGACGTCGGAGGCGTAGGACGCTTATTACTGGCAGCCAGCCTTTACCCTCGCCGCTGAACGCTAGTTTCGATCGCGGTTCGATTTTCCCCTCGCCTGGGGCGCCAAGTCTTGGCCAAATGCTTCATGATGGTGAGCACAAGCACTCCTTGAACCTCAGTTATTCACGCCAATCACTAACCATGACGCAGCCGACTCAAAATCAAAGGAGCCATCTCCTAAACGGGACAAGGAAACCGGAGAGGACAGGCAGGGCCAACGAGAGAAAACCGCTGATATCTTGACTAAGGAAGTCTCGGGTATCTCGTTGGACAAAGCCACGCCTCTGTCAACGGCAGGTGAAAAGCGCAAGGCCGATGATATGCAGTATGACATTATTAGTGTCAAGATTGCGGATCTAGGCAATGCGTGCTGGGTCAATCACCACTTCACCAATGACATCCAGACTCGCCAATATCGATCCCCAGAAGTCATTCTGGGCGCCAAGTGGGGGGCTAGCACAGATGTCTGGAGTATGGCGGCCATGGTATGTTGAGAGTGCTGTGTCATGCGTTATGGTGAGAGCATACTGACGGTTATACCAGGTCTTTGAGCTTATTACGGGCGATTATCTATTTGATCCCCAGTCGGGAACCAAATATGGAAAGGACGATGACCATATCGCTCAGATTATTGAACTTTTAGGCCAGTTCCCCAAGTCGCTGTGCCTCTCGGGCAAGTGGTCACAGGAGATCTTCAATAGGCGCGGTGAGCTCCGCAACATCCACAGGCTACGCCACTGGGCTCTTCCAGACGTACTCAAGGAGAAGTACCACTTTAAGGAAGAGGACGCGAAGAAGATTGCCGACTTTTTAACCCCGCTGCTGGAACTCACGCCGGAAAAGAGAGCAAATGCTGGCGGGATGGCGAGCCACCCCTGGTTGGAGGACACACCGGGCATGAAGGGGATCAAGATTGAGGGGGTCGAGGTTGGCAGCAGAGGAGAGGGAATAGAGGGGTGGGCGACGGAAGTAAGAAAGCGGTAGAGCCGGATTTTGGGTAGCACTCGAGAAGACGATAATGACCAGGGCTGTTTTTTTTTGTTGCGGGAACGATGATGTGGTCGATATACATGAGGATAAGTATACAAAGGAGCCAAATGGGGTTTGGGGCGGGGGTGATGTGGTTTTATCAAGCGGGGTTTGAAGAAAAAATCAGTGTCGATCGTTCTCTCTCTATCTCTGGGGTGGGTTGTGGTTGGGGCTGGGGTTGTGGTTGTGTATTCTGTCATGTTGTTGTTTTTTTGATGTTGTTTTTTGGCCTTAAACTCCAGCGAAATTCTGTTTGCGATTCTGAGACTATTTTTGTTTTCTGTTTTGTTCTTGTCTTTATTTTTTGCTGTCCCCTCCCTTCCTTCCATGTCATGATGGGTTCTGCGGTTGATGATCTAAGGCAAGCAAAGCGCATGCATGCAGGGCAAAAAATGAATCGTTCGTTTTGGGATGTTTTATACCTTGTTGCCTTGTTGTTGTTGTTTTGGGTAAGAAGGGAGGGAGGGTGACGGGGCGGGTTTAGATAGATGAGAGAACGGTTTATACTGAAGAGATGACGACCCTGTTTTTGAGACACTACTTCCCTTATACAACATGCAGAAAGAAGGGTTTTGATTATGTGGTGTTTTGTCTATCTGGAGTTTATATATATTCGCTGGAATTTTTTTTGGCGTTTGTTGTAGCAAAAGGAGTTTTGTATGTTTTGCGAGGTGAGGGAGAGGGCGAGGGAGTATAACAAAATTAACGATTTTCGTTTTTGCGTGGGGGATATGAGATGGAGCAAACACTGAGATGTTTGAGTGCTACCCTACCTAGATCCTGGTGAAGTTGAAGGCCAAAAGACCACCATTACAGAGCTTCTATATCACCCACAAACCACAGCAGCATATCGTCGACGAGCCTACTCAGTAAAGACAGCAAATGCCCTCTCGCGCTGAACAAGTGGCGCGAAGCTACCCTCGAGATGGACACTTCTCAAAGCTTCCCTAACATGTAAGCAACAAAAAGACAGCATTCCCAAGAACCACACACACACACACACACATGATACGCAGAAAAGACATGATGGATAGATGCATTATTATTTATTTCCTCTCAGTTCAATCTCAAAAGTTGCAACGCCGACTGATCAACCCTTCTCCAAACTCCCAACAGGTTCTAATTCCGTGGTTCTTCTGCCTTCACCGTCCCTGGCTTTTACTTTTTTTTACATTATCATGAATACACAAAATCCCCAGTCGCGACTTTATCAATTTGCTTCGCGGAAAAGGAATAAAACACCGAATGCTGTGGTAGACACATACCTACCTAGGCTGAAAATGCAGATGCGTGCCTTTGCAGCCTTTACCACCCCCACTGCCAACCTCTTTCAGACGCTCGGCCTAAGCTTTCCTCCCCTTATTCTTCTGCGTCATCTTCCTAAACGCCTCTATGCCACCAGCACCAATGGGCCTGTGTTCGCTCGACCGAGCCGACCCATCGTATGTGCTGCGTGGAGCAATGGTGTAGCTGGTAGGCAGACCAGCAGGTTGCGCGCGGTTGGTCTTGGTCTCGGGCGCAAGAAGTCTCTCGCGCTCGAGCTCGAACCGGGACTTATTGCCGGCTGGTCGCTGGGTAAGCGTAATCTGGGAGCTACCCATCGCTGTTTCTTGACGCTGAGCCATTTTGGCCGCACTGTTTAAGCAGAACGTTAGTAGTGTTTTGACACAGACTATTTGGATGAATACGTACGCAATGTCAAAGTCGCGAGTCTCGATTTGGCGTTTCTTGTAATCATCAGTCCTCTTCAGGATCGGACGACTCCATTCACCCACAAGACGCTCTGCAATGCGCTTGATGCCAATCTCGGGTCGCTTGCTTTTGGTGTAAAAGTAAACTACCTTGCCAATGCCGCTGCTGAGAAGCACCTCTTTGTTGACTGGAAGCTTGGTGAGAGCATTGAAGATGTCGCGCTGAATATTGTAAGCGGGGAGACTGCCGTCGTTCAGGGGCTCCAAGAAGTATTTGACAGCTTGGAGGAAATTGGTTTCAGGGTCGAGAATGGAATCTTGAACGGCTGTCCGGTTGAGAAGCGCTGTGACTTGAGGGAGAAGTTGAAGCTTGTGGGTGGCCGCAATGCCATCCTCACGGGCTTTGTTGTCAGCCACACAGGCGTTTTCCATGGCGACTTTGAGATTGGCAATTTGTTCATCGATTTCGTCCTCGAGATCCTGGACATGCGAGTTAGATACAGAGACAGGGCTAACGTCACCAAGTCAACAAGAGGCAAACATACGATATCATCCTTCTTGCGTCTCCGTTTGGTAGTGGGTTTGAGAGCGGCATCCATGGCACGCTCGAGTGCCCGACGCCGCCTCTCCTCTGGTGTGAGATTCTCCTCTGGAATCTCTTCTTGCCTGGGAGCCTCCTTCTTGCCTGATCGGCGGCCCGATTCACCTGCGCGCGCCTTGCGCGGTCGACGGTCACCATCCTCGATAATGTCATTCGCATCCAGGTCGTCATCATCCTCTCCTCTTGTCCGCTTTTTTGGCCTGCGGCCTTCTTTAGGTTTCTTGTTGGTCACGCTGTCGGTGATCTTCCTTCTGCTGGCTTTAAGTCCCTTGGTAATATTCTCGTCGATGATAATGTTGGACGTCTGTCTCTTCTCCATGTCGGGTTCATAGTGCTCGAATTCGCCTTCGTCGATTTCGGAAAGAATGTCATCGGACTCGTTGCCCGCATCACCGGCACCATCGTGCGAGTCCACGGAGGCGTCATCCCTGCGCTCCTGGGGCGGAGAGCCAGCGTCAGACATGGTGCTGTATTGTGAGATGTGTGGAAGGAGTCGGTCGCAAAGTCGCAGTCAAGAATTGGCAAGGCTGAATGAAGGGAAGTTCGATGGTTGGTTTGTCTTTTGCGATGGCAAATTTTCGGTGCAAGCGTCAAGCACCAAAAAAAGTCTTCGAAAAACCACAGGAAGAGCCTTTGTAATAGATGATCTGGCGAAGATGGAAACGCTGGCGATGGTGGTTGGATTCGGAAAAAAGTGGACGAACTGATCACGGTTTATCGACAGCCAGGCAACTTTGAGAGTGGCCGACGTGATGAAAGGCGTGCCAGGCGCAGGGAACCGTGCAGCAAGTCGGCCGGAGTTTCCCCGTGGGACTTCGCTGGGGTGGTCGTTATCCAGGCCCACGGTCCCCACTTGCAAGTCATCAAACACTTGCCACACTTTCAACAGCCAAAAGTCGTAACTTTATCGGGTTTAAACGTACAAAGACGGTTTAAATTGGGAGAGAAGTGCGTATAGCGTAAAGCGCTATTTAGATTGATCAATATCGATTTATCTTCTCAAAAAAAGGCTGTTGACTTTGGCATTGTGAAGATTTTAGACGGCCCGTGTGTTTTTAAGATGACTGTGAGCTTTGATTGGTGGGGGTAAGCCTTGGCGTGGACCTGGATAACGAACAGCCTTCGCTGTTGAAAGACACAGCTGGAGGTGGAGACGGAACAGGCCAGGGCTGACCTGATGTGGGCCGTTCCAGAAAAGTCCAGCTTTATTTGCCAGTATTTACATTCGCAGGCTTCCTTTTGTATTGGTTGCCACTGACAACAGCAATCCTCCATCAAGCTCTCTACCTCCCGTCCCAAGAAACATTGTAAAAGAGTGCGCCGCCCATCTCTCCACACTCCACCGGCTGCCCCGAAACTCTATGCGATCACAACACGAAGTCTGTTGTACTGCCCAACAGTTTTCACTTGTCTGCGACCGCATCTTGCACCATGGACCATCGAGGAACGGAAGGCCTCATGGACTGGGAGCCAGAACGCAAGCATGCTATTGACCCCTCCAGTCCCTTCGCAGCTCTGCCCAAAAAGTTCACCCTCTGTAAGTTCTCCTCCATTGCTCTCGCGCTACCCCGCCTGCAAAACAATAATAACGTTGCCGGCTACATGCCAACACATCAATTTTCACCTTTTTATACAAGCCCTTCAGCGTCATCACGATGGCATCAACTGACCGCGCGCCTTTCCCCATAGCTTCATTTGAAACACCCGTCTCACGATTCAGCAAAGTCAGCAATGACCCATTCGCGAGCGCGGTGCGCAAGAGCTCACCACTCAAACAAGACCACCCGGCCCCCCCACATGCCTCATTCTTTTCGCCGCAGCTACAGAACAAACCATCAGGCCCCGCGTTTCGGAATCCAGCGTTCACCACACCGCAGAAACGCTTCGAGGATGTACCAATGTCCGAAGTTTCTGACGCCGAATCAAGTCCCGCTATGACCGACACTTCGATTTTGCCAGCCGACACGCCAGACATTGAACACATCGGGATGAAGTCCGCTGCCACCCCCTCACCCATCAAACTGATGTGGAACCGGAACCTGGATCGGAATCGAACTGCCGGAAAGGGGGAGCTCCCTAAATCTGGAGCTCGTGATAAGGTCAGGAAGAGGAAAAGGCTTTTCGGCGACAAAGATGTCGGCAGTGTGAGGTCCCGCCTCGCCCACGACTTGGATGACTCAGATAGCGATATTCCAGAGAGCTCCAAGGCGCTGGTGACGAGTTCAAAACAGAAGGATAAGAAACGAGGCTGGTTGAGCAACTTCCTCGCGACTCTGAGCGACAACCCCAATGCGCCAGCTATTCTGTCCAGGTGGTTGCAACTTGGGGCAAATATCCTTCTCATGTGCCTTGCATTCATCATTGTCTTCGAAATGATCAAGCAAGTCCGGTCAGATTTATCGCACGAGGCTGGCAAGGCTATAGCGGCATTGCAACAGGAGATCAGGCAATGTGCAGAGCAGTTCACCCAGAATGCTTGCTCGCCCAAGGCAACTCGCGCACCTTATATGGAAACGGTGTGCACCCAATGGGAAATATGCATGCAACAGGACCCTCACGGCATTGCAACCACCAATATCTCGGTCCGCAAGGTAGCTGAGATCCTCAACGAGTTTGTTGGCGTTATATCCTACAAGACCTGGGTAAGTTTCTGTTGCTTTCGCTTTGCTGGGCCCACGTGCTCTAACATGTTGGTACCAGGCCTTCCTTCTTACAATATTCCTCGCCACCCTTCTTGCTACCAACATGGGCTTTGGTCGTCTTCGGGACACTGGCTCGTTCCAACATCCCCGTGCACCGGCACCTGCGCCCCCACTACAGTCACCTCCAGCTATGGCTCCGATGCTTCCAGTCTCGTCGGATGGCTTTTTCTGGGCGCCTGTGGGTATGACACCCAAGAGTGTACGGAAACAACTTCTCAGCGAAGAAACAGAGACAGAGACCGATAGCACCCCGATGATGAGAGCCATCATGCCGCCACAAACCCCGTCAATGAGGAGGAGTCCCAGCAAAGAGTACCGAGATAGGGAGCGAGAAAGAGACAGAAGTCCGTCCAAGGGTTTCAGACAAAGGAGCCCCAGCAAGAACTACTGAACGAACAACACACCGGTTTCTTTTGTTTATTTTCGCCATCGAGTTTCTGACAAGTGCTGGCAATTGCTGCCACGACCGTGTCACTGCATGTACTTATTCTTTTCTTGTTCTCATCTTATTCTGCTTTCATAGGCACTTTGGGAGCACGGAGTCTGCTTGGTATGTGGGTTGGTTGGGCTGGTTACGTTGGCGTTGAGCAGGCGTGCTCTAGTGGGGGTATTCGACATAATTTAATTCTGTCCCTTATACAATGCACTTCTATGACAAGTCATTGTGCTCGGATGCTGGCTCCGGATGCGGCCTCTATCCACGCCTCCTAGGCTTCCTAGTCGAGACTATGTCCGTCCTTATGAAGTTCCAGATTTTTGCGCCCGCTCTACCAGCACTCTGAAAGCTTGAAGTCTAGCTTCAAGTCGATGGGTGTGTACTAATCCCCACCATTCTGGGAGCTGACATGATGCCAAGTTGAAGGTCCCACAGCGGGCCGGGACTCGCTGGCACCCCGATTGGTAGATAGACGTTGAAATGACGATTGCCCATAACGTCACTTACACACAAGATCGAAAGCCTAGATCTGACATCTTACTATTCGAGCAGATTTGAGACGTTGAGGCGCAGTTCTTACCAATAATTCAGAGCCAGTAATTCCAGCGTGCAGTTCTCTTCTCGAACCCCGTTCCGTTTCCGGAATGTAACAGCGAACCCGGAAGCAAGACAGCTAATCACCGATTTTCAAGAAAAAGGGGCGGTTCATTTTGACATGCAGCGTCGCTTTGAGGTCACTCCAGACGCTGACTGGCTGCAACAGGACGACTTGCTTGGACCAGATATCTTACCGTAACCGCCGTGCCAATTGCTATGTAATTTGGATATGGTGTATACTTGGATATAAACAATCTATGCAGAGGCAGCATTGGTCTATCATTGCCATGTATGCCACTGTAGATATCATAATGCAAGAAACCTCTTTCATCTCTACGTTGATCCTGACATAAGATATAGTCACCCCCACATGTTTGTGGGATGGTGGTCCTAGCTCCCTGGGGTGTGGGGCCGCCTTTCAAGGTTGGACCTTTAATTGTTCTGGTTTTTCGACCATGATCCATCCAAGCTCTTTGCCGGCCGGTTTCTTAAGGACGCGGTCGTCGAGCTGCCCAAATTGCCATCATACAAGACGCAGCACTGCGAGGAGCCCCAGGCAAGCCCGAGCGCGCATTGCGTGTCGTTTGAGTTTGGCTTTCGACTCCCCTTCTCTATATTTTCCTCACGAGGCGTCCCATAGCCACCCAGCCCTTCGAACTGCCCCAACTGGCCTATCCGGCATGAGCATTTCCTACATGTCGTCTTCACATTCCCTCTCGCCCGTCCAGTTCCAGCACGTACGGGATTCCTTCACGACGCAGACCTGTCCGGACAACCCTCGACCCATACGATAGCAACTTGGAAGGAGTAGGAATCATCAGTCCACATTTGACGCGCGCTCTTGCACAGTTCGATGGTCCAAGAGCTCTGACCCCGCCACTCGGAATCTGTACAATTAGTGTTCCCTGTTGTTAAGCATGTTGGCGCACATTACCGTAGCTTTTCCAGATATTACCTTGCTGGCTCCGTGAGGCGGAGAGACAACAATCATAGACGACGGTCGCCATGGATCCAATGGACGAAGACCCGGACGGCGGCCACCCCGGGCCCTCGCTGCCACCGCCCACGCCTGGTGGGACCAACCCTGCGCCAGCCCATAGTTCGTCGTCGGCTGCTACTCCATCGTCCGTCTCGGCGGTTGGTCCTGCTTCTCAGCACTCCGGCGTGTCCAAGAGGAGGAGAGGTCTTGGGGTTGTGACACCGAATGCTTGCACCGAATGTCGCAAGAAGCGTGCAAAGGTTTGTGCTTCCAGCTGACAATCGTCGTCCTATAGGTCCTGGCCCCTAAGCTGACTGTTGATGTCACCACCTAGTGCGACGGGCAGAGACCATGCGGTCGATGTAAAACTCAGAAGGACGTGGAGTGTATATATGAAATCCCAGTCCGACAGTCCAAGGAGAACCTTCGAAACGAAATAGAACAGCTCCGGAAGGCGCAGCGCTGCAACGACAAGGTCTTCACGGCTCTCACCCGAAGCGACCACTGGGAAGATGTTCTCAAGCGGCTGCGAAATGGCCAAAGTGTGGAAGACGTGTCCGAATGGCTGCATAGTCTTCACTCCCAGCAAGGGGCTGGCGCGCTTCCTCCCATCAGCCGCATCATGGGCTCTGCGGGCGTTGGTTACGGCAGCGTGCCTCCGCGCGGACTGACTGGGTTTCCCGCTGGACCGTCGACCGGTTACATGCCGTTATCTTCCGCGTACCATGCTGTTAGCCCGGTGTCCAGCCATGCCCCGTATAGCACTCAGCCTGAAGACCACCAGAGTCCTTGGGGCGGTCATTTTTCAACCCAAAGCCACACTACCCGCAGTGATTCGGCCCCAGACATAATGAACTGGAGCTCTTCGGATACAATTCGACCGTCTCACCACTCCCGAGTAGGGTCGTGGATTGAAAGCCAGGGCACTGCTCCTCCTAATCCTGCTCGATTTCGGGGACTGGATAGCGTCTTGATTCCCGATTTTGAAGGGATACGGGTCCCGACGGCAACATGGACCAACATAACATCAGACCCAGCCCTTGTTCAGCATCTTCTGGCGCTGTACTTTTGCTGGGAATATCCCACCTTTGCGTCACTGAGCAAGGAGCATTTTCTGCGGGATTTCACCGACGGCCGGCCAAGATTCTGTTCCTCCATTCTTGTTAACGCGCTGCTTGCACTTGGGTGCAGATTCTCGAGCAAACCAAACACTCGGTCCAACCCAGATGATCCCTACACATCTGGAGATCACTTCTTCAAAGAGTGTCAGCGCCTTTTTCATCTGGAAACTGACCACCACAGTTTAACGACCATCCAGGCCCTTGGAATAATGTCCATCAGAGAGGCCAGCTGCGGGAGGGACTCGGAAAGTTGGTATTACGCTGGCCAGAGCATTCGTCTGGCTATTGAGATGGGGCTTCATCGTGTGGAAGACGACGGCAAAGATGACGACCTGGCTGCTGTCCAAGCAGCCACATTCTGGGGGGCGTTTGCCCTGGACCAGTAAGAAATCATTTCCACTTGTTGTTTTGCTTTTCACCCCTTTAGGAAAACTAACGTCACATTCAGCGCATGGTCTTTGGCGACTGGAACTCTGCCTCAATGCTCCTGCTTTCCACGGCTCCCGCCAAAACCCGCGATTATAGACGACATTGAGGCCTCTCTGTGGATTCCCTATACAGATGATGGTAAGGGGATCACCATACCCGGACCACCAACAACCGATGGAAGGCTAAACTCAACATCAGGCACACCGCTCGAGAGGTCGTGTGAGCAGCCCTCGAATGTACGGTCGGTCTACAAATGTTTCTGCGAGCTCAGTGAGCTTGTTCACCAATCCCTGTACATTATGCATTCCCCTGGGCGGCCACTCACCAGCAAAGACCTGCTTGCTATTTACACGCAGTATTTGGACTGGTACGATCGAATACCGGAGGTTCTCCGCCTGGGCCACAACTTCACCCCGGCGGTCTTGTTTGCCCAGTACGTTTTCTTGTTGGTCTTTTGCGTCAACTTTTGGATTCTTGCTCATACGGTTCTGTTTGGCAGCATGTACTACCATTTTGCCATTCTACTTCTGTTCCGGCCATTGATCAGGCTTCGTATCATTGGCTCGGGGGTCTCTCCCCGGGACGTGTGCTCCCAAGCATCAGACGCCATTTCTGGCCTTCTGCGCTCATACTCGCAGCTGTACACGCTGAGACGAACACCCTCATTTGTTCCCTACTTTGTACTTACCTCGTCAATCATGCATCTTGCCATTGGAGCGGCACGGTCAGAGGAGAGAAACAGGGCCCCTGAGGCCGGTGGCGATCTTACCCAGTCTCTCAAGAGAGCGGCACAAATAGATCCCCGTGTTGCTGATGCGCTCAGCCGCGGTATTGCTGACCTGACAGAGATGGCACCATGTCATCATTTTGCAGAACAAGCTCTCAACATTCTCCGGTTTCTTGCCAAAAAGTGGGACATCAATGTGGACATACAAGTTGCTAAAGGGGAAGCGAATGTGAGCGCGGAACCAGAGATGATCGATTCAGCAACTCGCCCATCAACAAGCAGCCTCAACTTTTTTGCCCCCAACTTCGCCAAGTCTGACTTCAACTGCACGTGGGGCGAAGGCGACGGAACGGCACCCGGAACAGGGAAGGGACAAGAGGGCAAACCGGCGGGCGCCGAGAATACATCCAGTAGCATGGAGAATCCTCTGTTCTGGCCCTTTCCAATGCAAGGCCGTCCGATGTTGGCCAGCGGGAAGGAATTGGAGGAGGCAGGCTTCGAGCTGCTGTAACAGCACACCTGTGACTTTGCTGATAAGTCATAGGTCACAAGGCCTCTTGAGCTTGAGATCAGTATGTCCGAACAACGGAAATGGGATGGTCCAGACGTGACTTGTTGAACTTGTGTGGGATTTTTGAAGCATCGGTTGTCATTGCTGTGCGGCGTTCAAGGCAAAATGTCCGGATGGCACAGCGTTTGGCTTACGACAAGATACCCCGATATACACTAATAACAAAATATGAGAAACAAGACATCGCCTGTCCCTCTCCCGTCTTTGCTGTGGATCCGTCCATACCCATTCCCAGGAGTCCTAAGAGCCGCAAATAATGGTTCCATTCTCTCCCGTTCCCCGCTTCCTTCCGGGTGGAAGGTTTGGGCTGGCCCGGCAGGCTCGGTGATGTTATCCAGTCGTCTTTCGCCCCCCGAAACACCACCCGCTGCTGGGGCACGGCTCACAGCTGATACGGAGAGAAGAGGCTTGTCCGAGTCAACACGCAATAGGAAGCTGCTGGCTCGGAGGTGGCTTAAGTCTAGAGGTAAGGCAATGCACAGGCCGGTCCAAGTTGATCGAGTTTCATTCTTTTCTTCTTCCACGATATCGGGCCCAGGCTTGGTGGCACCGGAGGGGCCCGCGACGTTGTCGTTATTACACCCACATTAACAGCCCCTTAGCCCCCCTGCCTACACGTGGTGTCTGGGGTCTGATGAAAATCTCTTTGAGCCTTGAGGGGGGACAGCAGGTTCTCGATGCTGGGCGTGATGATGGGATGGATGTGTGGAGAGATATGAGACTCTCGGGACAACCCTTCGCAACCCCTTCTAATAAGTGTCGTCGTCGAGGGGAAGCGAGGCCCGAGGGGCAAACAATGGACGAGGGGAGCCAACATCCCCACACGCGTGGTGATTGGATGACAGGCTGCAGGCTTGGTGTTTCGAAACGCCAGAACCAGCAGCTTCCATGGTGCGGTGTTGCCTCCGGGGGTCGTTTCAGGTGGTCAGCCCCTCCAAACGCTTCCCCAATCAGAAAGGCTTGTCTTTGCTGAAGAAGCTTGGGCGAGCACCTGCCCTACGATCTCCCGCACCCTGTCCTGTCTGTCTCTTTTTTCGCTGCCAGGTGTGCGGCCCAATGCCTGCTCGAGGTGTCCTTTTTGCTGCTTGACTGACGTGGTTGCCATTGCTTGTTCTCACAGTGTTATTTTTTCCCCCTTCTTGCTTCCATTTTGTTGCTCCCCCGATGCGTCGGTGCCTCCGCCCAGACCAATTCCACCCCCCTGGTCCCTGTCTTGTTGGTTAGAGTTGCACCATCCGATTTCCCTATTCCTATCAACACAAGACAAGAGCTCGAAGCTCGTCCCCTCCTCGTATTATATCCTCCAGTCTCCCGCCAGGCACGCGCGCCTTGTCGGCTTGATCACCTTTTTTTTCCTCCTTTTCGCGAAATCTTGCAATTGGCAGCTGCCATGACGGCCTGGTAGACCGGCCGCTTCTCTTCTTCCCACGTTTACCTTTACGCGTCTTCAATTCGAATTGTTTTCCTTGCCTTCTGAGCTCAGTTATTTCCTTACGTTTCAATTCCTGCCTTAGCTACAGCTTTTTCATCTGATTATCTTTCTTGATGGATCCGTTTGGGGAACCGGCCGCCGACACCTTGGCCGCGGCTCGTCTTCACGTCCAAGCCCTGACCGACTGTGGATTACCCCGCGAGGCTCTTTTGCGGGCTCTTCTGGAAAACTATGGCGATGGTATGTTGGCGCGCCAAGTTGGCGGTTGATTGCGAGTGTTAACGTGAGAATAGGGTCATCAACTGGGACTGGAGCCACCACCGTGGCGCCTGTGGGGATGGAGATGGGCGGCTACTCTCAACAATCGCAACAGCAGCTCCACCAACAGCAACAACAGCAACAGCCACACCCACAATTACAGCAGCAACAGGCGCTTCCTTCACCACAGTTGCCGTCGCAGGTGAACCAGCCAATCATTCCGGGGAAAATGATGCAGCACAACTTTGGTTACCATCATGGCACACGGCTGTCGATATCGACTACCTCGAGCTCGCAGTCATCAGCTTCCGGGAGGGCCAGCATACTATCGACGGCAACCACCATGAGCTCCGTCTCGTCTCAAGCAGCAGGAGGACAGGATATTGCGCCGCTTCCCACGCCGCCTGCGCCGCCCGTAAAGAGCAACAACCGGGGCACTTCCAAACCGCAAGGCGCATACTGGTGCACCTTTTGTGACGTTGCTTTCCAGCGCAAGTTTGACTGGAAAAGACACGAGGACGAGTTCCACGAGAGATATAAGCGCTATCCGTGTCCCAACTGCAATCGGATCTTCTGGGGAGCCAATACGTTCAATCAGCACCACAAGAACGCCCACGGCTGCACGACATGCCCGCACGCGGATCGGGTGGTGCGCTACACACAGCGCAAAACAGCATGGTAAGTTCCGTCCTTCATTTTGCTTTCTTATTTCTGCGCCTTCAATGTTTCTGAAGGTGGGGTAAGCAGCAGGATTTCTGTCCCGATCCTTGCTCAGCTGCCCGCCCCCAAATAAGGCTGCCAACATGGCGGCCAGAGTTGAACACTCGATCTGGTCAGTGAAGCGGACCAGAACGGACCACTGACGTGCTGTTTTCAGGGCCTGCGGATTTTGCGGAGGTTTTCTTGCCAGCCGCGATCGGTATTTCGACCATGTCGCCCGCCATTATGAGGATGGATGCAACAAGGGACACTGGAACCACTCACTCGTAATCTACGGCCTACTTCACCAACCTTCGATCAGCAATGCATGGAAGGAGCTCAATGCTGCACTCTACGGTCATTTACCACGCGATCAGCAGCCAATGCTGGAATGGGATGCCAAGGTGACTGGCAATGCGCCCGGCTTCCTGGAGGGTGAAAGCCCCGGCAAACTCCAGGATTTACTCGAATTCTTTAACGAAAGTAACGACGACCCGAGATTTCTTGCACGACTCGCCCACGACCAGGCGAAGATTCGATTCCGGCATGAGGTACTGCAGCCTGGCGGCATGTCTCCCACCGACATGGCGTCACGGCCTATTTCGGAGCCCCCGAAGCTGAAGTCCTCTGCTTCAGCTCAGACACTTTTGTCAAACAAGCACATGTCCTCGCCGCAGCCCTCGGGGGGGTCTGATGGGCCACCACCTGCATACGACAGTAGTTCTGTACAGCATGTCTTGAAGAAGCAGCGAAGCATGGCTCCTTCACTGGATGCATCGTATTCGAAGCCTCATATGTTTAGCACACCAACACCGCAACAACAGCCGCTGCCACAACCACCACAATTACCTTCTCAAAAGCTGATTAACAACCCGTTTCTTACTGCAGCGCCGGAACCTCAACCTCCCAACCTGCTGGGGATTCAACTGGAAACTACGACGTCTGGAGGATTTTACGACTTGACGCTTACACATGTGCACCCGCACATTCAGGGGCACAGTATGAGTGATATTGCACAGCAACAACAACAACAACAACAGCAGCAACAACAACAGCAACAGCAACAGCAATTATTACAGCAGCGGCAGCAGCAACTATCGCCGCAAGAACACCAGCCACAGTTCCTGCCGCAGATTAACCCGATCAATTTATACGACGACTGGAGTAGCATGGTGGGGACGATGGTAGACGACGGGTCGGGGACGACATGGTGGCAGACGACACAACATCCAGGTACACATCAAGGACCACCGCAGTGATTTTTCCAAGTCGCTCTTCATATCACAGCACTGTTTTTTTTTCCCCCGCTACATCACAAAAACCTTTTTCTTTGTTTGGAAACCCTCGGATTTGGACACGGTGCTTGAAAACAGGCAAGGCGTTATTCTGGGCAGCTGTTTTTCTTCTTTCCTCGAATACCCTTCTGAACATTTCTCTTCTTATACCCCCCTTTTGCGGGCCTGTCATTACTATATCATTTTTTTCGCACACTTTTGGAACCATTTACCTGTCGATTAGGTTGTCTTTTTTTTTTGGTGTTTTTTGTTTTGGATTTTGGACCATTTGGGTTTATATACGACATGGGTTGGACAGGAAGGAAGGCAAGGCATTGGAGGGGAAATGGGCGGAGGTCAAGCAAGCAAGCAAGGTGAATTTTGCGATGGAGGCATAAGTGGTTTGGGAAAAGGGTGTGCGGAGGTGGTGAAAGTTTCTGGATTTGTTCCATTTGGAGATTAGGCGTTCCATTATTGAGTACGGGAGATGAAAAAGTCTGACCGGGATGGCGAAAGTAGAGGGTTGTGGGGTTGAGAGAGAGGACTGGAAGGGGGGGGGACAGGGGATGTTGTTTTGTATTATATATTTGCTCCGGTTCCCAAAGCATGGTGTGTGCCCCCCCTTGGGAACCTGGAAAGCAAGGTAACGGAGAGATTTCGGACTTGGGGAAAATAAAATTCTTGAATCTGTCACCTTTGTCTTTTTTCCATGCTGCAATACTGGATGGATCCCGGGGCCACAAGGAGTATGATGGGACGGATAGATTGTGTATACCATGTCCCAATCTCGGAACCGTTCCAACACTCCGGTACCGATATTCATCAACTGGGCAGCCTTTGCTAACTTGGGGAGGAATCCACAGTTTGACCGTTGCCCAGAAGCATGTGATCGACAGATCTGCCTTGTCTGCCGGGCGCGGTGGGTTTTGGCGGTGGTTGTGGAGAAGAAGGTAAAGGCCGGGGGTGGAGGGGGGTGTTTTGGGGCGGCTCCGCAGAGCTCCGCAAACCCCGTTGTAATAAAACGGTGTTAGGGAGTGGAAGTGGGAAGGGTAGGCTGAACCAAGCGTGGGTCCGGGATATGGCGGGGGGGGGGGGGGGGTAAGGAAAAGTCTGGTGGTGTTGGGTAGGGAAGTTGGGGGGACTAGGTTGGTTGTTGGTGATTCGGTTTTGGAGAAAAGTATATTGTAGAGCTGGATAAGTTGGATAGTACCTGAAGTGTGCTGGTCTTAGAGGTGACATGTGGCTTTTAAGCTACCAGGTTGGATATTCGGTTTGTAAGGGTTGTTTCTGAAGATGTGGTCATGTAGTTGAATATCTTGCGTGATGCTACTAGCAAAATGTCACATTGCTGATGATATCTCTAACCGGTAAACTGGATTTTCATCTCAACTTTTGTTTTGGTTCATTGATAAGCTGTTAGAAGCACAAAAGATCAGCTGAGCTTTGGGAGAAAAAGGAAGGGAGTATAGCTGGTATGGTTGCTCCTTCCCTACACTCGCACAACAACGTCACTGCACACACTCACCAATCTGCGTCACACATTTCTTTCAAAAATACCCCGCGTCGAACAGAGTATTAGAAATCAGCCCGCGTTATTACAACTATTCCCATCAACAAGTTAGTAACTCGGAGTTTTCAACCCCCCGAGTTATGAATCATGGACTCGCCTCTAACCCCCAACCCGACCTGCAAAAGATCTTCACAGCTCCCGGGACCTCACACATACCATCCGGCCTCATCGTCAAGAAGAAGCATGACAAAGCATACCAAGACATGGCCCATACCTTCACCCCGATCCCCGGGGTGGTCCAGACCCAAGTCATACCGGTTTTCTCCCAATCTAACCACGCCACACAATATACATCACGCATGGCGTTGCTAGAACAACAACAAAACGGCCCAAGGAAAAACGTACATGTAAGCGACCCTTTTTTAAAAAGCGGGAAAACAAAAGGGGAACTGTCGCGATTCGCCCAACCAAACTTTACACCATGCGTTTTATTCGCTTGGCGCAGGTAAGGTAGGTTTGGGATTGCCTGCCGGGTTGGTACAAGCCGATATGCATGGAGCTATGTGTGTGTGTGCTTACTGTGCAGTGGGTTGATATTAGCCAACCGATTGTCCCGACTCGGGGAGGAATTATTGGGTGGGCGTCGTGGTGGTGGATGGGAGGCTATTTGTGGATGGCAGGGGTTGTTGAATCTTGATGGTTTCGGAGAGGTGTATATAAGTAGTGATAGTCTCGGACTTTTTGGGAGCTTGAAAAAGGTGTAACGGGGCTCTTCAAGGCTCGTTGAACAAGATGGCGAGGTTGCTGCTGTGTTCTGTTCAGCTGCTTGTGGCGAGGATCGTGGGGGTTGGAGCTCAGGCGCCGGGTGGTAGTACGTATGATTATGTGAGTGTTTCACCGTGTTGCTTGGAAGACCTCTGGCTGATTTATGACAGGTTATTGTGGGAGGTGGTACGGCGGGCCTTGCTCTTGCTACTAGGTTGAGTCTTGGTTTGCCCAGTGCCAAAATAGTTGTTATCGAGGCTGGGCCTTCTGGCCTGCATGAGGATGGTATCAACGTTCCTGGTTTGAAAGGGAGCACGATCGGAGGAAAGTATGACTGGTACTTTCCGACTGTACCCCAGAAAGCCTTGAACAATCGGGTTGTTTTCAACCCCCGTGGTAAAGTACTTGGTGGCTCGTCCGCCCTGAACTTGCTCACTTGGGACCGTCCGGCGGCGAGGGAGATTGAGAAGTGGAAGGAGTTGGGCAATCCGGGATGGGGCTGGAAGGAGATGGAGGCGGCTATGGAGAAGGCCGAGACGTTTGTGGGTGGACCGCCTGGCTCAGGGACCAAGGGTCCGATATATGCGCTGTACAATCGACAGCAGGCGCCTTTCCTGAATGCTGTTGCCCCCGCAGTTTCGAGTCTCCATGGTATCCCGCTGAACTCGGACTCGATCCAGGGGAATCCCATCGGCATCGGGTACCAGCCTACCAATGTGAACCCGACGTCCTACAACCGGTCCTACAGCGCGAATGAGTATCTTTCCAAGGCAAAATCAAACCTGGTGGTCTTGACCGAAACTCGCGTCGCCAAGGTCAACTTGAAGAAAAGCGGCAAGCTTCAGCGGGCAACTGGTGTTACCCTTACTGACGGGACCGTCATCACAGCCCGCAAGGAGGTTATCTTGTCTGCGGGATCCATACAGTCGCCAAACCTTCTCGAGTTGTCAGGTATTGGCGGGAGTGACATTCTCAAAGCTGCCAAAATCAAACAGCTCATCGACCTCCCTGGAGTTGGGGAGAACTATCAAGAGCACCTCCTGGTGTCGATCAGCTATCAAGTTCGAGACGACTTCTTTACCGGTGACCGAGTCAACTATAACTCAACTTACAGAGAAGAACAATGGAACCGCCGCCTCAACAACCTGTCCTCTTGGTTCGACGACGCTCGCTTTTCAATTCTGTTCGCCAACTGGAAGCAGATCATTGGTGGTTCTGACAACGCCCAGGTCGCCCTGGCTCGCTCTCTTCTCGCTGGGTCGAAAGATGTTGGCCACAAGTGGAAGCTAGAGCAGCTTTCCGACCCCAAGATCCCCCAAATCGAGATGATCTTTACCTCTCGGTATTTTGGCAATAAGGGATACCCCCCTGTTGGATCCCCCTTGAATGGAAAAGGCTTTATGGCCATCATCGTCGGCCTCATGCACCCCCTCGCAACAGGGAGCGTGCATATCGACCCTGCCAACGCCACCCTTGGGAGCCCAATTATTGATCCAAAGTTTCTCAACAACGAATATGACATCCAGGGATTGATTCACGCCTTGAAGTTTGCGAGGAAGATCTTCCAGACGGAGCCGCTCAAGTCGGTGGTGGTGAGCGAATATGAACCCGGGCTGGATGCGGTCAAGACGGATGCTGAGTGGAGGGCGTATTTGTTGCGGAATATGGGGATCATTTTTCATCCCATGTGCACTGCGGCGATGCTGCCGAAGAAGGACGGCGGGGTGGTGGATCCGAAGCTGGTGGTGTATGGAACGGAGAACCTGAGGGTTGTGGATGCGAGTGTGATTCCGGTCCAGATATCGGCGCATCCGCAGACGGTGGTGTATGGGATTGCGGAGAAGGCGGCGGAGATTATCATCAAGGAGGGGAAGGGGAGGTAACAAGGAAGGGAGACGGGCAGGATGTGGGAAACATATGAAAACGGGTACATAAGGGAAGATTCGAGGGGTTCGGGGCATGTTCAACAGAGATGCCTTTGACAGTAACACTGTGCAAGTCCCCGTAGCTTCTCTGACGTCTACTGCTCGTGTGATAGCCATGTGATGCTTGCTGAATAATAATGTGGGATATCAAAACTGAATAGGAGGCAAAGACAGGAAAGGTACGAGCAAGATCCAAGCCCTAACATGAATGAGGTGTCTACTCTAGAAAAAAGCAATGCTCAGCTGAAACGCTCACTGATGCACTGTAAATGCCACCGTCTTTCCATCCCATCTATCCTTCAGTTGCACTTCTTTGGGGTGACACAATGCAGGCAATTTCCTCTAATTCTCCCGGGTGATCTTCTCTACAAAGCTACGGGAGAGGTCGTGCGACACGCCCAAGTCTTCCATCAACTGAGCGAAATCCCGCCCCAAGCGCTCTCCCCGCGTCTCCTGCCCAACCACCGTCACCCGCTGGCTCTCTCGTGACTTCTGCAGCAATCGACCCAGCGTGACCTCGAAGCGACCATCCGACTTGCACGCCGAAACCTCGACAATGGTAGCGCCAATCGTGAGCCACCCCAACACCATATCGATGCTGGTGGATCCTTCCATGAAACGAAATTCTATTGTTCTCGGATTGGTTCTTGCCCGTTCGTCCTCAAGGCCAAAAGCGCTGAAGTTGAAGCCCAATCGTCGGTGCATTCGAGTATCGCCAGAAAGCAGCTTTCCGAGCTCTTCGTGGGAGGTTTTACTCCAAATCTCCCGAAAGGCAGCCAGTTCCTTTGCCGAGACAGTCTTTTGCCCGCATATTGCTCGGACGATCTGCCTATCGGAGATGTCATGTGCCTGTCGGGCGACGGCCTGGCGGGTGAGAAGGCCTTCCAACCCGTCGAGACTCCTGGCCAGCCGACTGTGCTTCACGAGCTCGAATCCCCACGAGTAAATGTTGTCATAATTGGGAGACTTGGGGTCCCTGGTGCTGCGGAGGGTGGGTTCAGATACCCAAAGGATGGTTGCGAGTCTCTTCAGTGTCGACAGAGAGTAGGGTTGGTCATCGATGCGTCCGAGATGGCAGTGCGTATCACAACTTCCGTTGATAACCAGCCGGTGTTTCGACATCAACGCCTTTAGAACCCTTTGAACACGGTGGCGGGTTTGGCGGTCGTTAGCCAGCATTTTGGGTGAGCAAATCTCGGCCGACGCCCATGTATATCCTTTCAGCAACTTTTCCTTCTCCAAAGGCTCTGGGGACCCGGCTTTCTTCACGATCCATGCCGACGCCCAGAACTCGCTTTCCTTCTGGCCTCCTTCCTCAATCTCGGCTTTGGTGATGGCGTTCTCTCCCGTCTCTTTGATTGTTTGGGCCAAGAGGGCTAAAACCTGCTGTTGACTAGCGGGCTTGTCGCCAGGATACAACGCCGTCTGGAGAGGTCGCGGATCGTTTGGCTCGGGATCAGAACACCCCGGAATCAGGAGCGGGTAGAGATACTTGAGCTCAACCGCCAGAGTGACGTCTTCCAGTCTGTCCTCAGACTCATCGTTCTCCACCTCGATGTCCAACTTGGGGCTGTCGTGGTAATGGTGACCGGTGTGATGGTTGAAAACGTAAGGGATTCTCTCCGAGTTTGGGGTTCCTTTCACGGCTCGACAGAAGCACCCCAAGAAGGCCCAGATACCGCGCGTCTTAAGTTCTTGCTCCACAACCACGGTGGGCGTGGGCAGATCCATAGGCCAACTACCCATGGCACCGAGCTGCCGTCTCATCTGATCTGGCAGCAAATTGAATTGATATTTTGGCTGAACACAGAATATTTGGTACTCCAGTCACCCTCATGCCCATCCGCATTCCTTGGTTGCGAAGCTTCTGGCATCAACAGAGAAAGGAGAGCCACCTCGACAGAATACTTTCTAGGTCACAACAGCAAAACCTGGCACTCTAATATTCTGGCAACATTCAGACAAGAGAACACTTCGGGACATTGGGCGTCAGCAGAGCAACTAGCCGGTATGACAGGTCAACGAATCTTACCAAAGGGAGCTGCGGCGAGCCTCACGAATCAAGATAAGATCCAACGCTCTCCCTCCAAGTACCCAAGAACCCGAGTTCGGGGCGAAGAGCATGTAATGCGAGTCAGCATGCCGCAAGAAAACGTGGGGAGTTGATGTCCCACAAGTACCTGGAAGCCCCGTGTCACCCCAATAATCGAATAAACGCCTAGACAAACCGAAAACTACCAACAACTCGAGCCCGACCGGACAGCTCGGTAGGTAAAGTGACAAGTCATCTCTGGCCCCCCTCTTATTCATAATCCATGACTGTTGGTACCTAATGACAGTGGTGTACTTGTCCAGATTGAGGGAATTCCCGGCAGGCCATGGCGCATTGGAGTGTGCCGTTGGCTACGATCAAGACAAGAGGTCCTTTGGATCCGGACGGCCTTGGCCTCTTTCGGGTGTTTCAATAAGCACGAAAACACCAAGAGTCTGCAGACAGGGGGGCTGCATGACCCCGTGCATGCTTGATACATCACTAGACTCCCACTTTTGCACCTCAAGTCGAGCGCTGTTCCTTGTCGTACAAGGTGTCATTTGTTGCGCGCTCGGTTGAGACCCCTATAACGCCATTCACATTGCTTCTTGGTAGGAGTAGTCCCCCCTTTCTCTTCTCACACCGCAGGTCTGCACTCACCTATCCCAGCCAACGCATCCCGTGACGAGTTCGTGTGGGATTTGTGGGTCGTCGCCGATAAGAGCAACGATGAGTTCGCCATCTTGTAGCAGATGGCCACGATGGACGACCCACACACAGACTCGGCACAGTGAGAGCCATGAAATCCAGAGAGCGGTCAAACCCTCCATTTTCAGACATTTATTGACCAAACAAAATGTCTCTCCCACTCATTTTCACACCACTACCCCCCATGCTTGGATAGCCCCGCCCCCACACTGCTCGTGTTTTGCTCCTCTCCCGCTGTGCCGTACGATGGTATTCCTGGGCGAGGATGGGGTTGATTGGAGAAGGAAGATGCCGAGACAAAAGCCGGGCCGGACGTCAATCGAATCTAACACTTTCGCAGAAGTTGCTGAAATCGAAGAGGATGACACGACTCGCAACATCAACCATAAAAGAGCTTTGTATGAGCCGAGAAGGAAATCAAAGCATTCAATTCAACTTAGATCATGGCGGGACGGGCTTATTTCAGGCAAAGTCAAAGCCCAATCCAACCCGGCATATATACGATATATCTTCTCCCACACACCAAGTCTTCGGGTTTTTCCAAGTTACGCCAGGTTTTCTCGATCTGGTTCGATGCGCGGCAGGTGCCGAGGAGGAAGGTAAGGAGGGCGGCACCGCGGACGCCGCCCCGCCCGTTCCGCCTGCACAGACTCTGCTTGACTGCAACCCGGCGAGTGTACCGCGTATGCGTGTTATGCTGTTTGTTGCTGCTGTACATATGCAACGGCGTAGAGGAGGACGGTGGTGGTGGTTGGCAGGTGTCATTCGGTGTTTTGGGTCTGGAGGGTTGTAAAGGAGGGCGGTATTATGCTCATCATTCTCTTTTTCCTGTTGCTGATGTGTGCTTGCGTGATTGATGTAAGGATCAGACATTGGTTGATACCCTACCTTACAGTGTTGTGTGACCTTTTCCTTTTGGTTGCTTTCGGATGTTAGACACCGGCAGATGGAAAAAGGGTGAGAATGGCGGTGGGTCGTAACTGAAGCGGATATCAGCACGACATGGTTTTTTTACGGTGGACAGGAAAGGTAAGGTAGATGTGGTGTGTTTGTGTAACGTGGGGAACTTGGTTGATTTTTTTCTGGGTACCTATCTTTTTTGGCCCGGCTGACGGCAGGGTTGACTCCAAGATGATGTGATGTGTGACAAGGGTGAGCAGGGGTGGATTTGCTGATATGTCAGTGTCTGTTTGGGAATTCATGTGATGGGGCTGGACTGTTCTATTTGATGTCAAGTAATAAGGTATGGTGTTTTCTGTTGGTTGGACGTGCGCTTGTCTCAGTGGGAGAAGAGGTGGTGGTGGCGGTTGGGTGTGACACGTATGTAGAATGTGAGCTGGATACTGGAAGGGGTAAGCCGGGAGGGTGTATGGGTGCTTTTGGAGCGAGGATTTGTGTAACGGGGTGTTGGGAGAAGGAGAAAAGAGCGGCTTGCAATTGGAGGGGAAGGATATGTTGCAGAGAAACCCAGGCTAGCCCGCAAACCTTCTTTTTTTCCCCTTTAATTATCTTGCGATTACGTTAGCTACAAGGATGAGTTACTAGTGTTGACTTAGTTCGACCTCAGCTTCGTGAGAGCTGCCCTGTTTTATATTGAAGTATCCACGTGCTTTATAGAGGAATTTAGCTTGTTACTGACTAGTAGCCTAATACCTACGTATCTAGATAGATGAACTGGTGTTCAGTGCTTTCGCTTGAGACTTAAGCTCTGAAATTCTTCAACCAGCTTTAGTTGGTCAACCCATGATCAAGGTGCCTGGTAGTCAAGGACACCTACGTTGGTTAGCTATCTATGCTCGCGATTTCAAGTTCCGAGTCGGCCTTTCTTCCCAGAACCTACGTATTGTCTTATTTAATCGACACAAGTTGGTATGCAACAAGAGAAAATGAGCATCTGGGATTGATTTATGTTCGATGTCGTAGGTCAAGATGACTGCCGTGAACTTGATATCTCACTGATCATACATATGATTCCAGGGTCTTTTGATGTTGCGTGCTATGATAATGTACCAACGTCTTCAACGATATTCACATTGAGGCATTGAATTTGTCGTAGTCTGAAGCAGGGGAGATCACTAGTCAGGAGATCGGCTGAAGTTGGCAAACAGCAAACACTTGGATTTACATTAGATGGTCTGTTTGTCGAAGACTTCTAAACCCCAGAGTTCCGCCTCATCCATCGCTTCCCCTCCCCCTTGACCGCCGCCTTTTAGCTGCATAGAAAACCAGACGAAGATGATCCCACCAATTTGTGCTGGCGAGCATGGTGGAGCTGAAAGGGAATAGCACACCACGCTGGACTTGTGTCATCATGGTCCAGACGGGGGCCACAACTCGAAGGCATCAACTAGTGCGAGGCCTGCCCCTTAGCAAGTAACGCCACCAGGGCAGCAGTCCTTGGAGCAGTTGGCAATGCAGAACTGGTCGGTAACGCTGCCTCTGCGGCAGCCGGGGATGCAGAAGAGTTGATGGCAGAGGCAGAGGAGAGAACGAAGACTTTATACCTATTCTCCTCAGGTCGCTCTGGTATCAAGACCACTTGCCTGCTTCCATACAGATACTACATCGACGACGACAGCAATCTCGACCAGCTCATCGGCCCACTGGGACAGTATCTATCCCAGATCATAGTGTGTGCAGCTTGCCATCGAGTGTTTAGCGATGCTGTGGTCAGATTTTCACAACAGCTAATCATCAAGGCTTTTACTTTGTTGCCTATGCTAACTGATATCCACCATGCCACTTCAACACTGCCAGCAGTCCGGAGCCGAGCATTACTCCACCACGGCAGCGGCCAGGTCGGCTCTACAATCTCACCGTTCGCAGTCCGCTGCACTTAATCGGAATACGGCCCGAGCCGGCATGAAAATCGCAAGCCATGGCATGAAACAGCCGGGGCCGGACTTTTGATCGGTCGGTAAACTGGGGTAGGGGTTTACTGGGCACTCGCTTCAAGCGAGACCAAGCAGGGCTGACGCCGAGATGGACGGCCCGGATCTTGGGTGGAGACTTCAGTCCTCGTAAATTATCCCAATCATTATGGAGCGAAGTATCGGAATCGCGGGTCGCGATACCGTTTTCCACCGCCCTCTCAAGGCAGCAGGATTCCTTCTTGGCAAGGCAGGTTTTTGTTTTCACAGTTTGCTGCTCACCAATTAACCCAGACTTCAAAGACCATCAGGTTAAATTCCAGGATAATGAATCTCACGTTTGGTATTGATTGAATCTTACAGTTGCTTACCGGGAGGTTATCAGGAGAGAGCTGCTGGCATCGTAGACTTGTTGAAACTGAGAAGTTGCTAAGAAGGAGAGCTGTGGAAAAGTAGAGAGTTGCTGAGCGTTATGCAGAGACGCCCATTCATTCTACATGAAAGAAGAATTGAGCAGAGTATACTCCGTATATGTTGTTCTCAATGAAGCATGTTGATTATCCAGCATCTGAGATGGAGCTCCAAGCATTATCAATGACACACCCGTATAAATCAGATCAGAAAAAAACAGAAATAATATCAGACCAAGGATCTCACTCACCATCATTACAACCCGCAGCACGAAGAAATACCACTATCTGCTACTTTGCAGTTCTAGAAATCAACTCGCCCCCATATACATATACTACACTCTACAACACCAAAGAACACAGCTTGTAATGTATAAAAGAAACAAAAGCTAACCGTGTTACTAGCCACCGGGTGTATAAGTAATGCACTGGCTTGCAAACCCCGAGAAAGAAAAAACAAAAGAAAAAAACGCCATGCAAACCCGCCCACCTACCGGTTTTAAAACACGGACATTGCCTTCCACATCTTTGATAAAAAACAAACCCACAAATCTCATTCCACACACATACACACACACACACACACACACACAAGTTCCTGCCTGTCTACACATATCTCCACAAAAGTCCCAACCCGGCCATCATTACAGAAATTCCACACATTTCATATCCCATATAAACCCATTCCCAAAAGTTCCATCACACATTACACCCATAATCAAGCAACCCTCTTCCCTCCGCAATCCGGAATCGTCACCCCCGGCTTCAGATTCCTATTCACATCCATCAACCCCCACTGATCCTCCCACTCCTTCCCTGGTTCATTAAACGCAATCTTCCACGGCTCATCAAACGCCGAAAACCAAAAGTAATTGATATCCTCATCCAACGCCCTGCAAACCCAGTCCTCCAACAGCTCATTCATCTCCTCGACCCCCGCCACCGCCTTCTGAGGACAGTCCGTCTCAAACGCATTCCCGCACCCCATCCCACCCGCCGAAGGCCACCCAATCTCCGAAATAATATTCATACTGTTGTCCTTCTTGAGAAAAGTCCCCGCCTTGTTCTCCCAAAAAGTCAACGTCCAGTTCGCCGCATTCCTCGCAGGCTCGCCGGCAAAGAAAGGGTGGATATTCCCCATGATAGCGTCAGACTGCGCAGCCAAAGAAGAATCCCACTTGTCTCCCAAATCAGACGTAGCGACCGGCAGACTGAGACCCTTGGCCGTGAGATTGGTGCGCACCTCGGCCAAAAGATTCCCCAGCGCCGTGAGCGTCATTTGCTCACGAAACAAAATCTCATTGGCAACAATAATGCCCTTGAAATAACTATCGCCATACTGGTCGAGAATGTCCCACATTTGATCCAGCTGGCGCTTGTTGGTCGTGCTGTTAGCATCCTGCCAAACACCCAGCCAAATCTTGACGTCATCCTTGAGCTTGAGCTGGTCAACGGCGTGGATGAGCATCTGGGTCTGGTTGCAATCGGTTCCATAGAGACGGACAACGTTGGTTAGCTGGGAGAGGACGGCCAAGTCGCGAGTGACATTGTTTTGTGATGGCGGAAACTTGACGCAGTCGGGATACTGTGAGTGAATCGGGGTATAGTCCATGCCGGGGAAAACCTTCTTCAGGTCGGTGTTGCCCATTAGGGCCTGGATCTCGGCCGAGTTGATGTTGAGGTCGCCGTTGTTAGCAAAGTCGTCCTCCGCTGACCCCCCCGGACTAGCCTTATCGCCACCGCCTTTTTTGTTGAACACGGCACCGAAGAGGACACCAACTACAATGCCGACAATCGCAAGAATGGCGACAATGATGATGATGGCGAGTCGCCACTTTTTCCCGTTGCTCTTTGCAGGCTTCTCCTTGTACAGATGGCCGTAACCAATGCCCCTTCCAGAGCCTGGTGACACATCGCCACCATTGTTGACAGGCGCATACTGGTTGTTGATGTTACCGCCGCTCCCGTTACGACTCGCTAGACCCGACATAGCACCGGCAGCCATGACACCGCCGGCAACGCCGCCAGCAGCAGCGCCCATTCCTGGCCCACTCCTATGGCTGGATCCCAAGCTCAACATGCTCGTCCGTGGTCCCTTCTTTGGGCCATAGTGAAGCCCATCATCGCCATCATCCTCGATCTCCAGGGGATTAACCACGCCAAGATTGGGATCTGAAGGGCGCACATATACCTGAGTTGGATCATCCGTGTAGGGATCACTCGCAAAGCCGTACGGACTCCTGGACGGCGTCGTGTCCCTTTGGTGGTTGTGATGTGCTGCCTGTGAACTAGACCTCGAGCTCCATCCCTCGCCAGGGTGGCCGTTCGGCCCCAACCGACCTCTCTCACCGTGACCCTGTCCCTCTTCTTGCCATTGCCCTTGCTGCCGGTAGGCTTGTTGTGGATAGTTGGGATCCCGCGCGTTCTGGTCCGCAACGTTCATGGCGATGCCCGCCATACCTCCGGCGGCCGCGGCGTTGCCAAAATTGTCGGCTCCGGGGGTGACGTTGCTTTGCGGAGCTGGACGCTGAGGTGGATAAGCAGGCTGGTTGCTGGCCCAAGACCTTCCGTCTCCGGCCGTGTTGGTGCGGTGCGGAGGTGGCTTTGGTGGAGAATATCCGACTTGTTGTGGTTGTCGGTAGCTGTCGGGTGTCGTCGCATATGCTCCCCTGACAGCCGGCTCTTGGCTCTGTCGTCGCTGGTGTCGAAGGTGGTTAAAAGAAGAATCGGGATGGGCGCCGGGACGAGTTCTCGGCGAAGATGGATTGTAAGGGTCTTGTGGGTAGTTGTTTCGGTGCGGCGAAGGGGGATTCGGGTGACTTAGAGGTTGGCGTTCAGCCATATGGTCCTCTGTATAATATCTTGGCTGCGCCATAGTTGAACTCGGACTGAGGCGCAGCGCAAGCGAAATCGATGATTGCAGCAGGCGTCACCTGAGAATGGACAGCCCTCCCAAAGAGTTCGTGTTGCCCAGTGGGTCGCACTGTCAGATGTTGTCGTGGTTTGCCCTGGTGTGTTGGAGAATCGAAAACGGATTCTGGGGCCTGAATGTTCTCAGTGTTCCAGCAGAAGAGAACTGCGCCCGGATTTTGAATAGGGGGTACACCGGATTTGGGACTGGCAGTGAGACAGTGGCCGGGACACAGATGTGCCGTGTTTGCGGCGTCGAGTCTCGTGGAGGTGTTGATCCCCGAGCCCCACCAAGGTGTCGCAGTTTGTTTCGCCTTGCCCAGGCTGTTGCTTTTCGCGGCAGACGAAGTGCGCCGTCAGCAGCGCGCAAAAAGAGCTCAATGTCGAGCGAAGTCCCTTGCCGTCAAGCAAAAGACGTAAAGGTCGAATGATGTGATTTTGGCAAAGTATTTTTGCCGTTGTGGGCGCCGTGTGGGAAACTGCTCAGTCAGACACGGGGTCTCGTATATTTGGGCTGTGTTGCGTTGCCGTTGCCCCCCTGGTTGTCGCCGTTGCCAGGTTAGTTCCAGACTCTCGCCAGCTTTCGTGAATCCCTCAACTGCAACGTTGTTCCCAAAGCGCAAAAACACAAACTCCCGCAGACGTTGCCGGAAGGAAGAAGCGATTAACGACGGTCTCGGCAGAAGACTGAGAAGAAACGAAGGAAAGTGGAACACGAAAAGAAGCAGGCAGGTTGGTGAGCAGGCACACGAAAGCAAGAATCAGGAGGAGAGGAAATCAGATCGACGCCACAACAGGGGTCTGCATACCGGATTTAGAGAGCGAAAATGCGGCTGGCAGCCTGCAGCAAGCAACAGCAACGGCCTTTTGCGCCTGTCAAGAAAAGGGGATCCGACGACTTCCCGTCGGCCTCAACGCCCATCAGCCCGGCCACCGTCGCGCACCAGAAGGGGCCAAGCGCCGAAAAACAGTGGTGGTTGGTGGTGGCTCCCACGCTTCAATTGGCCAGATGTGGTTGGCGGGACAGGACCACGACACTGCACCAGTAGTGTGCCACCACTCAGCTGCTTCCAGCCACCGGTGACTGTGGCTCGATTTTCCTCCTGCTTTCCAGCCATTTCCCCCTGTGCTGGTTGATAACCGTTTCAGCGTCTGTAGGCAGGATTTTCCCCGCCGCCATATGTTGTGGAGTTGATCGCCAGCTTGGAGAACTTGGCTACAGATACCACGTCAAATCAGTCCCGCTCTCGATCCGATCTCCAACACCAAGAGATGGGGTTATCAAGGCATGGCTTGTTGGAGGGCGGGCTGCTGGTCGACCGTATACAGACCTCATCGCGGTCGCCGTCTGTTCGTCCTCTATGCGAATGGGCTGCGGGTGGTTCCTCCCGTCCTCTTGTCGTCTAATCTTTTTCGAGGCGTCTTTGATCAAGATAGGGAAGTATTTGACCATGAGGAGGTGAACTGCGGCCGCCCTTGGCAATCCCGCTTTTTGGTAAAACATACCCCACTATATTACATCATGCCATGTTCCTGGAAGGCTTCGATAACTTTGGCCTTGGTTGCGACAATTTTGAGGCTCGGGTGACGCGTTGGTTCTTCACTGTCAAAGCAGCTGGGGTTCCTGGCCCAGCTCTTTGAGCAGACGATGACTCCACAGCATCCGGCACGCCGTATGCCGGCGGTGTCCACTTCTCCGGCCATAGCCTCCGGTAGCTAACCTCACAGTGCTGCCGGCTCGGCGCGGACCCGGAGGCCTGGTCCGGACCAGCACTGCGCTTGGCATCTCCGTCCGAACCTGCAAAACATCACATAGGGTCTTCCTGGAGAGCTACATAGCACTCTGCTTATATTACATTACATTATAAAAAGTGGCTCTCTGATATCATGAGTCTCTCAGTAGGTTTTGTCCATCCACAGTCGATGATGTATTTGCTTAAGTCACCTTGACATCATCGATATTGATGTATATCAGTCGAATACCTACAGTAACGAGAGCACTGATCTTCTCTCCAGTCGTTGGACCTTTTGTCACACAAACTTGTACTACTGTTCACTCCCAGAATTTATCACACAGCAACTGTCCCACACAATGTCTGCGAACCCTGATTCCGTCGGTAACCAAGGCGAGTTCCGCTCAAGAGTGCCTCCCTCGAGGCCAATGGATACCCATGGCGTAAGCGACTTTGACAAGACCTCTCATTAATTAACTGAGCTAACACAGCTTTGCAGCACCAAATCGGTCAGCCCATCGGTAGAGAAGCTATCCCCGAGTTCCATGCCAAAACCTACCCGCCCGGCTCGGCGCCCAAAGAGTCAACCTTCTATCCCAACCCCATCCATGAGATTCCCGGCCAAGCAATGAACCCAAACATGGACCCTTCGCTACGTACAAGTGCTCTCGACATCCCTGGCGCCGACAGCAAAGAAATCTACAATGAGTCCGGTGCCGGTTCCCGCCCGATCGAAGGCCAGACAGCCAACGAAATTAGACACGAAAAGGCAAGAAAGACGGATCGGTTGGGCATCGCTGCTCATGGTGGCACAGACACAACTGGCGATGGTTCGATCGAGGGGACTATGAGAGAGAGGGGCATGGAACTTCCGGGAGATAAGGAGAGGAAGGTGCTTGGGAGGGGTATTTCGGCCACGGAGAGAGATGCGACAACATCGGAGGAGATTGGGTCTGGTGGGAGAGGCTAGTTCGAGGTGCGAGACGTGTCATGTATGTTGAGTGTTGTGTAGACGGATCAAATGTTCCTACTGTTTGCTTAATATGAGTGATGAATTTCATGAAGTTTACATGATCCCTTTGAAAGCATCAGTGGTTTAGTGGTAAAATCCATCGTTGCCATCGATGGGCCCCGTGTTCGATTCACGGCTGATGCAACCTTTTGCTTTCTACCTCTAACCACCGTAAGCTGTTGGTCCTTTTTTGGAACAACCTGCAGCATATATTTTAATGTTAGCATAAGTCGGTCACACCTTTAGCATAACGAATGTGTTGATGATGTATAAGGGGAGAAGGATGTCAGTCTAAGGAAGGGCAGTTATGCTGCTTGTTCCACATAAAGTGTTCAGAACGGCGAGTGAATTGTCTTCGTCATCCATCCAGCTTCAACATATCAGTTTGGGAGGACATGGGATACGAGCTTTTGGTCTTACCGATGTTTACCGATGTGCCAGGGAAAGCATAGACTTTGCCAGCTCCTAAATGTTTCATGAAATGACAGAACGCACACTCAAATAAATCTACTTCAGATCATCCATCAGAACTGGGTATATTATATACATTTGTCTTGTGGTAGGCAACCTGCAGCCCGTTCGAGCATACATATCGATTGATCCCAAAACGGTACGCCGTTTGCCGTGCGAGTCAACTCCGAGATACCAACACCCAACGAAGCAGAACGATGATACGCCAGGGTCTGCAACCTATACAGAAAGGTACCACACCAGATCCTTCACTCATCTCTCTCTTCGTGGGGCCCTCAGAGGTGTTCGAGAATACATGTCCAAACACGCGCCGTTGTGTCCCTCCACCCCCAGGGTTGTGTGGTGAAAGCGGGGTACCACCACTAACACGCCATTGGTCAATGGCCAGCAACATCTACTTTCAGGGTCCTACGAACAAGCAAACATCCGGACAAAGGAAACCTGGAACGGTACCAACAAACAATTGGTTGTAAAACACCAGAAACGGTTTTCTGGTGAGAAAATGTTGTGCCTCAATCACCCCTGCAGGGATCTCCTTTCAGAATGCGGGGCTCCTTCCCCAGATCCCTTTCCAATTGCTCTCTATGACATCACTGGCGTTGATGGAGCCTGCTCGACTCGCCCAGCACGTGAAAGGAGAAGTTGGGCTTCTGCCTGATCACCAGCACAGGTCAGTAGGATAACTTGCCCCTTTTTCATCTCCTCTACATAGCCAAAGAGAGCAATCATCCAAGATGACCACCACGACGAGATCCTCGGCCAAGGAGCGCGGCAACTCCACCAACGAGGGAGCCCCTCCCGCCTCAAAAGCCGAACCTGGTTCCAAGCACAAGGTCGAGGAAGGAACCAAGTCCCCGGAACCAAAGCGGCCCAAGAAGTCGGATGAGAAGGAACAGAAGACTATTGAAGAGACAATCGGCGGGTAGGTAATGCTCACCAATGCGTGATTGTCTCATGTTCTGACACTACCAAGCAGCGAACAAACCAAGCAGGAGCAACAGGCAGAGCAGCAAGAGCAGCAGGAGAAAATAGCCAAGGACAGTGAGAAAGAAGATGTTGCCAAAGCCGAAAAGGAAACCGCGACTGGCGATGCCGAGGAGCCTCGTGAAGATGCCAAGGACATTCCCTCCAGCATTCTAGAAAAGGGCATCATCTATTTCTTTTTCCGTGGACGGGTTGGTATTGATCGGCCTTCCGACGTCGACGAGATTGCCCGGAGCTACATCATCCTCAGACCGATTGCCAAAGACGCCAAGCTTGGCAGCGGTCCCATTGGCGATGCAGGCAACAGCAGAGTATGCGTTGTGCCCAAAAAGGTGCTCCCAAAGACGGGCAAAGACAGGTGGATTTCTTTTGTTGAGAAGACCGGCGCCTCTTTCAGCGAGCTCAAGGACGAATTTCTCAAGTCAAACGACTATGAGACCAAGACTGCTGGGACAAGACACTCCCCGGCCGCTACACCTGTTGCGGAAGGCGTGTATGCTATTACCAGCACTGGGAAGGACAGTCACCTGGCATACATTTTGACTCTTCCCGACAAGCTCGGTGAGGTGCAAAAGGAGATTGGCTTGAAGGAGAAGGGCAGTTTCATCATCAGCACAAGGAATCCCCAGTATGAGCCTCCCAAGAATGCCAGGCTTCCTAAGGGACCAGAGTATCCTAAGGAGTAAGTTGAAGCTGGGCTATGCCTCCTGATCTTGACGCTGACTGTTTCATGTTACAGGCTTCTCGAAGAGTTTCGCTCTCTCCGGTGGGCTCCAACTCAACCCCGTCATCTCGACTACGTGAACACGCAGTTCCTGCTCGTTGGCGAGTCTTCTGGCATTGCCAAAGCCTTGGAACAACAGAAGAAAGACCAGAAGGAAGGAAAGAACGAGCCCGCCGAGGAGTTGGAGCAGTTGGAAGAAGAGGACGCGCAGCGGATGCAGGATCTTGACGACGACGACGCGGCTCGTATTTTTGCGGATTTGCAGGCCGATGCGGGCCATTACCCCAAGCTTCCCACCACTTTCTGATGCATGAGGGTTCAAAGCCCTGAAGATTAGTATTGCGTAATAGACATGGCTGGCATCTAATAATTGGCGGGCAGGAGACCTTGTGACCTCATGGCTGAACTGTGTTATCTCATGGCTCGACTGCGCGAGTACTGTGCGAGTTAGATTACTAAACCATGACCAGATAGAAGAAATAGTTACGCTCTTACATTAGTGTGGTGGACTGTCCCAGTGAAGCGAGGAAGTTTTCAACTACCAAGGCGGGCAGATAGATATCCGCTGATGGGTTTATACCTCGACACTTTGAAGCTATTTGCCGGCCGTCGTGAAGGTGATGCATTCAAGTGAAGAGGCGAAGACTGTCGATTTGAATGAATATTGGTATTCTTCTCTGCAACTTGGAGTAATCCAACGGTTCCTGTAACGGACACCCGGAAAGTCTGCCGGGACGAAGTGCAGTCTAGGTTGGGGCGAGCCACGCCTCCAACGCCTCAAAACGCCCATCAGACTTCAACTCCAATCGATCAAAAAGCCGGGAAATCTGGCTCTGGACGTTTGGCTTTCCAGACAAGACTATAAAAGTCAGTCTGCCAGAAAACTCTGTCCTGGGGCTCTTCCTTCGTCTCCTGGCTCTTAACTTCTCGGTTGACATTGCCTATATCATTTCGTCTTCTTTGCTCCACGAAATTCTTTTCCCTTGCCATTTCAGCTCAAGAATCAAGAAGCAAAAGACATGTTTCTGCTGGCCGTCCTGCTCTTGCTCGCCTCTGCGGCCAACGCTGCCGCCGTGGGTCCACGGAATACGACTTACGACACGGCCTACGACACGACGCTCACACACTTTACCGCTGCTCTCAATCCACCAAAGCTCGACAGTGGCCCGCATTGGCCACACCCATCGCACAAGGTAGGGATTTCTAGTCCGATTTTATGGAGTCGAAAGATGGGATTGCTGACCCTTGGGGATAAAACGGATAGATTGACTGCGATGTAACCTTTCAGCGCTACAACAATTATGCTTACCTCTGGACGCTTGTAAGGATACAGGTCGAATGGATCAGAGAGGAAGGGCCCAAGTATTGGACGCTCCCCGAGGGTACACCAAAGGGGACTTTGGTCAGGGTTGGTTGCTGCAACGGGGCTTCGTACAACATTGTTGTTCAGGAAACCCTCCAAAAGCCCATCGCCATCGCGGGTGCGGAGGTCACCACCATGGGACTGGCTGCGGCGGACCACTGCAAGCAGGGTGACCGGACCAAAGGCAGGGCGTGGGCGCAGAACAGGCTTTTCACCATCGAGGTCTTCCAAGATGAACACAAGTGCGGAAAAAAATGCTGGCAGGGGGACTAGTTGTGCTTAGGCGTTGGATGGGCTTTTGGTATTGAGGTCTCTTGTCATTACGGATTGGGAGCACTGGGGAGACAGCATGTCTGATTTCTAGTCAAGACAGATGAATAAAGGGTCCTTCCTACAGCACACTCGTCCTGGTAGATTACTGATAATCTGTTTTTCCCCAATATCTTGATCCGGTCCAACTCGTCACATTTCCGATGTGTGCGGAGAGTGGCTTGAAGTTTCGCAAACTGTAAGCACCTGTTCTACCATCAGATACGCCACACAGTCCGACCCATGAAGCTCGAGCTTCTTAACACACCGCAAAAAAGAAGACAGATCATCCACTTCTGCCTAAAAGCCATCAGCAGCAGATATCAATCACGTTGCTTCGTGTCCCGCCGGAAAGGGGCCCGCCAGGCAAGCCCCGTCCCACTCTCACGAACAACAGACAGCGGGTGCAACGTTATCGTGACACTATCGTGGATCCATCCTGCCTCTGGACACGCCAGCGGTCGACAAGCCTGCGATGATCTGTGGACAGCCTGAGCGGTTTTGTGTGCTGATGTGTTGAACACGGATGGACTTTGGCGAGGGGCAAACGCCAGCTGATGCTCAAAATTTCTTATCAGTGACGCTACCACACACGCACAGTCTAGCAAAGCTTTTTATCTGATTTGATTTACAGATTGTGGTCGTGGCATGTGGTAGGACTTGATACACTCGACCGTTCCTTCCTTCTCCTTCTCCTTCTACCTGTCCTCGACAGCAGCAACAACGCACCAGAGCCCTACCTAATTCGCATTAGTCAGTCAACCACGACGATGCCCTCTTCAGAATTATCAAACATATAATCCTTCCCGCTGTTTGGTTTGACATTGTCTTTTTGTATTCAGAGATGTGAGACCCTCACGCAAATGTGTGGGACTTGATGTCTACGTCAATCATCGGTAGTACATCCTGCCACGCTGGCACTCTCCTGCTTCTTTTCAGTTTTCTCGCGTTGCTTCCTTGCCTTGGCTGACGTTCCAGGAGACGTCCCCATATCCGCCCGAAGATGTGCGATCCCGTCCGTCCCGTCCCCTCACGGTCTTTCGGGTAGTTTGTTTTGGCCTGTTCGTTGATGACTCTCCTTGCCCTGCTCGTTTAAATGTTGGCTCGTATCACAAGATTCCGCAGCTGCTCATATAGATTCGCAATCCCATCGTTTTTTTGCATCCCATGATGGGGTGATCTCTGTCTTTCTCCGGCACGTTTGTTTCAGCTCACCAAGGTTTGGCCATCATCACCCTCCCACAGGGGTTGGTTTGATCCAAAGTACAGCCCGGCTCTGTCGAGCCCCTCCGCAATCATGGCATCCTTAACCACCTCCAGCTTACATTACCTCACAAGCCTCGCAACTGAAACCGGCGATGTCGCGACGTCAACCACCCAAGCAAGCGGCCCATCCTACACTGGAGACCCCGTCTCCTACGATGACGGTTACTACCGGAGCAACACTCCCATGGTATACCCCTTCACCACCTCCTCCTTCCCCTTGGCCCTAACCACAGCAATCCTCTTTTTGATCCTCACCATCCTGCACGCGTACCTTTGCTTCAAGAAGAAGACTGTCTTTTTCGCCATCACGATCTACGCCTCCCTCGGTTTGTTTTGTCTTGCCCTCCGGTTTGCTAGTCACTGCTGACATGCATGCATCCAGCAATGGCAACCTCCCAAACAATGAAATGCTACCTCGTCCAACTCCAAACCATCATCTTGCACTCCACCAACCTCTCCTCCTCTACCATCAACCAGCTGGAACGTGCCGACGTCGTGCTTGTTGTGATGGACCTCTTGGAGGCGATTCCCGCGTCTGCGATGGGGTTCTTGCTCATGATGACGTATACCAGGTTGACGTGGTTTATCATCCCCAAATCGGGGAGGAAGAACGGGAGGGTTTTTGGCTTGCCGGCGAGGTGGCAGACGAGCTTGCTGGCGTTGGGGCAGATGGTGGGGGATGGGTTGGTCGGGGTGGGTCACTACTATGGGCTGGGGTATTTGCAGAGTCTTGGAGGGGTGGTGGGATTGATGACATGGGGGGTGTTGGGGGGTTTGGTGGTTAGGGCGGGGAGGGTGGAGGTGAGGGAGGAGGTGAAGGAGGTGAAGAGGTTCGTTTGGGCGGTTGGGGGGGCGGTTGGGTTGCTGATTGTGAGTTTTTTTCTTTTCTTTTCTTCAGTTGTGTGATGATGGATGGAGAAAGGGGATTGCTAATGGGATGCAAATAGGGGTGTGCCACCGCGAGAATCATCAGACGGGAGGCGGTGGCGTATTTTTTGGCTGAGGCCCCGTGGTGGTCGAGTGAGTATGGGGTGTCAGAGACGTTCGCCATGTCGGAGTGGCCGGTGTATGTGTTTCAGCATTTGCCGATTTTGTTGATCTTGGTGCTTATGGCGGTTTACCACCCGGGAGCCTACCTTCCCAGGCGGTTGACTGGTTGGAGGCTCAACACCAAGAAGCTGTTGAGAGAGGAAAGGATGAGAGAGGACGTGGAGAACTTGAAGGTGTTGGCGAGGAAAGATTCAAAGGCGTTGTCTGTACAGGGGAGTGAGCTGGATTGCTTTGAGAGGGTTGACCTTGACAAGGAGACCAAGTAAAACAAAGTAGGGAAAGGGGCTATGGGGACGGTTGTGGACGGAGGCGTGGCGCCATATTTCGTGTTTGTTCGGATGATGAGTTTAGGTACCTTGGGCAGGTAAGACTTTTGGAGTTATGGAATCGGATAGGTTTCATAGAACAGAAAACAGCCTCCAAAACGGCTGGTCTAACATGATTTGATTTAGAGCGTTCCCGATGACCTTTGAATCTATCCCATGATACCTGTCTTAAACCGCCTCATCCAACGACGGGTCAGCCGGCCAGAATATCCAAATCACCACCACAATCAACTTCAACCCAGCCGCTGCCCACAACGCCCCGGCGACCCCAAACTCTGTGTTCGCCAGCTTCCCTCCCAAAAACGCACCGAGCAGCAGCGACAGCGGCGCCGCCACCCTCCGATTCCGTTCCGCATTGTGCACCGCGAACAAGTCCGCATCGGAGAACAAGTCACAGTAGATGCTCGTTAGCACCACGCTGGTGAGCGCATTGTACTTGAGCGCCCGGCTCATGACAGCCTGCCCGCAGCTCTGAAACGCCACCAGCGCGATGGGCACGAGGACGTACCAGGCGACCGACTCCGGGTGCACGTCCGAGCCGGCCAGCGTGACCATGCAGGCGGCCGCAACGATGAGGAGGAGTTGGGCGGAGAAGGACGCGCAGAGGACCCAGCGGCGTTTGGCCGAGAAGAAGCGGTGGAAGCGGGAGAAGAGGAAGGATCCCAGGAGGAAGGAGAGGAGGGAGGTGCCGGATTTGAGCCAGCGGGTCGAGGCCGAGGGGTCGGCCAGGCCGAGGCCGATGTAGACGGTGTTTCCTTGAACGGTGTGTCAGTTTTTATATGGGGGTTTAAAAAAATGGAGGGAAAATGTGCGTGTCGTACCCGTTTGCATAGACACAAAACTCCCCCATACTGATATCGAGGCGCTGTCGAGGAGGCCGGTGATGAGATAGCAGAGGATGAGAATGAGATCGGCCCAATCACGGCTCACGTCCACCGTGAAGTAATCCCGCCATTTTTGAAGCGTCGGCACGGCATCGTCTTTTGGCGGTCCCATTCTTTGCGATTGTGGCAGGAGAGGGCTCTCTTCGTTGGCGTGGGCCACAATCTCGTTGTTGAGGATGGTTGATCGCGTCATGGCGGGCAAAAAAAAGGGCAGGGTTGAGTTTTTATATTGTATTCTTTATGTCTTGAAAACGCCCTCGGGCAGGGGTCTCGACCAACAGAATCTCTTCCAGTGAGTCAACAGAAAAACTGTGAAGCGGGACTTGGCGGCATCACCCTTTTGGGCATTTGGCGAAGACGTGATCGCGGGAGGCGGCCAGAAACCCCCATGTTCTAGTCTTCAGCTTCGTTGTCGGTCCGTTGCCCCTGAGGTAAGGGAAGTTTTGACAAAGTGAGTGAATCGCTGGTGCCGTGACCCGGTGTCGGCGCGGGGGGGGAGCTTCATGAAAAAGCCGTGGGATAGATGGGATCTTTATCCACTGACGGCAGGGCTGAGGATGGCCAATCAGGGGCTGGGTTCATGATGTCATTAACGCCTAGCCAAGAGAGGAACTCAATCGTCGTGGTTGACCTTTCACCTTTCCACTGAAGAGTAACAGCTTCTGCGAAAGTTCATCCCGACAACGCCGATGTTTGAAGAGATTCCATCAATCATGAGGCTGCAATGAGTGTGGACGGGAATCTCTCGGTGGCGCTCGGCATCGTGGAAACCAATTGGACTTGCGAACACAGTTCTCTTGCATCAGTGATCGCTACGATGTCCAACTTGGGATGAGCCCCTCACACTTTCAAGGAAGGTAGGAGCTGCTCCCGGGAAATAGTAGAGCTACCCCTCTATCCGATTCCCGAGTGGTGATGCCATAGAGAAGAAAGAATTGGTCACCGAGAAGCCGTGTACCCGGATGCGATGGCTGTAGTCAGCAACCATGCGGTGGGATGAAGTGGTATAAAACCCGGATATGATCAATTGATATGGTAGATTACTTCTTCAACCTCGTGTTTGTGTGCCTGGGTTGTTCAAAATGCGTTTCTCCAGCAGTTCCCTTCTTCTCGGAGCAGTAGCCCTGGTCTCTGCCTTTCCCGTCCAGGACAGTCCTCGCCAGAGGCTTCTCGACGGCAAACCGCTTCCTGGCAAATACCGGAGCAAGAATCCATATACCCCCGGCTATCGTGATCCCTATGACACAGCCGTGGATTCCATCGGGAAGGGCCTCGACCCCTTGCCCTGGCGCAATGGCGATGGCGCCTCAGTTCTTGGTCCGTGGAACAGAGAGCGAGCAAGACAAAATCCAGACCTCGTCCGTCCCCCTTCCACAGACAGCGGCAACATCCCCAACCTCCGCTGGAGTTTCGTAGACTCCCACATCAGAATCGAGGCATGCCTGCCCCCCCTTCCCCTTACCACACCTTTATCACTAACTTTTCCCCCCAAGGAAGGAGGCTGGACCCGGCAAACCACCATCCGCGAGCTCCCCACCTCGATCGAGCTCGCCGGCGTAAACATGCGCCTCGACCACGGCGCCATCCGCGAGCTCCACTGGCACAAAGAAGCCGAGTGGGCCTATGTCTTGTCAGGCTCCGTCCGCGTGACAGCCCTGGACTACGAAGGCGGCAACTTCATCGACGACCTCTCCCAAGGCGACCTGTGGTACTTCCCCTCCGGCGTCCCCCATTCCCTCCAAGGCCTCGACCCCAACGGGACCGAATTCCTCCTCATCTTTGACGACGGCCGCTTCTCGGAAGAAAGCACGTTTATCCTCACCGACTGGTTCGCGCACACGCCCAAGAGCGTGATAAGCAAGAACTTCCACCTCGCCCCCGAGGTGTTTGAGAGGGTGCCCAAGAGGGAGAAGTACATCTTCCAGGGGAGCAAGCCGGGGAGCATAGAGGAGGAGGAGCCAAAGGGGAAGAATGTCAAGAAGAGCAAGTACCAGTTCACGCATCGGATGCTGGAGCAGGAGGCGCACGTGACGAGCGGGGGGAAGGTGAGGATTACGGACTCGAAGAATTTCCCGATCAGCAAGACGGTGGCGGCGGCGCATCTGGACATGGAGGTGGGGAGCCTGAGGGAGATGCATTGGCATCCTGATGCGGACGAGTGGAGCTTTTTCATCAGGGGGAGGGCGAGGGTGACGGTTTTTGCGGCCGAGGGGACGGCGAGGACGTTTGACTACCAGGCTGGGGACGTGGGCATTGTGCCGAAGAATATGGGGCACTTTATTGAGAATATTGGGGATGAGCCGTTGGAGGTGTTGGAGATTTTTAGGGCGGATGAGTTTAGAGATTTCTCGCTTTTCCAATGGTTGGGCGAGACGCCGAGAAGGATGGTGGTTGATACCTTGTTTGCGGATGACAAGGAGGCCGGGGAGAAGTTTTTGAAGGAGATAAACAATCCGGTCAAGGACGAAATTACGCTGCCAGATATTAAGAATGACGAGGAAGAAGACGACTTGTAAGGGGGACACTGGGGAGAAGAATATTGTTCATGTCATTATATTGAGAGGCTTTATATACCGAGAACATATCTTGCACCAGAGAAAGAACGCAACGTGATGTCCCTTATCACCGGCCTGACCCACAAGCCCGCAAACGCCATGCTTCCATATCCCAAGCCACAGAAAGACAGTAAGATTACATGTAGTGCATCATCTGCTGAGGAGCACCAGGCCGCTTCTTCTCAATGATGAGGACCGTCTCAATGAACTGCCGCTCCAAGGTGTCGCTCTTCCTTCTCCTGGCCAACAAGCTTGCCGTCTTGAGCACGTTCTTGATCTGGCGACCATTGAGCTTGAGCTCGGAAAGCTCACTGATGTCCTTGTCAGTGAGGTTGCTCTTGATGGTCGAGTTCCGGAGGAAGTTCTTCCAGATGATCTTGCGAGCAGACACCGTAAGATCAGGGTACTCGATGCTCACGTGGATACGCGACTGGAAGGCCGCATCGATCTCGCCGCAGCGGTTAGTCGTCAGGAACATGATGCCCTCATAGTACTCCAAGGTCCGGAGGAAGATGGTGACGATCTTGTTGCGCTCAATCTCGTGGTTGCTGCGGGCCTCGAGGAAGACATCGCACTCATCGAGGAGCAAGACGGCGTTCCATCTCGAGACCAACTCCAAGATGGAGTTCAGCTCCCTCTCGACCTCCCATGGATCAGACCCAAGATCACCAGAGCTCAGCATGTGAAGTGGCACCCTGAGGTTCTCCGCCACGGCCTCAGCTGTCAACGTCTTACCAACACCAGGAGGACCAGAGAGCAGGCAGATGATGCCCTTGCCCTTGCCGGCGATGATATCGTCGAAGCTGTCACCCGCGAGCTGGGCTTCGGTGAAGGACAGGATGAGCTCCTTCTGGTCGGCGGGAAGCACCAGCCTGTCAAAGGCAGTAGTGTTCCATCTCACGTCTGTGATCTGTTCCAGGAAAAAGTCGACCCACTTCTTGTACTTCAGACTGTACCCGCGGGTTCGCGAACGGCAGAGCATCTTGTAGTAGTCAGGCATGACAAATTCCTCGGACTCGATGCCGCTCTCGACCTTGTGCTTGTTGAAGCGCTCGATGTCGGTAGCGTTGAAGTCATTGAGGTACCTCACCCGCCAAGGGCTGAAGCGGTTGAAGCTTTCGATATCCACCACGATTCTCCCAGTAATCTGGATGTCGACCTCGTTGCCTTCTCTGTTCCAAGTAATGGCGCGTCCAGAGTATTCCCTATAGTGGTGACCAGCCAGCTTCTCGAAGATGGTTCCACGCTTGAGAAGCTGGGCGGTGATCTCCTCTTTCTTCTCGTGGAAGTGGAAGGGGTAAACCTTGAGACCGGTGATCTTCTTAGTGCCGAGGAATTCAGGGATGTTGATGGCCTCCTGGTAGCGGCCGAATTCCTTGCCGCCATAGTCGACACAGTCGCAACGGACCTGAAGGAACTTGCCGCAGTTGTTGGCCATGTACTCGGTCTCTACCATCTCGAAGCCGGACATGGGACCGAGGTAGGCAGAGAGGACAATGGTTCCGGGCTGGAAGATCATCCACAGATCCTTGAAGCAGACAACACCATTCTTGACATAGTCCTGGAAAGTCTTGATGTTGTCGCCGATCTCGTAGTTGAGGATGTCGTAGAGGATCTTCATGTGCTCCTTGGTCTTCTCCTCGAGGTCGGGCTTCTCCATGTACTTGGTGAACTCGGCCCATCGGTGAACAAAGGGCTTGAAAGGCGCCTCAAACTCTAGCCGGCTGAGCTCGCAGGCAACACCGGGATAGTCGGCCATGATCTCGGAGAGAGCATCGCGGAGCCATGGGCTCTGCACCACGATGCTGTGCGCCTCCAGCTTCTTGCGGCTGTCCTGACTCTTCATGTTGCGGACAACGACAGCGTAGGTGGCCGTCTCCTCATTCTCAGCAGCCTCCTCGACACCATCTGGATACTTGTCGACCCAGGTCCACTCTCCATCTTCCACTGGACCCTTGTAGATGTCCTTCCTTTGACTGATGCTCCCTACTTGAACTTTGGGTTTCTCCTCCTCCTCCTTGTCCTCATCGCTCTTCTCCTCGTCCTTCTTCTCTTCTGTCTTTTCCCCTGTCTTGTCCTCTTCCTTCTTGTCTTCCTTCTTGTCTTCCTTCTTGTCTTCCTTGTTCTCCTCTGTCTTCTCCTCCTTCTTCTCCTCCTCCTTCTTCTCCTCCTTCTTCACCTCTGCTTGCTCCGTCTTCGACTTGTCGGCGGCGGTGGACCCGGAGGTGAGGGAGGTAGCGGACCCACTCTTTGCCGATTTCTCGGCGGCGCTCTTCTTGGAGCGGCGGGGCCAGCAACGAACCATGGTCAATGCTTTGGTGGGGTCGTTGTGTGTAAGTGATAACGTGGGAAGAGAGGAAGTGAAGAAACCCCGAGGAAGATGGGGCCTTCAATTGGTGTTGTAGATGATGATGATGAAAGCCTTGTGTTTAACTTGATTTCTGAAGGTTGGAATGCGTCCCTTTATCTATGTGCTCAGAACAGCAAGCCTCGTCCATTGCAAAGTTCAGCTTTTGCACGGTACAAGAAGCCAAACAGGCAGCACAGGGCCCTAATCTCCACTTCCGGGGCCTGAAGCGGCTAGTGACTCACTGCGGTAACTGGGTCCACCGACGGCCGAGTGAGCTTGCAGCGGCTGCCTCCACCGGCTGCCGTCCTCAGATCCCATCACAACAACCAAACGAGTCCTTGTTTGCATGGATTGGTATGCAATGCGAAGGTGTAATTTGTCCAGTCCTCAAAGGCAAACTGCGAGGAGAACTCGAGGAATCCGCTTTTCTCATCCAAATCTTCAAAAGTCACTCGCCGAGTGCGGGGTCAAGGGCTGAGTCGCCCAGCGAAGGGACCGGGAAGCCATCCTCTTCAGAGGCCCCCCGAAGATCCCCGCACGCCACATCTCCAACTCAAACGACAAAAACCAAGCTTCGTCACCGCTTCCAGGCCATGGATGCTATCACCATCCAATCACCAATCCGCACGCACGAGGCCTCTGCAGGCCACCCAGTTGGAAGCCTAGCGCTCCAGGCATGATTACTCCGTAAAGGCAGGAAGAAAAGCAAGCACTGCGTATGCAAGACAACGGCCCTCAGGGCTGGCTATCCGACCTTCCCCTAACCGCCACGTCTTGATGCCAAGCGCCTCGTCTCACATCAGCACCATGAATTCGCCATCGTTGATATCTTTCCAATAGAGGATGGGCATCTGTCAATTGCTGATTCAACGGCGAGGTGTGTTTACATGTATGTTCGCGCTGATAATCTACACATTTTCGGTGCCATCAACACATCAGCAGTCCCATGACTCTCATGCTGGACAGAACGAGCGGTGGACCTGCATAGTATACTTCGTACGCAGCATGGATCCTCGGATGATTCCCCCATATCCTGATGAGGCTTGGGGTCCCACAAGGCTGAGCCTCTGTCCTGCAGCACCCCATCGGCTGTGTTACTTTGTCTTCACATCGGTTCTGGATAGGCTATGAGAACGACCTCCTGCCGCGATATGGAACCACCACTAGCATTGCCTCTTTCCCTGTCCCTGTCTGTCCTTTCATAAACATCGCCAACCGACAAACCCGAGGATAAAGTCTGCTTTTCCCAATGGCACGCCTTTGGCTCGCAAGATCGAGTAAGCAGTAGTGACATGGAAGATAAAGTTGGGTATCCCATGGAATTGGACCGCTTCGGTCACAGTGACCTTGAGGGGACGACCTCCCGCCACGCTGGCCAACATTAACATCACGGCTCAGGAAACATGCCCTCAAGATTACTCACATGTCTACAAGGTCTTCGTCCCTCTTATGAGGACGCTCCTTCATCAACTCTCTCACCTCGAGCTGAGCCATCGAGACTCTCATCTCCAATTCCTCGAATGTCTTCTCGTTGTTGTTGAAAGGGCCGTCCAGGTCCCACTGGTTACCTGTCATTCTGTCGAGATTCATAAAGACTGTTCTGATAGCATTTTGAACCTGGAAAACGAGCGGGAGCTGGTCGTCTATCAATCGTGCTTGGACATACACTTTGTCCCCGTTGAGGCCCTGTTTGTTTACAAATCTCCTGCCTTCCTCCAAAATATGAAGAAGAGCACCTAGACCGTTGCGAAAGATGGGGAGTGCGAAGTCGCAGAGCGAGAGCGGGAGAGGATCTGAAGACGGCGCGGGCATTCTGAAGACGGCGGGCGGTATGTATGAGTTCGGAGAGGGTTAGGCTTTCTCAGAGTTCAAATAGGGAAGATGTGTATCGAAGACTACTGTCATTGAATTGCTCAGCTTCCTGATATCTGGTTTGTAGTCGGCACCAGTTGTAGAGATCCTTGTTGGACGCAATTGGCCAATCGGCAACATTAATAAGCTCCGAAAACTGCCCTTGGGAAACCTCAACAGATGCCTTCTACTGGGTACCTTATATATACAACAGAATGAACATGTGTGCGACAAATTAAGATGTAAACGTCAATCAAGTGGTGCGTGTCACGCCGTCAAGCATCCCAATTGCTATCACAAACTCGCGACCAAGGAGTGTCGAACGCCTGATCAATGACTCCGTCAGGTATGGAGGAAAGTGACTATTTGCATCATAACGACAAATTCCGCTGTACAAAATGTACCACACATCTCCATTAGTGTCAAGTGTGTCGGGAAAACCCTGTCCCAGTTCTACAAATGTTGCTTGGTCCATACTGAAGACACTCAGGGGCTTCTGTACTGCATATTCGAGTTGCAGACTTCATCCGCATAGCGGCCATGTAGGAGCTATATGCTGGCCATATTGGTCACACGCAAACTGTTCAGTGGAAAGTTCAAGAGTCACCAAGCCAGTGTCAAAGATGTGGCTGCCAAAACTAAAATGTCGATGACTCGCGAACCTCAACGGCGCCACAAAGCCAACCGCCTTCCAACATGTCTATAAATTTCCTGGCCCAATTCCACTGTTTTCCCTTCTTCCTCTCAGACTCTCACACCAGACAACAACAATGACCTGCCTCAACAGCGAGATAAGCCTCACCGAACGATTACCTTCTCCATCAAAACAAGAAGAATAATCCTAGGAAGACACCCGTGATCGACCAGACACAATGGCCGTCCAGCCCAAGTCCAAGATCACCGTTGCCGGTACTCGCGCCCAGGTCCAAGCCCTCCTCGCCCACTCCCTCTCCCCTGACAACAAGCGCAACTTCCTCGAGACGGTCGAGTTGCAATTCGGCCTCACCAACTACGACCCCGCCCGCACCAAGCGCTTCTCCGGCTCTGTCAAGCTTCCCTCAGCGACCAGCACGACCTCGGTCGTGCTAAGCACCAGGGCCTGGATAGCATGTCGTCTGACAACCTCAAGAAGCTGAACAAGAACAAGAGGCTCATCAAGAAGCTAGCGCGCTAGTACGATGCGTTTGTCTGCTCGGATACCAAGGTTCGGGAGATCCCCAGGGTTTTGGGACCGGGCTTGTCAAAGGGTAAGTTGAGACCCCTCCTTGCCACCTCCCATGTAGCACTGAATACTAATTGCATGTCATGAACACAGCCGACAAGTTCCCCACAACGGTTTTGCACAGCGAGGACCTCGCGGAGAAGATAATCGACGTCAAGTCCACCATCAGGTTCAGGCTGCGCAAGAACCTCTGCATTGCCATGGCCATTGGTAATGTGGACATGACCACGGAGCATTTGGTGGCCAACATCATGATCACCATCAACTACCTGGTGTCATGCCTCAAGAAGGGATGGTCCAACGTCAACAGCACTGTCATCAAGTCGACCATGTCGCGTCCCCGTTATCTTTTCTAAGACAATCATTTCGCGGCTGCGCTTCTACATTTTGAGTAAGCACGCCGTGGGGGAAGCACGGGGTAGGCTGGGAAGGATTTCAGTGTGAAGTGGGCAAGTCTTTGACAGATTTGAATGGGGGCATCAGCTTAGCCGCTGTATGCTTGTCCAGCTAGAGAACATTTAGCTACTGTAGACATCCAATAGACTCATCTTCACACATACCTAGAGCTCCTTTGGTTCTTTTAGGCGACCAATGATAGGGATAGCAAGACAATAGCCTCCAGACTAAAGAGCATATGCGGTTGCTTGGGGCAGACCACTGGGTATCAAATGTACATTGAAACAAAAGAACAATGAAAACAAAACTCACCGACTCTCCCACACAAAGCCTATCAACCAACCCCATGAACAGTAGCACCTCCCTCAGGCCTACCGTCCCTACCTAGTAGTAATAACTATCCCGATAACCACTCGGATGCCCTGACCACCACCTTGAATAGCTGCTTGTATCTGTCAACAGTGTCAGTATGAAAAACCTCTTTCAACAAGCCGTACATGCACGCAACAACATACCTCTAACTGGACTAATCCCCAACTGCTCCGCCACATTGACATACCCACCACCATCCGCGCTCCTCTTGCCCTTCTCCCTGTTCACCTTCTTCATCATCTCCCTCTCCGACTCCTTTTCCCACACGCTCCTACAATACGGACACGTCACCTCCCCTCTGCCTTGCCCCCGTTTGGTAGCAGCCCACATGTCAAAACATTGCTTGTGGACGTTCTGTCCGCAGGCGGCTTTGCACCAGACAATCTCCTCCTTCTTTGTTGCTGTGTCAAGCTCCTCGAAGCAAATAGGGCAATCTCCTTCGACTGGTTTGCGTTTGCCGTCTTCTTCGTTGTTGTTGTTGTTGTTGTTTGCGCTGCCAGAAACGATGGGTGGAGCCCCAGCAAAGATTTGGTTGAGCTCGGTGGTGAGAAAAGCGAGTTGGTAGACTAGATGGGCAGGGCAGCGGAGGACGCGGGAGAGGACGTAGATGATGTGTTTGCACTGCTGGTTTGTTCTTGCAAAGTGGGGGCAGGTGCAGGTGGGGAGGAGGGAGATGAGGATGGTGTAGATGTTGCCTGTTGAGCCCGTGAGTTCAATTGTTTCGGATGGGGGGCTGAATTCGAGGGATGAAGGGGTGGTGCGGTGGCGGGATAGGACGAAGAAGCGTTGGGTTAAGGCGCGGGCGTAGAGGTCGTGGAAGGATTGGGGAGGTTTGGGCCGGAAACTGGAGGGGCGTATTAGTCATGAATGAGGGGAAAAGGGGGGATGAATGGGGGGGTTGGTACCGGCGAAGGCGTTTCTCTTCCTTGGGTTGGGAGAGACGTTGTTTTTTAGTAGGGGTTTTGGAATCGTCATTGTTGCTGGCAGAGGCGTGGGGTTGCTTGCGCTTGGTGGATGATGGAGTTGTGGTTGATGACGTCGTGGGGACAGTGGACTTTTGGGGGGCACCCATTTTGCCGCTGAGTGCGCAAGTTTGGCGCAATGGTATCAAGAGTTACAACCCGAATCTATTTCGAAGACTGTGTCACTTCCTGGATGGGAAAACGCAGTTGTTCAAAGGAAAAAGGGTGGCGGAGAATTGGATGGCCGCGATTGATGCTGAAATGATAAGCTCCACTTTTACTGTTAGTGTGGCGAGCGGGGTGTCACGGAGCTCTCGCGAAGTCACATGACGGTGAGCTCGGCACAGTAACCCTAATCCACTTACATCGAAGCGACCACAGCCACCATGCAAAGCAACGCCAGGATCAACCTGATGAACTTGACCAATATATTCAATATATAGCTAATGATTCTAATTTGGTTGAAATTGTCAGTATCTAGTAATGAAACAGCATCTTCGTCTTTTCTCAGAGCCTAACCCTTATGCGCTCATGTCGGTCAGGGTTATCTATGGCCTATCTTTGACTTGAAGATCAACAAATCTTGGCATCATCCTCCTCTATGAAGATTGATACGCATCATGCACCATATTCATGGCTTTTTTTTTTTTTTTTTTTTTTTTGGATATCTGATTATGATCCCACTGCTAGCCATTATCCAAGCCTCTAATGGTACCATGTAGGACCATAAATTCACAATGCTTGTACGGGTTAGGTTGTCCAGTGCCCAGTTTGACAGTTGAAGTTACCTATAGACCTGCGTTACTACATCCTATTACTTATGACTTATCACAGTAATGTTCAGGGTAATGATGAGCCACAACTTTGTGTTGTGGAACTCAAGTCCTCTTTTTCACTCCAGAGGCTCAGACAGTGAAGCTCGAATTTGATCTGCAGCTTCACATAAAGAGGAAAGAACCGAGTGACCACCTGACTTCGTAATCCCTCTAGGTAGGATATTGGAAGGTACGGAGAACGGAAATACTGGATGTCAGGTGATCGGTATTTCCATTCTACCCACCCCTCTATTTGCTGGGACAAAAGGTCAATCAGAACAATAGGATTGCATCTCACCAGCCAACTCCATCTTACATATTCTCGATCACTTCTGCCAATATCCTGACACATCCAATGTCACCCCTTCATTCTTGTCTTGCTCAGATGCGCTCGTAGACGCTTCACATCACCTACGCATCCACCACAACTACTCTTGACAACCCGTCTTCACCAAATGTCGGGTCGATGAGGTTGTGTGTGATCTGGATCGGACGGAAAGGTACGTTTGTCAACGTTTCATCTCTTCAAGGCGCCTCATAGGGAACAGATATTGAGGGCAGCTTAATTTCTTGGCTTTACCGCTCTACTTCAGAATGCCGTTGAGGACAAGATCACTCTGGAACCCTTCGGTCGGTACCTAATTCTTCAAACCGTCAAGTGGCAGCTCTGCAGGGTTTTCAGAGTCATAACCTGTGGAATCATGGGTAGCTGCAAGCAAACACATAACCAAGCGATTTTCCGACATGGATTATTTGCCTCCCGTTGTTTTCAAACTGTGAGAGCACTGGGCAAGTGTTCCTATTTGGCGGGATGGAGGGCAATGGTATGCGGGCCGGTTGCCTGCATCAGAACCCCTCCACTCTTGTTCCTTCTTATTTGAAGTCGGCCTTTGATTCTTATTTTCCTACTCTCGAGCATATTGCTCCTTCCCTCTCACGTTTCGTTTCGTCGCCCCTCCAACTGCACCGAACACCCCCGCCAGCATTTTCCAATTTCCCAACACAAGATCTCTAGATACAGACAAAGCACAACTTTCTCTTCACGTCGTCGTTGACTGAGCCTCTCCTCACAATCACTAAACCCCACGTCATCAAGGGGAGTTCAATCTGCCCGACTCTGTCTGTCAAGAGGACACACACAATATCGATGGCTTCTCCTTCTGAGGAGAGGCAAGCGGCCTCGGAAGCAAGTAACCCTCTCCAGGCGACTTACCCCTACATCTCTTCTCCCGGGTGGACTTTCTAACATGCCTGCAAACAGACTGCCTTTTCAATAATCGAAAAGCACGTATGCTACCGGCCAGCGGAGGGCCAGGGCTGGAAGTCCATGCCAGTGCTTCCAACTCCGCAGGAGGTGTTGGAGCCGACCAGCGTCGATCCGCCAATCAATCCTGTGGATCGGCCATGGTCTTCCAAGGAGGAGTACCTCACTGCTCAGTATAGCCTGCTAAGGTTGGATGCTATCGAAGGCCTGCGGTTCTCGGTCACGAGATACGTTGATACCTGCCGAACAGGCGCCAGAGTGATTTTTGATGATGAATATTGCAGCGTCTACGACGAGGTATGCAAGTTCAAGGCATGTCAATGGCGGGGCGTGGTGCTAATACTTTCAACGTACAGGTCCGGGTCAAAGGCTTTTTCATGGCCAAGATTGCTCCGTTCTCCAGAGTTGAGTTCTCAACGCCGTACAATGTACAGTGGAAAACAACGAAGCGCCTCATGGATGGAGCCGTCGTGGCTCTGTCAACCAAGAAAGACAACTTCCGGACTATTTGCAAGATCGCAACAGTGGCCCAGCGTCCGTACGCTGTTGGGAGAGATTTCGATTCGACGGTTGCGGTAGCGGTAGATTTGATCTGGGCAAATCCAGAGGATGCTGTTATCGACCCAGCTCTGGAGATGGTCATGATTGAGTCGCGGAATGGATACTACGAAGCGTCGCGTCACACGATGCTGGGCCTTCAACATGTCGCAGAAACCACGTAGGTCACTGTTCTATCCATTTCATGTCGTTGCATTTCATGCTAATAATTTGGCAATGAAGATCCGCGCTCGACAAGTATATCATAGGTGCCCATACCGCGGACACTGTGCCAGAGTTCATCCGCACCAACCCCACCATGGACTTATCATCTTTGGTTCCTGTGACGGCAAGCAATGGCTCCCAGGCACTCCTCGACGTGAAAGAGTCGCTCAAGAATTACGATATCGTGAAGAAAGGCTTCCCCACTCTCGAGGACGTTGCAGTTCTGGACGAATCCCAACTGGATGGTCTCCATCGTATCATCTCGAACGAGCTCGCCATTGTACAGGGACCACCGGGCACAGGCAAGACATTTACCTCGGTTCAAGCTCTCAAGGTTCTGGTTGCCAACCGGCGGAAGCATGGTGGCCCGCCTATTATCGTTGCAGCTCACACCAATCACGCCCTCGACCAGCTGCTTACATTCTGTCTGGAATTCGAAGTCCTGCGGTTGGGCGGCTTCACAAAAAATGAGGACATCAAGAAGTGCACCGTCTTTGAGAGACAACGGGCCGAGAGAGGCGGTCGGCAGTCCGATATCAAGTCAAGAAACAACGAGAAGCGAAGGCTAGAGAAGCGACAGAAGGAGCTCATTCAAGACCTCAAGATCATGCAACAAGATGTTTTCGGCAAACGTCTAATTGATCCCGATAGACTGCTGGAGGTTGGTGTCATCACTCAAGAACAACACGACTCGTTGAAAATCTTTTCCGGATCAACCAACCCTCTTGCATCCTCGACCGCCACTTTCGAGCCATGGCTGGGTGAGAGCCTTGTTCGCATGGAGATTTTGCGCAGTGCCACCAATACCAGGTTTGAGCTGGACGAGGATGAACTCTTCAGGCGTGAAGAGGAGTACAAGCTGGATGAGAACGACTTGGTACATGCTGCAAGTGATCAGGAAGAGGAGCAACTGCGCATCAAGGGGGAATGGGTTCCGCTGGAGCATGTCTGGTCAGCAAAATCGGCAGCTGGTCTGTCAAGTTCGACTCGTGCTGCCCAGAGAAGCTTGAAGGAGGAGGACTTCTATTCGATTAAGAAAAGCATTCGGGGCGAGGTTTACCGGCATTTGCAGACTGAGTTGTTGAAGCATATTACCCTGAAGTTTGCCAGCCTTCTTGAGCAATACAACAACGTTTGCAAGCAGCTCAAGGCGCTGACTGATTTGCAAAAGTGGGAAATGGTCCAGAGACAGAAAATCGACATTGTTGGCTGTACCATGACAGGTCTCGCCAAATACCGTGGCATCCTTGCGGCCCTTCAACCAAAGTCACTTCTGGTGGAGGAGGCGGCGGAAACTCGGGAGGTAGACATTGTGTCTGCTTTATATCCATCGATCCAACAGCTCATCCTCATTGGCGACCATCAACAACTCCAGCCCAAATGCAACATCTTGTGGCTTGGCGCGCCTCCCTTCAACTTCACCGTTTCACTGTTTGAGAGGTTTGTGAACCTGAGGATGCAATATACTATGCTTCGCCAACAACGCCGTATGAAACCGGAGCTGCGACGGATCCTGGACCCATTCTACCCTGGGCTACTCGACCATCCTGTCGTTTTGTCCCCCGACAGCCGTCCAGACATCCCAGGAATGGGTGACAAGTCCTCTTGGCTCTTCCACCACGAGTGGCCGGAAGAGACAAGCTCGGACTCGAGCAAGTTCAATCGTGAAGAGGCCAGGATGATCACCCACTTTGCTTCCTATCTTGTCAAGAATGACACACCCCCGGCAAAGATTACGATTCTGACCTTTTACAATGGCCAGCGCACGCTGTTGAACAAGATCAAAGAGTACGACTACAAGATTTCCACGGTGGACTCGTACCAAGGAGAGGAGAACGATATTGTGATTCTGTCACTTGTTCGAAGCCCAGGAGAATATCGTCGATGGAGGTGCGGGTTTTTGGAGGACAAACACCGTGCAGTAGTCGCAATCAGTCGCGCTCGTCGGGGGTTTTATGTTTTTGGAAACTTTCTGAATGTTCTCAATACGCGTTCAGCCCAGTCACTCTGGGCAGACATCTGGAATGGCTTTGCCCACCAGAAAAGGATTGAAGAGGGCATTCCCTTGACTTGCAAGGCCCATCAGAATGAAATCTGGGTGAGGACGGTGGATGACTGGGGTGACAATGCCGGGGGGTGCGATGAGCCATGTGGACAGACACGGCCATGTGGCCACCCATGCACTCTCAAGTGCCATCAGTATGTACACTTACGGCCTGTGTTATTTCAGAACAGTTCACTAACCTATTGAGCCAGAACTGATCACAGCCGTCTACGTTGCAGTCAGCCCTGCCTCGAAAAGCTCCCCTGTGGGCATGGGTGTCAGAACTTCTGCAGTCAAGTTTGCGCTTGTGACTGCGCCGCCTTTCGAACTTTGTCCGCTGGCATTGTGGCAGTTGGAATATCGAGACCAACCAGGACATCGATGTCTTTGGAGCAGCGAATGCAGAGTATCAGCGTTGAGGGGGTTGGCGAGTCTAGTAAGGTAGTGGTGCGAGGTTCGACTCAGGCATCGACTGAATGGCGACAATTCCCTGCCAACGTTCAACGTCAGGACGCCAATCTGCACCGAGGACGGGCCTCTCAAACTGTGCAGAATGGTTCGACCTCCAATGTTCGAGACACATACCAGCAAACCACAGTGGTGAATGGTCGTCGTTCCAACCTCGGCCCTCGAAACGTTCGTGCCATTAAGGCGAGCAAGTCGTATCGTCAGCCGCCTCGAGCTAAATCAGCATCGCCTAGCATACCAGACACGGCCAGTTTGCAAAACAATACAACCCAAGTTCCTGCCACCCAACAACAACTGAACACGGTGTTGAGCTCAGCCCCAGTGCCAGACCTACTTGGAGATCTTGACGGTGTAACCTTCTCTCAATCTGTCATGGTAAATCGTGTTGCAGGAGAGGCGCCAGTTGTTGTGGGACAGGCAGCTCCGGAGGACGAGGAGCTATTGATAGAGCTTTAAGTTGTCATACCCACAGTTATCGCAGCCACTATGTCATGCTATTAGTCTTGTACTTATAACAGTTCATAGACATTGTGTCTATTACCATTACTTCCTGACCTGGCAGTCTTCTGCCCGTGGTCACCCAATGAGTGATAGACTTTGTCCTCCACGAGCACTGGTGACACAAAGCCTGGTGGTATCTGTTCAACGACAAAACGCTATCCGATTTGGGTATTATCCAGATAATGAACGCCTACAACTAATCCAATAGCAACCTGCTTGTACCCCCCACATCACCCACCCATTCTTTGCTTTCCACGCTGTAATTCCAACAAACACACCCACAATTTTTCCCTTGATTCTTACGTAAACCCCAACAAGAAAGAAAGAACATCTATTCCATTACTCAGTTATTCGCATGAATCTCATAACCCACCAGCACCTCGGTATTCGTCCCATCCCACCCCCTCGTCCCCGCGGCTGAGATCATGATCCGGGAAGTAGGATCTATATACAAGCAGCTGATCACGCCTGCCCTCGGCGGCCCCGGAACGATCGTGAACGGAACTTTGCTGTGCTTTTGCGCTTTCAGGTCGGTGTCATACTGCAAGTCGTACAGCCTGAGAATATCATGACTGGCGCAGATGATGTGCCGCCCGTTGGGCATCGGCCTCACCGCCGACACGGCGCCGGAGCCGTTGGGGAGCTTGAGAACCCGTTCTGGCTGCCAAGACGAAGAAGCCTTGTGGATGGAGAATTCCTCCACTGTTCCGTTGCGGCGGCCGGTGTAGATCTCGTTGCCTGAGAGGGACCAGCAGGCGCCCATGCACCAAGGGGGAACGCCGCGGCGGTTGTTGATCCGGGCTACGGGTTCGGGGACGCGTTTGTCCCAGATGCGGAGGGTGCCGTCTATGGAGGCGGAGAGGAAGGTTGACGGGTTGGAGGTCGAGGGGTCCTGGGCGGTGGAGGTGGCAAAGGAGATTGTAGGGGGTTGTGGTTGGGAAGGGGCGTCGGGGAGGGAGGTGTCGGCCGTTTGTTGGGTGGAAGAGGGGGGGTTGTTAGGGGGCGGGTCGGTGGTGGTGGAGAAGTCAAGGGACATTGTTATGCTTTCGTCTAGGTTATTGGTGTTGTTGCTGCCTTGGAGGGTGTGACTACTGGTTTCGGATACGGTGTTGGCATCCGCTGGGTTCGTGGTGATGCCGTTTTGGGCTGGAGGTGGTGCTGTATTGGCGTCTATTGGGTTGGTATCTTGTTGGCTGGGATCGGTACTGGTGACATCTAGAGGGGGAGCATTGGACATGTCGACGTCGTCGAGGGAAAAGTCGGCTGATTGGCCCATGCCGTTGCTGTGGTTGTTCATTTCCATGTCCATCGCACGTGAGAACTCGTTGTCATCATCATCACCAAAGGCACCACCTCCGCCTCCTATTGTTTCGTTGTCGCCAAACAGAGAACCCGCTGGACTGCCAAACAGAGACTCGTGCTCAGGCGACCCCGTGTTTTCCGCACCATCTGGCTGTGCCGTCGCACTGGCACCCATCATCCCTCCACCAGGCGCAGTGCTATAAAAGTTGCCGATTGGTGGCTTGTCGTTGTTGCTCTGAAATGTATCGCTCTGGACCATCACCTCGCTTGCTTCCGCTGGGATCGGAGCCGCGCCAGTAGGTCGGAGCTCGATAGCCGAAATCTGACTGGTACTGCCATCAAACCTCCGGACAATCTGCCCGTTATTGAGATCCCAATCCAAACATGTCTTGTCCCAACTTCCACTCAAGACACTCTTCTCATCTGGAGCCAGCTGCAACACGCTGACAGCATTGGTATGCCCTCCCTCCCGCAGGCAGACAATCCTCTTACCCTCGTCATGCCTGACACTATACAAATTAATCCCACCACTCTCCAACCCACTCAACAACCACAACGCCTCGCTGTGAACAGCCAAGCTATACACCGGGGATAACACCGCCTCCTCAGCCCTCGCCCCCGGCGGCAGCGGCTCCTCATTCCCCCAATACCCCATCAAGATCCCCGCCTTGACCACACTGTCGACAAAAGGGTGCCTCTGCGCAACCGTCAACTGTTGCTTCCCATTGATGGTCCCAATCCCATCATACTTCCTCACGTACCCATCCGACCCCCCCGTCATCCAATACCTCTGATCCGGTGTGATAGCAATAGCATTAATGCTCGTCGCCTGCGGCGCCGCCATGGTAGGCACAATATCGTAAAACGCAGCGGTCGTATACTCTGGCCGTATCACCGGCCGGTACTTCATCCCCCCCGACACACTCCCGCTCGCGGCAGAGGCGCGCCTAGTCCCCGGATGTTGGTGGTGGTGATCGTCGCCGCCGTCGCGTGTTGTGCCGGCGCCATCGGGGGCAGACTGGGAATTATCATAGGCTTCATTCTCGGCTTCTGGTTCTGGCTCGGCCTCGGCGTCGCCTTCAGCTTCCTCCTCGTCGTCTTGCTCGTCATCGTCGTTCTCGTTATCGTCTTCGGCGTCGTTGTCGGCTTCGATGTCTTCGACTTCCTCCATGAGTTCGTCGGCCTCGTTCTCGGAGGTCGCGTAATCGTCGTCCATCGCGTCGGAGGCGGGGAGGTGGGTTCTGGTGAGTAACGCAAAGTATTATAGCTGTCCGAAACTTGTAGAATTATGGTAAAAAGAGGGTGCCAAAAAATACAAGTGTTTGAGTAGTAGAGTGCGAAAACGAAGAAAGCCAATGATGTGTGTTGTTGATCGAGGATTTGGCAATCAAGAAGAAGGTTGCTGGTAACCCAAAGAGCTCTCGACCAGGATCCCCGGCAGGCTTGTTTGCGACAGGATCGGTACGTACCTCTGTGGGGGACTTGCACCCCGCAACTGCATATTCCTGCATCAATAAACATCAGGGGCTCGATCATTCAGGGTCACTGACACGCAGAGAGAAGAGGATGCTCAGAATTAAAGCAACAGGTATTATTTTTGGTGTAATTATTTTTGGTCACCGCCGTTCTTTAAACCCCCTGTGAAAATGCAGTCCGGAATCCGTACCTTACAAGACCAACACCCAAATCGGGAAATATGTACCAACGCTTAAAGGGATAAGTAAATACTCGACTCCAGAATAATAGCAATCAGAAATCCCTGGGTTGACCAATCCTCGTCTATAACCGAGCCAAACATAACCTCTTTTGCCCGTATGCAACCCGAGCAGGCAGAAATACTCTGTAACTGAATAGGGCCGCCGCAAACCCGACGATAGCTCAACCTGATAACTCAACCTCAAGAACGCCCAGTTGTCTTCCTCGCACTGATTCTATTCATGGCAGATCGACGGAGGAACTCTCCCAGTTCCAGCTTGTCAGCATTCTCTATTTCGGTGACACAAGAAGAATCCGAGGGTGGTTTCCTATTTTCTTGACGATTGGGATGCAGCCCCAAACGAGCTGTGAATGGACGAGAAGTGGCGCCTGGGTTAGCTGAGGTATTCTTGACTCGAGTTCGGAGCGGAGAATAGCTGAGCAGAAGATCAGTGTTCTGATCCACGAGAGACTGAGCTGGATTTTCGGCACCTGAGTCGTCCACAGTTGAGATGATGATGCTTGGGGTGGCAGGGGATGGGGAATCGTTTGGGTGAGCAGGCTCCTCCTAATCGGCACTACTACCCGGCGCCCCTCCTCTCCAAAGACCATAGAACCCCTCGCAGTTCTTCCACATTTTGATGGTTCCATCCTCGGACCCTGTGGCATACAGGTTTCCATCTGGAGAGAAAGCAATGGACCAGATGGGACCGTGGTGACCCTTGTGGACATCCAGCTCCTTGCCATCCTCCCAGCTGTAAACATGCGCCCAGGTTCCAGGTTCTTCTCCCACCACAAACTTCCTGCCTTTAAGATCCAGGCCCACACTAGCAATGCCATGGGACAGCTTGAACTGCTTGAGCTCATCTTGTGCCTTCAGCCCGCCCCAAAAGCAGGCGGTCTTGCCAGCAGCAACCGCAAGCACGGGCTGACCACCGCCAATATCAGTGGGGGAGCTGTGCGATGGCGCAAGAGAGACAAGTTCGCAAGACTTGATCTCGGCTTCGAGTTTGATGGCACGTGTGCACTGCCTGGTAGGCAAATCAAACCATCGAAGCGTGTCTCCCGAGGCCGTAATCAGCACGCTGGGGTCCTTGGCCCAGACAATAAACTTGATGGGCTGTGTATGCACACCTTCGCCGATTTCAAACGCTTGGGAAGTCGGGATAGTAACCGGGCTAGCGGCGCCCTCGGACGTTGGTGGCTGCTCCTGCAAGTCAAAGATGCGGAGCTTCTTCTCGAAGCCTCCGGTGGCAAGCATCCTGGACTGGTCGAAGGGGTAGGCAACGGCGCGGACGATATGATCATGCTGAAGAACATACAGCAGCTCGCCGGTATGTGTATCCCAGACCTTGGCGGTAAAGTCTGCAGAGGCAGTTGCGGCAGTGGTGGCATCTGGGCTGAGTCTACCTTGCCATACCGCACCCTTGTGGCCAAGGAAGGTACCTATCCAGTCGCCGGTCTGTCCATCACGAAGCATGGGGTTACCATCTGAGAAAGAAGCAAGTTGTTAGTCCTTTGTTGATCAGATGAGAGGAGACAGGATGAACTAACCCTTGCAGGCAGAAATCATGTAGTAAATGTCCTGATTTTCCAACGGAGAGAAGCTGATATGGGGAACTGGGCGCGAGTGACCGTGGCAGGTCAACGGGACACATGATGGACGGGGGGTCGAAGCGTCACCCATTTTGAGAGGCTCGGGTATGGAGTATCGAGATGATGGTTATGGGAGAGGAGTCGTCAAGCGGAGGATGAGTTGAGTTGGGCAGCGAGGAAAAGTGCAGAGTTTGGCGAGCGAAGAGGTACAAAGCCGAATGGGTAGGGCAAACCGATGGACAAAGTTGAGAAGATATTTCTCTTTTTGTGGGAGACGGTGGGAATCTAGAGGCGAAACACAAGCGACGAAAGAAAAATGAGCGAAAAAGAGTCGTAACAGGTCGTCAGAAAAAATCGTTAAGGAATCGTGAGATTAGGAGGGCAGGATGGTTGCCTCCCGCAGAGAGCCAAATTTTGCGGTGGACGGGGAAAGATCAATGTCGACTCTGCGACGACATGGAAACCCTCTTTGCGACGTCTGCTCGCTGTTGGGCGGGGTGTCCGGTGCCAAGACCCGCGGCCGTACCCCTCGTTGATCTGGGCGTTCAAGTCAGGGGCTGTCACTCCCCCGCAGCAGTCAGATCGATGGTGCAAGGGCAACACAACGTTGTGTGAACAATTGGACGTGAAGTGGCGGCAAGCATAAGGTCAGGTAGGTTTACGACGGGAAGCAACAGCTCAGTTTGGCTTTCAGCCAATCTGCAAGTATGGCTGGTGTCCTCCAGCAACATTACGACATCAGAGACATCAGCGAGCATCAGAGGATCGCTCGGCAACCATCCTGGCTCTAACCTTATCTGACTTCCTAGGTACCTGGAAGACTATGAATATGGAACATAGTCTTGTAGACATCCCAACAAAACCCTGAAACCTACAAGGGCCCATATATATGTAGATATTGCTATGATGAGACGAAAGAAAAAACATGCCTCCTTGTTCTGCATGTAGGCCACCTCATGATATTGAAGCCTGACAGATATGGAGCTCCAAGAAGGCCCGTGCTGGAGATGGGAGCTTCCCCTGGGACCCGTCACCCCATCCGCAGCCACGCCGCTGTTCAACCCCTCCAGGAGCAACCAGCTTGCGGACTTTGGTCTTCCAACCATTTCCATTCCCACTATTCACTGTTAGCCTTACAAATCGGCAGCTCCATTACTCGAGTTTCCCAGTCAATCTTTTTTCATAAACCATCTCGAGTTATCGCAGGAGCTGCATCGACAACCAGCCTCGCGACGAACACCTGCTGCCGTCACTGCTCCACCAGCACTTTCATTGACTGACACCCATCGCTACGATACCCCGCCTACCTAAGCTCCCAGAGAGCCCAACCGAGATCGCGATGCCGGACTTCAAGCTCTCGGCCCAACTGAAGGGGCACGAAGCTGATGTGCGTTTCTAACTGATTTCTTCATGACTCGTTCAACTAACGACCACTTAGGTTCGTGCCGTTGCGTTCCCTTCCGCGAATCTCGTTGTCTCGACCTCCCGCGATAGAACCGTCCGTCTCTGGCGCAAGACTGCCCCGCAACCCCCGACATTTGATGAAACTATCGCCAGCCAGGGACATGGCTATATCAACTCGGTTGCTTTCTTGCCGCCATCTTCGGAGTGGCCCGAGGGCCTAGTCATTTCCGCCGGGTACGAGGCCATCATCGAAGTCAAGCGCCCAAGCCTAACTTCAACCGACAATGCCGATCGCCTTCTCGTAGGCCATGGCCACAACGTCTGCACCCTTGATGTTTCTCCGGCCGGGAAATATCTGGTGTCCGGAGGGTGGGATGGCAAAGCCATCATTTGGGGAACGGACAAGTGGGAGCAGGCTGCCCAGCTTGCCCATGATGGTGAAGTGAAGACCATCTGGACGGTCTTGGCATTCGATGAGAACACGGTCATTACTGGCAGTGCCGATGCCCACATCCGCATCTATGACATTCGAAAGGTCAACAATAACAACGAAGTAGAACCAAGACGCACTCTCACAACCAATTCCGTTGTGCGCGCCTTGTGCAAACTTCCAACTGGTCTGAAGAAGCACCCAAGTGGGGCCGACTTCGCCAGCGCCGACAATGACGGCATCATCAGGCTGTGGAAGTTAGACGGTACAGAGGTCGGAGAACTGCGTGGCCACGACAGCTTCATCTACTCCCTCGCTTGTCTTCCCAACGGCGAGATCGTCAGTGGTGGTGAGGACCGAACAGTCCGGGTATGGAAGGGGTCAGAGTGTGTCCAAACAATCACGCACCCTGCGATCTCAGTATGGACGGTAGCCGTGTGCCCTGAGAATGGAGACATTGTGTCAGGTGCCAGTGACCATACCGTCCGAGTTTTTACGCGTAACCCCGACCGGGCGGCGGATGCTGAGGCTTTGGTCCAGTTCGAAGAGGCTGTTCGTACATCGGCGATACCACAACAGCAGCTTGGGCCTTCGATCAATAAGGAACAGCTGGATCCCCACACTTGGCTCCAAACCAACGTGGGCCAAAAAGATGGGCAAGTGAAGACGGTTTTGGAGGAGAATGGCACAATCGGTGCCTACCAGTGGTCACGAGGTCAGATATTTGACATGATATGCAACTCAGGAGCTCAGACACTAACGTCAAACAGGTGAGCAGCGATGGGTCCATGTCGGCACAGTCGTCGACTCGACTGGCAGCACCGGCCGCAAGGTTCCATATAACGGCCAAGAATACGACTATGTTTTCGACGTTGATATCAAGGAGGGGGCACCGCCACTCAAGCTCCCTTACAACCTTTCTCAAAACCCTTACGAGGCAGCAACCAAGTTCTTGGGTGACAACGAGCTGCCAATATCATATCTCGACCAAGTGGCCCAATTTATCACTTCGAATACCCAAGGTGCGACGATTGGCCAATCCTCAGGGTTGGCTGATCCGTATGGGACAGAAGCCCAGTCCGCAGCTGATCAATCATCACAACCGTCGACCAAGTTTTTGCCGCATACAGACTACCTCGCCCTTACGGTAGCCAAGTCTGAGCCTGTGTTGAAGAAGCTCAAAAGCCTTAATGAGAAGCATATTCTTGCTGGCAATAAGCACATTTCCATGAACCCGAGTGGCCTCAACATTGTCGAGCATGCTCTCCAAGCTACCATGGGAGTGCAAGCTGCGAGTCAGAAGGGGAAGTTACCCCCAGCGCTCAACGACGCGACCCAGAGCGTTTTGAGCATCGCCACACAGTGGCCGTACAACGATCGACTTCCTGCTCTCGACGCACTTCGGTGCTTGGTCACCTGGCCGGGTGTCTCCACTGTGACCGATCCCAGAGGCGGCGATATCGCTAACACTGCGCTCAGAAGCGCGCTCGATGTTCAGTCCCCAATTCAAACCGACACCCCTTTAACCGAGTTAGCTCACGGGGTTGATGTGTCTACCGTCAACCCCAACAATGTCATGATGGCACTCCGGACCATTACCAACCTGTTCACTACACTCGAGGGGAGACAGCTGGTTACATCGGACGCTACCAACATCACGACCGTTCTCGGCAGAATTGCTGGTCTCGGAGAAGGCCTAAGTCCCATTGGGGCAGAGAACAATAACGTCCAAATCGCCTTGACGTCCGCAATTTTCAACTTTGCTTGCTTGGGCTTCAACGAACGCAGCACGGTCAACTTCACCGTCATCTCCAACATCTGTGAGATTGCTGCGGCTGTTATCAGCAGACAGAGGGATGCTGAGGTCCTCTTCCGCGCAGTCATGACGCTTGGCATGGTTCTTTCCACCGGTGGCCAGGCCCAGCAGGTAGCCAAGGCCCTCGAGGTTGGGGAGGCGATTGGTGAAGCGGCCAAGAAGTCGGGAGAGGAGAGGATCAAGTCGTTGGCAAAGGAGTGCTATGGTTATCTGAGGCAATAAGTGTGACACGTGGTGAATGAAGTGTGAGGGAATATTGTATATATGAGGTTACCCAGCTACCTCTAATGCTTTGCTAGTACAGCAGAGGTCCGACGCGGAGGGTGAAAAGGCAAGGGATGGAGGAAAGAGTTACAGTACTTAGGGACAGAGATTAGAGCCTTTGATGTTACAGACATGGGTTAGTAGGAGGCAACGAGATGTTATCCCACTTAGTTTCAGTATAGTGACAGTCTGCTCTTGTCTCACGTAGTCGCTATCAAGTTCAGTCGCCTTTCTCGCTCACCTGTTCGGGGGTGAAGATGCCTTCCCGTTGCTCTACGAAAATAGCCCCTGAAGCCACCCGGCTCCCCCGGTTGTCTATGTCAGACATCAGGAAACTTGACTTGCGGTACTGTTGTTGGTTGGTGTGGTGGGTGGTGATGTGAGAAGTGTATCTGCTGGCGCCCGACGCAACGGTGACGGAAAACGTGATTTGAGCCGCTTTACTCCCTAAACTGAACACGCCACTGAAACCGAAACCTGGGCGGAGAAAGCTTGTCACTTTAATCCGGCATTTGGGCGGCGGCTGATGAGGGGGTTTTGGTGCTTCAGGGTTGATGCTGACTCTGTCTGCTACAGCTTTCTCACACTGGGGAGGACTCTTGGGTGGTTTACTGGATGGTTGGATGGATGGGGTTCCCGAAATCCGGAGGTAAGATGGTTGGAGATGAGATGTGGGTTGGTCAATGTAAAATCGCGCCAAGCAAGACAATCCAATGTTTTGTTCAGAATTGTTTCGAATTTTTGCAGCTGCCTTTTCTGACAATTTCTATTCGAGGTAGCGTAAAAACAGCCTCAGTTTGTGATCCTGTCTACTCTCTGCCTTGAGTAACAGTCTGCTCCTCTGCCAGCTCTCTGTGACAAGAGGGAAAAAAGTTGTAAGTGAGAAAATATTAAACAACGAGAAAAGAAAATTCCCCAAAACCCAAAAAAAAACCCCCCGTTTTTATCACAGCACAAAACCGGGCAGATATAGTACCCTCCCAAAAAATATCTTTCCTTCACCCTCTTGCCTTGAACGCCGTCCAGAAATGCCAACACGAGATCCTGGTTTTGCCTTCAGGATCAAAAATATACAAAGTGCCAAACAGTGACACACGCAACCCGCCTGCCAAAATTGTGACGGATCACATCATAGCAGCGCCCACAAACCACCGAGAGCGAGTGGGACGTAGCCGAGCCATGCAAGAGTTGAGCCGCTGATAGTCATAGATCGTGCCGCGTCGCTGGTGAGGTTGACCGCTCCTTGTCCGGAAGCACGAAGGGTGAGGGTGTACACGTCCGCGACGCCGATGTCGGTGCTGTTGAAGCAGTTGGTCTCGTTAACCTCGGCCAGTCTCGAATCGCCTGGTTCGACAAATGTGATGTCGACGCACTGCCGGTATTGTTAGTATCCATCGCCCTACGTGATGAAAGCATCGAGAGGATGGGAACGTACCGAGTAGAGAGCAGCGCCATGTACGGCCAACTCAACAACCTGAATTGTGGCATTGTCGCCAGCCTTGACCGTCGCGTTCACTGGCAGTGGTACTTGAGGGAGGCAGACGGTGCCGGGATACGGGTTCTTTGATGGGCCGAGGAGTTGGAAGGGGGGAACCATGGGGAAAGACATGTTGGGGGGACCGCCCGGTGGTCCATCATCGGGGCCTTCAGTACCGAAACCCATGTTGACGTAGACCATTGCTGTTGCGTGGCCTTGGAACCAGCCGGGTTGGAAGGCGATGGCGCCGCCTTTTGTTGACCAGTAGGTTCGGTTTGTTGTTACTTCCATGCCGCCACCTAGGGGAGAAAAGTTAGCAACTCATGTCTTGGGTTGTGTAACGGGGAAGGGGCAGCCTGAGATGAGAAAGATGGGGAGGGGAGCTTACATGGATACATCCATTGCATGCCGTATGGGAAAGTTTTGTTGGTGATGAGGTTGTTGCCTCTCCATCCTGGATATGTGATGACAATGTGAGCAGAGGCGACAGCGGCTGTTGTCAGAGCCGTGAGAAACGTTGATGTGAGCATTTTGGCGAAGTGTGTCGTTGGATGCGATATGTGAAGGTGTAACCAAAGTTTTGCGTGATCAGAGCCTCACGAGGGCTTTCCCTTTCAATTCCGGCTCTTCTTTTTCTCCAAGAAAAACCTCTCAGTCGAATGTCTCAATTCCTCCTTCTATATCGCCAGTTCTTTGCCGATCAATATCTGTATCACTGTCCTGGTCTGGTAGTCCCAGTGTCGACCGACGGAACGTCTGTATCTGGAGTTGAGATTTGTGAATTCGGTATAAGAAAGACAACCGCAGAAATAAGAAGCAGGGAAAAGGCCAGAAGAACAGGTCGTGCTGGGCGGACGGGAGGGTAATATCTGGTGGTGGTGACCCATCGGCCCTATGTATGCAGCCATTCCCCTCTCCTCTCCAGCCGCCCAATGGTCCCTGTCACCCCCCCAGGCCCAGTCACCTTCACACCCTTCCACCGCCGTGACCCGACTTTGCCATGCCGAAGCACCAACGGGCACAGCAATCTGGGCGGCTTTTTGGCAGCAGCATGCACCTGAGCATCCCGACCACTCAGAGGGCACAAAAAACCTTTAAGGGGTGCGAGCTGTGCATGCCGACCCTGCCGACCCCCTGCCACGAAGGGAGCCCACGGCCAATGAGCGGGCAAAGGTGGCCGCTCGGCTGCTGGGCAAGTCGCTAACCTGGGGCGATATCATCAAGCCTTCATGCTCGACTCTGCATACTATCACCATTTAACACCGACGGCTCTCCCAATTGAGAACAATGGGGAGCTGGCCTGGACATCGAATTCCTAGTGCATCTTGGGAAAATCTAGAACGGCGATCTTCGTAGAGGCGCAACTGTAGTTTCGACTGACACACCAGCCCACACTGATCTAGACCTGCAGTGTCGCTCCGGAGCCGTGATGCGGGGTCCTGATGAGAGAGATTTTGGGACTTTCTGCCATCGTGCTACACCAGCAGGTTGCACAGAAAGGCTGGTGGTGGTGGTGCTTGGCGGGGTTCCAGTCACATCAAGCTGATCACAAAGCCATCTCCACTGTGTGCCGTCTCTCCTCCAACCTTTCCTCACAGCTAAGCGCCCAGCCATGTGTCTGGGAACCAATCAAGATCGGGCATGCGAACGGTTTGGGGGCGATCTGTCAACCCTCGGATTCTCTCTCCCTTCAGCAAAAACCCTCGACCGAATTCTTTTTCGCGGGAGTGTGGTATCGGTTCTCGATGCAGTGCGACTCTGCGAAGAGCTATTTCTGACTGGGATGCATTCTTCGGTTCTGCCATTCTGGCCCTCAAAAGGCGCAGCCACTGTAGATCAGTGAATCACGGCCAGCTTGGGTGAAAGCTGATTGACTGTGAAACAGCCTTACCTATACACATTGGTGGCAGGAGCTTTCTGGTGTTCTCAAGAGCCGAATGCTCGGACGAATGACTTGCATCGCGGGATGGCCAAAATAGTGGCCGCGTCAACAGTCTGGTGTGTGTAACGCTTCTGCAGCCCATACATGAAGTAAGCTGACTGCTGGTACCCGAGCTCGGCATGTCTGGTGGTGAAGATGTCATAAATTCGGAATAGAAATGGGCGTGAATCAGAATCAATAAATAGCAGGAAGCAAAAGGCATTTCCTCTGTTCAATATGATGAGGATTCATGAGTCCCTGACAAGACCAGCCTGACCAGGTTCAGTGCCCAGTGGATTGTGGGAAGCATTGCGATTAAGTGGGCCAATCCCAACCCTGAGATCTTCCCCGCATAAACCAGAGACACTTTGAACACGGAAGGCGGTGAACATGTTTCTGCCTATCGGATTTCTTATCGCACAACTGCCCCTCGGTTTGGCTTGCTTCTACACGGGAACCCTGCAGGAGAGCCGGTGAATTGGAGCGACTTGCAAACTTGGAGCTTTTTTGAACCATTTCAGTCTATCAATTTTCAGGATCCTTTTCGAGCACGTCTGTGACACATCATGGCTGACACCGGAGCCGAGTGGAATCAGGTCAAGCGGAAAGGCAGAAAACTTCGCCATGTATCCAAGCCAGTAGCTGATGAGAAGGCTCCTTCGGACAATCTGCAGCCAAACCCAAATCCAGAATACTCTATTGGTGATCTCTCAAAATACCATGACGGCGTGACCAGAAAATTCGAGCAGTCTGCATGCTGGCGGAAACTAGAGAAACTCCTCGACTCGGCTCTCTCATCACGTCAACAACTACCACGCATTGCCAGGGCAGTGTGTCTAGGGACAGGACCATATGATCCAGCCGATGGCAGTTCTCAAGCAAGGTGGACAGCTCACATGCAGACAGCTGCCTTCTGTGCCATTATCAATACAATTCGTGGGTCATGATGGACTGGTGCAACTCACAGATGGGGGCTAATCAAGAAGGGATCAGGATCTAAAACAAACCAAGAAATCAAGTGTTTCATTCAAGAGCCCCGATTTACACAAATTGATAAGGAATTCTGCAGCAAACTCGATCTCGAGGCCGTTGACAGTCCAGGTGGATTCGATCTTGTTGATGAGAACACACTGCTCTATGCCATACATGTCGAACTTGAAATCTGCAACCTGGCCATGAGAAAATCTCTGCCGACCGTTTTCATTGGTACCGGCTTGGATGAATGGCTACGGGTGGTAGATGGCACCAAGGAGAGACCAGGGCATCTCCATCGTTTTTTCAAGTTGGAGGACAACTATCACAAGCTCCCTTTTCCGGATCTCGATTACATTTTCTCAAGCACCAGCATATACCTGAGAGAAGATCAACAGACACACGATGGGTGTGAGCGAGGCCATATCGAGGAGGCGGGAAAAGAAGAAGTGGGCCAACAAGATACTGAAAAGAAAGGGGATGAAAAGACTGAGAGCAAAACGAAATCTCAGTCTTTGGAAGATCAAGACGCTGCTACCAAGAGCGATATCGATTCTCTGAGGCTTGATAAGCTTGTGACTTAATATGAATCCAGATTGACACTAGTCCTGTCTCAGAGGGTCCCCCAAATGGTCCAGCTTGAGGATACCTTGGGCTGTGGGATTATCGAGCGTTTTTCTTTGGAAAGAAAAGTTCATTGTATGGAGGTGTGCCACTGGTTTATGAATACAGGTGGAAACCTTTGGTAGAATATCAGCACAGAGGACTTGCACAGACGATTGTTATCCTCAATGGCAGTCAGTGTATCTGTAACTGAACAAACTTCAGTTTGCTGTTTTGTCACAAGAAGGACACCGGGTTGGCAGTTCTGGCCCTTAACCGTATCATATACAAAGCAAAGCGTCGGTATTCCAACACTCAATCAACAACCAGATTTACAGAAGACCGTCTTTTCTTTCTATTCCAAGACATAAAACGCCATATCCCACCCACGAACACCCGTCGTTTGTCACCCGTCATCCATCAACCTGCAACGTTCTCGCCTCTCAGGTGCCGCACACGCCGCTCCCAACATGCAGCATCACGGAGAGTTTCCGCAAACCTCTAAAAACATGTTGCTGTTGCAGCCCCCCCACACTGAATACCACAGGGGCCCGCATCCAGAGTCGCAAGGTCAAAGCGCGGCGCTCGCGATCCAATCTTCGCGAAATTGCGATGACATGGGTTGGGGTTCATTCTGCCCACCTTGCGTTTTCCATTGTGCTGCATGACGAGAATCCATTCTCTCCCTTTCTTTCCTTCCTTTCTCTCGTCTTGCACTCCGGCAACGCGCTCCGGCGCCCTTAAGTGACAAACAATCAGCATCGCGAAGTCGGCCGACGATTGTGTGACGGGATTGAGAGACTGCGAACAACATTGACTGAGCGAGATGGACCCGCGGGTATAACCGAATCATGACGGAGCCCTCAGCGCGCCAGGGACCCCCGTCCCACCCTGACGACATCGCCAACACCAACGACAACGACCACATCCAACACCGTGTACGGTTTGCTGAGGAGGGCCCAGAACCTGTCATCTACCAGCACAACCCAAGACGACTCCAAGATGACGAGCCTTCGCCGCCACCAGGTCCGGCTGTGTTTTGGGATGAGAACGAAAGCATCGCTCCAGCTCGGAACCAAGATCGGAACAGCATCGCGAACACGGCCGATACAGCAAACCTAGCTCAGTATACCTTCTACCGCGAGCCCACACCTCCGCCATACAGGCCGGATGAGAAGGGGTATGGGAATGATGCCGCCAGCGGCAGGATAGCTCTGGCATCCAGCGCCGGAGGAATTCCCGAAAGCGAACGCCGGCTTCATCTTCAACCCGAGAGGAGCAACTGTAGCGATGACGAGACAATGAGCCCAGTCGCCAGGAGAAAGCTTCTCTGGATTATCATCGCGGTTGCAATCGTGATTATGATCGGCGTTGCCGTGGGCGTGGGCGTTGGCGTTGGCGTAACAATGGCTCGCAAGTCTGCGGAAGCTCAGGAACAGGCCGAGTCCTCCACCACGCCGCCAGTCTCGGTGATAGGCTCCAGTCCCACGCCAACACCGTCAGCAACACTCGATCCTGACCCCTCCGTTACATCGTCGACATCTTCAGACGCACACACTTCTTCAACAGTCTCTTCCTCTACGCTCACTGTCCCTTACCGACCGCCAAACCCTCATTCTGACTGCCCTGCGGCAAACAACACCATGTATCAAGTCCCGGGCTCCCACAAACGCTTCCTTCGCCTCTGCGGCATCGACTACCACGGAAGCACTTCTTCTCGTGATCTAACCCACATGTACACGGTCTCCATGGCGGATTGCATGAACAGCTGCGCTTCGTTTGACCAGTGCACTGCCGTCGGATGGGGGTTTCTCCCCGGCGACACGGGCAAGGAGCACCGCTGCTACATGAAGACCGACCTCAAGACCGGCCATGCGGCAACAACCGATTGGTGTTTTGCCATGCTACAATAATTTATTCACGTATCGCCAAACTGGCGGCATACCTACCTTGCTTATCTCATATTTGGACTCTTTTTCGACTGTGTATATCATTATTGAACACATGCTGCAAAACACTTGGCGCATTTTGGCAGCCAGGATGGATTTGCAAACAGATACCCCTTTTTTACACATGACAGCCATATCGACACGCTCACGCGAAAACACACAACACACAAGGCGACTTTTAAGGTTTACATATAATTCATAATGATGCTATTATATTTCTTTGGGGTTGGAGGTTTGGGGACGGATTTGGAGCGGAAGGGGTTTAGTACTGATGTCTTTTGGGCGGGATATCTTGAACGACGGAGTTGAGAGGAAGGGCTAGTTTGGGGGTTTGATGAAGGGCTGGGAGCAAGATATGCTGTCGGTGAAAGCGTCGGCAGGGAGATGGTACGGCAGTTGTGGACCTTTTTTGTCTAATGTACCGTTATTGCTTCTCGAGTAGCCAGCACGTCGTGGAGAGAAAGATAGACACTGCAATTTGAGGTCAAGGCCTTGAAAGGTACTGGAAACGCCCTCTGCTATCTTACAATCTCTGCAAATCAACTTTTAAAGCCTTACGACTATATATCCGTCCTTTATGACTGTCTTTGGTGGCCCTGCTGATATCTTTCTAGGCCCTTATCCCCAGTAGTAGTCTGCATTAGTTTTCGTCCAGCATCAACAGACGTGGGTTGAGTTCGAGCACGGTAGTTACACGCGCGGCATGCGGTTGTAGTTGCAAACACAGTTGAGGCTGGTTCTGGGCGTGGAGTCTTTTCAGCGGGAGCAAAGATGATTGACCCCTGGGGATAAGTTCGAGGGTTGTTTTGGGTTTTCTATGCCTTGCAGTCTTCTCATGATGTCAGCAGCCATGCGGTCTCGTTGGATAGAATTGTGTGGATTACTCAAGAACGTCTTTTTTTATACTATCTAAACCATCCTATAAACTTGTTGCATCCGCTGGGTTCTGTGCTTGTGAGTTGCGACAGTATAATTTTGCAAGCATATTCCACTGTCAACCCCTCAAGACACGGAACCTTCAGTCACGACAATCGTCAAAGCCTTTCTTGTACGTCTGAACCGTCCCCCCGTCCAAAACAGCTTCATGAGCTTGGGCGACTTGTTCGCAACACCCTGGGACATCGCCGCCTCAGCGATAAGTTTCCTCGTCCCGGCCGCGTCAGGGAAACGTCTCCATGTCGGGTGCAAGATAATCTCCTCCTGGCCCTTCAGAAGCTGGTTAGGCAGCTGGATGAGCTCTATCTCTTGAGCTGTCCATATTGGCTCTGTGGCGTTGTCTTTTGGGAGTTCAGACTCGAGGATGGAGAGGAGGGACTGCCATATCGGTTGGTCTGTGGGCTTGCCGCTGACGTGGTTGTCATGTCTGAGATTTGGCTAGGATGTCACGGAGGAGGGTGGGGTGGTTGGATAGTTTGTCTGAAGCGTCCAAAGTGAGGAGGGGGCGAGGCAGGAGGTCGTTGGGGCGTTTGAGGAGGGTGGATGAGGGTGACGAGCGGAGGAGGGCGTCTTGAAGTTTCGTGCGGTAGGCTCGGGTGCTTTGTCTTGATCGGGGTTTCTTTTTGGCTGCTTTTTTGGAGGGCATTTTGGTGTTGCCAGAAGGAAGGGGAGGCCCAGCATGGCTGGTGGATACCGTTGATGATGCGGCACATGGTGGGTGGTTTTTGTTGGGGCTGAGATTGGTGAGGTGGCTTTGCGTTTGTCTACATGATGAACAGGAAAACCTGGCGCATCGGGGCTTCTTTATCCATCTTCTCGTCGACCTCATGCTGATGATGCTGTCGGGGGGTTCAGGGGTCGAAGTGGAGTGCCAAGATGCGGTTGCGTGGGCTGCCTTGGGCTGCCTGAAGTTGGAGGCCAGGGGTTCATGGGCACATCCAAAACACCCTGAAAAGAATAGAAATTTGACATGATATCAAAGCTTCGAGGAAGAATAGGAATACTTCTCGATTATGTGAAGACCACCCCCGACTGGTTTAAAAGGCTTATACATGCTTATTTGATACCTCCCAGTTAAGGCATCTTTTAAAGCTCCCCGTCTCCTGAGGAGGCTGACTCTCTTACAAGGCCTCTTTCCATCAGATATCACCAGGAATTCCAGACCTAGAGTTTGCTCAAACGCCGGAACACATCAGGAGAAACTGATTTAAACATTATGTCATTACTTAAAGATGATATCTCTAAGAGATCCAAACCAGCCTCTCAGTGAGGTGAAAACCAAATGAGAACTGTCAAATACCATTGCCTGCTCGTCTTTCAGAGCCGCTGAGTGCTTCTTTCACCACCCACTGACGATTTCAGCCTTCCCCATCTCAGTCTAATCTTGCTCCGGCATACGAGTCAAGTGATAGCTTAAGGAGAAAGAATGGTTCGATGGGCGTGCAGTTCTTCGAAAGAGTCAGTTGCTATCGGATGTACTTGATGGAAGGTCGGAAGTTCCGACAAAAACCACAAGGACAGCAGCAAATCTAGAAACATCAAGGCATCAGTATCGTCGGTCAGTATGAAGCCAGTGATACGGGCAACCATATGAAGGTTAGGTAGACTTGCGCAGCAGTAGCAGCAAAAACATCTTTGATGGGTGCTGAGGTGAAAAGGCTTAGCGAGAAGGAGAAGAGTGCAGTGAGTCCTGAAATAGCACCCATGCGTCCCTGCATGGTTTGAATATGATACAGGACATGGATATCGAGGATAGGCAAGAGAGATGCCGCAATAGTGCAGAGGATCCTGAGTACTCGGTAGATTGCCTCATTGGCGTATATTATCGTGTTCGGCAGCAACTCTAGCGTATCCGCTTTCTAAACCGAAAATACATGTTAGCTTTGGTCTGTATTGGACACAAAAGACAATAAGGGGCTTACATGGACACGCCTTCCTATGACTCGGTTATACTAATGAACCAGCCCTATGGTAAATGAGTTGGTAAAGGCTTGCTCTTCTGATGGCACTTCGAGCGATGTCAAATCTTCTCGGAACGTGGGATTCTCCCAGATATTTCGGTCGGGACCGAGCAAGTATATGTTGTGCCTATCTGGTCGCTCCATCCAACTTTGAAGTGCTTTGACCTGGCGGGGAATCGCAGGTCGAAGATCAAGTACCTGGCGATGACGGATGAGAGCTTCGTGGTATTCCTTCAATCCCGGTCGAATCTTCAAGATAGTGTCCCATTGAGCACTAACATTTCCGTTGGCGGCATCATCGGCACCAGAGCGTTGAAGAGTATCCCAATCCAAAGCATAGGTTTTACGGTCTTCATGATCCGACTGTTTGTCTTTTGCTTGATACCGACTGAGTCTTTCTTCCAACCCTTGGAGCTCAGCTTGTTGATAAAGAAGATCTTCAGCAGACAGCGCCCGGAAACGTCTTAGAATAGCCATCTCGGGGAGGTGTCCCATGGCCATGCCTAGCCTGTCATAGCCCTCAGTTCGAGATGGCTCTCCTGTTTTCTCATTGTTGCCGGTTTCGAGTTGAGCTGGAGTTTGTGCTGGTGCTGGATTTGGATCGTTCATGGTTGAAAGTGTAAGTTGCTTTCGAGAGCATTTCGCCTCAACAAATTCGTCGTTTTGCTCAGGACATAAATATGTATCGCTTCAATTACCTTACTCAACGTGAAGCGGCTTGATGTGAGATGGACATCATCATATTTACTTGCAGCAGGTGGTGTGCAATGCTTTCATCTGCAACATGCTTTCCTTCGGCCGGTCGGAATTTCGGTCAATCATCATCTCTCTTCTTCGCCGGTTGAGGTTTGGGTCAATGGAAACCAGCATGGGCTTGTTCCAACTAATAAGCCACCACCTTCCTACCTACCTGATAGGTTTCCAGACAACATGCCAAGCTTGGAAAACAGGGCTCACCGTCCTTCATTCCCCGACGTTTGCACTTTGCAGAGATATGACGACGTGAATGGTGTACTGCCCTTTCCCTTGCCCTAAGGTATTGTGCAGTCTGCTTGTAAGAAGCACATGCAACTTCTGACTAAAGTAGGTAGGCTCTTAACAAAAAGGTACACTGTAGCCCGGTTCAGTTAAGACTAAGGTATCTAGTTGAGGGTTGACAACGCTCGAAGCATGAGTGGTTGCATTTACATGGTCTAGTCTGGATATGATAACTATTTCTTTTAGTCAAGGGGCAAACAGAAGATTTATTATCGTCGCCATGCTTCTGCTAGTAGGTACATCTAGCTGGATCTGAATGATGGGGGCGGGGTGCGTTGAAAGTTGCACTTTCCATCTTCATGACGGGACCGCGACATCCAGTTTGACACCAGGAGCCTGATCCCCGGGCCAGCACACACATGTCTCCTACCCCACATGAGAAAGCAGAGAGACCAGGCTGCCGATGAACTGCCTAATAAAAGTGTGTCTCCTTCACTCTGTTTCTTCTGTTACCCCGCCGTTACTCAGGCTTCTTGACGTTCAACCTTTACCGACACTTCACGTCCATTCCAGTCCGAAAGGATCACCGGTCACTAGCTCAAACCAAGTGAAAAGGGAACAATGTCGTCTCCAAACTCTGACAAACCGTCCAACAACCCATATTACGGGGACCCATGGAACCCTCCTCCACCCACAGGCGACCCGTGGAGTTCTCCTCAAACCACAGGCAAGCCAAGGAGTCCCTCAGCACCCACCAGCGATTCGTGTGCATCAAGGCCTACAGATTTGTCTTCGGGCGCCAACGAGGACACTTATTTTCAAGGAGGTCCTGTGCCTATGGGATACGCAGACAACGTGGATTACTATCGTGCCAGCTCCGCAGCAGATTACCCCCCTCAAATTGGATATCCCCTTTATGGCCAATACATCTCTGGTGATCAGTATTTCGTTTCGAATGAAAATTTTGGCTAGGACGAACCAACCGTTAGAGATAGGTATTCATCCCAGGAGGATATATCCGCCAAAATGGAGCACCCTCCCAGCCCAACGGGAGTTATGAAGACGAGTCTGCGCCTGATTCGATGCCGTCAAACACCAGCTCGAGCCTTGCACCGGAAGACAACGAAGAGGATAAGCCAGACGATCCCTATGAAGCCCACCTCAATTTGGACTTTTCAAAACTCAAATTGAAAGATATTGATCAACACTACGGCTACGGACAGCATGATGATTTGGAATCGGGCACTTTTGTGGAAGAGGAGCAAAACGGCACAGTCGTCCTTCTAAGCGATCAGGGCTCTTACCCAGGCGAAGAGGGGAATTCTTCGTTCCCGAACGACAAGTACATCTTGTTGAACACCGAAGAGTCAACTCATCAATCTGGGGGCTCGAAAAAGCATTCTGCTCCACAAACCAACAAGACACTCAAAGAAGCAAAGAGCCATAGTCACAAATCCAGCCGAAGGTATTGCTCTTCTTTCCCCAGAGACGTAAGCAAACAATTGCCTCTTAAATTTAGGCACAAACTTCAGACTGACAGGCGCGTTTGGAATATAGGAGTACGATGTAACGATCTACCTCTCGAACTTTGCGGGTGTGTCGGCAATACTGGTGAGAGCCCGGTACGATAACACCAACATCCTCGGGCCAATTATCAGCAGCAAACTGGCTTAGGAACTCGGTTTTGACAAAAGAATGCCTCTTGAGACAAGGGTCTGTGAAGCTTATATGATTCCAGGCCAGGCGGACTTGTCTTTCGCAGTGGGAACGGTTAATCTAGCCGTGCAATTTGACAGCTCGACAGCAGGCGGCCCAACTGTGCTCACATTCAACATGCTTGATACTATATTTCAAGACTATGACGTCCTACTTCCCGTCTACGTGTTACCGGGCTATGAGGATGATTACGATCCAACCGCGGTACCAGCTGTCAATGCACCACAGGGCCCGAAGAAGCCGAAGGACCGAGGTATGTATCTCGCATTCAATGGACCAATGAAACTATCTTGTACATCGCTAATGTGTCACTAAACTTAGAAACCGAAGAGAAAATGAAGGAACAAAAACGGCGTCAAGAGGAAGAAGCAGCAAGACGGGAACAAGAGAGGCAAGAACGCAAAGCATGGGTTGCGCGGAGATGGCTGCTCAAGTCTGCTTCATCTCGAAGCAGGTGGTGGATGCAATCTGCCAGCATATACCGGCTGGACCCAAGTCAGCAAGTTGTACTTTAAGGGTTCGTGCAATCTTTGTAACTTGGAAGTAATAAAGAGGATATGTTAGCACATACCTTGGGTGGGGCCGTTGATAGTTCCATGCCACGTCTGGCATCTGTCACCATTGTACGGGCCGCGTCTCAGCTGGACATTTTCGTTGGCCCGAAGCGTGCGGTATGAGAAACCGAAGCTGTACCAGAAAGAATTCTCGGAGGGAAGCACGCGGACGTTGTATGCTGGGTTTGTGAAGTGCCAGGCGCTGCCGGTGCCTGGAGGTAGAAGAACGAGATGAAATGTTAGCCTTCTGTATAACCGAGAAATTGGACTGTTGTCAGTGAGCACCTACACCAATCCCCCGAATATGCGTTCACCGTGATGCTTGTGGTTTGGCGCTTTTCAACGGCAGCGGACGGCAGCAGCCCCCTAGACTCAAGCAGGTCCTCATATGAACCGAGGTCTTGCTGGGCACGAATCCAGGCCCAGCCGAGGGTTCCTGGCGTAGCGGTGTAGAAACCGTTACCTTTTGTAGCATCGTCAGGGACTGGACCCCAAACATCAACACCCAAGGCGGTGGCGTTGACGATTGACTCGGGAATGAGCTTGGCTGGAATAGCAACGGGATTCTCCCTGGGAGTAATCTCATTCGGGGCAGCAAAGACCGCCACCGAGAGGAAGGCGATGACCTCGGAAACTATGATAGAGAAGCGCATCTTGGTGATACTGACTGTGAAAGCAACTGCTTGAAGAGGGTTTACTGCGGTGATGGTAGTGATGGTGATGGTGAGAGAATATTAGTTCTTCTGGCGACAACCAGCCTCTTATACCCAAATTCCGTGGCTGCTCAGGCTAATGTGCCATAGCGTTAGCCAACAATGAGCTCTAACCATTGAAGTCTTTTTGGTGACTTTGATGGACAGTTGCCCTGGTGTCGGTCCCATACCCAAGGTATCTCCAGCAGGTAGGTAAGCCTGCGCCCCATGTACAATATATTTTACCATTGCAGATGCTGTTGGGCTTACTGAGATGATTCTGCATGGCCCATCTATTCAATGAACCTTCATCTCTTTTCTTGGTCTATTCTGCACTAGAGATAGGGCTGAGGTTGAATCAGATGCAGGTAGTAGATGGTTCAATATCAATTGACCTTCTTATGACTGACCGTAATGGATTGTACTACTCTAGATGGTCTGATAGCATAGATTGCCATGGAGATTATCCGGGTGAAATAGAGGGCCCACATAAGGTGTGCCTGACCACCCGTCTTGGTAAGCACCTCGCGTACCGGACTCTCATTTATGACTCTTTGGCAGCACCTTCGCAGCTTCAAGCTCACCGAACACATCCGAGAATGCCTTCCATGTATCTTGATATCTACAAGCCGGAGTGTGTTAGCTTAAATCCACAATCACCTCAAAAGCACAAGAACTTACCCAGTCCACCCAAACTCCCTCGCCTTACTCATACCAATCACCAGATCGAAATCCCTCCCCAGCTCAAAATCCACAAACGCCCACGTCCCCTTCTCTAACCCATCCTTCTGCAACCCTTCCCTCTCCACCAACCTCTCCCACGCCTTTTCGACATCCTCCTGCTCCGCCCACTTGACCAAACTCACCCTCTGACTCAGCATGTTCCTCTTCACCCTCCCCTCCAACCCCAACTCCTTCTCCCAAGCCTTAATAGGCGGCACCTCATTCATCTCAACTTTCCCTGCCAGTTCCCCAACCTCTTGTTGAAACTGCCCCTGATCAACCTCCATCCCAAATCTCCTCGCCAGCCTGGGCCACATATCCTCCCAAGTCTGCACATCCCCATTCACCAGATTAAACGCCTCATTCCTCGTCTTGTCCTCGCACACAACCCACTCGCAGAATTCCGCGTGGAGCTTGGAGCTAGTGTAGCAGTCAAAACCCGAGTAAAACCCCTCATTCCCAGGAAAAGCCAGTTTCCTCCCTTGCTCCTTGCAAACAGCAGCGTAAATCCCCAGTCCGGAAGCCAGGTTCATAAAGTTCCCGTTCGCAAAACCGATCACATCATTAGGGTAAGTGACGTTCCATCCAATATGGGGGTTAGCCTTGCAGAAATCATGGAGGATATCTTGCTGTCTGTAGTAAAAGTTGGGCGGGTAGATGTTCTGGTCCGTAAGCCAGGGGTCAGATTCCATCATCGGGTTCTTGGCGCGGCCGAGGTGGACGCCGTACTGCTTGCATCCCGTGACGAGGAGGATCCGCTTGATGGATTTGGCGGCACCGGTGAGGGTGAGCGCGCGGAGGAAGTTGGCGAGCATGTCGCCGTTGACTTTCCAGTTTTCTTCCTCGCTGTCCTTTTGCATGTAGGCTGCGAAGAAGACGTATTCGCCTGAGACGGAGGCAAGGTCTTTGGCCATGTCTTCGGCTGAGTGGAGGAGGTCGATGTGGTTGTGGACTACGTTGGAGGGGTAGTCGTCTTTTTTGGAGCGGGAGAGGGCGTGGATCGTTTTCCATTTTGTAGGGTTGGAGGCGAGGCGGTAGACGATTTCTCGGCCGAGAATGCCTTGGGGGTGTGTTAGTGAGAGGGATTGGAGAGATGGGGATGATAAGGGGGTTACATACCGGTTGCGCCGCACACGATTGCTGAGGACATCTTGGCTGGATATATTTTTGAATTTTGACCCGACAGGAAAGAAATCAGCAATGATTTAACGTGATGGTAGTTTTGAGGTGAAAATTAGGGTGGTCTGGCTTGGTTTGAGAATTGTGAGATGTGCTTTTGTTACTTGTGAGGTTGATATGGTTTGCGAAAATAGATGACGTCAAACTGACAGGTCCCAAGATCTTCACCACAATGCGACCCCATTTATGTCCATGAGATCACCACAAAGAGCTGCCGAATGACAAGCAAACTCTCCTACATTACCAGTTATTCATCGATGTATATGTCCGCCAAGCAATGGTGGCCCTTGTGGTTGCTGCCAAGACAGAAGACGGCCGTTGTTGTTTTGCTATCCCTGTCGGGGACTCAGGGGCACGGAGCAGCCTTTCTCTAGCTCCATCCAAGGCATCTATATTTGGTATGAGCTTAATTTGACCACCACTACAGGCAACAACAACGACAATTCTCCCACACACGCGAAGACATCTTGGAGTGTGGTCCGGAGACGGCGTCGGGGTATACGAAAGCGGCACGGGCTCGTGGTACCAAGATTTCGGCCAGGCGCCAAAAACTTCTCAACAAATGCGGCGAACAAAACAGGAAGCTGGTCGCGGGCAGTCGAGAGTAGGTTCTGATGTGAGGTGGTGGTTCCTGGCGGCGTGTAGCCCCTCACGCATGGGATCCAATCGATTCCATCGATCGAGACATGGTGAGGCGGAGAAAGGGCTTGTTCGGCGACCATGTGGGGGTACTCGGGACTGCGGACGTTACAAAGGAGGGTACTACTGCTCAGAACAGAGGTCTACGACATGTCAGTTTTCGTTTCTCGTGTCTTCCGCACATATCATGGCTCGGCAGTCGGTACAGAGATTGAACGCGTTGTTGATATCGTGACGGACCAGTTGCGATGTAACTCAGGTACCGCAGTCGAATGACTTGTGTCATGATGCCCATGCAAGGAGCTAATTGTTCGTTCCACCGCATGGAGCTGCAAGTGCAACGTTTGATACCCGGTGAAGATCTAGAACCTTTTCAAAATGGGGGTCCAGACTTTTGTCTTCAATGGAAGACGAGAAAGATCCAGCATCATACCACCTTGCCGAATGACGGTGATACATTACTCTTCTGTTCACCGATCATATGATATCACAGGTAAGTTCAACCATCATAGCCTCAATGCCGTTACGATTGACGCTATGGCATGTCTAGGTTTCAAGGTTCAAGTAATCGCCGAAGGTGCCGCAAGGTCGGCGACGTTGTCAAGGAGGCGAGATCTGAGCAATAGCTGGTCGGCTCTTAATTTTACTTGCAATGCGGAACTATGGGGCAAGAGTTAGCAAATACCCCAAACTGATGAAGGATGTTGTCATCGGGCCGAACCTGACTCCTTAGAGAGCTTCTCCAGCGTCGGATCGAGGATGTCACGTTGAGGGTCCTGGAACAATGTCAGGGATTGCGACGATATGGGGTAGATGCTGTAGCATGGGGAGGCTGTGCACCTCGATGAAGAATGGCGGTCACTCAGACGAGCAAATAAGGCTGCAGCAACTTTTGCATGGGGCTTGGTGCATGCCGCGTCTTCCAATTCGTTGCTTCCGTCTGTTTACACATTATCCGGGTGGACATTGGGGTGAACCGGTTTTTGCACTTGTTCCAAAGCCATGCTGAGGCGCAATCCAGACCTTTGCTGTTTCTGGGTGTTCCACGGCAGAAGCCACTATCTCCAAGTCTTGGCTTTTGCGGACTGCGCTCCGTCCTGGCGCAGTCCAGTCAATGTGCGACGGGCAAGCAGCACCCATGCCGTGGGCACCGGCAAAGCGCCCGTTGTGTCTCGTGCTGCATCACCGATAACTGATAGGTCGAAAATAAGTGGACAGAGACCGCCGGAGAAGGGCTTATTTGGGCCAGCTCCCGTCCACGGCAGTGCGACAGTGCAAGTCCCCGATCACCGCCCGCTTCGTCCAACTCCTGCCCGAGGAGGAGTGTCGATTGTGAGAAGACTGTGCATTATCTTTCGACATTCTTTCCCAAAGCTGTGGTCAGTGGCTTTGGTGGCTTCAATGGTTTCAATCGCTTCAACCGCTTCAACCGCTCAAACGTACAGTGCTACTAGATACCTTACCAGATATGGTTGGATGGCGCCGGCATCGCCGCCAGGTGGAGAGCTGGTTGCTCCTCAGTCCCCTCTCTGGGGCTGCAGCAAGTGCAGGGGACGTACAGCACTAGCTCCCAAGGTCTCGGGAAATGAAGCATCTCATCCAACAGAACCGAATGGCCGTTGAAAGCCGGGGGAATCTGGAGAGCCACCGACTGCCGCTTCCATGACAATACCCCACCATGAACCGCAACACTTCCCCTCAGTCGGCCGCTTTCACGACCGAGATATCCTTCAGCCGTCACATCGTGGGCAAGAGCGATAAGCTTCCTGCCTGATCGGGTTGCACTTTGTGAGCTGAAAGTCGACCGAGACCAGCGATAGGCCAATCAGGCTCAGAAAAGAGGCCGAGAGGGAGCTCGAAGCCAATCACAGCCGTCAAATTCTGCTGCCGGCAGGTCCAGCTCCACGGGTATGGCACGCAACCCCCTTCAACTTGACCGCCACGTTGCTTGTCTTTTGACAATGAGTCTGTGCAGGGACCCATCCGTAGGGCTGATGTCCTTTCTGGTTGAGGGTACGTATCACACGGGAACTGGCGAGAGCACTGCAAGTCATGCTCGTGTTTCATCACCAGACAGTTTCTACTTCCACTGCTGCCATGCATCACGGCTTGATTGCCCGGAGGATGCCGCAGCATTTCCCTCAGGTGTCACTCAGATCGTGGCGAAGGCCAAGAGAAATCCCTCTCTACTCGATGCTCCCCGAGGCTCAGCATGAGTTCACTTGTTCATAAGTAGAGGCGATACCTGCCCGATCAGGCTTCAATTTTGACGCCATATTCACTCATGACAATCCGCTTACACATCAATGTTTTATTTGACTCTTAAATACAGCTCATAATACTACCCACAATGTCTCCCACCTCATCAGCTGCTTCGAAGCAAAAGACTCGACAGGTGTGGACTCCAGAGGAGGACCATGTCCTTTCAGAAGCTGTCAGGGCTGGTAAGTCAAGTCTATCATTGCCCATCACCCCGCCTTTGTCCTACCAGATGTAGCTAACAGGCCTCCTCCCCACCGCAGAAACCCCAGCACACGGCCCTATCAGTTGGCACAAGGTCGCCTCCCATTTACCGGGTAGGAACAATAAGGATTGTCGCAAGAGATGGCACTATAGCATTATCAACACCATCCGGAAAGGCACGTGGACAAAAGACGAAGACCAGAAGCTCAAGGCCGCAGTGGAAGTGTATGGAGCACGCTGGAGCAAGATTGCAGAGGCAGTAGGCACTCGCAACGGGGATCAATGCTGGAAGCGGTGGTACGACTGTCTTGATCCCAGCATTGACAAAAGCCCGTGGACATCAGACGAGGTATGTCACGCCACGAGATGAGACACTTACCATCAAGATTGTCTAACACAGTTTAATTTAACAGGACGCGAGACTCCTCCACCAAGTAAGCAAAAGCGGTCGAAACTGGAGCGAAATCGTACACAAGCACTTCCCCAACCGCACCTCCCTGTCCGCCAAGAACCGATACAGCATCCTCCAGCGCAAGCAAGAAAACGCGTCCAAGTCTTCCTCCAAGAAGTCCGCTATCACATACTCCACAGCTTCAAGCCCAAGCCCAGGGCCCAGTCTCAACTACCTCAGCCCCGCTTCCATCGCATCCAGCAGCACCAGCACCCCAGAGCCAGAGTCGTACCCAGAATGGTTCGTCAACAGCGGCAACAGCCAGCCCTCCAATATGGACTTTGGCTCACTAGACCAGGGATACTCCCAGCCTGGTGGGTGGTACCAAGGAGGGGCGATGAGCACATCCCACTCGCCAAGTCCTCAGCTGGGTGGTGCTGGGCTGGAATGGACCACCACTGGCTCGAGTGACACGACTTGGAGCTCACCTGATATGAGCATCATGCAGAGCTACTCTCCTGCTCCTCCAACCCTGCTGCCGCAACAGTCGTTGGGTTTCCCGGAGCTGGATTATTCCCAGACTCGGCAACCACCTCAACAGCAGATGTATGAGCAGTTGTCTGCTGTTGATGGAAGTTTATCGGGGTACAACATGCTGGGAATTTACCAGACTGATGCGCTGGTGTATGAGCAGAGTGAGCAACCGGTGATGGGCTTTACTCAGCCGATTGGATATGGGGGTGGACAATGCTGGTGACGGGCGTGGAATGTCTCGATAATGGAAAAATATTCATTTTGTCCCTCTTGTAGCGACAGAGAAAAGCACAGGGTTGGTTGCATGGGTCTGGAGTTTTTGCATGCCTGGGTTGGGCTTTTGGTTTTCTATTTATCTTACTTTTAATACTATCTGTCGGAGAAACTCCATTGAATAGAGAAAAATGACAGTTCATAGGTATCCAAGATGAGATGGGTTTGTGATGTCGTGTCAACGAGTGAATTCATCGATGCCGAAGAATGACGGGGGAATGTGGAACATGCCCCCAAGGAACCATGGTGAGGCGTGGGCGCTGAGACTTAATAGCAGAGTCGGTCTTTTTTCTTTGAGAGGTGTCTGGTTAGCGTTGAGGTCCATGACACGGAAGTTCCCTCCGAGAGATTGAGGTAATAAAAAGAATGTTTGGTTTGCGAGCCTTGTTGTCCTGCTGGACAATCTTCAGCTGGAACAAGAAAAATCTAATAGTATTGTTACTGAGCCACTAGCGTGCATGACTGCGTAGATGGTCTGGGGTTAATTGGAAGGGAAATAGGGACTTTTAGATACTTGCTGTTAGTAGTTGGAGTTGGTGCTGCTAAACAGCTCTCGGATAAGGAGAATAGAGGGAGTGGGTTGGGCAAAAAAAGGAAAGTCGAAAACGTCAAAAGAACAAAAGAAATTCTCATCCATCTGAAGGATCCTCCCTGGAATTACCCAGGGACCCCTTCAACCCCCAGATGGTACAATAATCCCACATGATAGCAATACTGAGCTTCCCCAGTCCTCAGCTCCTCCGAGGAGGAGGGTACGACTACAAACCAGCAGAACTAGCTAAGCGCCAGGTACACTAGAAAACTGGTTGGAACAGCATTGAATCGAACCCATAACTTCTGCACTGCTGGGAGTCGACCCAGCAGACAGAAGGGATGAGAGAATGAACCTTTGGGAGCGGGAGCCTGACCAATTGGCTAAACCCTCTGGTTGTTTTGATGACATTGAGACTGCGGAAACTGATATAAATACCGGGGGCACGTCAACAAGGAAGGAGCAAGTGGTTGGCGGCTTACTTGAAGGGAAGGAGCGACCACATAGCGCGTGATGTTATCGACCGTCGGCTGTCCACTGTATTTTCATTGTCCTTGCTGTCTGGCACGGCTCGCGCTAAATATCAAGATTTCCATGTGATTTGTTTGGCGTGTTTATCATCATGACTGTGCTGCAGGCTACAATCATGGACTTGTTAAGATTGCGTTTTGTTGAAATTGTTTGGTGATGATTGAAATCTAAAATCCTGCCTCTCTTGGGCTATCTTCATTTAGGGTGTTCGACCAAAACTTTCTCTCGTCCCTTAACCGACACAGCCTTCGTATCTCGGTCTGTTACTCGAAACAGAATTTACTTGCACATGACTGCCTATTTTATGATCTTGATGTACCCAAATGACAGCCTTCGGCAAGCAATGTAAATAGTATATATCTTCGCGCAAATCGATTCTTTGGACTTCCTGTAGCAGAAGACAATGTTAAATTAAGATTGACCGTGCCGACAGGTGAAACACTGGGAGACGATGTGGATAGATGGGAGCTCGAAGGGATACAGGAGATGTAGATGGAAGTACAGCTGATTGATGGAGTATCAAGGCGAACTCTTTGACCTACACATATGATGCCAGCACTCCAGAAGAAGCCTCTCGTCACCTGTGATATGAATCTCAAAACACTTGGGCGGTCACGAAGCACACGTCAGGGGAGGTGGCAGAATGGAGAGAGGCCGTGTTTTTCTGAAGTCTAGTTGCTCCCTTGATGTTCTGCCTGTGGGAGCACTGGAGGAAGGAACAGAGCCCTCCCGTTGGCCAATGACGACAATCCGGAGAAGTAAGTCCACGATGAGGGGCAGGATAGTAAAAAAAAAATTTAAGTTGTCGTGAACTTTCACCCTTTCTTTCTATCTCATCCAAGCAGCCACTCACGACTTTGCTTGCGCGCCCGCTTTCGATTTTTCTTTTCAAAAACTTCGCGTTTGCTTGCGCTCTCTCTCGTCGTGCTCGGTTGTTTTTTTTTTTTTTTTTTTTTTTTTTTTTTTTTTTTTTTTTTTTTTTTTTTTCAAAAAATCATGGCGAAATCTTCCGTTGCCGCTCGCCGTCGCCGCGCCGAAAGGCGCGAGCAAGCCAGTCGTTCCGCCGGCCCCTCAGCCGCTCGCGCGGCTGCTCACAAACGTCTCGCCGAGCTTCTCCCCAGAAATGGGATGGTTTACTGTTAGTATTTTGTTGCCTTCCATTAGTTTTCTCAGTTATCAATTCGACTTTTACCCATGTCAAAGGCTGTATCGTGAAGATCCTGATCTGGCGGATCCTTTTTTTCGATCTATCACGTCATTCAACCACCTTAGCAACCACAGAGGGTCTGTCAGCAATGACATCTCGCTCTCTTGACCTCTTTCTCCTGCCGGAAATTCGCCAATCTCAGGACCGCTATATCCAAGCCACTCAAGGATTACGGATTTGTCAACCACAGGTCATATGCTAGACACCTGGCAAAGACAGGAGTCAGTCATGTGATCTCAATTTGACTTAAACGACCAGTCCAACTGCAAAAACCAACTTCAAAAATTCATCCCCCTTTCACCAAACTATCTATGGCGGCGTTGACAGCGTTCACTGGTCCAATGGCTAACATGTGGTGGTTACAGCCAACAAAACTGTGTTGTTGAACCGCGCTGCTGCCGATAGCAAAGTGATCCGAGCGATCAAGAACAGCTGCGTATGTCTTTTCATTGTTTGAAAATCCAAAAAACGAAAGAAGAAAACGAAAGAAAATAAGAAAACAAGGAAATCACAACATCATCAACAAGGAATGTTTTGGCTGAACAAAACTTTGCGTTACAGGCTTCCAACCTCGAAGTCTCCGTGGTCAAGCTTAGCTTGACCAGATCCATCATGGACAAGGCCCTGGCCTCAATTTTTGCTGCGGCGACAGAAGTGACTCGGGAGATGATGGAGTCGGGTGAAATAAACGGAAACGTCGAAACAATGACGTTTTTGAACAAGTTGAAGTTGCGCGTCGGAACGGTCCCGGTGGTTTTGGCTGGTGGCGGAACGAGCATGGGCGTGGGCACGTGGGCGAGACTGATGCCGTCGGAGCTGTTCTGCAAGATCTTCATGGTCTTGCGGGCTGCTCGGCGGTGCTGGTTCGAGGCGCCAGAGGAGCCGTTCGCCGTGGAGGAGCATTGCGCCCTCGCGCACAACATTGACCGCTTCTTTGAAGTGGACATGTTGAACTGGGGGGACTTTGCGATGGTCCAGTTTGTGGTGCGGGGTGGGCTGGGTGATTTCGGTGTGGGTATGGGAGGGGAGGATGACGACGAGGTCTTCGATATCTTTGCGGGAGATGAGGAGGGAGAGGGGGATGAGGTGGTGGATGAGGTGGGCGAGGAGGATGGTGGTGATGAGATGGAGATCGACGATGTAAGTTCCCTGGAGTTTGATCCCTGGATTTTGACGTGATCAATTATACTAACTGAGAGCTACCAGTCAACTTCCAAGCTGTTGAACTCTGGTCAGTTGGAGGAGGCGTTCGCTCGCCTTCGGGTGGATATCGGCCAGGCCGAGTTGCAGCTGACCCTTGCCAGGCTGCATTTCTGATTGCCTCTGCAGGTGCGGTGTGAGATTGGCTGAGGGCGGATGGAATGGGGACGGCCGTGTAGGATAAAGAACGGGATTGGTGAAACGTGAGGAAAGTGTAGGATAATTGAATGGATTCATGGCGTCTTCAGCCGGACGAAGCGGTATACCAAACGTTGATGAAGGCATCCTTGCGAGATGTCAATGACTGGACGACGTGATAGCCCAAAGCTTGTAACATGACATCTGTGGACTAATTACACGGTTGTCTGGCGATGAGACCCTCCCAGGGCCTCAGATGTACCAGATCGGTGCCACCACTCTGCACCTTGTCCAAACCATCGGCATAATTTCCCGCCACCCATTGGAGTCCCCATTTGGGACTTTCCCAGGTAGCCGAGTGCCCAGTGAAGTTGAGAACAACCACCCATTTCTCCCCAGAGTCAGCCACCCTAACGTACGAAAAGACGTCTGGATTTGTCTCGTCGATAAGTTCAAATCCGCCATGGACCAGAGCACCAGCATTCTCTTTCCGAAGCGTCACCAACCTCTGCCAGAAGTGGTACACGGACGAGGTAGCTTCCGGTTTTGTTTGTGCTGCTGCATTGACAACTGGATAATCGTCATTCACCCGCATCCAAGGGGTAACCTCTTCTGGACAAAAGCCACCGTTTGGACTGCTATCCCATTGCATGGGGGTGCGACCGTTGTCCCGGGCTTTGGCTCGAAGAGCTCTCCGGGCTTTTTGAAGCTTTTCTTGGTCATTAGGATACATCTCATTTACCCTGAGGGAAGGTTAACGTTAGCAAGGCCTCTGAGAAAATTTGAGGGGCTTGGATGAGAAACTTTTTCCAATAATTGACCGACTCAATATCCTTGTACTCCTCTGGTTCCCACTCAAACGGGACATTTCTCATGCCCAGCTCCTCTCCCTGATAGACAAAAAGAGTTCCGCTTAGGGTGGTCTCCATCATTGCAAGCAACTTTGACCCGTACTCTCTGTACTCATCGCTATCATCACAATAGTGCGATACAGACCGAGGCTGATCGTGATTCTCGCAGTAAAGCGAGTTCCAGCCACCGCCATCGATCATGATTCTTTGCCAGCGAGAGATAATCTGGCGCAAGTCGGAAACATCCCAATTGCCCACGGACATTCGAGCATCACCAGGGACATCTCCTCGCTCCGAATCGATATCGACCAGCTCAAAGTGGAAGACCATGTTCAGAAACCCGTCTTTCTGATGCACGATCTTGAGGAATTCTTTGTCATCATAGATGAAGGGCATTTCGCCCACTGTCATCTGATCGTACTTGTCAAGAGCCTCGCGCCGCATTTCCCCAAGAAACTCGTGTAACCTTGGCCCATTGGCGAAGTGTTGGGTAGCCGGCTGGTACGGCTGACCAGGTATGACAACCTCGGCATCAGGAAAGCTTTGGTCCTTGGAGATGAGGTTGATCACGTCCATCCGAAAGCCGGCGACGCCCCGGTCTAGCCAGAAGCGCAAAATATCGTACACTGCAGCCCGGACGTCTGGGTTCTCCCAGTTGAGATCGGGTTGCTGGGGCGTGAATGCGGCGAAGTAATACTCCTGGGTCGTCTCATCGAAAATCCATGCCGAATGCGCCTCTCCCAGAATTTGATTCCTTCAACACTGTGTCAACTAAAATACAGCGAATCAAAGAGAAGGGGAGCACATACCAGTTGTTGGGCGGCCCTGGCTTTCCTTCAACGTCATACTTGGGCTTCCTCCAGATATACCAGTCACGCTTTGGATTTGACTTGGACAAGCGAGATTCCAAAAACCACGGATGCTGATCAGAGGTGTGATTAACAACCAAATCCATCACCAATTTCATCCCACGACGGCCCAACTCCTGAATCAGTCGGTCAACATCTTCCAATGTGCCATACGGGGGATAAATCTTCTTGTAATCGGCGATATCATATCCATTGTCCACTTGAGGGCTGTCATAGACTGCAATTATTTCCCAAATTAGCATTGTGATTTGTTGGGCCGAAATAGACGGTGCTCACTTGGAGAAAGCCAGACAACGTCGACTGTGCCACATGTCAGCAAAATATGGTGAGAGAGAGCGGCAAAGGTGCAGAGCGTTCCATGCCTCCAAGATCTTTTAAGTAATCAAGCTTTTCGGTAACACCATTGACATCACCCCTGCCATCGTTGTTGGTGTCATTGAAAGAAGCTGGATAGATCTGAAGGATGATGGTGTCAGTTCATTGTCAGTCATATTCAGCTAGAAGGCCGTACTTGGTACACCACGGCCTCTTTCCACCACTGACGGTCAGTGTGGGATTTGCCGACGGACATCTTTGAGGCGCCCAAAAGACCGATTCCGACCCGAGAGTGTTTCAACATCAAGAATCGATCAACTCTGCAAAGACAGCAGGAACCCCTCGTTTCTGCCCAGCGTGACCGGCCCCACATTCAGACATTTTCTCGCCGCTGACACTCAAAGGACCCACGGAATATGCGGCCGGCGCCGGGCGCTAGATCGATTTCGCCATTACCATCCGTGCCTCTAGATTTTGATCGAAAGAATTAGGCTGGATTTCCAAGGCGCAGGGATCGAGAACATTGAACATGCCAACGACAGAACGTGGGCGCGTGGGTGGGCAGCGCCTTTCCGAAAATACATGCAACAGGCCCAGGAACTCAGGGGCCTGCCAAGACCATCTCCAGATGGCACAGATATACGGCACAAACTCCCTTCAGCCAATCACCAACATTCCCGAAGCACAATGTTGGTGGCGTCCCTGCATTCAATCCGCGCTCCGCGAATCCAACTGCAAGACCTGCAACAACAATTATCAGTACAGCTTACAAGCCACATAGGTAGCCACATAGGTTTGGACTGGTTGAAGTGTTCCGGAAATAGGAAGATGGTCGATTCACTGCTGACTTGGAGCTCCAACATCCAACATGCTACGGATGGCACAGCGATGTGTGCTCAGCGATGTGTGCTCTCACGTCCTAAGACATGGCCCAAGGCCACAGACCTTAAGACGACCACTTGGTCCTCCACAAAGCAGCCGAACTTTGTCCATCTGAAGTGGACTCCAGAACATCAGTGTCGCTCTAAGTCGGCTTAGTACAACACCATTGGACCCCACACCCATCCGCTGAGACAGCACCATCTACCTCGCCAGTGACACTGATCATGGGTGTACAGGAGCAGGCAAAGGGGGTGGTAAAGCCAGGAGGTTGCCTTCCGGTTCCACATGACGACCTGTTACACTTCAGTCGCTGTCTCAAGTACGATGAGAGAGAGAAATACGTCCAAAATGCCCCCGAACACCTCCGCAGCCAGGTGGGGCATTTGCTGTCCCGGGTTGAGCATGTCAGGTCCGAGATCGACGCCCGGCCCGATGGAGAGTTCTGGACTTCCAGGTTAGCCGACCACATATCCGACTTCAGATCAAAGCCCCAGCCAAAGAAGACGGAGCGGTCGCCGCTAGCCGCTACTCTTTCCCGACTACACATCGCTAGCCGGACCAACCTCAGCCGAACAAGTCGTCTTGACGTTCCAGAAATCCGCCTTGGTGGCAAGACTTTATCGACACCCAATATCGCCGAGGTCCTTTCAGCCAACCCATCCCCAACATTTCAGGACATCAAGGACCACCCATACAAAGGCCTCCAGGCCGGTGCTGTCTACTACAAAGATGGTATTCCCTACACTCATCCCAAGCTGGAAGGCAGTTTCCCAAACCAAACAACCCCGTTGGACGATTTACTCTCAAACAAGGGTGATATGAGCTTGCTCAAAGAATCTTGTGAAGAAGGCATGTTGAGATGGTTTCACATTCCGTCCAATAACATGGCCTGGGTAGAAGTAAGTTACCTTGCATAGAAAGAGATTCAGTGCACAGCTAACAACAATCAGGAAGCGATAGCCCGCCATTACAATGAAGAACGCCCACCAAGAGAGGACCTGTTTGGGAAGCCAAAGGTCAAGTCCAAGACACATGAGATTCTTCGACGGGTCGGATGGCGAGGTCACTCTCGGGAGGGCGTTGATCCTAACAGCCCACCCCACACCCGCCAACTGAACCCCGGTTGTGAGGTGATCAAAAGCGGTCACGAAAACAACCCTAACGCCATGTGCCTCTTTGTATGTCGATGCAATTCATGTCACACAAACAGTACTTCAACTGACATATCACACAGGCCCCTTACCTCCACTGGGAGACAGCATTGGGACTGGAAAGACAAAACAAGTCCATCGAGAGAACCACCAGATCTGCAATTTTACAACATGCGTCAGGCATGCAAGTCCAGGATCGGGTTGAAGATACCTTTCACCAAGAGCTTCAGGTCCACCAAGTCAACAATACTTCCCTCTCTTCCCTTGCCCGCGAGGCCATCGTCTCATCCACGAACCACTTTCGTTCCATGACGATGCGGGCTACTACTAGACGAGGTGTTGTTGGAAGGATCCTGTTTTGTGCCGCCAGAATCGCAAAGCTGATGGTGTCTTATGAGGATGATGAACTCGTCAGCAAGTACCTTTATGCTAATCCCCCGTTGCATCCCCGACGGACATTGCATCAGTCTCTAAATGAGTATTCCAACTTTCTGAGGGATACTGAACGCTTGGACAAGGATCAGATTGTGTACAGAGCAACAGCTGGGCTCAAAGACCCGACTCGCCAGCAGTGCAGCAAGTTTTGCCAGTGCTCTGACTGTACGAGTGCACGGGCAACTGTGCCTCGGTTTTTGATGGTGGACCAGCTGTGGGTGTTTGTCTTGGATGAGAGTGAGTATCTCGAGAAGCTTGCATGGCGACCTTGCTAACCCATGATAGATACTGTCATCACAAGCTTTCCACAACGCTGGGGATCTTACTTCACAAGCGATCTGTCAGGAATCCACTCTCGAGTAAGAAAGCAGCTTGAAAGAGAGCGAGACGGGGTCAGCAGTTCATATGATCTGGTTCTCAAGATCTTCAACGTCTGCAGCAGGGTGTTTTACGAGAATATCAAGTTTGCGGACAGACAGCCCATGCTCAATTACATCTTTTCCGATTCGATCAACTTTGTGGTAAGATTTTCCAGTTGCTCTGAAACGAGACGCAAGCTTACACCTGGCTCAGACCACAAGAGAATTGGCCGCCCGTCAAGAGCTCTCCCAGCTTGCTCAGACGATCCTAGCAGCTTACCGTTCCCCTGACAAGACTCAAATCGCCGAAGCCCACAAGGCAGTCATGAACATCAACCCCGAGGCCGGCCTCCTCCGGCAAGTAGACAACATTCTCAGCGACCTGAGCATCATCCGCCAGATCAAGATCGTCCAGCAAGAAGTCCTCAAGCAGTACCACGTCAACATTGCCCGGGTCCTAGTTCCCAACTATGCCCTCCGTGCCGGCTTCGAGCCGCATACACCCGGTCTCAAGGAGGTAAAGCGCATGCAAGAAAGTCTCCGTGACGACCAAGATGTCTCGGAAGAGACCAAGTCAGCGGCAAGCTGGACGCTCTCCTGTGCCGATGACTCGGAGATGTTCCTCGCGGACCAATACAGGCAGATTGACCGTTTGTACAGAGCAGCGGAACACTGCCAAAGGAGACTGGAGGAGCTGCTAGAGACGAAAAACAAGTACGCCGGCATTGTCGGGGCGTGGGAAGCGGTAGCCAACAGCATCGAGCAAAGCAACCAGGGCAAGTCTATCATGCTGTTCTCAGTACTGAGTATTATTTTCGTAAGTTCTTACCGTCACCCTTACCTCCATTATCATACCGGCTGACAATGCACCTAGCTCCCCCTCTCTTTCATCACCAGCATCTTCGGCATGAATATCCAAGACTACCGCATCGGTCTCGGCACCCTCGCACAGGAACTCTACTATGTTTGTAAGTGATTCCCTCCCTCTCTTCTTATCCAACCATCCCTAACATCCAAACTAGTCGGGGTCTCAATAATCGTAATCTTCATCTCCCTTCTCCTCGCCTTTGACAAGTTCTCCCTCGCACTCCTCCTCTACTGCATCAAGGTTCCCACCAAGTGGGTCATGACTCGGATTGCGCTCCTCCAACCGGCCTCGTTTGGCACCAGGACGAGAAATTACCGCAAGCTCAACGAGAAGCGGGTGAGGAAGATCCAGCAGATGGAAGAGGAGATCCAGCGGGCGAGGCTGGTGAGGGATACCAAGGAGTTTTGGCGGACGATCGAGGCGGAGCAGGCGAGGAGGCGGGCTGGGTTGGGGCCACAGGGGGGAAAGAGGGTGGATAGTGACAAGTTTGTTGTTTAAGTGTGGAAAAAAGCTGTACCATGGTGTATACGTGATGTTTTAACACCGGAATCTGGACATAATTCGCCACGTGACTTCTCGCCGCTTTATCTGACTTGAATTAGGCGGAGCTCAGGACCGGCTCATCTTCGGCTCCAGCCCGCTCACCTCGCTCAGGGATTGCTCAAGGTCTGCTCACTTCGCTCAGGGACTGTTCAGGGTCTGCTTACCTCGCTCAGGGACTGCTTAGATTAAGATTTGCTCACCGTGCTCAGGACTGCTCTAGATTGCTCATAGTCTGCTCGCCCTACTAATGGTTCCCTCATTTACTACTGATGGTACTCTTACAAGCCTATTCTATAACGCTAGTCTAGGGATCTTTTAAAAGTGTTCTCTCGCAAGAAATTCGTGCTCTAGCAGCTTGATTTCGCATCTCGAATATCAAACCTATCACACTTACCAACCCAACCCGATGTCTCTAACAGCATACAGAATGTATAGTCAAGATACGTTACGTCTAGTCTATTCTAAAACTACCGCAAGTAATTTTCTCTAACGTACATTATCAGTGAGTCGTGCATATCAGTGGGTCGCGCACTCCCTAGCGCGACGCGTCCTCATTGCACTTTGCATCGAATTTTTCTACAATCCAATATGCCTTCTATTTTAAAGGAAGCGAGGGTAATCTTAGCCCTCGAAGCTCTCCAAAAGGACGAAAAATTAAGCCTCAGAGCCGCAGCTATGCTTTATAATATACCACCATCAACCCTCCGCGACCGACGCGCTGGCCGGCCTGCACGACGCGATACTACGCCCGGTACAAAGAAGCTCACTCAATCAGAAGAGGAGGCTATTGTCCAATACATTATTGTAGCTATGTGCGCGAGCTTTTCCACCCAGATTACGTGGTGTGGAAGATATGGCCAACCAACTGCTACGCTTACGCGATGCGCCCCCTGTCGGCAAGCTCTTGGGTATATCGATTTATTAAACGCCAGCCAGAGCTCCGTACGCGTTTTACACGTAGATACGACTACCAGAGGGCCAAGTGCGAGGATCCAAAGGTTATTAGCGAGTGGTTCGCGCTTGTGCGGAACACTAAGGCCAAGTACGGTATTGTAAATGACGATATCTACAACTTCGACGAAACTGGGTTTATAATGGGTATTATCTTCGCGGGCATAGTAGTTACGACCTCGGACGGCCTTAGTAAGGCGAAACTAGCCCAGCCTGGTAACCGCGAATGGGCAACGGTAATCCAGGGAGTTAATGCCCTCGGTTGGGCCATCCCTCCTTTTATCATCTTAGCCGCGCAGTACCACCTTGCCAACTGGTATACCGAGTGCAACCTACCGTCCACCTGGCGTATCGCAACCACCGATAATGGCTGGACTACCAATCCGGTAGGTCTAGATTGGATCAAGCACTTCGATTACTATACGGCGCCCCGGATAAAGGGTAAATACCGGTTGTTGATCCTCGACGGCCACGAGAGCCACCACTCGACCGAATTTAAGCGCTACTGCCAGCAGAATAACATTATTACGCTCTACATACCTCCACATTCTTCACACTACCTCCAACCACTCGATGTCGGCTGCTTTGGGCCATTAAAGCAGGCGTACGGCCGCCAGATCGAGGACTTGATGCGTATACATATCAACCACGTAAGCAAGCTCGAATTCCTCTGTGCCTTCCGCGAGGCCTTCTTCGCCTCTATAACGGAAAAGAATATACAGGGTAGCTTTGCGGGTGCTGGCCTTATACTATACGATCCAGAGAGGGTACTTTCTAAGCTAGATGTAAAGCTTCGTACGCCAACACCCCCATCCTCAAGGCCGGGCACGGCACTCCCTTGGCTCTCCCAAACACCACACAACCCTCGAGAAGCTACCTCACAGTCAGAGCTTATTAAAACTCGGATATCAAACCACCAGGGTAGCTCTCCAACATCTATGTTGGCTGCTGTGGATCGATTAGCTAAAGGTACGATAACTGTAATGCACGAGGTGGCTCTTCTACGTATGGAGCTCTCGGCACTGCGAAAGGCCAATGAGGCACTTAGTAAGAGACGGAGAGCCAAAAAAACACGTGTGAGGCTTGGAAGGTCACTTGCCGTACAAGAGGCACAGGATCTACTGGATCAGAAGGCTGTGGGTGAGCAGGTAATCCAGGAAAATCGACAAAGTGGTGGTGGTACAGGGGGGTCTCGTACGAAGACTCAGTGCTGTGGTATATGCGGCAAGCCTGGCCATAATGCACGCACTTGCCAGGAGGCTGCAGAATCATCTGATTCAGCTGTTTCTGATGTAATTGTAGTTAATTCCTAATGTTGGTGTGTTATAATCGAGGGTAATTGTAGTAGGGTGGTAGAGAGTGCGCGACCCACTGATATGCACGACTCACTGATAATGTACGTTATAGGCTGCAGCCTTAGGCGCGTAACATTACAAGTCGGAGATCTTTGCCTTTCCAAGATACTAGAGCAGTTCTCGGAAGTAGAAACACGCATATACCTAGAGCCGTGTTTAGAAGTCACTCAACTCTGCAGATATTAAGAATTATAACAAGGAGCCAGAAACGGCTTCTAGTTATAGTATACAGACCCTGTCTATTGGTTTGGGGTGCGGCCACAGGCGTGAGGGTATGAGTAAGGAAGTGGGGGTCTCTGGGGGTTCAGGGGTCATGTATATAAGCGGTCTGCTTCTGACATTCTATTTTAGACAGGACATCGACTTTTATTTTCTTCATATTTTGTGCCGTGCACGCGTGTAGGCAATTCCGGCTCTCTGATCAGGCCAATCCGGTGCTTATTATGTGGCCTGCGAGCCCATAGTGTCTTTTCTTTGTCCTGCGTGAAGTGCGGCCTGCGAGCGAGCCACTGTCACGCAGGTGTGGTCATTCAGGGACCTGTTGATGGTATATTTGTGGTGTTGTGGTTGTTTTTGTGTGTTTTCTCACCATTTCACTATAGTTCTATACTTAATTATTATTTTTATCCTTATACTAGAGTTATAATACGATACTTCGCATCCTAAATTAACGTCCTAACAGCCTAATTTATTTCTTCTAATAATCTTTTTCTTTACTATACCTTTTATTATATCTAACCGTAGCCAAAAATCAAGTCATCGCCAATTAAACTGAATACAGTATCAATTTCCACACTAACTAACTACCAAACTAGCCATTACACGTCACCTTCCATCGCTTGCCGGGCCTTGGCACTGGGCTTCGCCACCCGACCTGTACGTGTTCTAGTAAGTGCCGTTGAACTGGGCTTAGTTGAACTGGGCGCAGGTGTACTGGCCGGCGTACTGCTTGCAGCTGCTGGTTCCCGCTGTGTGGCCCTGGGTACCCGTTGCCTGGCACCACCTCTGGCACCACCTCTGTTGCCCCTGGAGCCCCTGGATTTCTGGTTCGCCCTGGCAACGGCTTGTTCAACAGTGCCCAAACCGTTCACTGTGGCTGGCCGAGATACAGTTGTATTTGCAGCATCTGCTGCATCATCGCCTTCCAGATCTGCAGCTTCCCACTGGGACGCTGTTCGCCTTAAACTTTGCCGCAGATCTGTCGTACTGGGAAGTTGAGGGTTGGTTCTTTGTATGCATGGGGGTGAAGGGGTAGGTGTTGGTTGGACCTGAAGGCCCAGTGGCACTGTTGACCTGGGTGCGGTGGCATCAGGGGCAAAGGCATCAGAGCCCCTGGGTCTGCACCTGAGCACCGTCACACGGTCAAAATCCTGGTACTGCAAATACCGGTCCTCGTCAACTAACGACCTTTCCAACCACCAAAAAGGATGGAAATCCTTGAGCTCAAGGACCTGGTTGTTCTTCTGTACTTGGTGAATCAAGTGAAGACAGGGAAGTCCCTTATTGGCAGTGAATCTACCTGTACAAGCAGGAATCTCGTCGGGTTCGGGATTGCGGGCAAACACCTTGTACTTCTGAAGCTGGCGACAGTGTTGTACTACACTGTCAAGTGGTTTCCAGGCAATTCTTGTAGGGGTTTCGCCCAGAAGCTTCATACCCATGAAATCCCTCCGCAAGTGGTCCTTTTCAAAGCGCCTGGCTTCATTCACATTCTTCTCCATGACGGCTACCATATCAAAAGTACGGTCAAAAACATCCTTGACCGTGCTCTTCCCAGTGACAACGAAGCTCTTGAGCATGCGGTTCGAGGACTCCACGGGGGAGGTTGTTCGTTGACCGAGGGTGAGGTGTTGAGATGTGTAAGCAGTGGCCCATTGCCGGATGACTGGGAAGTAGGTGGATTTCTGGTGGTTTCACGGCGTGGAAGATGAAGAAGAAAAGGTCGTTGCAAAGTGGTGGTTTGGTTTGAAAGCAAAGGTTTGGTTGCAGGTGGGTTTGACTGCGAAAAAGGTGTATTGCAGTGTATTGCACGTAAAAGAAAAAGAATTGGCCAGGGTTAGGGGTTTGTACGGGAAGAAAAGTGGGCGGGGGGTCCGGGAAGTGAAACTGGGGGGTCCGAAAAGTATTGCTCTTTCGCTTTGCAACCTTGCCTTGGCGAGCAATAGTGTCAAGCAGCAACTCCACAGTAGTTAGCAAAGGGCGAGCATTACTACAATCCCGGACTCTTTTGCTTGTATTACAAATACGTCTGAGCTCCCAATTGATGTGCGGGCATCGTATCCTGCATCTCTAGTGTATATAGAGGTTCCTCTACAGCCCTTAACGGCCCCCAATAGCGAAGACTAGATGAAGCTTTAGTTCCGAAGGTCATTGTTTGTTAGCCCAAAGATGACCTCATGTCATAGCAGCAGGCTTTCCGATATGTGACGTTTGCTTGCCGTCGGGGAATGATAAGCAGAAGTCAATGCCTTTGCTGTTGAGCGTGGGCTTTCAACTGCGCGATTCGAACAAGATGCGATCATACTATTCAACGAGTGTATTGTTTGTATCTGAATCTCTCTAGTGACCACGTCCTGCTACCCAGTTTGAATCACCCAGATTGAGAGCTCTACTCCTTATACGGAGGCTCATCCCTCCTTATCTGGGGAATCCGATAGGTAAGGAATTTAGGAAGGGCCTTCATTGGTACCTCGCCGCAGCCTACTTTTCCATCCTCCCAGAAAAAGGTGTTTAAGAGCGTGCCGAGAATAACGGCATCCTGGACGAGACCGATATTCTTCTCCAACATCTCACGAGTCTTCTGGGACATCCCAGCAAAAAGCTCCTTCCAAAAGGCTCGCTCAGCAACCTCGAACTCGTCCGGCATCCAGAACTCGCCCCCCGTATATTCGCCAGCCAGGGTGTGAATGCGGCCAAGACCCACAGCAAAGGGTTTCGGCGTCGACAACTCCCAGTCGATCAGGCCGGTAACTTCACAAGTTTCGTCGATCAGGATGTTGACGTCGTTGAGGTCGTAGTGCGAGACCCAAAGCGGCAGCTTGCTAATCTCGTTCAGCTTGCCAAGAAATCCTTGTAGCAAGGGCCGGTATGCTGCGACTTCATCCAATGGGCTGGCCAGTATGGCCTCAAGATGCGGCCGGATTTTGGTTGACACAGCCTCGCCACTGCTGTCGGCAAGCCAGCCCTTGGAGAGTACACGCCCGAGCGACCTGTTGACGGCAATACGGCCTTCAGCGCCCTTGCCGGCGACGCCGTGGATCCATATCTTTCCCGGCAGACGCTCGAGGGAGTAAACCCAGACGCCCTCGTTCTCCAGCTCTTCGTCTTTGAGAGCCACAGTATCGGGGACGACTTGGCCCAGGGCGCCTTTGGCTACCCTGAAGGCGTCGAGATCCAGTTTCTCGGTTCGGAATTGGATGACCACTTCGCGTTTGTCAGTCAGCGTTACAAAGAAGGTCCGGCTGAACATCCCCTGCATTGGCGGCCTGTCGACGCGCGTGGAGGCGCTTCCAAGATGCTCTGACACTAGATTCTTGATACGCTTGACTTGTTTCGTTGGCGTGTTGAGCAACTTGGGAGGTCATTGTCGGAGGTAACGGGAGGCATGATGTAAAATAGAATGTTTGGCGTGCAAAGCGTAGCTGTAGTTGGGCAGGTTGAAGTTGCGGTTGACCGAATGTCGAGATTTTAGGAGCGGCCTTTGCTTCCCCCAATTGTTTGCAGGTAACCCCCCAAACGCGGTGCCAGATCGGGGGAGAGAGCCAAAAATGCCGTAAGAGCAAACCTGCCAATCGGATCAATCCGCACCCAGTAGCGGTCGCGTCACGCCAACAGGCCGTTGCACAACTTCCCTTTCGGTAAGTTAATCTGCGTGTTGGTTTCAGACATCAATACATGGGCTGCATCAGACCCAGTGCAACTGCTATCAAGCGGATGTTCGTACTGTTCGAAGGCTGGAAATTCGAGCGTGATTATCGTTCGTCACACTGTCAGTGACCATGAAGGCGCATAGTATTGAGGGGTAACTGCACGTCGTAGGCCAATGGATCAAAATAAGGCAGCCAACAATGTCAGGGTAGTTATTAGAAGAAAATTCTTGGTCTGGCAGGAAGTAGACTTGTAACGGAAGACTCTTGCCTATCTGCACACAAGCCAGCCCTAGGTAGATATATATATATATACAGAGTAATCTCAAAATATAGTATATCGGTATCTTCTTAATCCAGAGAGATATAGATCATGGCGTTTGCCTCAGATTGTAGATAGCTTCTTTCTCTTCATGGACTTCTCGAGGCCATTGAAGATTATTGTGAATATACTCAGTTACGCCCTCCGGGCCAGTGCTTGGTTCTAGTCTCTGCTGTGTGAAGCTCGTTGAGCCTGCCCCACAACAGACCCTTGTTACACATGAAGACAAGTTGCAGCGATACGTAGATACCTGGTAATGAAGAACCGCACTGATAAAGCCTCCCGAGACTGAGAATCCTGGGTTCTCGACAAATCAGCTGCAAGAACGGCCAACAAGATCTACTGGTATCAATATCCTCGTTTAATTGTCGAATTAAAATACGTCAAAAAGCAAGTCGTGATGACTTGCCACGCTGGAAACGCCGGTTGTAACCTCATACGTCGACTTTACACAGTAATATTTGCACAGTAGCATCTGTACAGCAATATCTGCACAGCAGCATCTGCACAACAACATCTGCCCAAGCACCAACACTCAGAGGCTTATGGCGCATGGGAGACCGTCGGTGATGATCATGATCATGATCATTGTGACAAGGGCTGTAATATCAGGGCTTGGAACTCATGGTTCAATTCAGGCTAATAATCTTCAATGGCCTCGAAGAGCGTGATACCGAAAAGAAGAAGAAGAGATACAGTCTTGGTGTTTCCAAACGCGTATTTTACCCTCCCTCGCGTGGCCCGTGCCTTTGTTGGCCTCAGGCCATCGCCAAGTCCTTCAATATCCTACTGGGCCAGTGGGCTTCCTTTGATAACCGCCATGCCTCTGATTGTCTGCCTCACTTTGAACGAGAGGCTCACAACTTGCAGTTACCCCTCCTTGCGGTGGTATCGACAGTGTTGTTGGTTGTGGTTACAGGTGGGTGGCTTTTGCCGTGTGACACCATCTCCCCCCTTCTCATGCTCGCCCACGAGCTTGGTGATGGCTTCATGCCTCGATACGTGAGTCCTTCGGTTTGTCAGGGTGCTGGGCGTGAAAGGCTCGTAAAGCCGTCTTGGCTCCGTCGCTGTAGAAGTGGTCGTAAGGCTCCCACGTCCAGTGTCTCCGTTGAGGCCAACCTTCCCACTTGACCAGATACTTGACTTCTTCACCCATTGTGGTCGAATCCATCACCTTTTCCACTTGATAGTCTTCTGCCTCTACCGGCTCAGCTTCTCGCAGGACCTGGTCTGGATCAGGCAGTGCCTGTCCGCCAGCGCGATAGGGCTCGATGAGGGAGACGTGGAAGGTATTGTGGATTCGCCAGTGTTTGGGGAGAGTCAGTCGGACAGCGGTAGGCGAGATTACCTTCTGGATTTTGAACGGGCCTAACATCTTCTTGTCCAGCTTCTTAGAGGGTCGACGAGTCTTGATATACCTGGCGTTGAGCATCACCAGTTGATCCTGTTCAAACGAGGGTGCTTCTTTTCTCTTTAGATCTGCCCACTGCTTCATGCGTTTGCGGGTGTCTTCCAGGGAATTCTGCGCTTCCTTGTGAACTTGGGTCATCCAGTGGGCGTATAGCCGGCTTGAGGGGTTATGAACGGTGGTGTTCGACGAGGGGTTGTTGGAGGCAGGGTGGTAGCCATAGTTGGCGAAGAAAGGCGACATGCCTGTTGGTGCCTTACGGGCATTATTGTACGCGAATTCTGCCATGGGAAGTAATTCATTCCAGTTAGCCATCTCGTAGTTGACAAAGGCGCGGAGATACATCTCTAGTTCTTGGTTGACGATTTCCGTTTGGCCGTCTGTTTGTGGATGGAACGCCGTGCTTATACGGCTCTTGATACCGACGAGCTTCAGGAAATCCTTCCACAAGTGAGCAGTGAAGCGTGAATCGCGGTCTGAGATAATATCCGCTGGCACGCCGTGGAGCCGCCAATACTCGCGCGCGAAGATCCGGATTAGGTCGTCAGTTTTCTTCGCTTCTACACGTAGAGGAATAAGGTGTACTATCTTCGTGAACATGTCCACGATGACCCAGATCGAGTCGTACCCAGAGGATAATGGAAGATCCGTAATAAAGTCCATGGAAATCGCTCTCCACGGCTTCCACGGAATCTCCATTGGTTGGAGCAACCCGAAGGTGCCATGGCGGGGGTTCTTGTTCTGTTGGCACTCCCGGCACCCACGTACGTATTCGCGGATGTCTTGATCCATGCCTGGCCACCAGAAATTACGCCGTATAAGGTCGATAGTTCTGTCCATTCCCAGGTGGCCTGCGACGACGGAGTCGTGCTTAGATTCGAGGATCTCTTTTCGCAGTGCTGGGTCGCTGGGGATCCTTAATAGGTTGTTGTGGTACAGTAGACCGTGGTCCTCGTGCTCATTCTTAGGCGGTACTGCTAGATCCTTGGTATAGTCGGTATCTCTGCTAGCAGCTGTCTTGACCCGGGCGAGGAAGTCGTTGTTCCACGCCGGGGCGACTGGTATACTGGCGAGCCTCGCGGAAGAAACCAGAAAAGAAGGTCCTTCGTTTGGCGGTGAAAAGTGGTGATTTTTTAGGACCGAAGTGATCGGCTGGTCCTCATCTCCCCCCTTCTCAGGCCGATACTGGTCGAATCTTGAGAGCACGTCGGCCTTGCCGTTAAGTCGTCCAGGCCGATACATGATAATGAAGTTGTAGGCGGCGAGCTCTTGCGCCCACCTTGCCTGGCGTCTATTTAAGACCTTCGCTGTGGTGAAGTATGCCAGGTTCTGATGATCGGAGTACACTTCGATGCGATGCTCTGCCCCCTCGAGGTATCTCCGCCATCTTACAAAGCAGTCGACTATAGCCAGTAGCTCTTTGTCGTGTACTTCATAGTTCATCTCTGGTTTGGTGAGCTTTCTGGAGTGGAAAGCAACCGGGTGGAGCTTGCCATCGTCCCCCTTCTGGGACATCACTCCACCCAGGGCGAAGTCAGACGCATCCGTCTCCAGGACCGCCAGCTTTGCTGGGTCGAAGTGAGCGAGGATGGGAGCAGTGGTGAAGGCCTCCTTGAGCCTGTTAAATGCTATTTCCATGGCTTGTATCCACTTCCACTGACGTACGTCGAGCTTCAGGGATGCCGTGAGAGCTTGGGCAATAGCAGAGAACCCCTTAATAAAGCGTCGATAGAAGTTGGCGAAGCCGATGAAGGATTGGGTGGCCTTAAGTGTGGTAGGTCTCTCCCAGTTCAAGATGCAGTCTACCTTCTCCTTAGACATAAAGATCCCATGCTCAGAGATGATATACCCAAGGTACTCAACCTGCCTTGTAGCCCACACACACTTCTTTGCTGAGATGGTGAGGTTATTCTCTTTCAACCGCCGCAATACTTCTTTCGTAAGCCGGTCGTGCTCCTCCATGGTCTCGGCGTATATAAGGATATCATCAACGTACGCCAGTACCCCCATGTCGATCAGGTCACTGAGGACTCCATGGACCATGGCTTGGAAGGTGGCTGGGGCATTGATTAGCCCAAAATGCATGACCGTGAACTCGAAGAGACCGTAGCGGCAGCGGAAGGCTGTCTTCCACTCATCTCCCTCCTTGATTCGTACGAGGTTGAATCCACTCTTAAGATCGATCTTGGTGAAGTACTTAGCTCCGGCAAGACGATCTTGTAGCTCATTTATGAGTGGTAGAGGATACCTGTTGGGGATGGTGATGCCATTGAGTGCTCTCCAATCCACCACTGGTCGAAGGTCGTCTTCATGCGTTCCCTTCTTCTCGATGGAGGCGTCTTTATCCACCATAAAGAGTGGAGCGCTGCAAGGGGACTTGGAAGGCCTGATCTTGCCTTCGGCCAGCATCTCATCCAGCCATACGCGCAGGAACTTAAGCTCTTTGCCGCTGAGGGAGTAGATAGGCCCCCATGGTGGTGTCTTGCCATCCATCAGGTCGATCGTGTGGTCCCAGGGCTTATGATCAGGTAGCCTTTTGGATATATCATGAGGGACTAATGGTGCCAGATTCCGGAAGCGTTCGGGAATAGAGCTTCGATCGTCCTTGACGCTGGAAATGATCCTACCAGCCTTCCCAAGTACCGATAGGCTAGTGCATCGTTCGCGGCATGTGGGAGAGGTAAATACAATCTTCGTGGGGTCTTGGTCGTAGAAGCCAGCTGGTTGGTGTTCTTGGAGCCACCAGTGTGGTAGGATGATATCGCATTCTGCGTCGAGCTTACTGACTTCGAATTGCAACTTGGTGAAGTGGTCTTCTGAGTGCCTAAGCACCACGGTGTCGGTGTACAATGCTTCCTTACTGGCATCTCCTTCTCCAGTAAAGGATTGAAGGTAGAACCCAGGAGGGTGACGGAAGGTCTTGATCGCGAGGCGGGTAGCCACATCCTCCGATAAGACGGGAACGGCACTGCTAGGATCCAAGAGAACGCGTACCGGGTGTTCCCGAGGGCGCGCGTTGGTACCTTCGATGATGCTCATGCTGACGATAGGCCTGGTCCCCACCTTAGGCCGGTGTCGTGGTTGTTCATCTTCATCCTCTTCGCGAGGGCGCTTGACTCCTGCAACGGTGACGCCAGTAGGCCGATTACATCCTGTCGGCGTGGTCAGGCGGCCTAGTGAAAACCCGTCTCAGTGCCAGACATGTCGTCGTCAAGTACTTCGAAGACCGGTGGTTCATCATCGTCAATGTGTACCCCAATAGCGTCGATTCGTACTTTCTTTGGAGGTGCTAATTCGTTTTCTTTCTCTTTCTCCTCGGCCTTCCGCTTGACCCCGGCTACCTTGGGAGGAGCCGCGGGAAGGTCGTTACCGGAGACATCCTTTCTGGCGAAGCAGGCAAGGGTGTGATGATTGTTGCGGCCACATCGCCAGCATGTAGACCCATCCTTTTTATGTCTGTCGACGTTATCTTGGGAGATTCCCGCTAGTGCCTCTTTCACGGTTGCCCACTTAATGTCCTTTGGATCGGGTCTGCCGCTTGGAGCCTTGAAGGGTGCCTTGCTGCTTCTTAAGGATGGATTTGACGTTTGTTGGGAGCGACTTTGGTGGGGAGGGCCCGACTTCGAGCGCTCCGAGATCGAAGTGGGCGTGTCTTTTCCCGCCCGGTGGCCAACTGAGATGCCAGGGTTGGTGAGCATATTCTCGTAGATGTGGCCAGCTTCCTGGATGGCGTGGAGGAAGTCCTCGTCTGTCTCCGGGACGCCTCCCTGTCTTGAGTAGATCAGTTTGGTGATCTCGTCCGGAAGTGCCTTCGAGATATGGCTCTGGAACGTGGTTCCTGACCACTGGACTACCTCGTTGAGGTCCATAAGCTCGGTCAAATACTGCGAGATATCTCCTTGGTACCGGAGCTCTTGCATCTTGCGGGCGTTACGGTACCTCTCGGCTGTATCCCGAAAGCGTTCTTGGATGGCGGTGGTGTAATTGCTCCAGACGTCCACCAAGCCTAGCCTTCGCACTTGGCTGACTCGCTGTTGGTGCCATACCTGGGCTTTGTCGGTGAGCAGAGATCCAACCCAGTTAATCCTGACCTGGTCGGTGGGGAACCCTGTGGGGTAGGAATCCATATATGCTTCCACCTTGAGCCACCAAGACCTGAATTTAGAGAGATCTCTGCCATCGTAGGCTAGGGGCTTTGCCATATGCACCGGATTGACTTGGACTGGTGCCTGAGAAAATTGACGAATGAGTCGAGTGAGGTCATCTCGGCCCGAGGGACTGGGTGATCGAGGGCGGTTGCGTGAGGCTGGAGGTCCCCTAGGTGGTCCTCCTCCGGCTCCGTCCGCGGGTGGTCGCCTCTCCTGGTGATCCTCGTGGGAGTCATCTAAGTCCGAGTCGTCAGGGTCCGAAGGTGGTTCCCCGTTAGTAGCGACGAATCGTCGTGGGGGGAGGCTTCCTCCTCCGCCACCGTTGGGTGTGGGCGTCATGTACATGGGACCGGCTCGAGAGGACTCGAACTGGATATTGGCTTGTCGAGCTGTACGGCGTGCCTGGGCATCTTGTAGTGCCTGGGTGGTCAAGCGCTCTCGCACACGCCGAGTTGAGGATGATACCTTCGATGGTACTGCTACCGACGGTTGCGATGGTCGCGTAGATGCTCGTTGACTAAGGCTACGCCAAACGGAGTCGATGTCGGCATCGGGGTTCTGCTTTAGCTGCGTGCGGAACTCCTCTAGGGCTTCTTCCGTCAGTTTTTTAACCTGCTCTATAACGGTTCGGCCGTGTTCATCCAGTGTAGAGGGGTCAACGAATTTCTTTGCCAGAAGTCCATCGATGTGTTGGTCGCGTTGGAGGGCCCAGATCTCGACCTGCTTATTGAACTTCTTCTGGTACGTAATCTCCTTCTCGAGGGTTAATAGAGCCGCTTGATGACGTTTAGCAGATTCCCGAAGTTGCTCAATAGCCTGCTGCCGCTGGCGCTCATCTTGGGTAATGACCGCGATAGCTCCCCAGATCTCGTCCGCGAAGGTAGCACTGGCGTTTTCGACTTGCTGCCGGAAGTGCTGGATCTGCTGGTCTGAAACTTGGACCCCGAGCTTGACCATATTGGCGCAAATAGTGTATTGTACGCGGATATGCTCGTACTGCTGCTTAAGGCGTGCGAGCTCTTGGCCGTCAATGCGGTCTTTGTGCTGCTGTTGAGCAAGTTGTCGTACACCCTCATAGGTCTCGCTCATACGGCGATGGAGTTCGACGATCCAGGGTGCTGGATCATGAATAGCACCAGGCAAAGGCTGGATATCGGTGGGGTCGCTCATAATGGCTTCAAAGTCCTGAGGCGAGTAGAGTGTAAGCTCCATGTGGTCGTTGACCTGAATAGGCTCGGCTGACGGGGAGCGATAGTCCGACATGTTGTAGGTAGAGATAGACGCGTTGTCGAGTTCTTCTTGTAGATTTCGAGCGGTCGCGTGCGTAGGTGACGTCGTGGCTGGTGATGTCGGGAGAGGAATATGAGCGGCGTAGCCGGGAATGAAGGGTCGCGGAGTAGGCGAGGCGTTGAAGGAGTATTCTCCTATAGTGAAGTCGGAATCTTCGTCGTCGTCAACCCAAGGGTTACACGGTAGTGGAACGAATCCTTCAACGATATCTGAGGGTGGAGCTGATGATGATGTGGTGGACATCAACAAAGGAAGAAAGCGGGGTAAGTGGCGATAGCGCTATGGCGTCGTAGTGTAGTAGTTGTTGTCTTCGATTGTTTGAAGATTATATGTGACAAGGGCTGTAATATCAGGGCTTGGAACTCATGGTTCAATTCAGGCTAATAATCTTCAATGGCCTCGAAGAGCGTGATACCGAAAAGAAGAAGAAGAGATACAGTCTTGGTGTTTCCAAACGCGTATTTTACCCTCCCTCGCGTGGCCCGTGCCTTTGTTGGCCTCAGGCCATCGCCAAGTCCTTCAATATCCTACTGGGCCAGTGGGCTTCCTTTGATAACCCGCCATGCCTCTGATTGTCTGCCTCACTTTGAACGAGAGGCTCACAACTTGCAGTTACCCCTCCTTGCGGTGGTATCGACAGTGTTGTTGGTTTGTGGTTACAGGTGGGTGGCTTTTGCCGTGTGACAATCATTGAAAGCCAAAGTACCAACAATCACAGATACAGCCTGTATAGCCTGGCCGCCCTGTGGAGGACCGTTCAGTGGCACTTTGGACTGCCTTGCGCCCTTAGCGAGGCATAGAGTACTCAGGGCTTCCTTGTCCAACAGGACACTTTAGTATAAAGACCTCTGGCTCATCCACCTTGCCCCGACTCTCTCCTTTCAGAACCGTTACTGACTATCTTGCCTGATCAACGACAACTTTCTAACTCACTACAACTCCAGTTTGTACTGGAATTGCCTATTGCCCTTAATACTTACATCTGTTTCCCATTTTTCTGAGCTAGAAGCCAGCTTCGCCCTCTTCAAATCAAGTCCCGATCTTTGCAACCCAATCATTCATCATGTCTTCGAGTCAACTACCACGGACTGGGTCGCAGACCAAGAGTACGCGCAGTACGCTGACGGCTCAGTCCCGGGTATCATCCAGCTCAAGTGCACCACGACACGCAGCAACACACACTACAACGTCACTTGCAGCACGACTCGCAATGGTAGTCACCTGGGACATGCTCCGAGCCCGTTTCCGGAGGCCCCGGCGGACTCTGTGCTCACCATTAACGGTACGCCTGTGGAGGAGGGAACTAAATCGCATGCCATCATCTCCCACGCCCTGAAGATGGTTGACTTCGTGTACTAGTCCATCTTCTGACGTATTGATCACTCGAGGTCAAGATGTTGTTCTTGAAATCCAGTTTCGTCTGGATTTCTGTTCAACTCCATTTGACAATCTAACTGGCATCGGGTTTCAGACATTAGCTACCGCTATCCTTGGAAGTCTACCACAAGGTTGTTTCCTTGGCCTTTCTTAAGTAGTTTAGCTGAATATTTCATTATAAACTAGTATAAAGATACCGGTACTGTGACGCGACGCAACTGCTGTCCACTAGTATATAACTACAAGCTGGATTGTAAGAGTTCGATCTTACACTTCTGACACCCTTTTGAGTAGTTTGCGCAGTGGTATTGTGGGTCATTGTGTCATTTCTTACTCTCTTCTGCTCTGAGCAATCCTGTCCCAAGCTGGGTGTTTTCCACCGCAGGCGGGGCACCTGCAGGGTATGCGGCTGGTGTGAATAGGGCACTGTGCCTCACCCTCCTTGCCTCCCACTCCATGTGCATTTGTGCCACACCTCGGACATAGAGGGTCTTTTCTGCAACGGTAGCTGATGTGGCCCCATTTCCAACACCTGTAGCACTGGGTGGGACGCAGTGGGGCCCAGTATGGCTCGCAGTTGAATATCTGAGCCCTGAATACCACTCCCGAATCGCAAGCCTGCTTGGCTTCTGTTTGGTTGGTGAGGATGACGAAGATTGATACCCATTGTAGAGTTTGGTCTTTCGGGTATTGAAATTTGACCCTTTCGATCGACTTGAGTCCTAGTTCCTGGCCGAATTCCAATTCTGTGGTTCCTTGGATATTTGATTTATAGACTCCTTTGACCAATATGGCAAAGGTTCTTCGAGCTTCTTTCGCCTGTTCTCCGAATGCTTGTTGTATCCATCCTTTATTCGAAGAGTGCCAGTCTCTGGTGGCTGGATCTGCAAACATGATTACCGTATCACCGCTGGGCAGCTTTCGGGCAGCTACTGCTCCCTTCCCACTGGAGGCTTGGTTGATGGCTTGTACGGCTTCGAGGGCATTGCGCTTGGCCAGGTCGGATGGTATGTCGTTTCCTTTGATCAGAATCTCCCGGCTTAGTCTGGCAGGAATTACTTTGGCTGGTTGGTTCGGTGCTGGGGTAGTTACTCCCTTTGCAATATCGGCCCAGGTGCGAGTAGGTTGAGTAGATCTCGTTGGTTGGGTTTCGCGGAGTGCTGCTCTTACTTCCTTGGCGACTATTTTTCGGAGGTTGAGCAAGGAGGGAGTTTGGTCGATTCCGGTAGAGGTTGCTGCTGCTGTAGTAGCCTGTCGGTAGGCATCCTGAATCTCTTTGGCTAAGCTTTGAGCTTTGTCCTTGTTCTCCGTCGGTATAAGGGTGAGGAGGTTGTTAATTAGGGTATTGAAGGTCTGGTTGATTGGGTAGTTTCTGGAGCTGTGGTTGGTCTGAGCTTGTTGGGTGACTGGGGGAGTTTCTTCGGTTCTGTCCGCTACGTTGGCTTGCTCTCTGGGAAAGCTGGCTGATAAAAACATCGGGCATTTTGATATCAGGCCTGTGGGCTTCCATTGAGGCAGTTGAGAGTAGTTGGTAAGGATGTATGTGGCTGGTAAAGCTAGGGGGTGGCTGAGAGTGTTTGGTGGTGCGTGCTGCCTGGGTTCGCTTATCGATAAGGTCAGCAGCACGGACTGTTGTCGACGCGGAGGAGGAGCGGTTGGCGACGCGGTGTTGAGCTTGAATTCTGAACCTTTTTTGCAGCCCCGCGACGGCCGCCGCGGGGCTAGAGTTGGTATCTTTCGATGGAACTTTTCGAGAGGATTTGATTAATGTAGGTTGCGGCTGTTTTTCCGGCCCCGCTGGCGAGCACTTCCAGTACAACGGTATTTATATTCACTACTAATAAAATATATCTCTGCAACCTGCAACCTAGTCCAACCCTACTGCCAGTTGTCCCGATGCTAGATCCTCTCTGCCACCAACGCATGTGCTCACCTGTGACAAATCATCCTTAGTCCCAACGTGTCAGATTACCCACAACGAAAGTGCCAGAAAAGAAGGGTACGGATTGGTTGTCAGAATAGGGCCTGAAAGTGATGCCTGGCAACGATCTGAGTCCATGGCCTCCAGCTATTATTAGTTGACCAAAATTAGACTGAAGGAACAGCTGAGCCGCTGAAAGGATAAGCTATGCGTCCAACTAAAGGTCTATAAGGGAGAGAGGTTCAGCCTCGATCACAGGAAGAACACAGAATACACAATCAGTTTTGGACAAGTGTGTGTGCAAGTGATCAAATCCAACACAACGCAAAGCCGTTTCTGGCTCAACCAACAGAAGGGATGCCGGATATGATCCTTGTAATACTACATCTGCCCTTGTCAGATTGCAAGGTAGCCTTGCAAAGCCAAGCTCCCGGTTTGGCATGGTGTTCCTTGCAAGGAGTCTAAGCGCCAAAAGTGACTCTGTGTGTAGTTGGCTAGGAGCTAGTTTTGGAGGTGGATGACGTCCACCTGTAGTTTAAGATCGTGCTCTCAGAGCTGCTTCGAGAGCCAAACCATACTGTAAGAATCTGGAAGCGTGGTTTCATCCACAGTACAGACTTGTTGTGTATAATTAAAAGCCATTTATGGCTTCAATAGAGGCAGCGATTCCCTATGTTGCCTAGGTCAAAACGTAGAAGCTGTTGTGGCTCCAGCAAAGGCAGATCATTACTGCCTACATAGGCAAAATGAAAAAAAGCCGTTTCTGTAATAGGCTAAGGTAGTGTATTGCAACTAGCTATGCCTTCGCTACGAAGACGCGAAACATGAGAAAGAAAGAAGAGAAATAAGACCTCGCGGGCGAGTACTCTCTAGATACATATGATTGTCTTGGTCCGAGCAGAGGGAGGTGAAAGGTTCCAGAGGTGTCAGTGCGTTACTGACGTTGGCTGGCGCTTGCGCAACACACGAAGTGGAATAGGTTCATCAGGGGTTGTCGGTGGGACTACTCCTCACCACTCCCGGGGCTCAGCCCGTTACAGTTTCTGGCTTTACCAGAGGCTGGGACTTCATGTCATGATCCTAGGGCTGCCTTAGGCTAAATGATTCGCACATAGAAGCTGTTTCTGTCTCCGCAAAGGCAGATATCCTTGTTTTGGAAACAATCCAAGTTTTCGGTGATCCCGGATGCAGGAACGATATTTGGAGGGAGACAACTTGCCTGATTTGGACTAACTTAGAAACTGTTCCTGGAGTGGATGCTACGCTGTATGAGATGTTTCTGACTCTAATACAGACATAACTTTTACACTAATCCTAAAGGGAATAACTATTAGTGCAGCTAGGGTTATTTTCTAGCAACTTCCACCAAAAGCCCCCTGCAGCGCTAACAACAATTACCGTGTAATAGGTGTACGCTCCAGAAACAGCTCTGCGATGGTCTACCTCCAGTATACCTGGTCTCAGGTGGTTTCAACCATTGCTCACCCTACTCAGGGCCTTGCTCACCCTGCTCAGGCTTTGCTCACTCTGCTCAAGGCCTTACTCACTCTGTTCAGGACCTTGCTCACCCTGATCAGGAGATCTCCACTTCTGCTCAGGTTAAAGCGGCGAGTGCTCAGGTCCAAGAACGGAAATGGAAACGATCCATGTCCAGATTCCGATATTATTATAGGTGTTATAAGGCGCATGGAAATCGGTTATCAGGTAGAAATAGGGTTTGGGCATATACCAGGAGTAATTAAAGAGTACATATTGCATAATAATCACATGAATTAAGTACTCATTTCATTCCCAATTTTCCAATGACATGTCATGCATTGATCGATAGATTTCACCGCATCACCAAGGCTTTAGAATATAGTGGTTTCGACCATCTTTTAAAGGCCCTTAAGATCTCATGGGAGTGTCTATTTCCCCGTCCACGGTGTGAACGCCTATTTTGGCCGGACACCAACAACCTCCCCCCTCATGCAAACCACCTCGCCCCTTTTGACCACCAGTCTGTATCTTATTGTCTCCCCATTACCTTCCTCCACAGCCTCCGTCCCAATGGTGTACTCCTCCTCCGCATACAGCGGTGACAAAGCTCGGTAAGCAATACTCTTCGCCTTGATTGCCCCATCCCGTGAGTGAACATCCCGCCAGTAATTCATCAGATTAATTAGATTCAAGGGCCCATGCACAACCACATTCGGGTGACCCTCCACCTGCCTCGTCCAGCTTTCGTTGAAGTGGATCATGTGCGCGTTGAACGTCAGGGCAGAGAACTGAAACAGCGCAACAGGGGACCAGACAAGATTGCGCATGGTATACCCTGCCTTTAGATCTGTGTCATCCTGAATATGGGACTTAGTGGTGGGTATCGTAATAACTGGAGCGATTGAGCCAGTAGGCGGTGCAGGTAGTGGTTGGCGGAAGATCCATGATCTGGGGGTCCGTCAGCAAATTGGATAGCAACAAAAAAACACTATGGCTGGGCACGTACGTACCTTCTGTCAGTAAGAGCTACCCCCCGAGGAGAAGCAAATATCTTTTCCACATCCACCAACACCATCTCACTCCCATCACGGCTCTTCTTCGCTTTGGCATCGAGAATCTCGGTGGTTTCCTCTACTCTGTCTCCTATTCTCAGTTGCACCTGTGGGTTCCACAGCATCTCCCCTCCAGCCCACATCCTCCTCGTGAATGGGGCCGGCGAGTTAAATGTTGTGTCTGACCCATCCGCTCCTAGCTCTGACTCGAACTGGGAGGGGGTGAAGTACACGAGGTGGTGACCGTAGGGAAGGTAAGTGCCGTCTGGTGGCTCCCCCGTGCAGAATTCTGATCGTCGGCCCAAGGTAAGAGACAGCTTCTGGAGTTGGTTTCCATCAAGAAGCTGTTTGCGGACGAACTTTTGGCCTTTGACTTTCTTCAACAGCTCACTGGCTGCGGTCTGGGCGGCGGAGGTGTGGATGTGACGGGTGGAGGCTTGGCAGGAGGTGGTCATCATAATCTGGCTGGCTAGAATGCGGCGGGTGATGCGCGCGGGGTGCTGGAAAAGAGCCATTTTCCAGTGGTCAAGAAAACGGACAAAAATGCCAGGGCCGATGTCTACTCACTGTTCATTCTCAAACACCAAGGTCCGTTGGTGATGTCGTTGATCAGATGTCAAAAGCGGAACCCCTTCCCCGGAAATAATAGGGGGCGCTAAACTGGGTGCCTCGGTGGGGTCCACATTCCCCGCTTCCCCAGAAAACCGTTGTGCAGTCCATCAACAACAAGAACGACAGTGCGAGACTGGAGATTCACATTGGCGCTTCTCGATAGTGTTGAGCTTTCAATTCCCTGACTTCACAATGTCACAGTTAACCCTCCGCATGATCACCCGGTTGACGCGCCTGGCTTCCAATCACCGGCCGGCCCGCCATCAACTGTTCTCCACCTCGGCCAGGCGCCCCCTGATGTCAACAACAGGCTTCACCGAAACACAGCTCACCGTTCGAGAAGCAGTCGCGCAGGTCTGCTCGGAGTTTCCCAACACCTATTGGCAAGAACACGACCAGAATGAGCAAGATCCCAAGGAGTTCCATGCTGCTATGGCCAAAAACGGCTGGCTCGGGATTGCTCTGCCAGAATCTCTTGGCGGATCCGGATTGGGAATATCTGAGGCCACCATGATGATGCAGACAATTGCGGAGTCTGGGGCAGGAATGGCGGGCGCCCAGAGCATACACGCCAATGTCTATGCTACACAGCCGCTGGCCAAGTTTGGGAGCACCGCCCAACTCGAAAGCACCATTCCGAAGATCATTTCAGGCCAATGGCGGGTTTGCTTTGGGGTGACTGAGCCGAACGCGGGACTGGATACGCTGAGACTGTCAACCAGGGCCACGAAGCAGAGCGATGGTTCTTACAAAGTGACTGGGCAAAAGATCTGGATCACTTGCGCTCAAGTGGCCTCCAAGATGATTCTGTTGGCGCGAACCACACCGCTGGAGGAGGTCAAGAAACCGAGCGAGGGGCTGTCATTATTCTGCATCGATCTTGATCGTAGCAGCCCAGGTCTTGAACTCCGACGAATCAAGAAGATGGGCGGACGGGCTGTCGATGCTAACGAGGTCTTCTTCGACAACTATTCGGTTGGTGTCGACTCGTTGATTGGCGAGGAAGGGCAAGGCTTCAAGATTATCCTGCATGGCATGAACGCTGAACGCTGCCTACTCGCCGGCGAGGCTCTTGGTCTGGGGTATGCTGCTCTAGGAAAGGCGGCAACGTATGCTAGAGAACGCAACGTCTTCAAGAGGCCAATCGGACAGAATCAAGGAATCGCCCATCCGCTAGCAGAGGTATACATGAAGCTTGAGGCGGCGAAGTTGGCAACGTATCATGCTGCGCAGTTGTATGATTCGAGCAAGGCCGATAAGACGATACGTCAAGATGCGGTGGGTGTGGCTTGCAATAGTGCAAAGTATCTGGCGGCCGAGGCAGCGTTCTCAGCGTGCGAGAGAGCCGTGTTGACGCATGGGGGAATGGGTTACGCGGTCGAGTATGACGTCGAACGGTACTTTCGAGAGTGTCTCGTGCCGAGGATTGCGCCCGTTAGTCGAGAGATGATTCTGAATTATATCAGTGAAAAGATTTTGGATCTTCCACGGAGTTATTGAAGCTTCGGTGGTGTGCTGCTGGTAGTCACCAGGTCGTCACTCCGCCTGCTGGTGGGGGACTTGGGTGGCCAGTGACCTCACCCGCTAGGCAGACTTGGGCTGATTGAACCTTCTTATTCTAGATGAGTGTTCAAGTGGTTTCCCTCACCGGTCAATCGATGCCAATTTTCAGGAGTCTGGTGTTTTACAATTGGTCTTTTAGTTCATGTGGAGCCGGTGGTGGTCTAGAGCATGACGGGCCGAGTCGTCACTTGCTGCGAACGGTAGGCAACAAAGGCGACTTGAAAGTTTACCGAGGCCACCATAGTTTCTTTGAGACGATTTTCTTTGATCTGCACTCTTCACCTGGTCAACTCCCCAAACTCATGTAAAAAATCTTCGACTATACATGAGCGTTAAGACATACATCACAGCCCTGCCGAGCAAACTTGGATCCATGCGCCAGCAACGACCAAGAATCTCTCTCTGCGAGTATTCAATTACAGCCGCATCCAGAGTCAAAACAGAGTCGCGCATTTAAACATGTCATCAACATCGGCGCCACAAATACCCTTCGCTGAAGGCACCGAGGAGTATGGCTACTACGAGAGACTACAACATGTCGTCAGATCCCGCCTCCCCGGTATGAAACCCCGGGTTCTTGTCATTACAGACATCGAACAAGACTACGATGACCTCCTCGCTATTATCTTTCTGAGCGAGATGCACCGCATGGGCGCCATCGAACTTGCCGGCTGCATAGCAAACCATCACCCAGCGGACAGACGCGCTAAGTTCCTTCGAACAACTCTAGACTGCCTCAACCTGCAGCATGTACCGGTTGCTATTGGCACTAAGGGTGCTAGCGACATCGTGGCCCATGCTCCAGATCTCTACTATGGCCTCAAGAACAGACGGTTTCACGACTACGCCGAGAGAAAACATACACCTCCTCTCTCAGGCGAAGAGCTCATCGACTTCCTTGTCGACCAATCCGGCAAGGTACAGACACCGGGGGGGACACCTACACAAAAGCTCACTGTTTTGCTCATCTCTTCATTACAAGACATAAGCGAAGCATTCGAGCGGTGGAAGTCAGTACCCGGCGCACCCTTCCCCACAGACAAATTCGACAAGTTCATCTCTCAAGGCGGGTATAAACTAGAGGGCAACAACCTCTGGCCAGAGATGGGCATGACAAACAACAAATTCCACCGTCAAGCGGCCAAGAACTACACTCGAACCCTTCAAGGTTGCAAGCTCAAGTCTGACGCTTGGTCTCGCGAAGCCGCGAAGGCCGCCCGTCTCGACGGCTCGTTCTTCCAGGAGCTCTTCCAACTGGGGCCTATCGGTGCTCATCTCGAGTGGATGTGGCTAAGGCAGGAGTTCAAATTCTACTACGACCCCCTTAACGATCCATATATGCCCCAGCTCGATGTTGGATGGTATCTGAACACACGCCTCAACCTCTCTCGAAAATCGGACCTGTTCCAGCAATTAGCAAAGTCGATGCCGCCCTTCCAAGAGGTAGTCCCTCTTATCAGGGTCATTGCCTACGACTGCTGTGCCGCGGTCGGCGCAGTCGGCGAGGACTTCATGAAAGCCTTTCACGTGCTTGACCCATCCGTGAAGCAACAGGCCCCCCTCGACGAAACACTTTCCGAACACGAAAGGCTCTTCAATGACAACAAAACCATCCACCGCGTCTTCGGCCGGACACAAGACGACATGGGCGGGATCAACGCTGACCAACTAGCCAGCGTCATGGAAGTCTTTATATTAGGAGGCTTACTCGCCACAAAGGACCACGCCGAAAAGTTATTACAAACCAAGAGCCCATCCACAGCTATACCCGACCACGAACCCATGCAATACAAAAATACCCTCGAAAACTGGGAACACGACAGGCAACATCCCCTCATCACTGAAGTCAAGAGGTGCCGGAAGGAGTTACAGGGTCTCAAAGATAAGCAAGCAGACGCACAGGACAGTCTGGAGCTGGCGAGGACAGCAAAATCACATGATAGGGTGAGACAGGCGGAAAATACCTTGAATGAGGTGGTTGGGAAGCAGACAAAGGCCGAGATTGCTTTGAACGCGGCAATTGGCAGGATCGAGGAGGACAAGACGCGGGGGGCGGAGAGGAAGTTGAGAGGAGAGTATGATTCTAGCACACCGGAGCTATCTGGGGCTCCGTATGAGCTGCTTTATCAGAGGGATGTTCTCGGGAGAGCGTAGTTCTGTCAGAACAGACAGCCGCCTACTTGGTGGTGGTGTTTATTCTTGTATAGTACATGTACCATGGCAGTTTTTTCGGGCATGTTGGCCGGCTACTTGAACACGGGGTTGGCCGGGTGGAAAGGCAAGTCGAAAGTGAAGGTTGGGACAGGCGGGATGGCTGAACCATCCACTTCCATGGGCTTGGCTGGGCGGAGAGGCAGATAGGATGTGTGATTCGGGACAAAAGCAGTCGATTCAGAAAAGCCTTCCTCTTCTCCCATCTTTACGTCAATGTCAATGACTTCATTGTCTGGAACCTGGCAGTGTAATATCTATACGTGCATGCTATCGAAAACTTACCCTTGCCTTCATTTCCTTGACCTTGCATTCTGTTCATAAACTCGGTCAGATTGGGGTGGCCCCAGTCCAGGCCGTCGACTTGATGGAATTGGTCCACGGTCTTTGCAACAAGGCCATGCTCTTTGCGGTCGTGAATTCTCTTATTCCTCTTGTAACGTTTGGTATGACCAAGACATGGCACGCTGTACATCACTCCGGCTCTTGGGTGGTATTTGAAAGCAATCGGTGCCGTGGTGCGAGTTTGGTGGGACAATGTGTTGTTTTCCCTCGCGGCCAACCTCTTTGGAAGTCGTCGTTCACGAGTCCTGGACACCGCCGATCCATTTGGGCGGGGAATGGCCATGTTTCCGACGTCGGTGGCGTTGTGAGAAGGATACAATCGCTGTGGTGCTCGCCAACAACCAGCCTTGGTGGGGATTGAAGATGGTCGGCGAAATAGGGCAAACAGATGTAACCAAAAGAAGGCAGACCAAAAGTGTGGGTTGAGAGCTTCCAGGTTCTCTTGTTCTTATTTGATCCAGATTCTCTCCCAAGCTACCCACCAGTGCAATGAGATCTAGGTCATCAATCGCCCCATTAACCCAGCAATCATCCTCGCCAAACCCTCATCATTAATATCTCTTTTGTCCTCCACCAATTCAATCCCACTCCCCTTTAGGCCCTCCTGCAACACATCAAACAATACCTCGTCAACCTGCTTATCCTCAAACTGCTCACCACATTTCGAAAGCAAGCTTGTCCCACCCCTCGGAATCACCACTCTGACCACCTCCGGCCTCATAGCATTTTTCAACCTCTCCACCATAAACCTCCCAATGTCCCTCGCTTCCTCCTTGTTCGTCCTCATGACAGTAACAGCAGCATTATGCTCCACCAAATTTCTGTCTTTGAACCGCTCCGGCACCGTGTCCCTCGCCCCAAAGTTAACCATATCCGTTGCCCCCAACGAAACCAAATATGGAATCCCCCTCTCAACCGCCGCCGTCATCCTCTCCTCCCCAGCACTCATCACACCCCCCACCACAAAATCTGCCACCTCCGTCGTGGTCAAATCCAACACGGCATCCAACTCCTCTTCCCTCACCATCTTCTCCATCGTCTTCCCCCCATGACCAGTAGCATGAAAAACATACACCTCCACATCGTCCCCATACCACTCCTTGAAACATTCACGAACTGTGTCAACAGCAGGAGTAGTAACCCCAAACATCGTGACCCCCAACCTTTTCTTCCTCTCTTGTCCCCTTCCCCTCTCCCCGTGCTTTCTATGTTCAAACACCACCGCAGAACCAACAATCCCGCCCGCTGCATTCCCAATCACCTCCCCCAACAACCCATTGATCCCAGCAATATCAACCACCGAGTTCACCATCCCAATATCACTCTCCCCCACATACCCCCCCGTATCCCCACTAGCAACAGTACTAACGATGACCTTTGGCAAACCCCACGGCAAACCCTTCATAATCCCCGCTGCAAGCACCGTCCCCGATGACCCCCCCAAAGAGATGACCCCATGCAGCCCCTTTGACGACCTCAAAAGCCCTTCCACAACTTTCGTTGCCTGGCGGGAGATTACCTCGACAAATTCACCCCGGTCGAGGTTGGAAATATCAGTGCAATCCACCAGCAGGTTCTCTTGAGATATGGAAATAGCTTCGTGCTCGACCGGGTTTCGACCCACGTCTAGGAGGATGACCTCAAGGTCGGGAATAGGTAAGGGGAAGGAGATGATTGATTCCCTCAAAAAGAGGAGGGGTTCGAGCTTGGTGTCGCACGTTCCGATGATGAGGATGGTGGGCATGGTGGGTAATGGTATTGATAATCAATCAAATCTGATTGAATGACTCGAGTTTGAAAATTCCCGCGAGAATACTGCATCTTAGGAATTTAGTCCTGAGCAAAGAAATGAATGACATCGATTAGAAAAGTGACAATATATGACAATTGGTCCAACAAGTGCACTTATGTTGTACTCCCCTCCCGCGGGCTAACACATCGGACGTCTGTCATCCGATCCGAGACATGGTGACGTACTATATTCATCCGTGTTCAACACGATCACGATTCACTTAGTCCAACCATCGGTGATATAAACTTACATCCCAACCAACCACTCTGCATGTCCAACTGGGTAATCGCCCTTCACAGTCAGCAGTCAAAAACCTACTAAAAATGCCTCCCCCCACCGACCGCCACGAAATCCTCCACCGCCTCCGCTCCCAAATCAACGCCGGCATCCCCATCCTCGGCTCCGGAGCCGGCATAGGTCTCTCCGCGAAATTCGTCGAGTCTGCCGGCGGCGACCTAATAATAATTTACAACAGCGGCCGCTTCCGCATGGCCGGCCGCGGCTCCCTAGCCGGCCTCATGCCCTACGGCAACGCCAACGACATTATGTTCGAGATGGTCAGTATCATTCCAATTTTCCCTCACCCCATATACTCACCCTTTCCACAAAGGCAAAAGAAATACTTCCCATAGTCCATCGCACCCCCGTCCTAGCTGGCATCTGCGCCTCAGACCCCTACCTCCCCTCCTACCTCCCCTCCTACCTCCGTCACCTCAAATCCCTCGGCCTCTGCGGCATCCAAAACTTTCCCACCGTCGGCCTCATCGACGGTCAGTTCCGTGTTCACCTCGAACAAACCGGCATGGGGTACGATCTAGAAGTTAATCTCATCAAGGAGGCCCGGGCGTTGGAAATGCTGACCACGCCCTACGTCTTCAACCCAGACGAAGCCAGACTCATGGCCAAGGCTGGGGCGGATATTGTCGTGGCGCATATGGGGTTGACGACGGGGGGTTCCATTGGTGCGCAGGAGGCCGAGGGGGGGAATAATAAGGCGTTGGGTGACTGTGTGGAACGGGTGCAGGCGATTAGAGATGCGGTGTATGCGGTCAATCCCGAGATTATCGTGCTTTGTCATGGGGGTGCGATTGCCAGCCCAGAGGATGCGGGGTATGTGCTGGAACGAACGAAGGGGGTGCATGGGTTTTACGGGGCGAGTTCGATTGAGAGGTTACCGGTTGAGAAGGCGATTACTGAGGTGACGAGGTCGTTTAAGGGGCTAAAGATGGGGGAGCGGAGGTGAGGGCTGGATCTGGAAAGGGGGAGGGTGGTGATGATGCATGTTGAGATGTGAACAGAACTGGTGTGGCATGGACTTGATGATGAGATTGGTCAAAGAGGAAACGAACAAGACGTTGCTGAAACGATATGTGAGCGAGTCCGAGTCTGGGTCGATCTCGGCCGGCGGGTGGGGTGAGATCAGATGGCAAGGTGAGGTGGGCACTTGCGCGGCAGGGACGACGGTATCCAATTGAAGGAGAACATCATCCACACGCTCCAGGTTCTTTTTCTCTTCGCTTATTCCCTAGATGCAAGTCATGCTTCAAGATGTGATATGATGACACGGGGATCATCTGCTCCGATGCCTCTTGATATAACCTCGACTTCTGATCCTAACCAACCCCTCGGATTCGTCAGCCCACCTCCCAAGCTGACGTCGCATTCTGAAGCTGAAAATCCCCTCGATGCCGTCCCGCCCAGCCCTCCCAGGCTGCAGCTTCCCGCCCCTAGTCATCTTCCCGTCCGTCAAACGTCAGCTGTAGGGCGACCAATCATTTATCTCCCCTCGGTCTACTGCATCTTCGCTGTTGAAAAGTCTGAAGCAAAAAGTCTTCCTCAGCCAACATCATGATGCCGTCTCGTCCTGACTCAGCAAGTGCCCAACAATCTCGTTGTTTGTCTCCATGTTGTGCCTTTCTACCAGCCAACAAACAGTCTGACCTCAGCCTCCTATCACTCCCAAACTCACCCCATCATCTGCCTCACCATTCAGCAACTCCTAACCCCTCCCCCTCTCCTCTCCTTGGGGGCCATAACAGAAACAGACAAATTCTCTCCTGTGTCGCATTTCTCCAATTATCTCCCCTTACTAACTGCATCCCCATCAAAGCCGGGCTGCGGCACTCAAGTATCATCAATGAAACTGTACCAAAACGCCAACGACCGACCCCAATCAACAAGAAGGTCTATGGTACCCTTTTTTCCATAAAAATGACGACGTGGTCTCCTTATCGCCTCACCCGCGCATTGGTCTGTTCATCACGGATGAGCCTTACCCTTCTTCCCCCTTTCCGGATATTTTACCAGACAGTCCACTCAACCTCCCCTGACCACGCCACCAAACCGCATCACCGTCCACCGCTCTCCGTGACTCTTGCCCAGCGCCCCCGCCTCACTGATGAGGTGCGCGATGTTGTGGGATCGGCCCCCCAGAGAGAGAGAGAGAGAGAGAGAGGTCTCATTCGGTGAAGCCGGCAGAGGTGTTCTGTAAAGAGCTGCGGGACGCATCAATGCTTTTGATCAACAAACAAACAATACCCAACGAACCGCGATTGCAACCCTGGTTCGTCGTTGGAGTGTAGGCACGACGGTCCTAACAAAACAGTGTATCTACTATGGATAAGGATGACGGCATGTGTGTGTTGTTGGTAAAATGTACAAGCAATTGAAACAAAAAGATCAAGATACACAAGAAACGAAAAGATGCCAGATCTGCCAAACCGCCATAATCATACATCAACTTCTCCCCCCTAACAACCTTCTCAACATAAGGACTTGTTCTCTTGCTCGAGTTTGCCGCTGCTCCACCTGATTGAAAATTACGCTGACTACACCTTCCTGTAGCGTTTGTGGCGTTCTTCTATTGTGTTTCTGTCCATCGAAATCCGGTTCTTGATGTGCCTGGCTAGGCGGTGGAGGATGACCAAAGCCCAGCGCATGATCAAACTCGGCGTCATGTGTCGAAGCCACCGCCACCGATGCCGCCGCGATAAGCCCTTCGGAACCTTCGGGAGCGTCTTGTTGGCCAACTGCCAATGATCGCAAAGCACGATCTAGCTGCTCCATGAGATGGCTGATCAAGTTGGTCATGGCAAGCATCTGACTGTGCGATGAGCCAAAGAAGGCCCCCGTTGATGGCGTGTTGGGTGGTGTGGCTGCCTGACCCGAGTTGATTTGCGAGAGAAATGAACTGCAAAGATCTTCAAAAATGCCCAAGAGCATTTGGTGGGAGGCCAGAGCCATGAGAGAAATGGCAGTATCGGTAGCCTTGCTGATGGGTGCTGAGCTTCCTATGGCGCCATGGGGTATTCTATACACATCCGAACTGGCTCTCCTCCTTTCCAGGGGTATGTGGGGTGATATCATTTGTCGTGTGGCGTAACGGTCCATGAAGCTGATCAGTGAGCAGCCTGCATCGAAGATTTCATTGATCGCTGGTGAAGCTACTGTCAACAGCGCTCGGGCGAGGGTACTCAACATTCTTCCAGCGCGATTGATGCGGAGGTTAGCTTGAGTGGCTTCTTCAAGAAGATTTTCGGCTGAGCCGGAAAACATCCATGTATTGTCGGTTGTCGCTGAGGTTGCGCTGAGTATGCTTTCGGAAAAAGAAGGCCCAAATTCACTACTGGAATCTTCGGCCGTATGTGGCAGAGGATGGAAGTGGTCCTGTCTATTTGGGAAATGACCTTGGTGTCCTGGCAACCCAAAGTCTGACAGAAGTGTTGTTGGAGTGTTCAAATCGGGTCTCCTATAGACAACGTCAAAGTTTGGCGATGCAGTTGTCGACAGAAGTAAGGGCGCTGTTCGGGATTGTGATTGTCTTTCAATACCTGGCCTGGTCTCCGGTAGCGGGAAGTTGAATGCAGAGGGTCTCGGTGATAGGGACTGGGAATGAGTTGGGGAGAGTTCGGCTGGTGAAGATGGACACCTGGATGACCGCCTCGCTCTTTTCCTAACCGGATGTCGGTGTACCCTTGGACGGCCGGACCGGAGCTGGGCTACAAGCAATGTCAGTACATGTAGCGGATCTTAGAGCAGTCTAGTATTCCGGAAACATACGACTGAAAATGCAAACCGCCCCTGCCTTGGAGCACCTTGCACAAGGTATTGGCGCTATCACCGACCTCCCACGACTAGCTTCACTCTCTTCGCCTATGACCCCGAGACCGAGTGTATTGTTGTCATGCCCATCCGTGACACAGCGGACCTTGAGTTCGTGACAACGATCGCACGACTGCCTCCTGGGCATGGGTGGTAGTGTGAGCTCGGCGATAGGCGGCTGCCCTTGCGATGGAAGGGTTGATGACATGGCGGAGCCGTGCACCCCAGACTCGACGAAGGAACCCGCCTCCTTGCTTGTCGTCTGTGCTTGCATCGTGGTTCTTATATCAACTCCAGATCTGAGCTGTGGAGGTGGTGGCGTGAGGCAAGACTGTTGAACGCCAGCCTACGCATCCCCGTCCTTTGGGTCTCGGCTAACGCAGGGGGGGACGGGAGCTCGACCGAACGGTTGGAAAGGAGGTTCAGGGATGGGGAAGGACACTGGGCCTTATGGAATTGGTTTTGCCTCGCAATCTTGGTTGAATCTGTGGAACGGGGGTACAAGCAGGACTTGTTAGGGGCAGCGTCCGCTCCTCGGCGGCGCTGCAGCAAAAGGGAACCATCGAATGGGATGATGATCCTTCAGCATGAACCAAACAACGCCCCCGTGCCGCAGAGATGTTCGCCTATCAACAGGCACAGTCATCCGCAAGGCAAGTTCCACATGAGAATGTATCCGTCTGGCACGGCCTACTTTGGAAAATGCTGCCGGACAAGACTTTGCCACCAGCATGGCAGGCAAGCGGATCATGTTGTCGTCTTTGCCTAGATCTTTCGAAATAGCGATGACCTGCAAACAAACAAGAGGGAAGCCCCAGACGCCACGTGATCTGTTCTTGTGCGGGAGCTCGTCAGGCGTTCTTTTGTCGATGTCGAGTCCCATGCGCCGCTCGCGTACTTGGTCCTCGACACTTTGATGGTTCGGGATCTGGACGAAACCAGTCAGCAGTGACGATATATACGATGGGTTGAGCCAAGATGGGTAAGTCCCGCTTATGGCAACCAAGTGGCCAATCGTGTTGGTGGAAACCAACCAAGACCGTTGCGCACTGTTAATCCCATCCACAGGCGTTGCTGATCATGGCGATATCGTTAACCAGGCAAGCATCTCATCCTGTCTTCCTGTCATGGGAGACTGCCGTCCATCAGGATGTTCCTTCGGGATGGGTAAGGAAGGTGGGCGGGAAGGAGGGAGATAAGGAAGTTTGACGGGTGCTCCCGGGGCTCATTCGTAATGTTCAGTCCCCACGTGGTGTCGGCTTAGCTTGCCTGAGACAGCAAACGAGGTCGGACAGATGGTCCTCTAAGAATGCAGGGACAGGTCGAAAGGATCGTTCAATGCAACTGATGCACGTGTGTGGTGTTGAATGAGGGTGTTGTTCTTCCATTCAAGTTCAAAAAGAGGTTGGATCCACAATCCTCAAGCGAGACCTGGGCTAGATTAGCGGACTTTTGTCGGCGCTTAGCGCTGACTTTTGACGCCGCTATCGTGTGGCTCCTTCAACCACGGGCCAAGACGAAAGAATTACAGTTCAGATCCCCTGCCCGTCGATAAAGCAACTTGAAAATCTTGATTCAGGTCGGTAACGAGGCTTCATGTAGTTTATCACACTGATTCTTTTGTCAAGTCCAGTCGGCTGGCACATAGAGTCATAAACTCGGCAACGAGCTATCACGGAGCCAAGAGCGTCTCGCATATCCAAAGTACCGAAGGATTTGAAGCAACCTTCCTCCTGCTCAAGTCCGCTTGATACCATCCTATTTGGATGGCACCTTCCATCTGAAAAGAATCCTGAAAAGGCGGCAGGGGTAAAGGAAGATGACATCTGCGCGGAATATTTGGTTCCAGACTAAGGTATGTAGATGATAGACTATTAGAAATTAGACCGGAACCTATCATTCTACAATATCCATCTCCCATTATACAACGACACCAAGGCTTTTATTAGTATTATGAGAAACAATAGGAAATTTGTGGACCATTTGCCACGTATTTGAGACTTTTTGGAGGTCCCCTCATTCCGTGCTTACTTAATTCTATATCGTTCATGGAGGCTTTGAGCTTGAGGTTGTCCTCAGCGGGACTGCATAAAATCACATGACGGAGTGTCCTGTCTTCCATTGCAACGTAGTAACATTGAATGGTGAAGTTGAATGGTGGAGTTGGTGGTGGACTTGTTAGGCATGGCGTTTTATGTCATCCATAAAATGTCGTTGGTGCTGCGCTGCTGCCTGCCGCTGCCTGTGCGGACCCAACTATTTAAGATCAAGGTTTCTTGCACACAAAATTCAGGTACCCCGCTCAAACCTAATCTCGTCCCTAACCTTGACTGAAGGCCTGGAATATATGTATTGGACCCAACTTTTTCTGTCAACTTCGCCCTTTTCGCACTATGGCCCGAACAAAGCAAACTGCCCGGAAGTCAACTGGAGGAAGGGCCCCACGGCGACGTCTACCATCAGGTATCATATGCATATATCCAGGTCCGAATACACAGATACGAAGGCCCACCACTACGCGTAAGGCACATTTGCTCAGGCCTCGACCGCTACCAACAGTAAAGCGTTTAAGTGAACAACAAGTTACCATGGCACCAACAAGACCGATGAAGCGGCAGAAGAGGACCGGCACAACTCCAAGAAAACAATTACTGCCTTGGAATGGTTGTAGGAGAATGAGGCTGGAACCGCGCTACTCGCTGAGGCCTCGGCGGCAACAGACAGAAAAGCCTGAGAAGGACGAGCAGAACAGACGCAAAGCTAAACGTCAAGACCGGGCAACGAGAAGACGGAACAAAACCAAGAAAGTCTCTGCGGCCGTGACCCTTGTCACGCCCAAAGCCCGCACCACCCGGCGAACCCCTCTTGGGCTATTCTCCAGGCTTCCAAACGAGCTCATCTTCCAGATCATCTCATCTGACCTCGACATACCAACACTCACCAATCTTCGCCGTGTGTGCAGGTTCTTCAAAAGCACCATCGACACAGGAGTCAAGGCCTATGCCGAATTGGCTCAGAAAGCTCCTTTTCTTCTACAGCGAATCCTCCTCCAAACCCCCACCTGGGCCTTTTCTTCCAGCTGCAAGGAAGTTCATGCGGAGCTTACCCAGGACTTGCCCATGACATGCAAAAAGTGTAACGACAGTGAGGCGGAATCGTACAACGTGCATAGCTGGGCCTTCAATCTCATGACTTGCCAATTCATGTGCAATGGATGCAGTGGCGGCAACTGCCAGAGAGGTTTTGGAAGTAGCAGCAACCTATGGGTTGAGCGTCATCTGAAAAAGCATCTCACAGAAGCCAATATTGCCTTTACCCAGGATATGCTCGCCAAAGTGTCTCGTCTTCGGGTCGTTCACCCCTGGGAAATGGATTGCAAACCGACACATGGGACCTGGTCTGCTGGACGAGCAGTGACCTGTTATGACTCAAAGTCTGTGCAACAGGAATTCGGGCTCATAAAAAGGTAGGCAAGAAATCATGCATGACAGATCCATGGCCAATGATTTGCTAACGCTGTTTGTAGGGGGTGTCGGTGCTCCTATGCGGGTTATCCTAGGTCAGAGGCCTTGATGTACGAAAACCGAGCAACCTTTATACCAATGTGGAGGTTTGCTGCCCTGAACGGCGATCGACCGTCCTGGGAGAAGGTCAACTTTGTGTACAGGGGTCCCTATTGAGGGTCTTGAAGTCGCTGGGCTCATTCATCGCAGAGAGGCTCTATCTGGCCCGTCATCAACTCCCGCCGGATTCTCGACGCCACCCCATCCCATTTCTCAACGGCATCTTTTTCTGCGTCGAATACGTATAACGGTCGGTTCTGTGGAGAGATGAGTACAGAGCTTGCGATGTATAGGCAGGTAGAGAATAGGACATATATGACACATACCTTAATTTTCACCATTTCTGGATCAATATCCATATCATCATCCACATTCTTGAGAACATTGTGCCATCGATCTCGCAAATCCTCCCCATGGGTTTGACTTACCCTCACCCTCGGGAAGCGGAGCTTCTCGTAGGCCCTGGTAGCAACCTCGACTTCGTCCCTCCCTACCAAACCCAGACAAACCGCCAAAACACCCGCACTCTCCGTCGCCTGACTAGCCCCTTGTGCCGACGTCGGCAGATGAGCATGACAGCTGTCCCCCAGCAAGACAATCCGATGCGACTTTGGTGACACCCACGTAGACAACGGCTTCCGGTAGCAGATCTTCCAGTCTAGACACCTCTCCGTAGACATGATCGCATACCTGATATCAGGATCAATATCTGCCACCAACTTCCGGACTTCGTCCATATCCCCCGGCTGAAACCACGACTCGGGAATGTCCCCGTCGTCTTTGTGAGTAAGTATCCAGTTGAACTCCCCCCCTCCTCGGAGTGTGTTCTGAACGACGTGGGTGTCGGGCCCGATCCAAAAGTTGACGCTGTCTTGGGAGAGGAACGCGTTGCGGGCTGGGTCTGCTTTCATTTCCTCGGAAGGGGAGAAGTAAGCGCGGAAACAGGCGTAGCCGGTGGAGATGGGGTCGTCGTGGTGGGAGAGGACGAGGGGGCGGGCGAGGGATTTGATGCCGTCTGCTGCGACTATGAGGTCGGCGGAGAGGGACTTGCCAGTGGAGAGGGTTACGGTTGGTGGTGTTGTGTCAGTGTAGGAGGTTACGTCGGAGGACATGAGGATGGGGATGTTTCTTTCGCGGACCCTGAAGGGGGTGAGGTTAGTATATGTTAGGTTGGTAGAGGAAAGGGGGAGGGGGGAAAACCATTTGAGGAAGATGTCGTGGTAGTCACCGCGGTGACCGATATATCCTGCCATGTCCATCAGGGGTTGCTCAGCAAGAACTTTCCCGTCGTGCCAACGTCTGATTTTCATGGTGGGGGCCTGGTTGCCGATTTCTTGAATTTCTTTGATGTTGCAGCCCCATCGGGCGAGGAGTTTGTAGGCATTTTCTCCTAGCCCGAGGGAGTCGCCGAGGCGGGTGAAGTTGCGGACTTTGTCTAGGACTGCGACAACTTCGTGGCCGTGGTGGTGGAGGGCAATGGCTGCAGCGCATCCTCCCAGGCCAGCACCGACGATAAGGACTGGGACTGGTGTTAGAAATTAGGGGTGGTGGTGTTGTAACATAGCACTGCTTACTCCTAAGGGGAGGATCATGAGGTGATACAAGTCTTTTGCATGGTGCTCCTGTTTCCTGGGGTTCCATGACTGGGGGTCGCTTTGAGAAATCGTAATGTCCGCATGGTCTTTCTCCATGAAAATAAATATTCAAGAAAGAGAGTCTACTCAATTCTAGACCACCCCCGCTGCAGGGTCCGGTTTCACATTTGGAGTTTGGAAGCTGACGTGCAGTGCGGGGGAGATTTACGACGGCAGTTGTCTCCGTCACATCCTTCCCGTAGCTAGCCTTTTGCTTGGAGATTCAAGAACTGATAATAGAAATCAGATGATGGTACTAATGTTCTCCACTTCAAATGCAAATGCTTAGGGAGAACTTTGAGTGATACGCTGGATTCAGGAAATCATCGGGCCCTGGCTATTCAGTTTCGACAAGTCTTCAGGTTCTGTCGACTGGACCGGAGCGAGATCAAAGTCCAGTAGTAGATATCAAACTTTTGCTTATAATAAGAATACCTCTGGCTTCTCAGTATGTCAACATTGCCATTTTTCTGATATGGATCGTGTCATGGAGACTTGTGTAGTAGCAAGGGGAGAAAACAGAACCAAGACCACAACACTAACATGTGGTCAGTGCCCTCCAGGCTCTGGTAGAATTATGTCAGCATCCCTGCTGCTCCGTTTGTGACCCTGTGAATCGGCACGTGGCAGGCAGCGGTCCTCGTGAAAGGGACTGGGACAGAATGCTTGGTGCCGCAGCCGTGCGCCAGCCAAGCAATGCTCTGTTGCGGCAGTTTGGGGTCAGGGCAGGGCCGTAGACAAGATCCCTCCGTGCCTTCCCATCAATAGGGGCGCCGCTAACCTCGAACGGGAAACGGAGTCGTCCCACCCCCACCGCTCACCGAGGATTTTGCGGGTGGGATTGGGCAGGCTTGACGGGCCTAGTTGGCGGCCTGCCCGCCCAGACGGCGGACCGCACATGCACAGGCTGAGATGCCTGGGGCTGCTGTTTTCTCTGTCGGCTGAGGACTCCGGCGGGTTTCGTCAAACGTTTTCGTTGCAGGTTGGAAAGTTTTCTTCATCCAATTCCCCTCCACTCACCCAGTGACCAACGGGGACCGCCGTGAGCACATGACATCACAACCCAAAAGTAATCCCAACAACTTGTCTTCTAATTAGTCTCCTCAGGTGAATGGGGTAGTTGTTGACCTGGAGCCACCCGTCACGGAAGGGAGAACCGGACGGACCTACCGGCGGCAGTGGCTTCAGCAGGCCGTCCACGCTTCTCCGTTCCGCCCACCAACCCCACAGCACACTCCACGGTTGACGCGTGCTTGCGACAATCGCAACGTTGTGTACGATCTATCTCACCGTTGGTAATACCTTAATCTGACGACGTATCGCTGTGCGGGCAATGGGTAAGTCTCTCGTTAGATTACATTAAGGGAGTGCAATCATGCTAATCCCTTCGCGTTTCATTTCGTCCAGACGGTCACCACTATGCGTCCAATCTCCCGCTCGGGATGGGTGTCCAGACAAGTGATGCCGGGCTAGGCTTTGGTCATCTTTCGGTCCATGGTGGACCTATCGGTATGGACGCTGTGGGTGACCCAATGGACCTCGACATGGACTTCGATGAAATGTCGTGGGCCATTGACTTCAACTCACCCATCAATCACATCGACCCCCAGCAGCTCCACTCATTCGAAGTGAACCCGAATTATCATCCACCGAACGGGCTTCCCTATGACTACCTCTTTGCCGAAGACGAAGGTTACTTTCCTCCCTTTAACCCACCCTTACCCAACATCAACCACAGGCCTCCTGAGGATGGGTCACACGACCTTGCCAGGGAGCGTCTTCGCAAGCAACTGTCCCTGCTGTCAAAGGGATGGTGCGGAGACGAGATTCGATTCAAGAATGTCGACCCGGCCAAGGCTGTCATCTTGCATACACTGGCTATTGAGTTGGGGTTGGAGTACAACCACAACGTCCGTAGTCAAGAAGTACTGATTTCACGCTTCGAACCCACCCAACTTCCATCCGGGCCGCGGCCTTCGTCTGGGCGTTTATCCACTTCACCCCCCCGCGCTTCTGTGGAACTAAACGCCGTCAGCTGCCTTCCTGGCGAATCTGTATTTTCACTATCTCACTTTCAGCCGCCTCAGCTCCCACACTTTGATGTAAGGGCAGCTGTTGCACCTATCCAAAAAGCACCATTACAACAACCACAACCCGACTCCATAGTTGCCAAACCTCACCAAGCGCTATCACGTCATCCGAGCCGCAGCGAGCGTATCACTGACTCGATCAGCAAGCATGTCTCGACCCTCAAGGCTTCCGTTGCCAAGGGTGGGAGACGTGGACCGCTCACAGAGAACGGCCGACGAGGTATGAGAGAGTTGGAGACAGTGGGCGGCGCTTGTTGGAGATGCAAAGTCCTGCGTCGCAAGTGTGACCCTGGCACCCCATGTCGGTGTTGCCTGCAATTGGAAAGCGTTGCCATGCCCAACCTGGGGGAAGACGCACCATTGTGGCCTTTGATAGGATGTCGCCGTGGACCTCTAGGCGATTCCCTTCCTACGCAGCTTCTTTGTCCCCTTCAGAGCCTGGAATGTCATCTCTCAAGCAACAGCAGCCGCCGTTGCCGTTCAGTAGATCTTGCTGAAAGATGCCTACTATCAGCCGAAAGTCAGCGGTTGGCAGATATGAAAGCCGTCTTTGAAGGGGCATCGGACAAGCTGTCAATCTGTGATTTCGGGCTGAAAGCCTCCTTTTATGCATTCATTGATGCAGGTCGTTACCGTGACAGGGACTCTCTACACCAACAGAATACGCCCTGTGATGGGAACCCTGTGACCTATGCCGAGCTAATTGCCATCATTGCCTGGGAGCTGTCCGAGAACAACGCTCTGCTGGGGTCGTTGCTCGAAATCAAGTCTTGGGAGAACTTCATGGGGATGCTGGAGACAGCCTGCATTTACGAGTCCGAGGTTGGCCAGGTAGGTTGATTGTCGTCTAACTGAGACATATCAGAGCTAACAGGGTTGTACAGACGTCGGTAGTCTTCCTCTCCATGGTGTGTTTGAGACACTGTCTGGAAGGACTTCGACTCCACTCAGCACAGCTCTTGGTCCCCACGGCCCATGACGACTGCAGCAGTGGTGACTGCCAGGTCGACTGCATTCGCAATCTCTACCGTCAGGTTACGGCGTACGTCGATGAGCTTTCTGCTGTCATGTTTAACAAGGAGAACATGAGAGACCGAAGGTGGTGGCTGTCAACCTTCTACAGCCTATGCATTCAAAGCTATGTCCGTCATGCATTAATTGCTATTGAGAAGCAGCTACGATTCAAGCCAACGGATGACGTGCCGGCCGAAGATCTATCGACTACACAGTATCTGCATTTAGCAGCGTTATTGTTCACGGCTGCCTCGGCGAAGTATGACCCACTCATTGGTGGACGCCTTCAATATGCGTTGACAGACAACTCGGTCATTCCTGAGACTTCAGTCCCCGAACTTGCCCATTCATCTGCCCGTGTGGCTTTCGAGGTGGATCAGTGGGCCAGTAATGGAATTCGGACTTCATATCAATTTCTGAGAAAGCTGTTGCAGATCGGCAGTCTTGACTTTGTCGAACAACAAGTTAAATGCCAAGGCCAGCATCTGGATGTATCTGGCCACAAGAAGACTTCGTCTGTTGGATCGGCATCTCTGCATTCCATGCCATCCCCCATCTCACCAAATGACGGTGCTTTCACAACATCGACACGATCCTCTCGCATCTACTTACAAAGGAACTCCATCGATAGCAGATTTTCAGCACAGCCATCTACCATCTTCTCGTCCAATCTTAGCTCCGACAGTCTGGCTCAGACGTTATCGACGGCACACACAAGCTTATATGAGCCTTCCATCCTGACCAATCCGCGATATTCAGCTGTAATTGGGGAGGTTGATCTGGATATGGTTGTCAGTGAAGGGGAGGGACTCGAGCCAGAAGAGATCTTGAAGTTCGTGTGCGAATGTTGCCCACGAGGGCCACGCCACTTCCGAACATACGAGGAATTATCGTGAGTATCTCAGCTTTGCATGTGACAAGCCAACTTCTAACCGCGCACCAGTGCACATGAAGCCGAAAAGCCCCATCTATGCACCAACGCGCAGTGCAAGAAACGCTTCAAGTCACCCACCGAAGCCGAAAGACACATCAATGCTATCCATCTAAAGTCTGAATCATGGTCCTGCAAAGCTCTCACGCATCCGCTGCTAGCCTTTCATATGGAAATATTCCCTAATGGGGCGGTGTGGGATGTGTGCGGGTTCTGTGGCGGTGGCTTTGCTCGAAAGACCTCGGCGATAAAAGACGAAACGTTACCATCTGCAGGGGAAACTTCAACGAAGGCAGATGCAGAAAGTATCGAGAGAGACGAAGCAGAACTCATCTCCCACATGGAAAGAGTTCACAAGTTTGGGGAGTGCGATCGGGAGAAGCATTTCTACAGGGCTGATAATTTCAGACAGCATTTGAGGAATACACATATTGCGAAGCCAGGGAAGTGGTTGAAGGTTTTGGAGGGGGTGTGCAAGATTGGAAAGGATGGGCCACAAGGGGCGGTATAGGCGATGGTTTGGAGTTTTTTAGGTGATACCTGGAGTGTGGTCATCCTCTCGGTTTGATTATACCATTTTGCGAGTCATTTCTTTTCATGATGATGAGACTTAAAGTCAAGGTTTGGGGTATAGGTGGGATCTCTTAGAGATATAGCGGCGTTTTCATGCTTGAATGCAGTGATGGATGGGATGGGATGGCTCAGGCTGCCCTGGGAAATTAATCTTTGCTCTGGTCTTCACACCTTTTTATCACTTTATAGTAAGTGGAAGAAAGAGGAGCCGGTCTTATTACACTTGGCTTCAGAACTCCGTTGGCTGAGTACTTGTGATCAGTAGCGACTGGCCCATCTGAAACACAACTCGAGCGGTTTCTGCCCTTCATTGACACACACAGGAAAACAATACTTTTTCATGGACCATAGAAAAGTCGTCAAGCTTCACTTTCCACGTTAATTCTACATCTTCCCCGCCAAGGCATCATCCAACTCAGACTCTAGGTATGGAATGCTACCTCGGGGATCTCCGCTGGCGAGATACCTATGAGATCGTCCATTTGGACGAGTATGTTTGAGACTTCCGGATTCACTGGCAGTGGCTGGGAGGTTGTGTTACCAATGCATTTCGTGCGTTGTGATTGGCGGCGGTCAAAGACAGGGCCTGACTTGACAGGAGGACACCGAGACACAGTCTTTTATCAGAGCATCTTTAACATCCCACAGCAACTCGCAGCATTTTTGTTTGGTAATATTATAGACGATGTCATGAGCAGAGACCAAAGCTCGTACATGTAGCAGTGAGCTTTGTCTACAGTTGCTTCGTTTTCGACTACAAACTTGGCCAAGGATGGAAGGTATACCACCAAGCACAAAGCTGTCGGATATCCCTGTGGCAGATCCGAACAGTGGCATACCTACAAATCTTATCAACCCACCCATCTCTTCTCACTGTTGTACAGGTGGTTGGCATCATATTATGCGTCACCTCTCTGACGTTTCTTCTTGCTCGGATCATGGTGGTGCATCGGTCAAAACGCCAGTTCGGCCTCGGTGATGGCAAGCACCTTGCCTACCAACCAACCGACCTTCATCCCCAGTACAGTGATTGACCCTGACAACGCGAAGTATCCGTCACCATCGCCCGGATATTCGCCGCAGTATACACGGGCGTCTGCTCCTCTCGTATGCTCCCTTCGCTACCCTTTTCCATCCTTCAAACATCCCAGGAGCTAATCGATCGACCCCCTCAACCAAGTAAGCGAAGGCGTAATGCGACACGCCTGGGACACACCCCTAACCAACTTCGGATCAGTCTACCTCAAAGTTAGTTTTGGGAATTTCTCGATTGAAGAGGGGAGCGTGGTGGCGTCGGGTGGGATCGGTTGTGTGGGGGTGATGCTGAGTCTGGTTCTCATCTACAAGGGTGCAATAAGATTGATCATGGGGGTGGGGGAGATTTGTATGAAGGGATACAACAGAGCGTAGTTGTTGAGGTGAGCTGTATTAGGACCGGTGGTGGTAATGGGAAGATTGGGGTAGGGTTGAGCGGGAATCTTGATAGATACGGTGTCTCCCTCTCGTTGACAAAGGACGTTGGAAACGATGTTATGGAAGCATGCCAACTTTAGACAATGGAATACAGACGGTAAATACGGTAGCGAGAGACTTGAGGGGTTGAAGGCTGTCAGTGGGAAGCATGATCCTGAGTGTATGTTTCAGAGAGGCGTGTTGAGCGGGTTCAAGCTCGTTTGATGATTTGGATGCAGAGGAAATCAGAGCGATTGGATAGTCAAATCAACACAGCCCCTATGTTTCCAGTTTACAAGGTAGTTTGACAACCAGCCGAAGGGCACGCATGGTCAACAACTCCTCAATGGGACATATTTAGAAGAGAATATATACAGCCAAAGTAATTCCCAACCAAACCCCCTTCATGCAACCCCGTCTTTATGCAAGTATTGTCACTCAATGTCTCCCCTTCTCTATTCTTTGGTATCTCTCTCACATCATCGCCATCTCACCGCAGACTTAGACGCATTGGTGGTAGTAAGCGTTCTGGGTGTTGCAGGTAGAGCCAGCAGCGCAAGTGGTGCAGCCAGTCCACCCGTTACCACCGCACTGTCCCCACTTGGCAACGGCGCAGCCAGCGGGCTGGGTGGCGACGGGAGCACGGGTAGAGGTGACGAGAGTGGTGGTGGGCTGAGGCTGGGGCTCAACGGGGGAGCTGCCACCGCCGTTGGAGCCGCAAGAGAAGACGGATGGGCCGGGGACGGTGTAGGAGTTGAAGTTGCTGTAGATATTGGCGGTGTAGCCGGGGTCGGTGGCCTTGAAGGCACCGGGGATAGCAACACCGGATGGGTTCACGCTGCCACCACCAGTGACCTTGATCTGGGCGCAGGAGATGTAAAACTGGGGAGTACCGGCGGGGTATGGGTTGTGGATGCCGAGGGACTGGATGCGGAGAAGGTACTCTCCGTCGGTGATGCAGCTGGGAAGCTGAGCAGTGTAGGAACCAGCGAGAGTCCACTGGCCGCCGGGGAAGGTCGGGCCCCAGTCCTTGATCTTGAACCAGGTGCCGCTGCCGTCGTAGCTGGAAGCTGAGCCTGGGGCCTTGCTGAGGTAAACGGAGACAGGACCCTGGTGGTAGACTATGGGGTGTTAGACTAAGTATAAATGGTTTGGCTGATTAGGATGACATACCAGGAGTGTCCAAGTGGAAGGTGAAAGAGTCCCCAGCACGGACGGTCACGGTCTGAGTATTGGCACCGCTGGCACCACCCTCGTTACACCTGAGGTCGTTGGAGCTGAGGTCGGTCACAGGGCTATTATAGTTGGTATTTTGACGGATGTACTGGAACACGCCGTGCTTGGTGCTGCCGGTCGAGAGCTGCTGGAAGATGTAGTGGGCCGAAACCTCGCTGACAGCCAGCGAAAGGGCGGCAACGCTCAAGAGTCCCTTCATGGTGATGGTTGAGGATGGTGTTTGGACGAAACTGGTTTGGTGGTTTCTTTGGCCAACTTGACACAGCTTGAATAGAAAAGAGAGCCCGAGAACCACGCCTGGAGACAGCCTCCTCTTATGTCCGCCAGCCCACAGCGCAAACCGGGCAGGTGGCAGCGGCAATAGAGTGATACGTCAGTCCTTGGTGGTCTTGTCCTTCGTGGAGGTTCCATTTCCGGCACCTGAAGTGGGATTCCTGTTCCATGTGTCCATCGCCAAATCCAGCGGCCCGGGAACCGAAGGTCACTTGAGCTGGCCCATTTGATATTGGCTTGTCCATCAACCCGGGCAAGGCGCGGATAGTGGCGTCCGGCTTCTCAAAGAGGTGTTATCCCCAAATTAGTTGGGCCAATAGGGTGTATTGGTTGCATTTAACCATTGCAATGTTACTGTAGTTATGCACCCCACAACAGCGAGCCCGGAATCTGTGAACCGATTGTCAGGGGGCTCTGTCATGCGACATGGATTCGGGACGATCAGCCGCCGAGAGATTTTTGACTGTTTTGCAAAAGAGGCCCGATTGCCATGCCGCCTTCTGGACCGTCGTTTCATTCTGGATCGAGCTGTCCAAGATTGTTTGTTTTCATCGTGACGGGATGCGGTATCGCGGTCTCGAGTGCCGATGTGGACCAGGGAAACATCGACCTGAGTAGGGTTACGTCACTGGCGAGGCTAGGCGAGGAGGGCAATATATTCCAGTCTCATGGCGTGGATATGCGCGCATAGTGCTCAGCGCCAGGATTGTTCGAGAAACGTGAAGTTAATATCGTGCCGCCCATTGAAGAATGCACTTGAGACACGAGAAAGATTGGAGGGTCCAACGTCAAGGCCAGGAAGAAGGATGCGAGGGAGTCAGAAAGACAAGAGCAAGAGTGTTGGGAGACAAGGGTACAAACGGTCGTGTGGTGGAGCTCTTGGCATCGCGTTGGTTACACTAGAGTAGTCCGAAGCGCATCAATCACAGTGAAGGAAGGTAAGCTTTTTGATGCCAACAGACGAATGGTCCCCAGTGTATTTTGGAACGGTTGGGATTTTGCGTTGAAGTGTGGAATCTCCTTGTGGCTTGCACGAGGGAGGTTGGCTTTGATTGGTGAAAAAGCCATCGGCATGCCAAAAAGGGAAACTCAAATTAAGAAGTGGGACAGATGAGTCCACTTATTCTTGCGCCTCAGACCACACGTCAACGCTATTTCGAACCAGCCCGGTTGTGAAAGTTATTCATGAGATGTAGTGAAAGACATAGCATATTCGGAATTAATAGCGTCTTGCCTCTGTTGTCTTGACCTCAGAGTGAAATGCAACCAAAATATCAAAAGTAATCACTGTTTGGAACTTGTTTGATACCATGGGCTTGGAAATAAACTTCACATACTGACCCACACACATGTTGTTCGCCACCATTGCCACAAAGTCGTGAGGCTGAAGAAAAGTATCACAGCGTGGGTGTCAAGGCTTCAGACGCAAAATTTTTCTTTGAGGTTAACCTGATTTCCCCCCTCCCCCCCCTAAAAAAAAGCCATGTCCAAGATAGAGCCACCCAACATGTCGTCAATTCTCCTTGCCTACAATCATCCTCCTGATTCAACATCAAATCATCGTCCCATCATGTGGCCCAGTCACTCGGGTCCAGAGCAGAAGGAAGCCTCAGAAGTAGTTGTTGATTTGTGAGCATTCATCCGACTCACCAACTTCAGAAAAGAGCAACCCAAATCCTCTGCCTTGGTGGACCTGGTGACCAAAGCCTTGAGAGCAACTCGATGGGCGAGTGAATAGGAAACACAGAATATATCCTCAAATAAGGCCTTACCTCTGGACTCTCAGATTCAGTCCTCGCTGCTACATATCATGATGGCACAATCAACTTCAGTACAACCGCCGAGTCGAAACCTCATGAACAAAGCATACGAGCTTTACGAAAAGCTCGAAGAGTCCCACGCCATACCCGAAGCCTGTGCCAGCATCACCAATTCCGCGCGGGACCTTTGCAATTTAGCGACAAACACCACCCGATCACCTTCAAAACCCGCTCCTGGCCGTGTCGAGATAACCAACTGGCTCCAAAGTCTAGCCAGCTGGGAAGAAGAGGCTGACGACATCCCGAACCTAGACTCAATGGCGACCTCCCCCAGAGCAACAACCCCTGACAGCCAAAGATTTGTCTATGGATACCAAGCCATCCGTGTCCTCCTCCTCTCCTGGAAAAACGACCACCCCCAAGCCATCAACCGCACAAAGATAATGCGCAACCTCGAGGACCTCTTCCGCGACACCTACAACTTCGTTGTCTACTCCTACGAATTCCAGTAACCCACCAACCCAGCCGAAACCATCAACAGCGCCTTCTTCAGCTGGCTCATGACCAACAACTTCCTCCTCAACATCAACCCAAAAAACCACAAAGAACTCGTGATCATCATATACGATGGAGTCACTGGCAAAGATACCTCCAACAACCTCCGTCTCTACAGCCCCCAGAACCCAACCCGAAACTCCCTCCTCAGGGAGCCCAATCTCCAAACCCGCTTCGTCCAAGCCCCCTTCGATACCCTCTCCAAATCTTTAATGCAACTTACCAACCTCCCAACCAACCCGTTCACAACTCAAGCGGAACCAACCTAGTCCTCGCCGCCAGCGACAAGGATATCTCCAAAAGCAACAACTGGCAGCTTCTCTTCCTCGAGGCTTTGTATACAGCCCTTCTCCCCACCAACGGCCCACTTTCTCTCGGCGCCATTCTCGAACGTATCAAAGTGGCTTATCAGGAGAAAAACCTGAAAGAAGTGCGAATGCCCAATATTGTTAGGCTTCCTTCCGATGGTGACGATACCGAATTAAGCATCGCCCCGTTGGAGGGGGCAGATAAAGATGGGTGGGTGGTGCTGTCGCATCATGACTATTGGTCTCAGAGGCAGGGCGGTGGGACGTGAAAGAGATTTGGTAGTCTATTGTAAGGTTGTGCAAGAATGTAAAAGAACCGTGTAATTAGGTGATAATAAATGATACCCCCGGTTTAGCCTCAAGCATATCGATTCGACACCCCCGGCAACTCAGCAGACACCTGCGGGCCGTAATGTGCCAGTTCCGCTGACCCAGGTGTCGCTGCTCCATGATGTGCCTGATCCCAATCCCGCCCACTTCGCAGTTCCGTCGCGTTCTGGTATTGTTGTTGCTGCTGCTGCTGCTTGTGCCATTCCTGAAGATACGGAGAGGGTTTCTGCTGTGACGGATCGAGAAAAGGTGCCACCGGCTCGACCAAAGCCCTCTTGGTCTTGTGGAGTTTCCACATCAGCCATGCAATAACTGAGACCATTATGACAACACTAGCTGCGCCCACGCCAATACCGACCTGCGCTGCTACGGGAAGCCCGCCTCCTGATGATGAGGACGAAGGGCCTGGGTCTTGGCCTGAGCCCCCTGTTGAGCCATCTCTCGTTGAGCCACCCGGCGAGCCGTTGTCGCCCGATCCAGTCTCCTTTGGGCCACTGGCGTTTGTCGCTGTGGTCGGACTAGGTTCGAAGGACGGCGTTGAGGGTTTAGTTGTCGTCGAAGTGGAACTCGAACTCGAAACCTGAGCCAAAGGCGTGTAAAACCCCTCGCTGGAATCCCAAAGAGCCAACGTGACCGGCCTCGGCGGCATTACCTCGAATCGCCCTATCCCATCATCGCAGCACCTCCCCGTCTCTGTCTTCTCGCAACAAAACGACGTGTCTTTGTCTGTGACATTGGAGCATGATATGAGGTTTGCTCCCCCGCCGCCGACATCTATTCCTTCGGTGTTAGCCCTTACCAGTCCAAAATAACACACCAGGATGAACGAACTCATGCAAAAAGAGGCGCACTCTGGCGAATTCCAGTTTCGATCAGTGCATGTCCCCCTGATAATCTTCCCATCCGGAGCCTGGCACATCTTGTTCGACAGACAGGCCCGCCCATACGACCCCCCTTTAAAACAGCACATGCTGTCCTCTGCTTCGGGGTGACATGGCGTGTCGGTCGTGGCCTCAACACCGTTGGGGTAGTAGCACTTTTTGACGGCCCACGATAACTGCACAAGGCCCATGCAGGCGACTGCCGTGTGTAACCTCATGTTGGAGTTGCTGAAAGATGCTGGCGAGATTGGTGAGAAAAGTGCAAGGAGGTGCAACAAGAGACAGGGCCATATTCTTAAGAGAAAGCACTGATGCTGCTCCAAGGCTGATGATGGTTTCATCCTTGTTCGCTGCGCACGCCACTATGTAGCACCGCGTGGGAGCGGCGCAGCAAGGGGCCAGGGGCCCAGAATGTTCCTGGCCTGCAGACACAGCAAAAGTATTGGTCTAATGAAGAGCTGTTGGCTCGTCGTCGGTCTGCGCGCGTAGTAGCGCGAGATTGTTATGCCCAAATAAGACGTTCGCCAAGGCCCTTGAGAGACCGGCGGCCCCCAAGAGACCAAGCGAAAGGTCGTGTCACGCTGCCAGATTTGCCGGGACATTGGGGTTGGTCTGACAGGTAGCATTGATGAAGGCGAAGAGGAGACACAGGCTGAAGCAAGTTAATGCCTTGTTGGGGGTTGTCGAACGTCGACGGCAGCGACTTGACAACGCACCAGTGAAGCAGCAGGATGGACTGCTAGTTGCCTGTGTCACTTTCTCAACCCTGGACAGGGCAGCCTTTGAAGGTGGAAAGATAAGTTGCTCCGCATCACCTGTCTCGGACTCGATCTCAGTCGCCAGGACCTTGCAGAGTCGGTGTAATCCGAGTTGGGCTTGGCGGCATAATTGGAGCAGACACCCGCGCGTCTAATACTCGGGGTCTCGATTGCGAGATGACTGCAGGTACAAAGAGCCGCACAATCCGAGCAATGTCTCAATAAGGCAGACAGGGTCTGGTGAATCCGAGTTGGAGATTTGCAAGAATGTACCGTTGCACAAAGAGGCAGCCATCCAGCCCTATGAAAAGGGGCAGAAAAGTGAATTTGCCGCCCAGTTCTTCCTGAGACAGATTGTTCTGACATCAGAAACAAGCAATTTTCGATCGCAACTTGTGTCCGTTGTGGGTGAAAATAAAGAAAAGTCGGCCGTGTGGTTAGGCCATGGTCCACCTGGCATTGCGGGGAAAACTGCCATTTGGTAAGCGCACCGAACAGTCGGAACGCACAATCTCAAGTGGCAAGCAACCAATGATCTTTTCGTCCTCAATCTGACACGGAAGACCCATCAGCTGGCCCCGTGGACCCCAAGATATTATCTTGCAGAGTGCCAAAGGAGTCACACAGATCTTTGTGTTACTTAAGGTACTGTATGCCAAGGTGATAGCTGCGGTTGGGAACTTGTGCAAGATGCCAAGCATCCCAAGTCCCACCCAAACAATGAGGCCACCTCAGTTAGGCAACCAAGTCAAACTTGACGACATCTCTTCCCCTCTTTGAACTGTTCCGATAGTTTGTTTCTTTCACGCCTTTGTATTCAACAATTATGGCTGCTAATGAGACCACCCCACTCCTGCGGGAAAGCAACACCGAAGGCGGCACTCCAGCGCGTGCCACGGACGCAGAAACCCAGCAGACTCAGAATGAGGACCAACTCAACCTTCGAGGCCCCACCGAGCTCAAGCTCGCTGCTGTGGCTCACCTGGGCAGTGTAGTCACTTCTTTTGGCGCTGTTGGGCTGGCTTTGGTTTACGGGCCCCTCGTCCACAATCCGCCCAAGTCGTGGTGGCCTCCTTATGTCGTGCGTGAATTAGCCTCGACCGCAACGACGGTTGTACGTATCACTTTGCCTTGTCTCTGTTGTTTCAACCTTCGTGGCAACACTGACCAAGGCTATAGGGAATTCTGACTGTCATTTGGGGACTGGCCAACTTTCTCGTGTTTCATTTCCGCCGCCGACTAATAGGACCTCCATTCCTCGGTGGTCTGCTACATCTCGTGGGCGCCTTCCCTATATTTCTCTTCTTCATGGCACTCAACGATATAATGGAGAGAGACGGTGGCAGCCATCAATGCCAGCGTTGGGATGGGCAGCAGTGGTATCCTGCCGATCCAGAATGTCTGGCCTGGGTTGAACGCTTCTTTGTCCTCGTTTACACTGGCTTGTTTTTCTTTCTGGGTGTCTGGTAAGTGCCTTTCTATGATTGTCGTTGATCAATGCCTGACATTCACCACTTTAGCACCTCACACGCCGTCCTTGTTTATCTCAACTTTATGTGGACCAAAAGACAGTTCGTGGCATTCATGCGATCCCTTCCGTGGTCAAGGCCTGAACTCTCGTCTCACAACGGCGCCTATCGTGCGCGTGTTCCTGTCCCGATTGTCCCAATAGGAGGTATCTCGTTCGAATTTGGCATCAAGGTCTTGGGGCGTGACTCTGTCCCGCGATCAGCTGTTGAAGCGGAAGAGAACACTTCGGCACAGGCTACCACCTCTGGACAGGCTGCTTGAGGCCGACAAACGATACTGTACGATCTTTGGTATTAGACATCTCGCCGTGATGCCGAGCGGTATATTTAGTATGGAGAACATTGGATGCACTTAAGGTTTTGAAATAGGAGAAAGGCTCGCTTTGTATATGTAGCAGACAAGAATTAATCTTTATTTCATGCACACAGGCACCATATCCCTGTTCCCAACTACCAAGCCGTATGACCCCCATCAATAACAAGATTCCCACCCGTCATGAAACTGCTCCCCTTACCCATCAAAAACAGCACCGCAGCCTTGAACTCGCTCGTCTCCGCCAGCCTTCCCATCATGTTCTCCGCCTCCCACTTCTCCCTCAGCCCGGGCACCTCCTCAAAGTTCTTGAGCACCATCGGCGTAAGGATATGGCCAGGAGAAATACAATTCACTCTGATCCCCCCACTGCCATCCGGCCTCGTAGGGCTCCATTCCATGGCCAGGTTCCTCGCCAACTGAATCACACCGGCTTTGCTGGAATTATACACCGGGCTGAGCAAGCCTTTGTTGGCAATCAGCCCGCTCATACTGGCAATAAGACAAATACTCGCCCCCTTTGTCTTGTGCTTGAACATCTGCCTCGCTGCTGCGGAAGCAGTCATGAACACACCAGTGTAATTCACCTCTAGCATCTTGGCGACGTCCTCGGGGGTGTACTCCATCGCCGGGGTGATCTGCTGAATCCCCGCAGCAGCCACCACCCCGTCCAACCGCTGATTATCATCCGCAATCTTCGCAATGAGGGAGTTGAGGGAGTCAATATCGGCGACATCTTGCTGGCAGTAGTGGAGGGAGCCGCCCCAGGAGGGGACGACGCGGGAGTTGGCTTGCTCCCATTGCTCTGGGTCAGAGGGGGAGGGGTGTCGGTCCAGGCAGTACACTTTCCCGCCTGCTTCGACGAGGGCCTCGGCGAGGGTGAGGCCTAGGCCTTGGGCGCCGCCGGTGACGATGTAGACTTTGCCGCCGAGGTCGAAGTCTGAGAAGCGTTGGCGGCCGATGTTTTCGGAGGGGGAGACGCGTGGGGAGGTTTTGTTTTGGGTGGGGTCCGGGTTTTGGGGTTTTACTTTTGTGAGGAGGGGTGGTGAGGTGTGGAGGAGGCGGGTGGTGGTTGGTGTGCAGGTGAGGGGGGTTGGTGGTTTGGAGCGGGTGATGTTTTGGGAGAGGCGGGCTTGCCTTGAGGCGAAGCGGCAAGCTCTTGCTGCCGAGGGGTTCATTTTGAGTATTTTTTGTAGTTTGATTTTGGGTCTGTTCAGTCACAGTAAGAGTGGTGCATGAGGTTCATTCACCGGCCGGCTTTTATGTGGCCGTGGTGTTGATCAAACATGTGTTGATGTAAGTCAGCACTCGAACCTGATTCTGGCACAGGAGCTTTTGCTCCGAGTCCAAGACGTCTAATATCCCACTATCCGTACCGACAGCCACACAAGCGATGATCTTCGACGTCATGACAGTGGTGGTATGGCCAATAGGCCGGTGAATATCTCCCAACACCCCCGTTCCGGCACCCGAATCTGGCTCCGTGACCGTCGGGACAGCATCGTTCACCGATGTTCGCAATGCCGTTTCATAACGGCAGGATGCTTTCCCCAATATGTTGCCTGTGCTGAGGCGCCTAACTCCGCAATTTCAGCCACGGTGAGCTGTCAAACGGCGGGTGTTGCCTGCGCCGAGAAATGCCCCACCTCCGGCCCCGGCATGACCGCCGATCGGTGTGCTCAAACGCGGCATCTCGGCGCCGATACATGACGTTAATGTGGAGCCGAACCGTGAATAAGCTTTGTTCCCTCTTGTTTCCATCGACTTTTGATCCTGAAATTCTCAACCTGACACGCCTGACTCCCTGAATGTCTTCTCCCTGCGAAGATCTTGCAGCTCGTGCCGGTCAGCAAGTAGGATGAGTCTGGAACGCGCGTTCAAGTCATTTACGTTTTTCGGTGGAGAATAGACGGCTCGGCATTTTAAGCTTGGTAACTCTCTTCATTCAATCTGGTATTGAAAAGTCTCTCATTGAAATATGGATATCCACTTGATGTAGCTCAATTCACCAACGCAGACGCACGAAAATACGAAAATTCCAACAACTCAGGGCCTTCTGGCCCTCCATTTAGTTCCACGCTCACGTCCCAGAGTCCCGCTCCGTATCGCCGTACCTTGAAGGCTTCGTAGTTCAAGCGGACATGCTGTAGGGTTGGACAAGCAAATGCCAACTTTTCTGCCAACGCCTCAAGATCTTGTTCATACTGGGACACATTGTCGACCGCTAGCTGTGTGAGCTTGGTAAAAGACGGAATAGGCTCTATCAAGTCCTGTGGTAGGATCCCATCCTCTTCCTCGACCTAGTCTGCATCTTGGTCTGAAATATTCAGAACAAGCGCCTCCAACGAACCACCGTTAGACAGTACCAGATCCTTGAGTATCTCCTTAGCAGACCGATCGTATGTGTACCATTGGCGGTTTAGATCCACCTCCATCATCCTCAGCTTGATGGGTAGCTCCGGATGTTCTTCGCTAGTGCACAGCAGCATGGCTGGATCAAAGACCCCGTCTGGGGTAGCAACATAGAATGCCAGATTACAGGAGATAGACGGGTGTTTGGCAAACTCGCAGAGAAGTTCGTGTGCGCCCTTGCAGTAGTAAGACACTTTGAGCTTTCGAAGGCGTGGACATGATGTTGGGCCGAAAGCTGAAAACACAACTTTACAGCTGTTGTCGGTGCAGAGCTAGAAGACGTCTTGGTCCTCATGCAGCTTGTAATTGTTGTCAATCATCACTACCTCAAGACAAGCCAAATCGACCAGCCCCGTCAAGTGCTGGCGATTCAACGGGTAGACGGATTGGCCACAGTCGAGGATTTTGAGATGTAGAGGTTCCCCCCGCTCTCGACATACTCTTCACAAATCTTATCGAAGAATTCTGCAAGATCAAGGGCTTTCGGGCCTGATATGACCACACAGTTTCAGTTGAAAGTTAAAGTTCTAATTCTTTCAAGGGCTCTTTTGCATGGTCAGCTGGAAGAAACACAAAATTTGATGTGCCGATAACATTTCAGTGAACAGCAATTTGCATATCTTGACCTAAAGGGTTCGGCATACCTTGAGTGCAGCAAAAGTTGTATTAATTGTCGCCGCCACCTGGACAGATCGCCGGACAAGTTCTTGACAGCAAGGTATCGCAAGTTACAGAAATAAGAAACCTGAAGTTCGGGCCGATATTGCGACACCGAGCTGTCATTGGAGATATCTCGGAGTACATTCGTGGTCTCTTCGGGGTCGTCACATGCAACCTGAAGGGTCGTTAGGTCTGGACGTAATCTCCGCAGACAATCTAGTGTAGCCTGCTCCAGTCTGTACGCAAAACCCCAGCTGAAATATGAGATTTGTTAGAAACATCGTTTCGATGTTTGATGGGTGCTAGGACTCTTGCTCGAACTCTTTCAGGCACCGCATTGATTTGATGAGCTGTCGTGTTCTCTCGTTGAACTCCGTTGAAGTTGGATTCTCTCCGTTCGTTGCACCCGAATAAGGGCTCTTGGTGTAAATGGGATTCGGGTTACATGGCGAAATATTGAATGAGTCACTGCTCCTGTCGAGGTGACGGTAAAGGTGTCGACCAAATACCAGGTGAAAGGTTCTGCTCGTACGACAGAGAATACAAAGGGTCTTCCGGTCCCTAATATGCTCTCCGATTGAATCAAGTATCTCCAGAACAGCAGCGACCCGTCTTGCTGCGGTACCCATCTTGACTGTATTGACAGGGGTAGAATACTGTCGAGAAGGTGATGGCGGGGAGGTGTTTGCTAGCTGTCAGTTGATTGTTGATTGTTGATTGTGTGCGGCACTAGATCCACATTTGGTGAAAGAAACGATGCGAACCCTAAGGTAAAACTACCTTAGGTAGGTGTCTGCCTCTTGAAGGCTCCTTTTATGGTCTTAATTAGCACTAGTCGAAGTTTAAATTACATGGCTTCATCTGCAATAAAAGTCGACAACCAAATTCAGAACAATAAACGAGTGGATAGCAGACGACAGGATAGTGTGCTCATTTCTCGCCTTACACCATCTCAGGTGAACCAACACGACTCCCGACAATAACATCCCAAGCCTCCTCATCCTCAGCCTCTTTACAACCCCCAACACCGTCCTCAAAACCATCACCCGCCCCATCCATACCAAACCGACCCATTTCAGTTTTCTCTTCACTCTCCATGTTTCCATATTTCTTATCGTTCTTTGCTCCTCCAGACCCTTCCTTCTTGCCCCCCCTTAACTCAATCAACCCCTCCTCCATCTCCCCCCACCACCTCCCCTCTACGCAGTGACATCCCTGACCATGAACAATAGCATGCCACATCTTCATCTTCTCCTCCAAAACCACCAGCCTCCCCTCGGCCTCTCTCTTCTCCTGTGACAACCGCGCAATATTCCCATGAGCATGCGTCATCGCCTCCAGCACCCCATCAACATATGACTGCGTGTAAATCGGCTTGAAATCTTTGTGAGCACTCTCCCCCACTTCATCAACACCCACCCCCCCCATAGGAGGAAGAGGCAAATCCAAAAACGGCAGCAGCATAGACGACGACCCCTCCCCTTTCTCATTCCCTTTACCGTGAACAGGAATCGGTCTGGTCAACGGCGAAGACATGGCAACATCACCAGAAAGCGAAGAACCCCGAGCACTTCCCTGATTGTCAGAACCATCAAGCTGCATCCTCTCCATCCCCTTGATGACCCTGCCCGGCGTCGGCGTCGGCGGCGACTCCCTCTTCCAAGGCGTGATATCAAAAGTCTTTGACCCAGGCGCGGTCGGCTCAACAACGGCCGTACCAAAAATCCCGGTCTTTTTCGATATTGGGGTCGAGGGCAAAGACTGCGTCTCACGAGAAGGTTCCGGCCGGAGGTGCTTCATATCTCGACGCGAAAGGAAACTGGCAACCGGCTTGGGAGTCGAAGCCGCAGCAGCAAACTTGCCCTCACCCCCGAGGATCTCATCAAGGTGTGACCTCGTCTCGTCAAACGCGTGAAACTGTTCCGTTCGACTGTGAGACCGTGACTGGACAATGCGATCATACAGGCGACCTACTTTGTGGAGGTCGTTCAAAAAGGGGAGAGACTTTCTCTCGGGGCTGCTGTTGGACCAGGTCTTGAGGACGTCTTCCAGCTTATCATCCCCTTTGGCTTGTTTTCCATCGGCCGAGGTCGAGGCTGAGGGCTGGGTGGTAGCTGGAGCAGGGATTTGGGTAGATGGTGACGCTCGGGCGCGCGCGTTGCGAGCGGGAGTGGATTTCTGGGGATTCATGTTTGGATGGAGGAGTCTTGTAAGTGCGTATGAAGATTGCTGTGGATGGAGATGATTTGAGAAGAGGGTAAACATCAAAGATTTGAGGCCCTAAAGTACCAAAATGTTTGGCTACTTCTCTTTCTCTTGATGAGATGTCCTGGATCAAAACCGCCTTTCTTGTCTTCAACACAAATCAGCTTTATCCCTATGGACATCATCGCCTCAAAGAGCAAACCAAAACAAGTCTCACATCACTACACACACCCAAAGCACTTCTTTCAATCAACTCTCTTTATTTACCACAAATCCCTCTTCATCAACTATCTACTCATCAAAAAGAGCATAATTCGGCCCATTATTCGGTCCACTTCCCACAGTAGCATGCGCCAACACCTTGCCCAATTTTCCAGTCCGCACATCTCTTTCATAAACCACAACCCTGTTATCATCCTGCAGCGCGCTCACCAGCTTTGTCCCCGCCTTGTTGAGCGAGAAGCCGCGGGGATTGCGCCCACCAGCGGGAGCGGTCTGCACATGCGTCAAAGCGCCGGTTTGCTGATTGACAGCAAACACTTGCAGCGGGTCCGACTTGATCGTCCCCTCTCCGTCAAAGGCCGGAATGTCCAGGCTGTTCTCCCCGCGGGAGGAGACAATGACAAATCTCTGATCAGGGCTCACCTCAATCTCCGCCGCCTTGGTGCCAGCAGGGACCGTCGTGCCCGGGCCGCCAGAAGGAACGTCAAAGAGGCGGGTGAATTCAGGGGCGGCGTCGCGCTTGTAGGTAACCGAATACCCGCTGATGGTGTTGGAGAGCTCGTTAAACGAGTAGAGGAAGGTCTTGCGGCCGGCCTTGGCAAAGGCGACGTGCCTGGGACCGGAGCCGGCAATGGTTGGGATGGAGGTCACGGCAGTGGCGGCGGCAGCGCCATCGTCGACTTGGAAGACGCGGATGAGATCGGCGCCGAGGTCGGGGACCAAAATAAACTTCTTGGATGGGTCCAGGATGGCATCGTGGAGATGGGGGGCATCCTGACGCTCGGGGACGGTGCCAGGGGCAGTCAGCTGGTAGGTTTGCTGGCCGAGGAGGGAGAGGTTGGTTGGGTCAGCAACGGAGAAGGTGGTGAAGGCGGAGGTATCACTGTGTTCCTGTATTAGCACCGCGAGAACATACCCCGCCATGAAAGGTAGACGTACTAGTGAGCCACGGCAAGCTTGCTGTTATTGGCAAAGAGAGTCGAGGCAACAGGACTCTTGAGGACAGAGAGAACGTCCAGGGTCTCGAGAGTCCCGCTGGCGCTGGTCCTGTAGGAGGTTATGGAAGAAGATCCACCCCAGCCCTCGTTCAGGCAGTACAACACCGACTTTGACTTGTCAAGAGTCAACCAGGTAGGCTCAGACCCGCAGTCCAGATTCTGAGAAACCCGAGTCAGGGACGACCCATCTAGCTTCAGCGAGGTAACAGTATGGTCATTGTACGACGTAGCGTAGATGATTTCGGCCGACGCCGGAAGGGCAAGCAGGAAAGCGATGAGCTTCTTGGACATCTTTTCGGTCGTGACGGTGCGCTGGACTGTCTACCGGAGAGAAATCTGGGGCAGACCTCCACGGGTGAGATCCATCAGCGGGGCTGGTACCCTTTAATATCAGATTCAGGGGCGCATTTTCGCAATTTCCGCCAAGTATCCCGGTGCTCGGGACGATATAGACTTTTGATCATTGCAAATGCACGGAAGCATGGCTACATAGTGGCCCAGCCTAATAAGGCCGGATCATCCCTTCGAATCCCATCTCACGGCGGTATTAGGCAACGGCAAATCGGGTCTGAGCGTGTTGCGTGCCTGACATGATAATCAAGTTTATAGTGATAATATTTGCCGGGATGGAATAAGCCGACTAGGATGGAATGAGCATCAGCTTCCTTATTGAAGCGCGGGGGGTGGCATGCCGCCGCGGATATACTGACCCCTTGCAGGACTCCGGGTGGGCCATCCCATGTTCCCCACAGCCTCGGTCACTGCCGTCACTTGTAAGCGCTGTCAGCCAACTCCTTCGGCTTTGTCAGAATGGACATGGAAGTGGAGAGCTTCCAATGCGCACCACTAGAAACCTGACAGGAGGCTACCACGATTGCAACGTCTGTGGAGCGGGCTTCAAATCCGGGCCGATGTTGAGAAGCACGGGAGCTGCTCGAGTGAGTGTCAAAGGACAGTGCGACGGAAGAATTAACGATTGGTCAATGGGATCGTGATTATATAAAACCCGGGAGAGTATCCGGGGTAGGTCGTAACGGATCGTCGTCAGCATGGCTGGTGATTGGGTCCGTTCGAGGTTCCTCCACCAAAAGGATCTGACATGCAACCAATTTATCGGCGGGGAGCGGGATATCCGGGAACGGTCGAGTATCGGTCGCATTGTGGGTTCGAGCCTTTTGGAGAAGAATGCGGTGTATATGGTATGGAGATGTCGAGTTTGGATATAGGGCGAAGGGTGAAAGAGTTGAGGAAACCGGGAAGTTTTGCAATGGTAAAAAACTGTGAGGTCTGTCTCCATTGGAAATCCCAACCAATAACTTACCGGGGCGTTACACATGGGTAGATACGATGGGTAGAAGTTACTATCACAGAAAGCACAGAACCGAGAGTGAAAGTCATGTGATTGTGGCACGTCGTTAATTCTTCTCAAGATATTACAACTCCCTACACAGCAACAGCATTCCAATTCTGGATCTCAAACTCGCACGTCGCCCCCAACGGCTTTCCCCCCTCAGCTGTAGCCACAACCTGCCCATCCCGAGACACAGTAACAACAACATCACCACTATTCCCCCCAAACGGCACACTCCCCCTATAAATACCTGCAGTCCCCGCACCGCTCGCAGGAAAAGCCGTAAAAGTCCCCGTCTGCTCATTCTCCCCAATCTTGACCGTAACCGTAACCCCCTCATCTGAGGTCAGAAGCGCACCATAAAACACAGCATCCTCATTAAAATCCTGCGGCGGCTGCTCCACCTCATTGAAATCCGCATTGTTACCAGTGGTACCGCCATCAGGGCAAGCAAGAGCAGGCGCGGTGCGGTAATAAGCCGCGACCCTCTCCTCAAACTCCGTCGGCGCAGCTCCTGTCTTGTATTGCTCAATGTAAAAAGGCAAGAACTTGCGCCAGCCATCATGGCTCATATTCTCGACATAGGGGATTGGCGCAGACGTATCGAACAAACCAAGTTCCTTCTCGCGAATAGGGCCAATGTAGTGAGATTCGCCGTAGTCATTCCAGGTGAGGATCTCGACGAAATCAGGGTTGACTTCCATTACCTGAGCCCAACGGGTATCCCAGAGCTCATCGCCACGCCAGAGCCAGTTCTTGGTGAAGTCGGGGTTGTTGAGATTGGTGTAAAACCACGGGGAGACAGCCATCATGTATGCTCGGTCTCCAAGAGCGTCTTGGTACTCGAGATCGGATTTGATGGTGATGTTGGTGTCACCATTCGGCCAAGCATCAAAGCTGAACAGCCCGTCAGCAACACCATCCGCCAGTCCAGCAGCAACAACCGGGCCCTGAGATGACCAATCGGGGACGAAGAACGAGTTAGTCGTTGCCTTGATGTCAGCCCAGTCGCCCGCATTGTCCGGACCTTCAAACGTGGAAACAAACAGCTTGTCGTCGTCGGTTTTGAAGTAAGCCGGGCTGGCACCGAACCTGGTGATGTGGTCAATAACATCCTCCTTCGGCCATGCTCCCAGGGCTTTGTAGTCAAAGCTGAAAAAGAGTTTGAAGTTCAGGCTTTCGGCAACCTGAAAGATGGTTTGCAAGGACGCCTCGTTGCCTTCATCGCCTTGGGCAATATTGAGGACAAAGGCATCAATCTTGGCCTCCTGCGCCAGCTTGATGTTGTCTTCCCAGTCGGCATTGTCGAGGGAGCGCACATTGCCTACAATAACGTGGGCAAACACTTCTTTGGCGGCTTGCACTGAGGGCAAGACCACGGACACCGAGATGGCAAGAGCGAAAAGAAATTTCATTATTAAAAGGAATGTTAATTGTCAAAGGAGTGGTGAGAACAGAAAAATGAGTGACTGAATAACCTGTCGTCAAGACTAGGCCCCTGCTACCAGAACAGGGTGTGGAAAAGGAATGTGGTTGAAGTGGTAAGCGGTGTGGTGTGTGAAAGAAACATGACACCGATGGAAAGGAGAAGGAAAGTGATCTTTTAAGTTGGCACTCAATCGTCGTCCGGGTCCCGGAGTCCGGAATAGGAGGCTCGTAGCCAGTCCTTCCACTCTACAAACACACATTCATAGTGGTGTTGATGGCCTTGGGGATCGTAGGAACAGAAACACATGAGGCGCGGGTCCGGCGGTCTCAGGGACGATTGCAGGGCCGCATTTTACACGGGCACATATTCTTCAGATCAGACGACGCGTTTCCCTTTCGTCGGGTTCCTGAAGGATGGCTCAACTCTGGGGCATGACCGTAAGTTCGGCCCACTCCTCGTTGGGAGTTCAGCTTTTAGGTTCACCGTATTATCCTCGCAACATGGGAAAGAAAATAGATCGTGAGCGCAGGGTTAAATGCAGTTGATCAAGGCTGAAAGTCCACATTTTGATTGGATCGCTTTGCGATGTCAAACCTGCCAAAACACAGACAAGCTTTTCTCCCAAGAGATGCTAGCGATGTGCAGCGAGCTAAAGCAAGCCACAAGAGCTTCGGCCAGCGCCCAGACTCTTGGTCTTAAACGCTTCCGAATTTAGAGTTGAGCTTTGTTGGTGCAGCGAATAATTATCTAATGGAAGGAGCAAAGCCACAACCAAAAGAAATGAGGGGTTGGTTATCAGAGAACTTTTGACGGCCGTTGGCGGCGGCTTGTTGGAACCCCAGAGACATATGCTTGCGAGGTCGAAGCTTGCGAGATCGAAACTCGCGACCCGATCTGACGGATGCTGAGAACTTTTGTCTGAATGATGAGCAAAATAAAAGTGGTGTTTGAAGACATCGTCAGCTGTGATCTTTATCAGCTGCATCAAAACCGGCTGCGAGGCGTACGACTTTCCATATTGGTGGTTTTTGCCTCCTTGGGGTGTATGGTGTCAGACACAGAGCAATGCGGTGTCTGTTGAGCGTAATGCGACACCAAATCAGATGCCAAGTGATGTTGGCTTGGGGTATGGTTCGATCCTTGGGACTGATTATCGTACGTGAGCGCAAAGTGTGGCCGAGTGTTGCGGTTGGCCATTACAGCCCGACCTTGGGTTGTGAGATGTGCGAGTGCGGATCAGGTGGCGCAAACTTGAGATGATGGATGTCATGGATGTGAGATCGGATATATTGAGGGCTGGAACCCAGACAGTTGATTTGAAGCATAAAATGAGCAGTGGATATTATCTTATTTTATATTATTATTATTATTACAAAATATAAGAAGTTCGAAAAAGTGTAAAGTAAGGTATTTATATATAATGATTCGGGGTGTGGCTACAGGCCTGGGGGTATGAGTGAGGAAGTGGGGCTCTCGGAGGATTCGGGGGGTTCAGGGGTCATGTATAAAAGCTGTCTGCTTCTGACATTCTATTTTAGACAGGACATCGACTTCTATTTTCTTCGTATTTTATGCCTTGCACGTGTGCAGGCAATTCTGGCCCTCTGATCAGGCCAATCCGGTACTTATTATATGGCTTGCGAGCTCATAGCGTCTTTTCTTTGTCCTACGTGAAGTGTGGCCTGCGAGCGAGTCACTGTCACGAAGGTGTTTCATTCAGAGCCCAGTTGAGGGTATAGTTGTGGTGTTGTGGTTGTTTTGTGTGTTTTTCTCACCATTTCACTATTATAGAAGAAAAGAAGCTCGAAAGAGCGTATAGTGAGGTATTTATATATGAGGAGTAGGTAATCTGCCAAGAGCCCAGAAATCGGCATGAGGTGTTCTGATACTTGTACCAGTAATTCCGCCATTTTCCTCTAACTGCATCGTAGCCAGGGATTGAGTACACCTTACATCTCGGCATCTTTCTCATTCATTTCCAAAGCCAATCAATTTCACCAGCTGCAGATCCATCTTCAGGATGCATCGCGAAGGCAAACGCGAAGGTCGAACGAAGAGTGCAAACCAGTATCTCGCCGGCAATTTTGCACCTATCCAAAAAAAAACACTTCCACTCACACCATGTTTCTACGAAGGAGAGATCCCAGCTGACCTGGCAGGTGGGCAGTACGTCCGGAACGGTAGCAACCCGCTTATCACCAAGGACGAGAATACACGGGTTCATTGGTTCGATGGTGTTGGAATGCTCAGCGGGGTCCTGTTTCCTGAGAAGGGGTCGGAAATCCAGCCAGAGTTTGTCAACCAGTACTTGGTGACCGACATTTTCTCCTATGCGAAAGGCTCGGCTCTCTCAAAACCGTTCCTGTTCAGCATCTCGATCCTTATCGATCCTTTGGCTTCCGTGCTGAGTATTGCGTTGCACATATTGAGGACTGTCATCTTGACAATCTTGTCCCAACTTCCCGGATCACCAACTCCAGTCAAAAAGACGAGCGCTGCCAACACAGTAGTCCTTTATCATGACGGGTGTGCTCTGGCCACCTGTGAAAGTGGGCCGCCCTTACGCTTTGCGCTACCGAGCTTGCAAACCATCGGCTGGTTCGATGGAAGGAGGGCAGAAGGAGAGCCCGAAAAGTCTGAGCGGGAGGGTTTCGGAGGAAACGAGATGATGACTTTCGTCAAGCAATGCACAACGGCTCATCCTCGAACACATTCTGTGACGGGAGAGCTGATTGCTTTTCATGCCTCTTTGGTAAGGCCATTTGTTCATTACTTCATCATTACAAAAGCCAAGTCAGGTCGTCAGCCTCTTCTCACGGCCCCTGTTCCGGGAATGACGTCTCCAAAGATGATGCACGACTTTGGTGTATCCAGGGGCTATACCGTCATCATTGATATGCCCCTCTGCTTTAACCCCTTGAACCTCCTGAAAGGCTCACCGGTGCTGTCGTTTGAAAGCTCTCGGAAGTCGAAGTTTGGAGTATTTCCGCTATATCAACCTGAAGCAGTCCAATGGTACGAAAACAACCCCTGCTGTGTCTTTCACACTGCCAATTGCTGGAAAGTGAAACCTCTGACACAACCCGGAATGATCAGGGAACGACCAGCAATCTCCTCGCCTGCCGTCTGACGTCTGCATCGCTCGTCTTCCACACGGCAAATATCCCAGCGCCAGAAGGCAAGCCCGTCCCGCCGAAATATGCTGAGGAACAACAATGTCGACTGTGTTACTACAGCTTCCCGTTTTCACCAGTCAGCCATGCGCAACCACCCGGAACAAAAAACCAATGGGCGTTGTCGGCCATCGAGCTCGAGTTCCCGAACGTGTCGCCACTATCTGTAATGTCGGAGGCACAGTATGTGTATGGTTGTTCGGCGAGGTCAGTGTGTTACTCGGTCGAGCTGGGGAAAGCAGCCAGGATCGAAAATCTCGCAAAAATCAACGCCATAGATCTGATACAAAGAGGCCTTGAGACGCAGCCGCAACCGATCAAGGGGTGTGTCGACAAACGGTCTATTCAAGAGATCCTTAAGTCCAGCGATCCCGACCCAATCCAGCTTTTTGCAATGCTGAAGGGGTGGTATGCTCAAGAACCCCGATTCGTTCCGCGCTCGAATCCCATATCAGAAGATGACGGGTTTGTACTCAGCTTCGTGTTTGATGAAAGCCAGCTGGACGAGCGAGGGTCGTGCCGAGACGACGCAATCGGTGAGTTGTGGGTGACAGACGCGAAGGATATGAGAACGCTTTTGGCGCGTATCAAGCTTCCGCAGAGGGTGCCGTATGGGTTTCATGGGTGTTGGTTCAGCAAGGACGAAGTGATGGCACGGCGGCCATACACAACCCGAAAATTGACTGAGGAGGGTGCGGGCAGTTGGGTTTGCGTTGCCATGTCTAAATTGGATCGTATTCGTAACTGTACGTCACCAACCAACTGGTCTCGGCGAGAATATAGCGTGAAAATTGCTTCCATAATCAACAATCTGTCATTTGTCATGACTCCATTCTCCAGAACCAACACTGGATTGAACAATGAACTAGTAGCTGTGTCACGGAGCCACGAATCCAACCCCAGAGCTCGGATCCAAACAATGCGAGATACAGGCAACGATCCCGCTCCAGGCACCCAATCCCACATCGGTAATACCCAAGGTCTCGTCAAAATATAAAGCCGCCTCATTCCGAGACTCGTTTACGGTGAGTTGAGCCGCCTACGAGCCAATCTCATCTCAGCCTCTTCTGACATGTTGGCAGAAAACACGCACCCGTGGCTACTTGCCCTCACGGCGGTAATTCCAACCGTCTATGCTTCTCGACGCGGTTCAACAAGTGAATGTTCCCCCGTCTCCTTCGACATTGTAGCCACCGCCGAAAATGCCATCTTGTCTCCATCTTACGACCCCAGCAATGAAACGTCCATCATTAACTTCATCAACGCAATGGCCAGGGGCGAGGTGAACCCCGTTGTCGGGTCTCAGAACATCAGCGGCTCCTTCGTCATCAACGGCATCTACTGCAAGCCCACCAAAAAGGTCAAGAAAAAACGCAACGCCCTTCAAATATTGGTTCACGGCATCACCTATAACAGCAGCATGTGGGGTGGGTATCACTTTGGTGACCGCTACAACTGGCACGCCTACGCTAATGGAGAGGGGTATCACACCCTCGCCATTGACAGACTTGGCCACGGCCTCAACTCAAAGGCATTGGACCCGCACAATGTGATTCAACCTATGCTCCAGGTGGAGATTTACAAGGAGCTGATCCAGTCTATCCGTTTCAACACCGCTGCCAACTCCCTTCGGAAGAGGTTTTCCAACATCATCTGGGTAGGTAGCTTCATTCTTTGTCACATCGATGGATCTTTTTGAGCTGACAGATAAAAAGGTCGGCCACTCCTACGGCTCCCAAATCGCCCTCCCACTCGCACGCCTCTGCCCAAATCTCACCTCAGCCCTGATCTTGACAGGCTGGTCCTCCACCACCAACCTCAGCGAGGTGCAAAAGTTCAATCTCGCCTCTGCTTCTACTCTTTATCCCTCTCGGTTTCCTGGCCTGGATAAAGGCTACCTAGCCATGGCTGACGAGGCCCTACGTGCAAAAATGTTTTACTATGGTGCTTACGACCCAGCAATCCCCGCGTTTGACTTTGCAAACCAGGATATTGTCACGATTGGTGAGTTTGCCGCTAATGCAGGACCGTTTGGGATACCGCCTGCCGCGTACAACAAGCCGGTTATGGTTATTACTGGTGTGGAAGATGGTGTGTTTTGCGCCCAACCTGGAGTCGCAGCAAGGGAGTGTGAGGAGTTGTTGGAGAAGACGAGGACAGACATGTTTCCGGGTGTGCCGGGGAGGAAGTATGAGTATTTTGCGCCGAGGAATACGGGGCATGATTTGACGCTTCATTATTCGGCCAGGGAGACTTTTAGGAGGGCTCATGGGTTTTTGGATAAGTACTTTTAGGAGGAGTTCTACATGGCGGGTTGCGACGGCGTGGGAATCGAGGTTTGTGGTTGGTAGATCCCTGGACAGCTGTTACACGTAGCTACACCGGAAACAAGTCAATCCCCCTCACATGATAAATGCATAAGCCCCATCCCAACAATCATCCCACTTCCTTTCCCCTCCCCCGACCCAGAACCGCTCCAGCAATCTCTTCGCCACCAAAGGCGGTGATATCCCCTGGTCACGAGCCATATCAACCAAACACCGCCCAATATACTTCTGCACGTCCGCCCCAGCCCTCGCCGCCTCCACGCCAGCTACGATCAACGGCCAAGTCATCCTCTTCCTTGCCTTCGGTGTACTCATTCCCGTCTCCAATATCGAGAACAAAGCCTGGGCGTACTTGGCTCGCAACACCTCCACTTCCCGGGTTGACTTCAAAGCCCCGGTGCTCACCAACGATAGTATGCAGTACAGCGCAACGCTGGCGTGAAACACGCGGCCAATGACAAGAAACTCCTCCCTGTTGGCAAATACTGACTTTTCCAGATTTGACGTCCAGTCCTCTGGGGAAAAGAGCTCTATCTGGCCGAGGATGCCGAGGGCGGCTTGCTTTGTTTTCGGGTGGAAAGGCTCTCGAGCGCGTAGCTCGTTGATGAGGATTAATTTGATAAAGAGGGGGGTTGGACAGGACATGGGGGGGAAGTAGACTTCGGTGTAGTAATCCTCCGTCAGGCGGAGGGTGGTGACTGTGTCGGCGACTTGAAACTGGTTGTCGGGGGGGCTGGTGGTGTTGGCTAGTACCGCGGTGCTGTTGGTGATGTTAGTAGGAGTATGGGGAAGGGGGACGGGATAAACCGACATCATCAGCCCTACCAGACTCGGCCTCATCTGATCACACCGGTCTATTATCTCCAGAAACCCGCCGTGAAACTCCAGCAAGGTCATGAACCCGTCCACGTGCGTCCGCCAAGATGGGGTCATGGATTGTTGGAGGAACGCAAAGAGGAAGGCGTACACGCTTACGACGGCTTCAAGACCGCGGCGGGTTTCTTCAGCGTCGAGTAATTCGTGAATGGCGCGGATGGTGATGCCACGGTGGTGGTAAAATCTTGGCAAGATGGGCTTCACCAGGTCGATTTCGGGACAGCAGTCGGACATTTGCATGATTCGGTGGTTGATGGTGACTGAAACCAGCGTGTGGAGGATGGACAGCGGGATGTCTTCTACCGTCAACATCGGAAAAACAAACTGGCTCGGGCCGAGCTGGTGAGACTGGAGGTCGGGATAGATCCGGGTGTTGTCTAGATCACGGCAGTTAGCTCCCGGAGCCCACAACACTGGGGAATATCCCAGTCCAACCCACAATACAACATAGCCTCAATAATATCAAACATTTCCGGCCGGAGAGTAGGAGTGATAGGTGGAGTTGCCGGGTGGTTGGGGTGGCGCTTCTGGGACTCGGGGGGCGTGAGAGGAGCCTGTCCCTTTGGACTAGGACACGACACTTGCGGCCGGAGAGATGGTAACCGCCCTTGACCCTTCCGCTTCTTCGGCCGGGACATGACCTGCCCGGGGGCTAGCCATTGCAGTGGCTTTTTGTCTGCATACCCGGGACAGACGATGCCAGCGGTCCGGCACTTGTTGCAGACGGGTTGTTGACCGTCACACACGACCCGTCTCCGTCTGCACTCCCAGCAGTGCTGGTGACGCAGGTTAGCAAGATTGGGCATCCTGTGGGTGTTACCGACGTGGCTGAACGGGTGGATGCATCGTGGAGAGAGGAAACACGAGGGGGAAGTCGCAGTTTGGGAGTTGACCTTACCCCAGAGCCAACCTCACCCCTGCTCAAGGGGAGTTGGCCTTGTGGGTTGGAGCCTGCGGGGACAGGCATGCCTCCCGCTGTCTTGGCTTCTTGGCCATCTATTCTCCTGAAAGGGGATGGTTCGAGATCTTTGTTCAGTGGGTCTTCACGGCCAACGATGGTCCAATGAGACGGCATGTCACGTAAGACGGCATGTCGTGTAAGACGGCTATCGAATTCGAGAAAGCGAGGCACTGCCTTTGGAGTCTGGACTGGTGAAATGGGTGAGAGACTGATGAAAGGCGCGTCTCCGGTTCCATGGGTACCTAGATAGCCTTATAGGGCTGAAGAAATTGCGGATCACCTTTTCATCATGCCAGGGTTTCCTTGGATGCAAGGTTCAACACCCGAACTCTCAGCATATCAGCAACTCTCTCTCTTGCTAGGTAGCTTTCATCCATTGACGTTGACCGGTACTCTGTACAAATCCCATATCTAACCTCCTTTCCCTCCCATCAAGAAGGCTGAATATCTAAGGTACTCCCAGTCAGCCCCCCTTCACCCCAGACAAAGAAAGAGGCATAATTACCCCTACAATAACTCACAGGCAGAAGAAAAAGGTCCCTTAGGCGGGTACTCGTCATACTCCTCCGGCGCACCCTGCGGCAGTCTATGCGAGTGGTGGCAGTGAACCTTGACCTTGGGCGTGCAAGTGCACCACTGCTCCCGGGGGATGTTGTCCATGACCGACGGGATGTGGTGGCCGCAGCCTGTCCAGGTTGTTTTATCTACTCATATGTGTCAGTGATGAATAGGGAGGAGAAATTAGAGGCGAGAAAAGGGGGGTGAGTTGGGAGGGGGGGGTTGCGCAAAAGGGGGGAGGGTGAGAATGTGGTGATGTGTGAAAGGGGGCAATGGAGTTGGCAGAAAGGGCCGAGAAGTCTGGAGTAGCGCCCGAGTAGTAGGAAGGAGTGCCCAAGTAATGAGGAAGGAGCGATAATACATCCAAGCCCTGCCTTGAGGAGTAATGGAAGTTGTTGATGTGCAAAGCAAGCACGCAATGGAAAAGCGACGGGAGTTGGAAAGGTCACTTTCCCAAAGAAGAGTAAAGAGAGTGCTAACCGGGCCATGAACGGCAATGATATTCCAAGGTGGCAGGAAGTTGACATACGGCAGTTTTCGCACTCTGATTTGTGACACATCTTGGCGGTTGTTTGCGATGGCTTCCGAGTATAATTGAGAAAGTGACGTGGAGCAAGCGAGTCTTTGGGACGAAGAAGGTGTTCAAAATTACTCTGCGATAAAATGGTCCCTAGAGTGAGACGAGAATATTCTCATTGTTCATAATGATGACGTCGTTGTTGACAATGACCAGTCGGTGATGCAATGGCCATGAGGTTACCATAGAAACCTCAAATAAAGGGGCGGCAACAAATCCCTCGGGGGAAAAAAACAGGTAACTAAATATATACATTAAAGAGCAAACTGGCCCCGAACCACAAATTATACATTTAATCCTCATCACCTTACTGGTGGAGATCCTCCGCCTCCCTTCTCATCAAAATCTTGTCACCATTCAGGGTACCCCCAGCCTTGGGGGTCTTGATAATCCCAGCCTCAACCAAATCCAACGCCAACTTGGTCAACAAACCATCGCAGCCCTTGGCAGCCATGACAGAGACGCCGACAGGGAAGAACTCATCATGGTTGGAGATGGCACTGAACCCTGTAACTTCACCCAGAGGGAAGACCACGTCGGGAATCTCGGCGTAAACACTGATTCTGCCGGCACTGAAGCCGAAGGGAACTCCAGGCTGGCTGCGATAGCGGTTGCGGGGATTCTGACCACCTTGTGAAGAAACGTAGAGGAACAGACCGGAAGAGCACTGCTTCTCATCATCGACAGGGGGCAGAATCTTCTCGTTGAACCAGGACATGAAGGTCGACTTTGCACGATAGGCCTCCTGGAGGACATCGTCCCCAATTGAGTCGCCGTAGCCCCAGCGGCTGAGAGGGACAGGGTTGACGAATGGGCGGCGGCCGTCGTTGGCAGCTGCATACAGAGTTAGCGTAGATCACTTCGAGGAGTCAGGGGAAGTCATGCCAGCATAGTCACGGTAGAAGGGCTCACGAACAAGCTCAATCTGCTCCTTGGTGATGAGGGTGGCGTAGGTAGTGTTCAACAGCTGAGAGACGGTAAGAGCACCGGCTTCAGCAGGCTTGGACGCAGCCCACTCGCCCTCAAGGTTCAAAGGCGTCAGGCTGCCGCTGACGAACTTTGCAAGAGAGTCGGCAAAGTCGAGAAGAATCTTTTGAGCATCAGTTCTCGCCGAAGTAGGAAAGTTGTAAGTCCAGATCTTGGTGGGATAGCTGGGCTTGGTCTTGGCGAGAGACTTGTAGTTCTTGCCATACATAGCTGCCTGGGCGTCCTCCCAGATCTGAGGGTCACGGACAAGGAAGCCGGGGGTGTCAAGAGTGGGAGAAAGAGGCATGACATTGTCCAGCGAGACCAGATTATGAGAGGGACGGTTGCCAAACAGACCCTGAACACCAGCTGGGCCACGAACAGACCCACCAGTATCACTGCCAAGGGCGATGTCGAGCCACTCGTAAGCCGCAACCGAGGCACCAGCACCCGACGAGGATGAGGAAGTATCCTGATACCCATCACCCCTGGGGTTGAATGGAGCGTGGTAGTCAACCCAGTCCGAAGTAGCAGACTCGCCGTTGGCGAACTGGGAGGTCTTTTGAAGACCAACAACCACCGCACCGGCATCGATGAGATTCTGAACGGCAGGGCCGGTGTAGTTGCTGGCAGGGTAAAGGTTGTACCAGGCACGGTTTCCGTTAGAACCCTTCACGCCCGCCAGGCGGTAGATATCCTTGATACCGATGCGGACACCGGCGAGAGGCTTCTCGGCTGTCTTGGTGTAGTAGAGCCTGGATGGAACACCGATGGTGAGGGATGCAGAGCCGCTCGTCTGGGCAGATAGGGGCTGGAACTTGCCCTCGGGGGTGGGGATCAGAGACTCGACAAAGGCTCCAGCGAAATCTTCGTACAGGCGGTAGACGGGATACACAGACCCGGTGCTGACCTCGAGGAAGTATGGGCCGCTGGGAATCTTGGTGCTCTTCACCGAGACGATCGACTTGCTATCCTTCTTGGGGGCCCTCTCAGCGACGACATTCCTAGGCTTTTTGCCCTTCGACTCGGCCACAAAGACAGCATCGGCAAAGGCGTCTTGATAGACATCATCCGTCTGTGCCCAGGTTGACAGCAGGCCGGTGAGATCCTTCTCAGAGACACCTTCCTGGTTCACGACGGTTACAGGCTTGAACCCGAGCACGCTTGGGGCCTTGAGGTTGCACAAAGTCTTCTTCGAAACATCGAGCTTCCCCGAGGAGAAGGGGGAGATGTAGTAGTCGACGTCGTTGAAGTTGACTGAGAGGCCGGTGGATGCGAGTTTGGCCGAGGCCAGGTTTGCAACAAAGGAGAGAACGGAGAAGCTCAAGGCGCGAGCCGAGAGCTTTCTGTCAGAGATGGCCATCTTGAAGGAGGGTAAGGTGAGGATGAGAGGCACAAGCTGGGTGCTTGAGCTTCAGATCAGGGCTTGCGATCAATCATCATCATATATACCCCCCGCTCAATCCGCTACTCGCATCCTCGCGCTCAAATGTCGTTGATAGCAACCCCTGAAGGTGATGCTTTGACCCTAGGCATCATCTCACACCGGGTTCTTGGCCATGATTTCCCGCAAGTCCCGACGTTGGTGAAGGCATCCACCAACAGCCACCATCGTCGGGCACAAACGGGAACACCTGCCCGTCTTGCACCTAGCCTTATCGTTGACAGTCGAGGTTTACCAGCTCCGCGGATCCGGGATTGGAAGAGGCCCGTCACTTGGCGGTACGGAATCGATGTTTATTGGCCAATGGCGGACTTATCGTGTTAAGACACGCTATTGAACCCCAGAATACGATATTCCATGCAAGAGCGTGGCGGTGGGGGTGAGAAATGACGACACTGGAGCTTTTTCACGCTTTCTGGAAATGGGCATCTGATAAGAATGGGGTTGTTAACTTGTGGTCAATTTTGTTTGTATTTTGAACCGTGATAAGGGTGGGTGTTGTGATGCCTTATGGGGCTTCATCTTAACCACTCCACTGTCGCGATAAGATAGGCAATAAGAAGCTGGTGAAGATGCTGGTGATATAGGTAAAGTTCTTGACTAAAACTCGGGATTCCAGGCAACAGGTAAGCAAATGCGGTTGTGAACCCGACTGAAGTCCGAGTTCATTCGTACCTAAGCTCGATGTAAAAGGTTGAAGAGCCTCACCGTCTTACTGGGGTGCTTGGTGGTGGGTTGCGTTGCGAACAGGAAAGTGGGGATTGCTATGCAAAGACGTTGGAAGGTGGGCAGGCCTTCGAACCATCGTGAGCAGTTCTCATATACCCTATTGAGGTCCTGCAAACCGTCACCCATATCGTTTCCATTGATGCATCCTGAGGTGAACTTGAGGCCTTTCTGACAAACAGTCTCAGTTGCCGGTCTACCGGGTCTGGGCCCTGTAAATGCGGAGGAGGCCCGTGCAGGAAGCCGAACCCGAGTGTGGGGGTCAACGGCCCGCAGGGGCAACCGTTGAGCACGGGATTTCGAGAGTTCCGACCACTTCAACATCAACGTCAACAACACCAGTGGTGTGGTGATCAACGTTCGGCACATCTGGTGTATAAAGACGGGACTCCTCAGATTTATGAAGACACCTCTGTGGCCGAGGGAGACTCGTGATATTTGATGCGCTCCAGTTAGAGACAGCTGAACATGGAAACGTGCAGCTTCAAGTCTCTTCGATACTGCTGCCATCCGAACGATGACCACGGTGCAGAAATGCGTTCCCAATCGGTTGGCCGGCAGAACTTTGCCAGTTCCAAACTGGAAGCGTTGGTTTCCGTCCCGTCCAATACAACGGTGGCTGTTTCGGTGCAACATGCGGCAGGAGCCCCTCACTTGAACACATCGTCAAATTCGGCCTCACCTTGAACTTCTCCTAGCACACCTCAGAAGTAACATCAAAAACCTAGGAATACACTAATTCAGGAACAAATGGCCGCCCTCGTGATAGGGTTGGGCGCCGCCTCGCTCCTTCTCCTGACTTATACCTACCTCTCGCGTCTCAGCAGCATCCTGAAAAGCACCCCCGAAGCAGTATTGAAGGTGTCTCCGAAAAGATGGACCAAAGAAGAGCTGCGACAGGCATATCAGCGCCTCGAAAAGAATCTTATTACCACCAAAAGCTATGCAGATCGCATTCCCCCCAAGTTGGATAGACGATACATCATCACTGGGGGTTCTGGTGCGTAGCCCGGCTCAATTGTAGGTCGCAAGATCGCTTCTAACATCAAAACCACAGGTCTTGTTGGTGGCTACATTGTCCTACAGCTTCTGGAACGTGGTCAATCTCCAGAAAGCATTCGTATCGTGGAGTTTCGGCCTCTCAACCGGGCTGACATGCTCAGTGGGCCAGCATCAACGGTCGACTTTGTCAAGGCAGACATCTCCTCAGCCGAGTCCACTAACAATGCCTTTGAGAAATCATGGCCATCCTCTGTTGCTCACCTTCCCTTGACGGTCTTTCACACAGCGGCAGTCATTGTGCCATCGGACCGGTCCAAACTCGTCTACGGTCTCTGTGAAAGTGTCAATGTTCGGGGCACCCGGAATGTCCTCGACGCAGCTCGCAAAGCCGGGGCCGATGTACTGATCTCGACATCCTCTGGCGGCGTCAGTATTCGCCCCATTGAACTCTGGATCTCACCTGTAGAGTTACTCCTGTCACCCAAGAATAAGCTCCCCGAGATAAAGAACTACCTCCAAGTCATGGACGAAAAGGACTTCTTTGAGCCACCCCGCAAGCACGAAGAGCACTTTGCCAACTACGCCGTCTCCAAAGCCAGGGCTGAGAGAATAGTGTGTGGTGCCAACAGCCCCGAGCTCCGAACTGGAAGCATCAGACCAGCAAACGGTGTCTACGGGCAACCAGGCGACAATACCCTCGGGGGCTCTCTCGCCATGAGCGACTGCCCCACCTGGTGTGCGCACATCATCCAACCCTTCGTCCACGGCATCAACGTCGCCATTGCCCACCTTGACTATGAGGCCGTCCTGGCTGCTAACCCCAAAGCACCACAAGCTGGCCGCCCCTTCATGATCACCGACCCTAACCCTCCCATCAGCTACATCGACATGTATCTAGCTATCGAGACGCTGGCTACCACTCCGTTCAAGCTCATTCGTTTGCCTCCGCTGCCAATGTGGTTTCTTTCCTACATTGTCGAGTGGTACTCCCTCTTGCCGGTCAAATACCCCTTCTTGAGAAGGATTCTGCCTGAGCTCAAGGGGGATATCAAGCACATGAAGCCTGGTTTGTTCAGTGTTACTACTCACATGGTAGCTACGAACGAGAATGCCAGTCGGTCTGTTGATGAGGGGGGGTTGGGGTTTAGGGGGGTGGTGACGACCCTGGAGGGTATGGTGCAGGAGATTGTGGAGTGGAATGTCGAGCACAAGGGGGAGAAGAAGGCCAAGAAGTTCCAGACGAGTATTTCGTTTGCGGAGGAGATTGCAAAGGCGGCCGAGGCGGCGGGGGTGATGGAGAAGATGGGGAAGTGATCGTGGAGGAATGATATGCCCCTTACGTAGGCTTTCGAAGTATTTGATAGGAACCGAATCGTTGTAATTCCAAATGATTAGCCTTCTTTGGATCATCATTCTCACAGTCATCGTGTGCTGACTTGCTGTTCTGAGGTGCCAGTCCTTTTCCGGAGGACACGCTCAGAACTGCTGTGCGCTCATACCTCGTCCATACTCGCATCGCACATGGGCAAACTGCATGAACCCCTCGGCATCGAGTAACCACAAGCAAGGGGAGGGGGTATCAACGAATTATATTTCCCAGTTCTGTCCCAAAATAAAAACTCCTTTGCCTGCTTCGTAAAACACAAACCCCCATTTGTCCCACGGGACGGCCCGTCCCTTCTTCCCGGCCTCTTGTGACGATGTAAACCAAGCACTCAGGAGAACATCTCACCCACAGCAAACAGTAGGCTCATCAATCCCACCCCCCACCAGCCCCCCGTTCTTCACCGCCGCCGTTCCATCCGCCCCAATCACCACCGTCCTGGTCATCCAATCACACAAGAACTTGCCCAGCAACGCCCCGATCAAAATGCTAATAATCACATACCCATTATAATACATAGCCAACAACATGATAATATACGCCAGCCCAAAAGTAGCAGTGTGGATCAACGAGCGGATAAGCTGCTGCAGTGGGCTCGCGCGGAAAGTGACTGTCTGAGGAGCAACCGCTTCGTTTGACGACGACGAGGCAGCACCGGGGCATGACGGCGCGGCGGAAGAGGGGGCAAGACCGCCGTTAGCGATCAGTGCTACCCTTGCCGCAAAGTCCCGCTGGATGTGCTCGTCGTATTCCTTGCCAATGCGGCGGAGGGCTTCGAGGAGGATGACCATCAGGATGACGCCTATGCAGGTGGCCGCGAAAGCGCCGTTGGTGGTGATGTGCCATGAAGAGGAGAGGAAGCAGGCGTCGATTGTGTACCAGTTCCAGAGCATCTGTTCCCCCCCCCAAAAAAACCATGGTTAGTTTACTTGCTCAGACAGACTAGCGTAATGGTGAATGGATTGGGTTTGCTGGCGCGCGCAACGTACGGAGATTTTGCAGGCGGGGCCGTCGCCCATGCCGCCGCCGTGGCCGGAGTGTGACATTGTGAGTGTTTTCAGAGGGATTAAGTTATATAAGGATATTCTTGTCGTTTGCCGCGGGTGATCCGATTTAAACGAGGGAGTGCGATCGGGAGGCTCGAGGTTCTCACGAGGAGGGAAACGATGGTGTATTTAACAGCGGCGGCAACGAGTGCGGAGCGGAGGGTGCTGTTAGTTGGCTTGAAACTGACCACGCCTCGTTGGAGAACTTGTGCACGAGGCGCGGCGAAATTGCAAGAGATCAGAAGAGAAGAGAGGTGAGATGCGATTAAGCCCAGATATGCAAGACAAGCTCTGTTGGTAGAACAGCTTGAGGTTAAGTCGAGGTGTGTTGTTGTCTTGTGCTGCTGCCCCTCATCCCGCGTTGGTGGTTGGGATCACCGGACCTTTTTGGACGTTGCGCAACCGAGAGTCAAGACAACTAACGCTTTTCACTGTTCGGTGAGGTGCTGCCGACACCCGCCCTTCGTATCTTCTCTTTTCAAGGCCCTTCATCCGGAGTCCCTATCGAAGTGGTGCAATTGCTGGGCATTTTGAGCAGATATGCGCCAGAATATCAAGGACCACAGCTTCCAAAAGCGTTCGACAGCTCGCTGCCAAGCAAGCACGGTGCGCCCCACGGCACAGGGATCACAGGATCACAGGGGGTCCCGAGCAGGGGCGGCGATTGGGCCACTGTCCGCTACAGCAGGGTGATCCGGGAAGTTCCCCCAGCGGTACCCACTGCTGATGCAGAAACGTGCTCAAAGATGCTCACCATTTTCCTCGTGGGCACGGTGGGACATCACGAACCCCAAAAACATGAGCAGCAGGAAGGAATAACTTGATATCTATCAAGGTTCCCGAGAGCGGCGATATGGAATCCGGGCAATCCAATTCGCCGCCTTTAGCTGTTCGCTTCCAGAAAACGCCCCCCTGAAGGGCAAAATACCGAGAGCTGCACCCCGCGGATTCAGCACATGCATCTCTTGGGATTTGGGACGAGGTCTTGGAACCTGCTCGCGATTACACCAAACTCCACACACATCACTTGGCGATGTTACCCGGGCGGGAAGAGGACGGCAACAGAGCCGCCAGATTCCACCTTACAGAGACGAATTCGGAACCCAGGTCCCGACGCTGGCATTGGGCCTAGATATATTACCAGACCGCTCCCGGGGGGTGCGGGTGGCGATGGAGTGGTATAAGGACAGACATGTCCCGGTTTGATGCCACATGGTGCTGAGACATTCTCCATTCCGGAACCTTTTGGCCGTCACCATCTCCAGCTCCCAAGTGCTGTCTCCAAGATAACTGGGAGTAGAGACAGAGCCGCCGGGCTTATCCTCCAAGCACCATGGAGTCGCTCACAACCCCAAACTCCATCCTTCGGCGTCAGCACATCCAGAACTTCTCAGAAGCCTCCCAACTAGAGCCTCACTGGGGGTACGCCTACCGTGTAGTCCCCTGCACAAACGACCCAGGGTCATGCGCCTACCTAGACGTGGTCTATGACGCCCACGATGCAGGCATGCTATACACGGGCATCTTCTGGGCCACCGTCCTGGGCATCCTCCTCATCTGGGGCATCGGTCGCCGTGTCTTCCCAGCCCGAGAACCAGTCGACGACCTCCTCGCCCAGCTATCCACCAACGAATCAACCCCCCAACGTCCCAAACCCAGCTTCCTCTCCCGTTCCTTTGGCGCGGTCGCCTCCTCCGTTAGACACCACCTCCTCCCCACCGCTCCCCTAAGGACCATCTTCGGGCACACTACCCGCCTCCAACTCGTCATCCTCGCCGTCTTGACAAGCTACCTATCCATCTGGTCCTTTGTGGGAATCGTCTACGGGAAATGGGTAACCCCCATCAAAGGCCAGCCAGCAGACGTAGTCAACACGCGCACCTCCCTCGGCCCCTGGGCCGACCGCGTCGGCGTCCTCGCCTACGCGCTCACCCCCTTATCCGTCCTCTTTGCCGCCAGAGAGTCGATCCTCTCAGCCGTCACCGGCGTCCCATACACCTCCTTCATGTTCCTTCACAAATGGACCGGCTACATCATCCTCGTGCAATCCCTCCTCCACACTCTAGGTTGGGTCCTGATCGAAGGCTGGCTGTACAAACCCCAACCCGACGTCTGGAACAAGTGGGTGGTGCAGGAATACGCCATCTGGGGCTTCGTCGCCCTCGGCCTCCTCGTCCTCCTGTGGATCTGCTCCTTCCAGTGGGTCATCAAGAACATCACCGGGTACGAATTCTTCCGCAAGGCGCACTACGTCATGGCCATGGTCTACATTGGGGCGTTGATCGGTCACTGGGAGGAACTGCAGTGTTTTCTCGTGCCCGGTATTGTCCTTTGGGTGGTTGACCGGCTTGCCAGATTAGTGCGGATGGGGATGTTGCACTGTGGGTACCAGCGCAAGGAAGGACGGTGGGGGTTTTCCAGTGCCGAGGCGGAAGCAAAGTTCTGGAAGGATGAGAGGTTTGGGGATGTGGTTAGGTTGGATTTTGAGCATCATCAGAAGGCGTGGAGTATTGGGCAGCACTTCTTTTTGTGTTTTACCGAGGGGAGTCTGTGGCAGAGTCATCCTTTTACTCCGTTGTCGCTCCCTCAGATTAACAACGTTGGGGACGTCAAGCATTCGTATATTTTCCGGGCGAAGGGGGGGGAGACGAGGAAGATTGCGAGGGTGATTGAGGAGAAGTTGAAGGAGCAGAAGGAAGGGAGGACGACGACGAATGTGGTGCTTCAGGGGCCGTATGGGGAGAATATTGTGGAGGGCTTGACGCAGGATGTGAATGTGCTTTGCGTGGCTGGTGGAACGGGAATTACCTATGTCCTGCCTGTTTTGTTGAGATTGGTGAGGGAGAAGGTGAACCCCGACAGGAAGATCGAGTTGGTCTGGGCGGTGAAGAGAAAGCAGGATCTTGAATGGGTTGAGCCAGAGTTGGAGGAGTTGAGGAGGCTGGGTGTTGTGCATGGATTGCAGATTCGAATTTTTGTTACTGCTGAGGATGTTGCTCCTGGAGCCAGGACGACAACCGGCGATGAGAAGAAGGTGTCGGAGGATGTCGACTCCAAGTCGGTGTCTGTGGGCAGTGACGAAAGCCAGAACCAGCGGCCTGACGTCAATGTGGCTGTCAATGAGTTTGTCGCCAACGTCGCTCAGGGCTCCACGCGCGTTTTTGGTAGCGGGCCACCGAGCATGATCACGGAGCTGCGTGAGGCTGTTGCGCAAAGAAACTCTGGATCGAAGGTGTGGAAGGGTGAGGGGAGATTTGACGTTCGTCTTGTTTGCGATGATCGGTTGGAATGGTGATTGATACCCCTTTTGTTATTTGTTCTAGAATAAGCGCCGTATAATATTCATGCTTTCTTTTGAGCCTTTCTTCCAAACCGCCTGCAGTGCCCATACACTCATGTCTCGCGATTATCTACAGATCCCCCATATCATCCCCATACATCATGTCACCTGCATCAAAAGTTAGCAACAACTCACACTAAGCCCATCAGACATCAGTACCCCTCGCTTTGTGCCACTCCTCAACCCAAGCCTTCACAAACTCTGCCTCCGCCTTCTGCACGTCAGCCACCGGCTTGGGCGGTAACCCAGGTCTAGTCTCATTAGGAAACAACCCATTCTCATCCCAGTGATGCACACCCTTCTCGATGAGAATAAACGGTTCGGAAACAGTGCTCTCCCGCCCTGGCAGCCCAATCCTATGAGGCGATGCCGCACGCCAGGGATCCCATTCTCCATCAACATGAGCCAGGCGAGGGTAGCTGATGTTCACACCGCCATGCTTGTTGATCCTTTCCACCTGAGAAGGAGTCGTAATGTTGAACGCCTCCCGACAGACAGTGGACGTGAACTCGAGGTTGATCAATCGTGAGATGAGCGGGAGTTGATCAGCAGGGACACCAGAGCCAGTTTGGAGGTAGCCCCATCTAGTCGCAAAGAATGTCAGCCAGATGTTCAAGATTGCAAGAACAGAAGAATGACTCACTCGAAACAATACTGATAAGCCCACAGCCTCCACTCCTGCGTGATATCATCCTGCTGGTAAAACTTCGAATCATAATTCGTGAAGGACTCGTCCTGGCTCTTCCCTCTTCGTTTGCACCCTTTTACAGCTGTGGCATCGACATACCCAATGTAATTGAGCAGCTGATTTACTAGCTTCACTTCATCATAGCCACCCACGGCGAGAAGTTCTTTTGCCTCCTCCCGCTCGGCGATCCCGGGGTAGAGGACCTCGGTCGAGCTGATATTCCCACAGTAATGTCCAAACTCGGTACTGTTGACCGCCGGATCCCAATTCAAGCCTTGAAGTCCGGCTATTCCCTGGGCAATGGCATTGGCAAAGTCATCGTTTCTGGTGATATTGCCTAGCCCAAAGATATTCTTGACCCGTTGTGGGTATTCGGTGTCGGTGTGGTTGATCAACACATTATCGATCGCATGAGTAAGCTTCTGAGTAGCCTCTATACATTCCCTAGGTCCATAAATCCGGGCGGCCTCGTAGTACTCCCAATAGTCATAGATCGCCTCGGGAACACCAGAGGAGGCAATGGCGCCCCAATAGACGTCTGGGTAGAGCTTGCGGAGAAAGGCAACGACTGATCCGGCGTAGGAGCCACCGTAGGCAATGTAAGGGACGTTGTGAGAGGTGAGGTTCAAGTGTTCAAGGCCGGGGAAGACGACATTTTGGGCAAAGTATGCTTGATCAGCTAGGGCTTGATCCGTAGTCAAGAAGCGAAGGTTTTTGGTGCTGAAGTCGTCAGTGGGGTGGCTTTCGCCGTAGTAGCGGTGTTCAAAAATGACACCCAACCCGTTTGTTGCCTGGGAGAGCTGGGCTACGATGCCCTTTTGCAGATATCGAAGACGACCAGCTCCGTCGGTCTCACCGCCTTGGAGGACGATGACCGGACCGCCGGGTTGGTAGTGGCTCGCGTCGAACCAGTATCGGAGAAGGAAGGTCTCGTTGGTGTGTGGTTCATAGATGGAGTCATTGTGGAAGTGATCAATGGGCATTTGGATGGTTTGGGCTGGGTAGAGCTTTTCAAGGTCGGTGTCTCTGGGGTGGATGAGGGCAGTTCTCATCTCTCGCTCCTCCATCTGGAATTGGTGTCAACCAACGAGCTCACACATGCATGAAATTGGGACCGCTCACCTGCTCCTTGAAGTCCCCCAGAGTCAAGGAAGTCCTAAAACCCTTGTATCCATTTACAACAGGCGCAACAAGCGCCACGCTGGCCAGGAGATATTGTAATATCGTCATCTTGTGTCATGCACTCAAACCACCAAGAAGATGAAATACCTACTCACCTGTCTTGGCCCAAGGGGCTTATTCCACCCCTTATACCCCACTCTCGTCCAGAGGTCAGTCCCTCTCTCCTCAAGTCTCCGCCTTTTCCTTGTGCAATCCTCTGGGGTCGTCGGCCTTGCACAGCACACAAGGCCCGGGAATAATTCGCCCTGGTGAGATGGATAAGCGGGTGCAAACAGGGAAGGTAACACGCAACTCACTGGTCGTTGGACCTCAGCTTCCTGATCAGGTCAGGAGGATCGTCCGAGGTGGTGGTGATGTTGGAGTTCGTATGCTGTGTTTACATCAGCGCGTTGCAGGAGGGAGGACGACATCGGTGAGCGAGGTTGAGGTCAAGGTGGATGTGCTGTTCGGCAGTTCTCGACGCCCACCGGGAGGACCCTGTCGCAATCGCTTGGCTCCCCGCATGGCGCTAAACAGCCGCTGCCAAGGACGATATGTACAGGGGGGGTGGGGGTCAATTGAAGATGGGATGATGGTGAAGTCCGATGAAGCTTCTTTTTGATGGAAAGGAACAGACAAGACATTAAACCCTTCACAAATGACCCCTTTCATCATCTTAAGCAAAATCTAATTTTTTACGCCTCCCCCCCCCCCCCCCCCCCAGGACACCAAAGCTGAAGCAATCCCGCCCAATCTCTGGACACCACCCCTCAACTCCAATCAACAACCGTAGCATCCTTATAACACCTCACATTAACTGCATGATCATGACTCGAATGGCTCCCCGCCGGCAACTCATTCAACTCTGCACACTGCGGCACCAACTCAACCTCCACACAACCATCCGGCTTCTCCCCCCCTTCATACACATACTGCAACGTCAAAAAGTTCTGGTGATAATACGGCACCGTCGCATTACAAACCAAATACGTCCCCTCCCCCAACCCATTCACCAACGCCGCATTCACCTCCGGGTCCCCATCCACAGTATTATAACTCCCCGGCCCAGCATTGATGGCAATATTGTCAACCGGCGCCGTGGGGTCCTGCACCAGAATCCCAAACGGGGTCAGGGGCGTGGCAGCGTCAAAGATGACGGTTGTCTCTCCGTCTTCAATCTGGTCTAGGGTTCCATTTTCGTAAAAGACGTGTCCGTCGGTGAGGGTGGTGGAGATGGTCGCTACGCGGAAGCCGGGGCCGGCGTGGATGTTGTTGACTGCGGCGTTGTTGACCGTGGGGGTGAAGTCGGCGTCGGGGTTGGTGACGTGCACGACGAGGATGAAGCCCGGGGAGAAGTCGTTGGGTGTTTTGGCACTGCCTGTGGCCAGGGCTGCTGTTGCCAGGGCGAGGGTGGTGAGGATGGAAGAGGTGTACATTTTGATGACGGTCAAGAGTCTAAAGGTAGGTAATTCGTTGGCGATGTGTGTGATGTCAACATTGGGAAAAAGAGAGACGGCAAAAAGAAAGAATGCTGTCTTTATGTCCATGACATGTCGTCTCCACGCCTGCCACTTAGCTCGGGTGATTTATCCTCGATCCAGGTATTTGCGGGGTTGGCCACGGGAATGGGCGAGCTCAATCACAACCTCATCCGCGATTGTGTAAATTGCTCCAGTATTCACGGCGACCAAGGAGACATTTCGGCCATACACGGTGTGAATCGTTGCATGTTGGCCGTGACACCAGACGTTCTCAGCGGCGTGGGGTCCATCGATACGAGGAGGTTGAGAGTGGGCGGGTTGAAGATCGCCAAAAACGAGGGACGATGTCACGCTGGTGGTGTCGGCAGGGGAATGACGGCATACGACCCGTAGGGACAGAGGTAGGACCAGCACACTTCAGAAACCGCCTGTGCCAGCCAGTGAAGAGGGCAGCCAGGGGTGACCAAATTCAGCAACAGCAGCAGTCCACGGCAATATTTCGAGGAACGACTGACTGAGAAACCGTTGCATGTTCCAATATTCAAGGGCCCCTACATTCAAGTAGACACAAATGGACCCTGGTGTCACTGAGGGTCGATGAAGTTACCGTGCAAGCTTTGAGTTCAACTGCTTCTCAATCACTTCTAAGTTGTGCGGTTCGCGGCGGGTTAACGAAGTCTTGAACAAGACAATAGGTTCAAAGGGAAAGGTCTCGCAGAAGTATCCCAAGTCACGGCCGTCATTTCTCCATTGGTTTGGGACCAAGCAAGCGCCTCATGTAAGCTTATTTCGACCCCGTTGAGGACTTACCAACATATTGGTGGGGCTTATCAATTGTCCTCGGACAGGCGGGGAGATCCGAGACAGCGACGGGGACATCGTGGATATGGCCTTCTGGTGTCCTTCACTGTCTCGGGTTGTATGTTCCTGTATCATGTGTTGGCAGTCACCCATCCGATGGTGTCCATGTGAAATGTTTGATATGTGCTCTCCTATTTCCAGATCCCATCAACAAGTAAACAAAGTAACCGGTAATATCACTAGGCAAATGGATATCCAAAACCACCGTGCAAACCCAACACGCTCACCCAACATTATCCAAGAAACGAAACCCCTGATTACGTAGCCCAGTATCATGGCAACCCGAGGTGCCAAAACACTACCAAACCATCCCGTGACTTCCCTTGCCCACTCTAGCCTGGCCAAGCCGCTTCTTCTCCCTCACTTTGTTCCCCCTCAGCAAATCCTTCAGTCCCATCAGGAATACGCTGATGAGCGTAACACCAATGACAAGTGCTATTGACAGTATAACAATAATGGGGAAATACAACGACACGTTCATGAAACGCTTCCATCCCTCCGGGCCAGGTATGTCGTAGTTCGTCTCATTGGCCACCTCGATAGCAGCAAGCGTCACCTGCATCGAGTTGAGAATGACCGAGCACACCGCAAATGCCGTAATCAAGGGCGCAAGAATATGTGACAAGAACGAGCCCCACTGCGGCAACAGGTGGAAGTACGCAAGGTTGAAGCGGAAGAACATGGCGGCCCGGTTGATGCGTGTGAGGCGGAGCTCGCCGTACTTAAAACGGCGACTGACATGCTTGTCGCCCACCAGCGAGAAGGGCTCGATAAACTCGCACCATTCCTCATAAGTCGGAAACTTTCCATTGTCCTTCCGTGGCATGAGCTTCTTCTTGCAGGCCTCGTGGAAATCGATCTCGAACCGGATAATGTGGTAGTAGCTGCGCATGAAACCGAGAGAAGCACGGTAGACTTCGGGGTCGGCATGTGCGATGTACATCCAGAAAGCCCTGGAAAAGAAATATGGGGGGATGGGCTTCATGAAAATGGTCTCGTAATACCACACCAAATGAAGCCCTGGCTCTTCATCCACCACAATCCTCCGGGTATGGGCGGCATGATGGTGGAGTGCGTTGATGTGGTCGTAGGCGGGTGTTTGGACGAAGATGTAGCGCATCAAGGGAAGAAGCTGATCTAGCTTATCCGTGAGATGCCATCGACGTAAATAGCCATCAACCTTGCCCTCGGGGCCATCGACATGTCGTGCCCGCTCACCAAGCCGTATGCGTGGCTGGCCAGGCAGGTATGCTTTGTTTGGGTCTTTGGACTTGAGCAACCATGTCGTTGGTCGCTTCGAGTCTGTGTTTTCCCCATCTTCAACCCGTACATACTCCAGTTGTGTATTTAGTTCTATCGCCAATCCCTCGAACTCGAAAGACATATGTGCGCCGCCATTTGCATGTGGAGGGTGGTTTATATTGGCCTCAACCGCCGTTGGACTTAGTACGGGATTAACTTCTTTGAGATCAGGCGGAGGGGTTGATAGAGAGACTGATGGTGGTGGTGGACGGGGTTTTGCTGGTTGTCGTGGTTGTGTCTCTGCCGGCGTCTGAGTCGCAGCCATGGTTTGCCTGTCGGGGAGACTACCCGGTAGGTTTGGGGTTTGGGTAACGGGGCTCGATTTGTGGGACGTCGTCGATCGGTGGAGAAGTGGGCGGTTGTGAGCAAGAAGCGCAAAGCCAGGCGAAGGTTATTATTCGAAAAGCCTTCCAGCTTCTTTACGTCTTTTATGTTGATGAGATGGGCCAATGTCAAGAGACAGCTTGCGCACTTTCAGAGCAAACGGCGTTGGGCTGCTGAGGAACATGAGAACCGGGGTGCGCGCGCTGTTGGCAGTCGGCATGGCACAGGTGACAGGGTTCAGCTGAGGGCCCATGTGCGCCAAGGTGTTACCACAGGTATGGTTCTTGGCGCATATTGGTTCAAGAGCCACCTCCCGTTTGGCTGACGACGCGGCACGCGCCGCCTGACCCACCATCTCGAGACGAGGTGGTGCCTTACATCACTGCATCCAACTGCCGCATCCTTCGATCAAAATGCTGATAACATACAGTGATCGATGATAGATGCTGTGTAAATAAAGTCTTCAAGCTGGAATCTGAAAAAGTAGAGTTTGGTCAGGCGAAACAAGAATCCAACCACCACTCAAACCAACGTCTCTTTCGGCTGAGAGCCTTGACCAGGCAGACTGGCGGTGTAAACCTGAACTCCGGCTGACATTCATGGCCACCGCAAGCAAACAAAGAAAACTGGAACATGCAGCAAAAGATGCCGTTGATAATTTGCAGAAAAAACAACCCGACAACGAAAAAAAATATGAGAATGATATCTGCCCACCACCGCCCAAAGAATATGCCAATACGCCGTCTGTCCAACCTCCAGCTCATACTGGTACAACAGTATCCCGAATCTGCCGATCGATACTCCAAAGTCTGGTTAGAGCCCAGAGATATCAGTCGTCATCCAACGTCAAGTCAATCACCTCGGTCGCCAGTCTCTTGACGCCTCGAGGTGTTGAGTATGGTGGCCTAATCCGAGCGTGGCGCTCTACCTGCACGGCCATGACAGGGGGGAGCCGAGTTGTGGATGTGTTGATGCGGCTGGCAGATATTGGAGCCAGCACTCGCGAAGTAGCCGGAGTAACGGTAGAATGTCGAGAAGATGATGGGGTCAGCACCGTGGGATTGCCCATTTTGCCGCTAGGCACAGGCGTGGGAGGCTGCGACCTTGTTGAGCCAGGTGTTGGCTTCGCCCCATGTATGTCTTTCAACGCTCCTCTAGCTTGTGCACCCCTCTGATCTGCCTCGGCCTTCATTTTCTTGAGGTTCTCATTGATCAACTGGTGTGCTCTTTGTCTTGCTTGATGGTCATCCCCAGCGACCATCATCGCCAGCCCTGTCATCGCCTTTTTGAGTTTCCCTCGCCTTCTGTCTTTCTTCAGCCTCCTTGGCAGCATGCTTTTCCCTAATTGCAGCACGCTTTGCCTCGATTTCCTCGAGCGCTTTCTCGACCTCTTGGGCGGCAAGGAGCGCCGTTTTGTGCTTCATCTTTGCTGCAACAAACATCGGCGCAACCGAGTTGGTTTTCTTGTTGCTTTTCTGGTTGCTCTCCTGATTCCTTTCCTTGTTCCTTTCCATCTTCTTCCTGTACCGTACCTCCATGAGCACTTTTTCGACCATCTCATGCTCCTTGGACTCGTGCATTGCTAGCAAAGCCTACGCACCTTCGACCTTGTTCTTAACCGCAAGTCGAAGGTTCGCCCTTTGAGCGGCAGCATCGACCCAAACCCGGCGAGTCGCTTCATTGGTTCTGGTCCAAGTCGCTCGAGTTGTTTCTCCAAGGCTGTACAGGCGTATGTTCAAAAGTTGGACCAAGTAATCATAGCCTCTCCGATCTCTATCGTTTATTGTATGAGGATCGCAGGTGGGTGTATTGCCCGTGGTTGCCTGTGTTGTGCCCTGCTGTTGACACTCAACTATGGCACTGGGTGCTTGTGAAGGCACGCCAGGCTTGGGCACTTGCTAGGGAGGCTTGGGCACTTGCTAGGGAGGCTGGGGTGGGTTGCTGGTCGAGACGCCCATGTTGCCGGCTGTTCGGTGTTGGGTTTCTTCTTCAGATCAGGCACCCCAAATATATGGAAGCTTCCTCGGTTATCGGGTGGGTTTTAATACAGCTGGTCGCCAACGCTATAACGTTTATGGGCAATGGGATACAAGGCTGGAGGGGTTGCATGTAGTGGCGCAGCTGTCAGTCCTGGTACTGGGAACCTGCCCGGGGGCGTTGGGTGATGTGCTGCTGCTGCTGGTGTTGGCGTGGACACCGGGTACATTCCTGAAGGTGGCGGATACAGTGATGACGATGTCAACATCGGGGTTGGATAACGGCTTGCTGCTGTTGCCATTGGCTGTGGAGTCATTGTTCGTACTGGTGCTGGCAGCATTGCTGGTGCCGCTGGTGGTGGGTATGGTATCGGCGCTGACGGCACTGCATGACCCAATGTCTGCACCGAAGCCCGGCCTAAAAGCAAAATAACCCGAGCAACCGGCAAACCCCCCATCAGCTCCTCAACAGGCACGGGCATGGCATTCCCGGGGCGAGGCGGTTTACCCCAATCCAACAGTTGAACAGCATAGGCACCCAGTATAGCCCTGATTCCAGGTGTATTTACTGTTACAAGTGCATCCTTGGCCTTTGACGCTTTCGCCAACCACGCGTCCTTGGCTGCTTTGCTAGGAGTTACAACCTTTGGTGGCAACGAGACTGCCGTTATCCCGGGAAAATTGACAGTGTGTCAAGTAAGTCAAGGGCAAGTAAGAGTCATTGGCATGCTGAGCCTTTGCGGGATAAAGGGGAAAGTATATGCGAATGGCTTTTGTAGTACTCTCGAAAACAACTTCACCACGCCACATAAGCGGCATGGGCAAATTACACCTGGAAAATTGGGATTCCAAACCCACGCTTCTTCCGGTATGGACCCAACACACCGAGCAAAATTTGTTTCCAAGATGGTGGCAAACATGTGCCGGTATCGAGGCGCCAGAAACGACGTGTGTCGTGCACTGAGCCTTCGGAGGAGAGGGACCCAAAGCAGTGAAAATTGCTTGGTTTCGATAGCACCCGCGCCAGCCGTAACTTTGAAGGCCGGTGACCTGAGCAGCGCGTCATGTGTCTTGTCTTCGAGAAGCCCAAACACAAAGTCGGAGAGGCGGTCAGGGTCCACAGCTCCTGATGGGACAGGTTTTGGTTGTGCGAAATCGACGAGCTTGTTGCTGATTTCTTCTTCGGGTTCCAATGAACTGTAGAAGAGTTTAGAGATGTCAAGTACATCGATCACCTGTGTAGCAACGTGTGTGTAGTATGTCGTATGGATATCGGACCGAGCAGAAAGGTGTTCGCGAAGCTGACGAAGTCCGTTCAAAACCCCAAGCACAAACGGGATCTGCTTGATGTGGCTTTCAACGACAGTCCCCAATCTGTCACGAATGGCATCCGGGCCAAGCACAACGCCAACAACCGAAACCAAGCCTTCTCCGTCCCGAGTTCCTGGCGCATGACTGTCTACCGCTTCCAAAGCTATCCCTGCCAGCTTTTTCAGTAGCGACTTTGAATCATCGTCACCCAATCAGCTATAGCCTGACACCGATGATGCGCGTCATGCGTATGTCAAAATTGCGGCGACAAGCCCCTTCTCGATATCCTTCATGGCCAAACTACCAGCCTTGACCATTCCTGCAACCCAGTAGAAGAAGCTCGACGACATTCGGCCCTCAGTCTGAGATGCAGCCTTTTCGAAGAATTCGAAGTCCTTTGTCTCCAGAATCGCCTTCAATATCCGATCCACATCATGATGAGGGAGGATTGCTAACCCTTTGTTCTTGTCCAAGTCCCAAACCTTTGCACAGAGATCTCGAAAAACCAGCATATTTCGAACTGGGAAGTTCCAGGGCCTGTTGGGCCGCTTGTTCGTGTTGATATACCAGCAAGCAAGCTTTTGCACCATTTTTTGTTCCAGATGGTATCGGCTTGTCAACATACTGTGGGGCCCTCCGCTGCCTCCATCAAAAAATCAGCAGCGCTGTCACGGGCGACCAGTACAATTGCGGCCTCCAAAGTCGAATCCTGCCCCTTGAGGGAAGGGAGGTCTGGTTGAAGCCGATTTCGATCATCGACAGGAATGTCGACAAGAAGCTCTTTTCCATTCTCCACTAGACGGCGGATAAGGTAGCTCGTAGGCATGTTGGCGACTGGGGAGTCTTCCCTCTCCATTACAGCAAAGAAGATTTCCTAGGGTATCTCCTGCTGAAGCTGAAGCTTGATCAAGGCATCGGCGATCACCTTATCCCGGCCTTCCAGCCGCTCAGGTACGTTTTTCTCGAGATATGTGTTGTCGAGGCGATAAAACAGGTGGTTCGTAGGTCTGTGAGCTTTCGGCTGGTCGAGCCCATTGCATCAGGGCAAGGCGGAGGTAGACAGTGTCGTCAGTCTTTCCTCGAATTTCTTCGAATTCTGAGCGAAGCCCAGCTTTGAGGTCGTCGAAAGCATCCTGTTGGAGCAGATCAAGAAACGAGATGCGTTCTTTCCCGTCGCGCGCGTCGATATCGGAGTCGTCATCGCTGATGATTGAGATTGGCGAGTATTTGCTGGTCTTTGTCGGTCGCAATGGGGTCTTGCTGGCGTGAGCGGTGCGGCGCATACCTTTTTCTTTGGTGGTAGCATTATAACGAGGCGGCATTGGACGCGACTTGAGCTCCAAAAACCTGGCTGCCACTCGACGCGTTAATTGGAATGGGATGCGCCTTGCATGAGTTGGGCCACAAAAGTTTTCGGGCCCGTGGGTTAGGGTTGACCAGGGGAGCATCTGGCTCATCACCCACACTGAGCACAGACTGAGGCAAGCAGGTCTACAACATCGCTGCTCGGTCCTGCGGTCTGATGTTGTCGAAAAATGAGGATCTCTTATCTTTCTTGATTGTGGGGTTACCTCCCTAACATGGAATTATTTGCCGCCTTTCTTTGGCCCGAAAAACTCCGCCGGCAGCTCGAAACTAGGATCAAGCTCCTCCTTCATAGCTTTCACAGAAGCTGCAACAGCATTGTATCCAGACGCAAATGCCACCATCTCCGGGGGAGTTTCTAGTCATATTGTCAACGAGCCTCCATATTTTGCAGTATGGCGTACTTACTTGGAACTTGACCTTCCGGGAAATAGGGTTTCAGATCCTCCAGGACGAGATGTCCTTGGTCCATGCCAACACTACTCAATATTTGGATAGCTGATGCTCGATTCCTCCGGACTTTCTCATATATTTCCAGTCGCCTTTCAATGTCTGCTAAATTTGAAGCGCCATACAGAACAATTCCTAGAACACAACCATCCTCAAGTCCTTGGGCGCCTCCTTGGCCTTGATCTACGTAATTGTTAGTTTGAAGATAGTTATATCATAAGTTCCAGGGGTCACTTACGGGGCAGCATTGGGTGAGCAGCATCACCTACCAGAACAAGCCTTTCACGATGCCAACTTGGGATCGGACGTCTGTTTAAAAGCGGCCAGCGTTTGACCTCGGTAGCTTTCCTATTCAACAGTCAGCTTCATTATTTCCCAAAGCATATAAGGGTCAACCAACCCAATCACAGCTCTCAGCTTAGGACTGAAAACCTCTGCACCAAAGATTTCTAGAACGCTATTTTTATCCACTTTTGCCAAATAGTCTTCCCTAGTGGCTGTTGCCATGGCAGGATCATGATACAGACCTACGAAGTTGTGGATCTCGCGGCTGATAACAGAGTCAGCAAAGTGGATTACAAAAGAAACGTTTTCACTTACTCTCGACATGGATACGAAACTATCCTTCTACTTGTTGCATTGTGGGTGATAATCCGCATGCTAACCTTCCTACTGTGCTCGTCTTCATGCCACCATCGAGTTTCAGGGTCTTCAGCCAAAGAAGCGGCTGGAATCAGAAAACGGAAACAGGTGTTGTAATAGGCAGAGGGCGATGGCTCAATCTTGCACCCTAGCACCACCTCCGTGGCTAGTGAGTGAACCCCATCTGCTCCGACGACAAGATCGGCAGAGAGTACACCTCCGTCGGCGAGGGTGATGGAGGGAGTGGCAGGGTCCTTCAATCTGTCAGCCAAATTTGGCAACAAATAGGGTTTATACTACCCACATATCGCACAACTGCACGCTGCAAGTGAAGTACCACTGGAGTTCCAGGCCCCTCAACTGCTGTCGCCTTCCTCCTGAACCAAGCATGCAAGTCGACACGGTGGGAAAGCCACAGGTCATAGCCATATCGGGCGCGATTTTGTTCTTGAGGAACAGCAAACAGAGTGTTCAAAGTAAGAGGGTCGAGAAAGGCCATTTCATCTGCCTTGACAAAGCGTTCGGCGACTGGGTCAAGTCCCCATTCAAGGAGAAAGCGAGATGCGTTAGGGGGTACGGTGATGGCGGCTCCGACTTCGTTGTTTGCTGATGTGCGCTCGTAGATCTCTACCCGGTGACCAGTTCGTCGCAAAGAGACAGCTGCTGACAGCCCGGCGATTCCAGCGCCGACGATGATGATGTGAAGCGACATTTTACGGTGACAGGTGAGACCCATGCGCAAGTACTACTCTGGCAATTTGAGGGCCGTTGGGACCTTTAAATGCGCTGAGTTGGAAATTCTGGGCCAAACAACTCGTACGACGTTGAATCATGTGGTTGCAATCCCGTGGGGGAACTACCACACTGATTTGTTCAACATGGCTGCATGGCTCTTTATGTGATTTCACTATTTGCAGAGAAAATATGCTTCTATGCCAATATTTCTCAGCGCTAGTGCTGCACAACACATCTGTTGAAGATTTGGGCAGCACTTGCATGCATAAACACATACTTACTTTTGCCGTTACTAATATACGGAAAAAAGTGGGTGCCTATAAAATTTAGAAAACCTAGTTATATTGAACTATTAATTAAAGACTAGGGAAAGATAAAAGAAACCTAACTAATGGTTTGGGGTGCGCCACAGGCCTGAGAGTATGAGTAAGGAAGCGGGGCTCTCGGAGGACTCAGGGGTTCAGGGGTCATGTATATAAGCGGTCTGCTTCGGACATTCTATTTTAGACAAAATCATCGACTTTTATTTTTCTTTGTATTTTGTGCCTTGCACGCGTG